ATTAAATTCAATAAGTTTGTTGGTCTAGCTGGAATGTCGAACATATCTACAAGTGTTTAGATTATGGTGGGGTGTTGAGATAAGATGCCAAAGCCAATCATGATCGAGGGATAAGAGATAAGAATCTTATCATGATAAGGTATCTTAGGGTTGAGATAAGATGCCGAGGCCAATAAGGATTGAGTGATAAGAGATAAGAGTCTTATCATGATAAGGCATCTTAAGTAATCTAAAACTGGAAAGTTAGCCGCCATGATAAATGAATAATGGCAAGTTTAACCGAAGGTGTAAGTGTATAAATACAAGAGGTTTGTCCCTTGTATTTATGTTTGAGAATATTAGTTTGTAGGCTAGTTATATTAGTTAAATATAAATAAGCAACAAACATAAGAAAAAGTGAACATATACAATGGATATTCATAATAGAATAGCTAGATTACAACAGTAAACATTATGCTTTTATTTATTTGACAGCTTCACCGACTTTCCCTGGTTTACAAAAAAACACATACACATTTTAGAGTTTGAATAAGCGTTTCCATAGGTTGGTTGTTTGTAGAACTAACTTTTGCAGCATTTTCGTTCAGTCCCTTGTTTTAGTCGAATATCTTTAAAATATATTAGTTGATCTAAAAAGTCTATAGGAAGAATTCAAGAATATGCTACAATCAAGACAGGGTAACCTTCAGTTAATCGAAATCATGCGCTTTCAGTCCTAACTTATAAACCTCTTTCAACTTACCGGTTTTCGTTAGTACATTGAAGTCCGCATCACAACCCGGATTCAAAAATCCTTTTCTCTTTGAGATTTTTAGCGACCTGGCTGGGTTGTTAGTTATCGTAGCAAGTGCGTCTTGAATTGGAATTTCTGTCCACTTGATCAGATTATGCACACAGTCCAACAAATATGTAGCTGAGCCTGCGATGGTTTCCGTTCCTTCCAGGTGTAGCAAATGCCCCTTCTTTTCTACACTTTGATTGCCTCTTTTATAGACCCCATCTTCGAGACCTATCAAGGACATTGCATCAGTAACTAGAATGGCTTTATTTGGGTTTGCATCGTATGCCGCTTTTATTGCACTTGGGTGAACATGGATTCCGTCAGCAACCAATCCGTAGTAAGGTATTTTTTCGCTCGGGAGTTCGTCTCTCGTAGCTGAGATCAATCCTACCACACCAACATTTCTTGCTGTGTATGCTGGCATGGCATTATACAAATGTGTCATCATAGTTGCACCATTATGAATTGCCTTCAATCCTGTCTCAAAATCCGACATTGTGTGACCTATGGAAAAAACAACTTGGTTGCTTTTAGTTATCTCTGAAATAACTTCTAAGCAACCTTCCACTTCTGGGGCGGCAGTAACTATAGCCGCATATTTCTCAAAATCACGTCCATACCTTTTAAAGAGTGATTGATAGCCGTCTGTCATGGCAGTAAGTGTTTCGGGAGGATGGCACCCTTTCTTTTGAGGTGATATAAAAGGCCCTTCAATGTGTACCCCAAGAGAGTCTGCCTTGGTTGGGGAACGTGTCTTCAGTCCAAGAATATGCAAGACGTCATTATATACATCACTGAAACTTGAGGTAACTGTTGGACAAATACTGGTAACTCCGTATTTCAGCAATTTTTCCATAGAGTCATTATATTCTTGAACAAATTCCAGTCTTTGCTTCTCTCCAGAAAAAGTTGTTGAGAAATCTAGACCAAAACATCCGTTTATCTGAATATCTATGAAACCAGGCGAAACAATATTTCCATTTAAGTCTATCACCTCGATATTTTCGGAATCAAAACCTCCTTCTGGTTTCTCAACTATTATCCCTAATACAGTGTCAATAAACAAGTCATCTTCTTTTAGTTCTGAATTATCTGCTAGAAGACAGTTTGTCAAATGTAAGTATCTTGCCATTTTCCCAGGTATCGTGTTTGTTGCTCCTTTTATCGTACAACACGCTGGGGATCAAGAAACACATCTACGTCTGAGACTCAAACGGTAAATTTCTTCGACACATGCTCTTTATATTCGATTATATGAAAAACGTTTAGGCCACCCTAATTGAACAGTGTTGCTAGTGGCTATAAGAGTGAGTTGCATTCCAGTTCAAATTTGATATGCTTATGTTGCAATTTATTGTCTCTGTGCTTTGCCACTTCCGGAGAAACTCCTCGCCCTCGATCAACCCGTTATCTACTGTTGCACTTTTCCACAAATCTCACGGCCAATGTTACACTCGCTCAATCTTATCAAATACAAGTTATGCCAAACAAACGCTCCAAAGCCGAGCACAACAGACGGCTTGTGTCTCTGAAAAATATACTCAAGACATAATTGTTTAGGTTCTACCTGAGCAGGCTTCTAACTGACAGGCTTGGGTTGAGACTACAGAGACTAATCTTGAAATTCTGGCAAAATTTGCTGTATCACCATCGTTTCAAAAACCATAGTCTATTTGCAAGGTTTGCTCTTATTACGCTGCACCGGTGTTGTGGGTGTAATATATCTTAATCCATGAAAGTATGCTAGCCTTGAATAGAAAAAGGCACAGTAGCATAAACGAGGAGACTGTGAACAAAAGAGAAAAGAAAGATCCCAGTGAGCGAATCAATGATTATGAAAATAGTGACAACGAAACGAACACTGATCGTGATACTTACTTTCGAACATTAGTTGGGAATTTCTTCATTGTGGGGTTCGAAGGAACTACAGTGACAAAAGAAATTTCCATTTTAATCAGCAAATATCATGTCAGTAGTATCATCTTGAGTGGAAAGAATTTCATCAATGCGTCGCAGGCCAAGAGCTTGATCCAAGACTTGCAAACTATTGCGAAAAAGTCCGGTTACAAATATCCACTCATTTTTGTTATAGATGAAGAAGGAGGCATGCTAAACTCGCTTTTTGACGGTGATTATGTCACACAGTTTCCGGGTGCGATGTCTATGGGTGCAGCTGGAATAACAGACCTTGCATATAAAGTATATCGGGCCATGGCTAAAGAGTTGAAATCTATTGGTTTTTCAATGTATTTAGGTCCTGTTTTAGACATTTTGAAAAACACATCAAACACATTCATTCAACAGATGATTGGAGTTAGAGCGTACGGCTATGATCTAAAATCTACATTGAAGTTGGGAGAAGTTGCAGCGAAAGCCTTCAAAGATGAAGGGGTTCTCAATTGTGGTAAGCATTTTCCAGGGTACGGATCTGCAACTATAAATTCGAATTTTGAGCTTCCAATGATATTTGAGTCAGCAGACCAATTATTTGAGTTTAACCTTGTCCCATATATCGAACTGATAAAAGAGAATTTGTTAGATAGTGTACTAGTTGGTGGATGTGCAGTTCCTGGCGTTAACAACAATGACTTACATGCTTGTTTGAGTCCAACTATAGTCACAAACATCTTACGAGAAAAGCTGCAGTTTAATGGAGTGGTGATTAGTGAATGTCTTTTGCTAGAAGCATTAGACCGAAATTTTGGTGTTGTTCAAGGATGCATTTCTGCTTTTTCTGTTGGCTGTGACCTTATCATGTTATGCAGTAATTTTGATATCCAGAAACAGGCAATTATGGCACTAAAATCAGTCATAGAGGATCAGTTGATAAGCCCTACTATCGTTAATAAGTCTCTAGAAAGAATTCAGAATTTACAACAAAAGCTTCCTAGTTGGGAAGAAGTTCTAACTACACAATTTTTGACTCCAGATATTTTGGCTTATCATAAACTTCTTTCGAAGAAAGCGTACGAAAAATCAATCACGTTGATAAGAGATGCTGGAATGCCTATAAGCAAGTATTTGAGGGCAGGTGTGGAAAATGAGAATACAGTTCTAATGCTTACACCTTTGATTAGTCCGTTATATGAAACCGTGGATTCTAATGGAGTGAAAACTCATATAAACAGTATAGTGTCGCATGATTATGGTAACTTGAACTTGAATTATGGAGAGGATGTTTTTATAAAATTAGGAGAGTTGCTTTCCAGTTACAAACCAGGATATAAGGTGCTCCACACAAGTTACAACTCTAATGGACTAACTTCATTTCACGAAGAGCTGATTCTGAGATCAAAGGTAATTTTATTTTTTTGTGCTGAAACTACGAACAATCTCTATCAGGTTGGTGTATCGAAGCATGTATCAATGCTTTGCAACTCTATGGCAAATAAGAAAAATAGTTTAGGGAGATCGTTGGGGGGCAAGAAAATGATTATCATAAGTGTTGCTTCTCCGACCGACTTTCTTTATGACATTAATCTTGGAGGGTCACCTACAGGGTACATCTGTACCTATGATTATACCATTAATGCGTTATGCAATCTTCCTAAAATTTTGTTCGGTGACTTCAAAGCTACAGGAAAGATACCAGGATTGTCTACGCATGTACTACAAAATGGAATTGTACAAAATTCAGATAACAAGCATAGGAAACATAGTTGGTTAGTCGAAACTTTCAGCTATAAAAGAGATTGGGAAAATTTGATTAATTTGCTAAAGAATAACAACTACCTTGATTATTCTGTAAAGGACACGTCCTTGACAAGCCTCAAGAGGCTGCTGTTTGATACAGAAAATCATCGCAGCTTTGTTGTTCGAAACACTAGCTCGAACACTATTTTGGGAATATCAAGCGCTTGGGTATACTCCAGTAGTGATCTACAAGTGGATGGGAAAAAGTTGAACGTTGCAAATTTGATGTTTTTACTAGTGGATAAAAACAAAAGAAACATCTCCATCGGAAACCACTTGTATTCTAAAACTATAAAATACCTTTTCGAAGAACGTGCCTGCGGTAAAATATACTTAGGGCGCAATTTTCCGAAATTTACGATTGTTAATGATCTGCTTTTAAACTTCACAGAGGAGAATAACAATGCACTTAATTTTTTCAAATCCCTTGGATGTGATTTCAGTGGAGAAACAGTTATTCCAGAAGTCAAGGGACGTTCGAGCATCAAGCCGACAAATCCTTTTACCATAGGAGTAGAAAATTCGAGCCGAATCAGCGTTAACACCCTTCTTGCAGGTTCCATGAAAATGAACAAAGGCGACGTCAATGGTCAGGCAGATTATCAGGCTCAAGAATATCCTCTAGAACTGAAAAATAACTCTCCTTCAAGTGGCACCTTTGGCGGTGGAAGAATTGAATTTCTGCCGAGTAATGAATTAAGTAAATTACACGATGAGTTTACCTATAGACTGTTAAACAGAACTTTGAAACGACAAATACGTTACCTAATGAGGCTAGACGACATTTCCAGCTGGCAGGTTGCAGAAAATCTTGTTCGTCAACTACAAGTGGTTGGAATTATGTTCGATATTTGCAAAAACCCAGGAGATATACTCTCATCACAGAAAGGTAAGCATAGCAGCTCCAACTTTTACAGCAGCGAATCTGATCTGTACAATAATGATGATGTCAGCCAGCTTACCGAGTTTGCCAACAATAGCTATGAGGTATATCTAGAACTATACAAAGATTTCTGCTCACAAAATGATGATACACAGTACTTTGATGGTTCGGGAAATCTAGATATCATTGTCGCACTTGAGCCAACAAAAAGATATGTTGTCGGAAGTTTAGTTGTCTTTAACGGGAAATCTAAGTTTTCAAAGTTTTACCCGTGTCTTGAGTCATTAGGTAGCGAAAAATTGACGAATCAAAATGAGTATGCATGTATCACAGGCCATTTTATTGATCCATTATACACAACTCTTTCAGAAGTGTTCAAATTGGGTCTAATATGTACAGCATTAATGTATGTGAAAGGTCAGTATAGGAATTGCTCTGAATGTTTTATTACGGACATAGATGAGAAGCAAATTAGAAGCTTACACGACAACGGGTTCAAAACCGTTGAAAAATACTACAATTACTATTCTGTTATAAGCGAAGAATAGTGGCCGTTTTATGTATATTAGTTTATATTAATCGTATTAACAAATCTAGAGGGCTGCTAACCAGACGCAGCATCGTTATCGCATACTAGTAGGCAATTATTGTGCTCTCTGAGGAACGTACTTGGGATAGTTGAGCTTATTGGCGCTTCTAGGGTTTTTTGCAAAATTTCATGCTTGGCTTTGCCGAATACCAAGATAATAACTTCCTTGGAGTTATCAAGAACGGTTGAAATACCAACACTCAAAGCGTATTTAGGGACCTTTTCAAGGCTGTTACTGAAGAAACGCGAGTTAGCTTTGATCGTAGAATCCTGAAGCTTAACTTTACGTGTTATTGAGTTTCTACTTGAACCTGCTTCATTGAATGCAATGTGACCGTTGGGGCCAATCCCTCCCATGAAAACTTGAAATGGTGCATACTTGAGAATTTCCTGCTCGTACTGCTCACACTCGTTTTTATAATCTTCCGCAAGACCGTTAAGAATATGAATGTTTTCTTTTTTGATGTCGATGTGATTAAAGAATTTTTCATACATGAAGAAGAAGTATGATTGATCGTTTGTAGGTGGAAGACCACAATATTCATCCATGTTAAAGGTAACGACATTTTCAAATGACACTTTCCCCGCCTTGTACAGCTCAATTAACTTTGCGTAGACTGGCTCCGGAGATGAACCGGTGGGCAGTCCCAACACATAAGGTTTTTTTTCAGTTGGAGCAAACTGATTGATGGATTCTGCAATGTGTTCAGCAACAAAATTTGCTGCCTCTTCTTTAGTTTGGTACTCTATTAGCTTAGCCATGATTAAGGGTGCGCAAAGGGCCGTAGTTTACTCTCTAGATATTTTTTAACATTTTAAAAAACTTACATCAGAACTTAACTTTGTGAATATAAAGATCTTTCCAGATAGATAAAAGTTCCTGAGGTCGTTTGGTTTAAGCAGGGCCCAACGTCTTCGAAGCTCTTGCTTGACAGTTGCCCGGTTGAGAGAGAATTTCATAAGTGCCGATTTCTGTGTTACAATTTGTGACCCTCACCCTCAAGCCAATGTTGCACTCGCCCGACTAGGTAATCGTCACAGGGAGGGTTGGCGATAAGCTCTTGAGAGCGCCTGGCATCTCAGCTCCTACCATTGGAGGTAGGGGGAGGGGGGTAGGGGCGGCCGTGCAAGGGAGAGGATCGAGACAGAGAAGGAAGATTGCAACCGTTCATGAAGTAGTTTCAGGGCATACACATAAAATTAGAGCGGATAAGTAAAGGAACGTAAAGGTGTAGCTACACAAAAATTAAACGACTGCATGATAATTATACCGAGTTTTTCTCGGATTCTGATTCTTCGAAAGTCAAAGCTTTGACCTCAGAGTAGTCGATCACGTAGTTTGCAAACTTTCTTGTAGGAACCTTGTTGTGGAACATGATGTCCAACTCTTCGAAACTTCTGTTTGCTGTTTCTGGAAGTCTGAAGAAAGCCCAGACGCAACAGACTGAAGAGAACGCAGCAAAGATGAAACCGGTTTTACCACGCAAGTTACCATTTTCTGGGTTTAGCATATATGGTAAAGCAACAGTGGCGGCAATAAAGACAAGGGCCTGAACAGCGGTGGCAAAAGCAATGGTTTTGCTTCTCAATTTGGTGGAAGGGACTTCACCGTTCAACACAAAACATAAGGCACCAGCAGTCAGCTGATAAGCGAAGGACCAAATCAACATCAAGGCAGCTTGGGTTTGTGAAAGAGAAGGTCTGCTTAGATAGTTGCTTGGAATGTCCAAAAAGCCGATGATGAACAATAGGATGGTGGTGAAAGTCAAACCTGTGATGTACAAAGGTCTTCTACCAATGTAGGACAAAGAAACACCGGTGAGTAAGGTGGCAACAAATCCGATGGCAGTTGAACCAAGAGACAAGTCAAAAGCTCTACTGGAAGCAAATCCGGCAAGCTCAAAGAAATACGTGCTGTAGTTCATAGCAAAAGGAACACCACACAAGACTTGGATGATATAAACGATGGAGCAGATTTCGGTTCTTCTGAGGTTTGAGCCCTTGAAGATGTCCCGGTAAGAAGTGGTCTGTTCCATTTCTCTTTCCAATTTGTCGGTGTCCACCACCAAGTTCAATCTTTCCTCGATAATCTCGTCAGAAACAGACTTGGATGCGATTTGTCTGATGGCCTTTCTGGCGTCGTCGATTCTTTCATGACGGACTAACCAATAAGGCGATTCTGGCGCAAAAGGTAGTAATATGAGAATAATGACAGGCCATGCCCACTGAATTGCAAATGGGATTTTGTAGGCCCACTCGGTTGAGTTAGATGCGAAGCCATCAGAAACACCGTTGGCGACAAACTGGCCGATGACAAAACTCAAGTTGGACATGGCGGTCAAGATCCCTCTCAACTTAATCTGGGCGACCTCAGAGGCATAAAGAGGGCCAATCAAAACCATGCACCCCCATAAAATACCGGCTAGGATCTCACCTGCTGTCAAGACGCCAAGCGAAGGAGCAAAGAACTGCATGAAGATCAATCCGATACAGCCGACACAGACGACACTGTATGTGAGTTTTCTTCCATACCACTCAAGAGGCCAAGCAATACCCAACGTACCAATGACCTGACCGATAGGGGAGCCCATACCAAGGGCGGTTTGCCAAGATGCTGCGATCTGGTAAGTGCCGTCACTCTGCAGGTTTCCAAATCTCTTTTGGAACGCAGGCAACGCATAGAAGGACGAGATGATCTGTCCATCGTAACCTGCCATCACAACACCTAAGCAAAACACCGCACACCAGAACACCTCAAGAGGGTAGGTCCTTATCGCCTCGAGAACGCCAATCTCTTTCTCGACACGGGCCAACGTGACAGGATCATGGCCAAGCGCTGCTTCGATTGCGGTTTCCTGAACCCCAGCACTCTTTTCGTCGCTGATGGTGTCTTTCATAGTCTAGATATCTTTCTGCTCGGTACAAGTCTCGCGATCTAAGTCAATTGTTTGAAGAACTTTTGCAGTGCGAGAAGAAGCTTTCAAACTTGCCGTCAACAAAATAAGAGCCAGAATTTTGATTTGCAAAACGTTCCGTCTGACTAAGTTTATATACCTAGCGGTATCTCGAGCAGATGTGGGGTCGTAGAGGCCACTGGCGCCAGCCGCCACTTTTGCAGATAAGGTGGCGAGCCATCCGTGGGGTCCGTCGCTGTCGGTATTCCCGCTACTGTTCATCCCACCCGTCGTCTTACCCGTTATCAGCAACGATTAACGGAGTCACCGAGGAGGGAGAACTGCAACACTACGCGGCTGTCACAAGCGGAAAAACACCGCCGCGGATAAGCGCAGCCGGCGAAGGCGCAAGCGCTGTTCCGACGGTGTGGGGAAAGTGCAACACTGGAGCCCGGAAGCCAGGTGGGAGCATTTGCGGCAGAGAGAGAGAGGTAGTGGAACGGTCAAGGAGCATGAAGGTCTAAGTAGATACATGAGTACATAATTAAAATAACGCATATAATTACAGTAGCCTGATTTTCCAACCCTTGGCGTTGCAGAGAAACGCAAACGCGACGAGGGAAGCGTCGAAGGCCGCCGTGAGCAGCAGTTGCGACACGGCTGGGCTGCAGAACTTGTAGAGCCAGGAACGGGCAATTGTCCAGAAAGACCGGCCCTCGGCAAACTCGTACCTGAGCGCCAGTAGGGAAAGCTCCCCAAGGAAGTAGGTCTCGAGGTTACATTTGCCGACGACGGCGAGAGCGTTGGTGACGGCGAGAGGCAAGTATGGAATGGCGACCTTGACAAGAAGGTACTTGAGGATGGTCCAGCCATTGGAGGCGAGGACAAACGTCGGTGTCCACAACGGCTTCGAGATTGGCGCATAGTTCGGAGCGACTCTGGCTAGCAGGGTCCCCGAGCCAAGCAGACCTGCGCCGAGCAGGAACACCTGTGTGTCTGTGAAGCGGGGGCTGTTCTGCATGAACCATGACCCGGACCAAATCGTCACCGCCGTCATGAGGGCGCCGAGAAGACCCTCCGGGTCGAAGTCGGCCTCGTACTGGCGGCCCTTGAAGAAGACGGCGTCGAACTTTTGCTGTGCCGTCTCTGCCTGGACACCGAAGGGCTGCCGTCTGCGGTCGGCAAAGTAGACCGAGAGAAAGTACCACAAACCCGTAAGCAGTGCCGGGAACGCCGGAGAGTTCCGGAATTCCGGTGACACGACGTTGTTCAGCAGAATCGTGCTTAGCCCGTGTCTGTGCAACACGCCCAGCGGACGGAACTTTTCTCCCTCAATGAAGGTCGGGATGGCGTTGAACGCCATCCCGAGCCCGACAAGCTGCAGGCTCTTCCGCACGGGGACAACCCTCTCCGGCCGCAGAAGCATCCCGCTGATGAAGGAGAAGCAGGGGAAGATCGTGTCCGCGTACCGCATGCGCATTTCCCCGTACGAGGCGTGCTCGAAGAAGGGGAGCTCACACGACTCCGTGTTCTCCATTTCGAGGATGGTTACCCCGCGGAAGATGTCTATCGTCTGCAATCTCTGCATTTATCTGTAGTCCGAGTGTCGTCGGTCCTGTGTCCCTTTGGTGTTCCAAGAAGCCGTTTCGGGTGCTTTGACGGGTTGAAAAGAGCGTTGCACCTCCTGCCTTCTTTTCTTCCACTTGTCTCCTTTCTTGACGGACACTAACATTCCGTCAACGAGCCCCACGAGCCCCTGCCATGCCATGCCATGCTGTCCGGCGTTCTGGCCCTCGACCCCGATTCGAAGCCGTCCAGTCAGCCTTTCCCCCGCGTGCAGTGTAACACTAGCCGACCCGCCCCGCGTCTAGTGTTGCAGATCGGCCGGGGCCGCTCGCTATCTCGCTCCATGTACAACAGCAACACGATGATCTGTTACATCGGGGCGTCGACACGGCAAGGTGTCACAGCAGAGGGTGACAGTGCCATTGCCGAGAGGCCATGGCTACAATTGACCACACAAGAAATTGCAGCTGGGGCTGACCGTTGTTATCCTGGTGCCTCCCGCTGTTCTCGATCCCGACAGGCACACACACACGCCCACACGACGCACATACTACACAGGTGCCATTCACAGGCTCGCTGTACTACACTGGACACACAGAACACGCAGGCGGCAACGATTGTTTTCCACCGGTACACAGTGTTTCGGTACGGAGCTGGAGACTGCGATATTTAGACTGCACCTCTTCCTTGCTTCTTGTCTGCAGGTGCCATACCTTCTTCTCTCTTCCTGTGCTTAGTGGCGCTCTGTCTCCTTTGTCTCTCTGTTTGTTTCCCTCCTCCGCCTCCTCCGATCGTGTCCGTCCCCAAAACTGTTCATATAACGAGCATTATACCATATCATATGATCACGACGTCTCTGGTAGACCTAGAAACAAGTTCCGTCGCCCACACCCCAGACTGCCAGCGGACCAAAGGAGATGACTACTCTCCGTCTGCGTCGATGAAGGAGACGCCTGTGCTCATCTCAACCAAAAACGTGCCCGACTCGTCCTCGGAGTCGCTGTCGGGCGAGGAGAACATGAACATGGATGACCTGCAGCAGTCCCTAAACGCACAGCTTAAAATAGCGGAGATTGAAGACGATTTTGATGTCATTACAAGGCAGTTTGAAGACTCTATCTACGAGTCGCTCGAAAAGTCTAACAGCTGCATGCTCCCCTGTTTCAACGTTGTCTGCGAGCAGGACTGTAACCCTCGGGGATCGTTCTGCATTCTCGACATCGGAGGATCGACCTTGCGGGTGTCGATCGTCAACTTCCTCGATGATGGCACTGCCGAGTGTCTTGTCAACGAGTCGTGGTCCATAGAAGACAGCAACAAACACTTGGATCGCTCGTTCTTCAGATGGGTCACGCAAAAGTTCAAGTTTCTCGTGGACGACGACATGTGCAGCACTCTGAAGAATTCAAGGGGGAACATCAAAGTCGGCATTACTTGGAGCTTCCCCATCATTCAGCACACCGCCTCCAATAAGGGTATTGTCTCTGATCTCGGCAAGGGCTTCTCTGTGTGTGATGAGTTCAAAGGAGGCGACTTAAAGGATATTTTTGAAAACTGCTTTGCGGATGGTGGCATACCGATTGAGATCTACTCGATCGTCAACGACTCTGTCTCTGTTTTCGTCACCGGTTCTTACTTCAACAATGCCAAACTCGGATTGGTGCAAGGAACAGGTATCAACTCATCCTTTCTGGTCGACCAGTCACTTGCAGGAAAGCAAAAAATAAAGTTTTTGAGAAACACAGATTCCGATAAGAAGGTACTTATCAACACCGAGGCTTCATTTTTGGGCTACCACCTACACAAGTATGTGAGTGACGTTGACAGAGACATGAACCGCTTGTGGAAAGTAATGGGTAGCGACGAATACCCTCCTCCCCACATGACGACAGACACATACGGCGTTTTCCAGCCATTAGAGATGATCACCTCAGGAAGATATATACCCGAAATCATCAGAAGATTTGTTGCTGAATACTTCTCAGACACAGCTGTTCCTGAAGCGGGCTCAGAATACACCTTATCGGCGGAACTGCTTGCAAGCTTGTACCGTTGCAGTGACCCAGAGAAGTTCAGAGCGGAGCTGGGGAAATCCCTTCCGCTTGACAACTTGAAGGACGATGATTTGGTGATCTTGAAAACCATCACCAAGGCAGTGATATACCGTGCCTCCATGATACTTGCGTCCTACATCATTGCCATGGTTCGAGTGGCAAAGTTCACCCACCTCGAGAAGTTAGAAATATCCGTAGTGGGTTCCATGCTCCAGTATTTCCCAGAATACAAGGAGACCGTGCTGGGCATTCTGGACAGCAAGGCCGTACAATCCCACAACATTCCAAAAATATCCTTCGATTTCATCAAGGACAGCAGCATTTACGGGGCAAGCATTGCTGCATATGTAAACCAGGAAAGAATGGGCCTGTGATTAGATGTGCCGACGTCGCACGAAGGACCATTACATGTAAGTACTGCATTATATATGCCATCTTTATAGATAACGAAGGAACCTGTAACGACCATGGAGACCTGCTATGCACTGCGCTTCTGACCCAACATCCCTAGCCAGCCGGTCACCTACCTGCTTCCCCTTGCTTCCCCCGGAGAAAGAAATCCGAAAATAGACAGAAGCTATAAAATGGTCGATTGTTCCGCTCCGGTGCGTTTGCGGCCTCGTACGAAGGGAAAGCATTGTGGAGAAAAAAGTTGGAAAAGTAAGAACAGCCAGAGACAAAATATGGGGGATAACATTATCGGAGACCACAGCTATGGTGGCAGTGATAACAACAACAGCATTAGCAACAACAACAATGGAAACATAGACAGTAATAACGCTGCCACGAGCAACACAATAGACGACGAATTTGCGTCCTTGTTCTTGCAGGAGCTACAAAACACAAGAGCAGAGAGTTTGAAAAATATTCCGGCAAGTGTCACAGAGACTACAGCTGTCACTGGTCGCAACCACTCCGAGGTTGACTACATGAACTCGATGGAGCTTTCTGCCAGTCAGACAAACCTGGCTATGAAGGGGGCTGCGAGTTATGCGATGTACTTGCCAATGGAAACCACTTTCAACTCGAGCTTTTTGGACCTCAATGAACTATACTCACCCGGTACACAGCAGGTAGCCCTAGAGTCTTTGATGAAAGGCAGTGGGATTGGTGGTGCTGAAGATGGGGTTCAGGATGCAGGGTTGACGGGTGATATGATGGATCAGCTTAGAGCAGGCAAGCCATCTTTCCAAAACCCGCTGTATAATCATGGATATCAGCAAATTATGGAACCGGGAAAACAAAAAGAAATGATAGACAGCGTACTTGACATTGCTACTGAACAGGGTGATGATGTTAAGATCAAAAATGAGCAATATTCTCCAGTGAAGGAGCCAACAGTGGGGGGCAAGGAAGGCGGTAAAGCAGTCAGTACAGAGAGCAGCTCCGAGAACCAGGTACTTCAACTGATATCCAACAACGTCCTGGCTTTGATGGAGGTGAATACAGATGCGCAGACAACCAGCGAGAACTTTCCTTTCAATACATTGTGTAAGGGAAACATTGCCGGCAGACTATATATCAATCCTGAGTCTTTTGTGAAACTTTCTAAGCTCCACAACATTGCGGCACTGATGGAAGAGGCCAATTCCACACAGTTGTTTTGCTACAGAAGGAACTGGATTTCCTTGGATTTCAGCATGAACTTAAGTTTTTTGGAAACTGTCAAGAATGAGAGACCGTTTAAGAAATTGTCGCTCCATTTATCCTCGAGTTTAAGAAAGCGTGACAACAAGGACAGCACCAAGGTAAGCGTGATTACGGAGAAAGAGGAATTTATGTTTCATAAGGCTGAAGTGAAAAATACTGAAAATATTATACAGGCCAGCGAGTCAGAGGTAAGCATTGAGTACGACGACTTGGTGAAAATAGCACAGCACGACGGAAATGTGCACTTTCTATGGGACCAGATCAAATTCAAATCTGCAACAGCAAATAATCGACATGATGCAGCCAATAAATACTATACAATTGTTCTCGAGGTAAGGTTCCACAATTCCCAAAACGGTGGTAACGACACCATCGTGCTTACCAAGAGATTTGAATCGCATCAAATCATTGTCAGAGGCAGAAACCCCAGCTTTTACTCTAAGAAGGGAGACATCTTGATCGGCAAAATGAAGAAGCAGAGCTCAAGTCGAGCCTGTAAGGCTGAGGTGAATCACAATGAGTCGACAGACTCTGCGCAGTTTACTCCAAACCTAAAACTTGCCACACCAATTGAAAACCTTCGAACAGACGCCGTAAAGACAGTGAGTCCCGCCGACAACGATTACAAGCTACCCATAACCGCTCTTGGAAACACCGTGGTAAGTGCAGGCGGCGGGTCAAACAAAAGTTTCTCGAAAGTCAAGGACGACAACGACCGACATTTGGCTTTGAAGGAGAACAAGGGTGGTTCCAGCTACCAATATTTCAGGGTTACGGACAACTACTACCTTCCGCCAGTTGACGTAGGCTACTTCCCGCACTACGTCCACCACAGCAAGCAGGTGCTCAAATCGAACGCTGTTTCTGCGGGAATGTCTCACGACCAGGAAGTCAGAGAGCAGTACAACTACTATATGTAACTGGTATGGTGGAGAGACCCTGACCCCGCCTAATGAAGGGTGTCTTGTAAAATTTTGTAGTGTACAGTGAACAAATAAAGAGTAAAAAAGTCTTCTCATTGGACTTTTGTCGCGGTTAGCTTTCGTCTCTGAATGATGAGAGAGGGAGGAGGGAGATCGAAATAGGAGATGTATTTTGGTTGTCGGCAGAGGAGGAGCAGTGGGGAACTGCAGAAGTGGTATTGGAGTTGTAGTACAGAACGCAACGCAGAACACAACATAATGACATCTAGAGAGGATGCAAACAGCACACCTGTCTTTCTGGACAGAATTGAGGTGATAGGTATAGACGGATACAAGAAGAAATACGTTGAGAAGGTTCTATCACCATTGCTTTCTTCTTCAACCAAAACACTTGGAGAGTTGTCATCTGAAAGTGAGAAGACCCTCAAAAGTCTAACTTTCCTTGGCGGTTTTGAGTCCGTGGACATAAAGTTTGACACTGATACCAAGTCTGCGAACAAAAAAGTCGATCTGCTTGATGAACCGTTGACCAGTGTGTACGGCTCCATCAATGCTAAACCACTCAAACCAACTGCGTTCAGCATCAAGTCCATCCACAATGATCTTGGAAATGCGTTTGTATCAAGCTATCTTAATAGAAATGTGTTTGGTAGCGGTGAGCAGTTTCAATTGAACACATACTGGGGATTATTCGACGAGACCAAGTCCGTTGACATTCTCTCTTCGACTCCAATTATTGACACTTCCCTAAGATTATTTGGTCATTTGAACGTTCTGAAATCTGCAAACAAGCTGTTCCAGTCCAACCAACAGGCAGCCACCTCTGCAGAACTCGGAGTCATCAAACAAAAGTTCTGCAGTCGCTCAGGCGCTTTATCATCATTCTCAACTGGATTAAATCTTGTTAATAGAAACATTGGCCATATCGCCGACAGTGCAAACGATGAAGTCAAAACATATGCAGGAGATAGCTTGAAAGAGGCTATATTTTTCAACTTCGTTTCTTCAAATATGTCATATTTGACAAAATCCCGTCTCACGTTACCACTAAATGGATTTACAATCTCATTGACCAATGAAGTTGCAGGCGTCCCGGCATTGTTAGAGAAGCTACAAGATGAACACCAAGAAGACTCATTTTCGACAGACAGACAGGATCAGTTCTACAAAGTGGGATTGGGGCTGGACTTTGCAAAGTCCATGTTCAGCAACCAGCTAACGTTTTTATCTAACTTCAAACTGGGTTCAATTATCAACTTTGCCTCATCTACAGGTGGGACCGTCCATTTTCAAGATAAGTTTTACCCTCTTGTAGCAGGATACGATAAACCACTGATGCCATCCAGCTCGGTAGGATCAGGATCGTTTTTGAGTTATAACTTGGGTTTTAGTACAAAAGTTGGTATTGTCAATGTGGATCAGCCATTACGCTTCTACTCATCGGTAAACGGTGCAAGCGTTTCCAATGAGTTGGCCGGACTAGAAAAGTCCGAATTGCGTGAAATTTCCAAAAACTGGAAACACGGTTTAGACCTTGGTTTGCTCTACTCTAACGGTGATGCCTCTGCCAAATTGTTCTGGCACAAACCTATAGATTCCTCGAAGAATAATGTGGGGAAATTTGGATTTGAGGTTGATATTGCAGGTGCATGGTAATGAACATCCTGAACCTCTCCACATATATTATTTATTATTTACCCATTATTTATTTATAAACGAAGCTTTCCTTCTGCTGTTTCATAAACTAGAATATTTCTATTTTACTATTACTCTCTCACTCATTTTCAGCGGTGGCTACGTCACATAGCGTGGGTGACTGATAGAGCTTTCAGTATCGCCAATCGTGATCTTAATGTTTTTCTCACGATGCTAGATTACATTATGAATCTTATATAACAGAACTAAGTGGTTTACACAACAAATACTTATTTGTTTTGCAATAATCTTTCCACATCGGATAAGCCGTTAATTTTGAGTTGACTGAGTTTTTCACTGATGGTGTCAACCATATCCTCGATCTTGACAACATCACCTTCGTTTTCTTCGTTTTGGCCCAACACCTTAATACGAACCTCTCCCTTAGGGTATTCCTCCTTACCTAAGATTACAGCAATAGGACATCCTGATTTTTCAGCAGCATCGAATTGCTTACGAGGGTTTGCCTTCTTCTTGTATAAGTACTCGGACTCAATTCCAGCATCCCAAAGCATGCCTGCTATATGCATACGTTCGCTGAGGAATCCATCCCATCCTTCACCACCTCCAAAAGCCATGATATAAACTTGGGTTGAGGTTGGGCGAATCTTGTCAACCAAGGCTTGACGCTGTTTTATGAGAGAGAAAATTCTCTCAACACCAAAAGAAATACCAACACAAGGGATACTTGGAGCCTTCTTACCCTTGGAGTTCGATCCAAGGAACATTCCAACTAAATTGTCATACCTACCACCAGCTGCAATAGATCCAACACCGACGTACTCGGAAGCATCATCATCATTGTCCTTAGACTTCTTTGCCTTAGATTTTGCCTTTTCCTTCTTCTCGTTGGCACCTTCAGGCGGAGCAGATTGCTCCGTAACTGCCTCATAGATCACACCGGTGTAGTAATCCAAACCACGAGCAAGGGACATATCGAAAGAGATAAATTTATCAACTTTGAAAGCTTCAAGATATTCGGCCATAGTTGCGATTTCTTCGATACCTGTTTTAGCAGATGCATTGCTCATCAAAGTTTCATCTGCTTTAAGTGTTGCCAAAACATCCTGGATAGTACCGTTGATTTTGACGTAAGTACCAATTTTATCAGCCACTTCCTCTGGCTGATGCTTGTCTACCACCATTTCCTTCTTTACTGCTTCCCATGGAGATTTGTCCAGCTTGTCAACAGCAGAGGAGATCTTACGTACATCTTCAGCCTTCACACCACAGACTTCAAAAATACCATCCAATATCTTTCTGTGGTTGAGCTTAACTTTGAAATCTTCAATACCCAAACCGACTAGACCGGAACATAAGATTTTCATCATTTCGGCATCTGGCACCATGCTATCGTATTGCCCAGCAACATCAAAATCACATTGGTAGAACTCTCTCATTCTACCCTTGGTCATTGCTGGTTGATCTCTTCTATACACCTTGGCAATGTGGTATCTTTTGATGTTGGAGATACCATTCATTGCAACGAATCTTGCAAAGGGAACGGTCAAATCATATCTCAAGGAAGTTAGTTCACCACCTTGGTCCTCCAAGTTGTAAATGAGCTTCGAGTCTTCACCGTACTTGCCGGACAAAATTTCTCTAAGCTCAAAAACAGGGGTATCGATAGTAACACCACCGTGGGATTTGAAAATACTTGTCAAGTGATCAAAGACTGCAGATCTGACAATCATGTCTTTGTCAGCCCAGTCCTTAGTACCCTTCGGAGTCTTGAGGGTGAATGCTTGTTGTTCTTGTTGCTTCTTCTTCGGTTTTTGTTCATTTTTCACTGCTGGTTCAGCAGCTGCAACCGTAGCAGCTGCAACAGTGTCTTTGACAGCTTCAGTTGACATATTGCGCACAGGGAAATAAGAAAGAAAAAAACGAAAACAGCAGACTTTGTTATGTGCAAGCCAAGATAGCTTCATCTGTTGAAACTGTAAAAGCTGAGGGGAGATCACATACTGGTTCAAGTTATCAAACAGTATTGTTCCTCCTCCTCCAGTTGCAAGCCAGCCGAAAGAGGTTGAGGAAAAATTGAAAAAAAAAAAATGAGAAAAATGGAAAAAAAGATTAAAATGGCGAGCAGCCGGTCACGTGGACTGGTACAGGTTACAGATTTGTGGGATATAGAAACATATATTGATAGAGGTAGAAGTACAGAAGAAGAAGGTGATAGACTAAAAAGTACAATAGAGGAAGATAGTAGCCTAGACAAAACGGGAGGACATAGCTTCGCTTCCGTTTTCGAGATAGCTTTGTCTAGAGAAATAGAGATCTTCGAATTTGCTCAAGATGTTGGCACCGATCCAGGTTTCTAAGCCTCTGTCCATGTTGTCCTGGTTGAGGTAGCTGCTGATCTGGTAGTCCTTGATATATAACCTCAAGTCACCAAGAACTGCTTCTTCCAAGCCTGGAATGAAGGACATGTCACCCTGGATTATCAGATTGTTCAAAAGGTCAGAGTAGATTTGATTTGGGCCGCCAATGTTCTTTAACGACTTGAAGATCAACTGACCGAGACCTTCCGATTCTGGTGTTATGGAGGATGGGATCGAGGCAGACGTACCAAAAGTATTTATGTAGGAGTCAAATGGCTTGAAAATTGGTTGGATGAACGAGTTGATTTGCTCGAGTCTTTCCACGGTAACGGATTTGGCATTGTTTGGCGTCTTGAAGATTTTTCCATCGATGGAGCTAGGGGATATGTCAAGAATGGATTTTTTGAAGTCATCCAAGGTTTGGGAAACAGCGAAATTTCTAAAACTAGAGGACATTTTGTCGATGTTGGACAACTTAGAGTAGTCGACTGGCAGCAAGTCAGATTCTTGGACACCGCGTTTCTGGAAGTAATCGTTTATGAACAGATTGAGGTAGTTACCAGCAAAGGGAGACTTGCAGATACCCTTTCTGATAACCTTACCGTTGGAGATCGGTGTCACAGAAAGATAGTCATTTTCAAAATCGACAATGATACAGTTGTTTGGTTTCGACATGGCGTACGCGGTACAGAGCTGTCTCTCAAGCATAGAGAAAATGGGTACCTCTAACTCTTCAAAAACAATCTCCGAGAATGTGGCAAGCTGCTTCTTGTCAAACCACGCGTTCTGTGCAATTGCAAGTGGTAATTCCTTGAAAGAGTCAGAAGAGAGATTCAACGACTCGTAGACGTAGTTCAACAAGGGCGCTGTTGCGTTGCTGTTGTAGAATATACCTTCGGAAAACAACGTGTAAAGTTCGTCGCCATCAGCTTGAGGTAAGATCGGATCAAAAACGTAGTTCTGTTTGGCTGTGCCGCTAGAATTCCCGCCAGAGGAGTACACCGGAGCGATGGACACATCAGGTGTGTCTTTGGAGGAAAGCGACGCCTGTATGGACGTAGAGTTGAGGTCGACGACCACTGCTGAGTACTGGAACCTGGACATTTCTGTTGCTGTGTACTGTCTCTGAGAAACTCTGAAGCCGCTGACTATCTGCGACTGAGACCACTTGTGGCAGTCATCTATTCTTCTTTCTGCACATCAACAACCTCGAGAAAATGCGGTACTGGTACAAAAAGAGAGCAGAGCGAGAGCGAGCGGTGAAAAAGACCAGAGCGGAACCGTGTTGATGCTGTTTTTGAGCCTGAAGCTCAGCTCAGTTCAGCACCGTGCATAGAGCAGATCGTTTCCGCCTATCTCTAACGCAGCGAACCATCACTATATACCAGCAGCCATGTCCGTTCCGCCAAATAGTACCTCCACACCATCTCCGTCCAAGGTCGGCAAGCCATCCGCCGCGGGCTCCTCTGCAAAGTACAAGCAGCTTGTCAAGCAGTTGAAACAAAACATTGCCAAGCAGGAGAAACTTGAGGACGAGATAGACACGATTGAGCACGCCATCTACAACAAGGAGTCCGTCTACCTTGCGTCCACAGCCAGCATAATTAAAGGGTTCGACTCGTACATGAGCGCATCCAGCGCTCATGGGCACGGGCACCGCAGAGAACACGGCCGTGACAGAGACCACAACTACAGCAGTCTGAACAACGGCACCGCCGACTCAAGCACGTTGTCCGACGCCGCCTCTGCTGCCGCCGTCACGGCTGCTGCCGCCGCCAATATCAGCGTTCTGGACAACAACCGTATCTTTTCTTTGTCCAGTGCCACTTTTGTGAAGCAGATCAACGACATGAATAAGGAAATCAACAAGGCGCGCGAGAAGGAAGAGGCAACTGCAAAATAACACTGCAAGTTTTTTTTCTCTCCGTCTTATTCGTTTTTCATCCGTTGCTTCTAACTCCTTTCTCTTCTACAATTACTGTTCGGAAACAAGCTTTGGTCAGACATCATGAATCTTTCCCAACAGAAGATCCACACTCTCCAGCAAAACACGGACAATATCCGGAATATCTGCATTTTGGCACATGTCGATCATGGGAAGACCACTCTCTCGGATTCCCTCATTGCATCAAACGGTATCATTTCGAGGAAAATGGCCGGCAAGGTCAGATACCTAGACTCGAGACCAGATGAACAGTTGAGAGGGATTACGATGGAGTCATCGGCTATATCCTTGTTTTTCAAAACCATCAACCAGAAGAAGGAGATTTCCGAATACTTGATTAACCTAATCGATTCGCCAGGCCACATTGACTTTTCGTCCGAAGTCTCTAGTGTCTCTCGGTTGTGTGACGGTGCAATTGTGCTAATTGATGTTGTTGAAGGAGTTTGTTCCCAGACGATAACTGTGTTGAGACAAGCCTGGATTGACAACTTGAAACCAGTTCTGGTGTTGAATAAAATTGATAGACTCATATTGGAGCTACAGCTTACCCCTGAAGACGCATACGACCATCTGCAAAGATTAATAGACCAAACCAATACAATAATGGCTTCGTTCTATAATGGTGAAATCATCAACAACCACTCTAACTGGAATGGTGACGAGAATACCTGGATTGAACACTCAGAGGAAGGTATTTATTTCGATCCAAACTTGAACAACGTTATTTTTACAAGCGCATTTGACGGTTGGGGATTCAACCTGAACCAATTTGCCTCCATTTTATCTAAAAAAACTGGAATTGACTTAGGTGAATTTGACAACAAGCTTTGGGGAAATTTTACCCTTGATATGAAAAATAAGAAAGTTGTACCAATCTCAAAAAAGTCGAAAGCAAAGCCTCTCTTTGTTTCATTCATCTTAGACTCAATTTGGAAAATGTACAACTCAATCAATGATAGAGACACTGAATCTATTTTGAAAATCACAAAGTCGCTTAATATCAAAGTTTCACCAAAGGAGCTAAGCTCCAAAGACTCCAAAGGCCTCACCCAAATTATAATGTCCCAATTTCTCCCCGTTTCAAGTTCCATACTATCGTCCATCATTGATAAATTACCTTCTCCACGCTCCGCTCAAAATATAAAGATTGATAGCCTACTGAAATCAATCCCTAATTCAGAATTGATTGATGCACAACTTAAAACTGATTTGGTTGAGTGTAACAGAAGTGGGAGTGTTTGTGGGTATATTTCGAAAATGCTTTCCATACCAGAGGAGGACTTACCGGAAAATCAGCCTGTTGCAGTATCCAAAGATGAACTTTTTGAAAGGGGCAGAATTGCACGTTTAAAAGCCGCCAAGGCTGCAGAACTGGCTGCGAAGTTTGATTCTGGCATCAATAATAAGGAGTCTGTTGTTGATGACGATTCCACTGAAGTCTCAGATAAAGTTGAAGATGAATTCGATCTTGGGTTTGAGTACGAAGAAGAAGAAGAAGGCAAATTAGAAGAGGAAGAGAACCAAAATCTAGAAACTTTGCTTGCATTTTCTAGAATCTATTCTGGCACAATCAAAATCAATGATACGATTTCAATTCTTTCTCCTCTTTTTGATGTTTCGAAACCTTATGATAGTGAAGAAAACAGTAAACACGTGCATGAAATCACTGTAGACAAATTATATGTTTTGATGGGCAGAGACTTGACACCACTTGAATTTGCTCCTGCTGGTACGATTGTTGGATTGATTTCTTCTTCATTCAGAGATATTTATTTGAAGACTGGTACCATCATCGCGACTGATATTATCAGAAAGAATAAAGGAATCAACTTTGCTCAATCTATATCCATTATTGATGTTCCTCCTATTGTTCGTGTCACTTTAGAGCCAAAAGAATTGAGAAACATGGATAAGCTTATCCATGGAATAAAGCAATTAAATCTAGCAGATCCCTGTGTACGTGGGTACATTAGTGAGGGAGGTGAGGTTGTTCTTGAGACTGCTGGTGAACTACATCTTGAGCGCTGCGTGAAAGATTTAGAGGAAAGATTTGCCAAAGTTGATATCAGTGTCGGAAAACCCATAGTCCCATTCAGGGAGACGATTGTTGAAGATATCGAAACTGAGCTGACGATGGATCGCTATAAAATAACGTTTGCCATCTCATTTTGGGACAATTGGAATAAGGATTCAAACAACAAAGAGGATGAAAATAGCCAGATATTGTTGGAAAATAAGAAGTATCATGACATTTTAGTTAAAGCCAACGGTGTTACAGACACCAGTCTTGATGGCTTTTTAAAAAGTGGTTTCTCTCTCGCGATGAAAGAAGGTTCTTTGATCAAGGAACCTGTAGAGGGTGTGAAAGTTCTTATCAAATCGATCGAAACAATTGAACCACACTTTAATGAGGGATCGAACGAGACTGAGTCAAGTGAAAGTCCAAGCATTGTCGCAAGCAAAAGTGATCAATACTTGTCCAAGATCCGTGATGCTATTCAGTCAAGTATGCTGAAAGCTGCTCCTCGTATCAAATTAGCAATGTATGTGGTTGATATTCAAACTTCTGCTGAATTGCTAGGTAAAGTTTACACTGTGATTCAAAAGCAACGTGGTAGTATTTTGTCGGAGGAGATGAAAGAAGGCACTCCATTTTTTACTGTCAAAGCCAAACTACCTGTTTTAACCTCTTTTGGTTTTAGTGAAGACATCAGAAAGAAAACCAGTGGAGGAGCTATACCTCAGCTTGTTTTCGACGGTTTTGAAACCAATGAGCAAGATCCATTTTGGGTTCCTACTACAGTTGAAGAATTAGAAGAACTCGGTGAAAAGGGTGATAGGGAAAACTGGATTAGAAGTGTGATGAATGACGTTAGAAGAAGTAAAGGATTGTTTGTGGATGAAAAAGTTGTCGAAAATGCAGAAAAGCAACGTACATTGAAAAAAGATTGATTGAAATGGTTGTCGGTATATATATATATATATGATATATTTAATTGTATGCGGATCAGCGTATTCATATAAACATTTACTAAAAAAATTGTACGGTCTCTTCTATATACAAGACTTTTTGGTAATTAAGACTGCATCAGTTGTCTTCCGTAGTCTCTGTTAGAGCAAGGACCATAGAAGCATCGACTTAGGTGCATATTTATGGAATTAATTCGTTAAGCTGTTGTGTAATTTTGTCTGCTAATCGTAACAGTTGTTTATTTACGGTAACCATCCATCTGAACGACTTCTTGCCCTTGCTCAGCTGCCTCTTTCAATAACCTTTCCTTCTTCAAATCGAAAGGACGTTTTTCTTTGAAATACTTAACCCAACTAGCAATGCAGTCTTTTTCAAATTGTTTGTCTTCTTCTCCACACTCCTTGCTTGCAAGCTTTTTCTTCGATGGATCCAGTGGATTATCTATTTGATTTTTATCCAAACATTTGAAATATATGTCCCGAGAAGCCCAGCACTGCTCACGCTTGCTACGAGAAGGTGGTTCTGACTCTTCTTCCTTTTTCGAAAAGAACATGTTTGCTTATGTATGACCACTGGTTTGTTCGAAGAGAGTATATGAAGCTCTTTTTATTAAAGATAGTTAGGTAATGCAGTAATAAGCATGAATAAAAAGGAACCAGAGACTGCAATGGAATTTAAGTTTCGTTCGCGCTTACGTAAAAATTGCCTGAAGCTAAGGCTAAATACTGCAGGCGTTTGGGGACATACGCTTAACTAAAATTGATACACAAGTTAATTGAGAATATATTAATAAGTATATAGGGTCGGGAAAGTAAATCATAATTTGGAACCATAGTTGTAGTAGATACTCTTGCTAACGGTATATAAGTTGAAAGCTTCTTCACCCAACTCTCTTCCGATACCACTCATCTTCATACCACCGAAAGGAACTCTGACATCTTCGTTGTTAGAACTGTTCAAATAGATGCTTCCTGCTTCAACTTGGTCTGCGACTCTATTTGCACGCTCAAAGTTAGTGGTGAAGATCATAGCCGCTAGACCATAAATTGTGTCATTTGCTTTTTTCACAGCTTCAGATTCAGTTGAGAATTTGGAAATGGTCACTACGGGACCGAAAATCTCCTCCTTAACAATTCTCATGTCCTCCTTGACATTGGTGAAAACACTTGGAGAAATGTAGAAGCCAGCTGAAGGTGTGGTGTCAAGCAATGGCTGGTGCAATGTTGCACCTTCTTCAACACCAATTTTGATGTATGATTGTACGCGATCGTACTGTTGCTGGCTCACAACGGGACCCATTGTAGTTGACTCACTGAAAACGTTACCCAGCTTCCAGTCCTTCTTGAGCTGACCGAGAAATATTTTCAAGAAAGAGTCAAAGATTTTTTCATCGACTAGAATACGGGAGTTAGCAGTACAATTTTGACCGGTATTGTACATAACACCAAAACTGGCCCACTTAGCACATTCTTTCAAGTCTGCGTCTTCGAATACAATCAAAGGCGATTTTCCGCCGCATTCCAACGAAACGCTCTTCAAGTTGGAGTTAGCTGCATCAGCCATCACTTTCTTACCCGTAAGAGTGGATCCTGTGAATGCAACTTTACCCAGACCTGGGTGTCTTGAAATGGCTGATCCAACGTCTTTACCATACCCGGAAAGAACATTGAAGACGCCTGGAGGAAATCCAGCAAGTTTCACGAGTTGGGCAAAGTATAGCAAAGACAGAGGGGTAATCTCACTACTCTTCATGACAATTGTGCAACCTGCAGCAAGAGCAGGGCAGAATTTCCATGATGCCATACTAATTGGGTAATTCCAAGGCACAATACAACCGACGATCAAAGGGACCCTCTTTGTGATTGCCATGCATGTTGAGCTAATCGGAATCTGCTTACCGTGGAGCTTATCTGCCCAACCAGCACAGTAACGCAAGTAGGAGGCTACGGACTCGACATCTGCCATAGCATTGGAATTGAGGGGCTTGCCCGAGTCCAACGCCTCGATTGCAGCAAGGGTTTGTGTGTGCTCGTCAACCAAGTCTGCCAATTTCAACAGCAATTCCACACGAACAGTTGGTTCAACGCTTTTCCAGGTCTCCATGGCCTTGTTTGCGGCCTTAACAGCAACATCCACGTCCTTTTCGCTCGCACAGTAGACTTCAGTGATTGGTTTGCCAGTGGACGGATTGACAGTGATCAGCTTTTCACCTTTGCCGGCAGTTGAGACAGGCTTCACAAACTCATTGTCGATGAACAAACCAAGAGGCTGTTCATATTTTGCGCCTGACGGAAGCTCGATGGACGAAATCAAAGGTAATGTTGATACCATTGTGTGCACTTCTTGTGAAAATTTCAGTGGAGACCGAAAGAAAACCAGCACTAAACTCTGTAGACTGCACAGGGTAAGATCTACTAGAAAGTAACAAATTTGAAAAGTGTGGAACTTCCACTGGCCATGACGGTTGCATTTGTGTGCTCTCTCCCTTGGCAGAGAACCGGCTGGATAGAGATACCGCTTTATCCAGAGAGGCTCCACATACCCAATTGGGAAGCTTAGGCGACAGCACTCACGTGCCGTGAGAAACTGTGGAGATGCGTTTCCGCCTTGCTATGCAGGTTGTTGAAATGTCTAAAAGATACACAGAAAAACTGATTGAAAGAATTAGTAGAAGAAATTAGGAATAAATAAAAGGTAAAAGTATTATAGGGAAAAGGAGAGCAGTACTAATGTAGTGGAGATAATATTAAAATTAAGGATGAGATGAAAAGAGTAGAGTAGTAGTGGTAGAAGAAAGGGAAAGAATCGGAAGTAATGCAAGATCAGTTGACGGTGTCGTTGACAATGTCTTCTTTCTTGACACCGTCTCTCTTCTCGACGAAATTGAGGTAGTATTTTCTAGTCCAGAGACGCATTTGCTTACCCCAGATGAGGAATGGGATGGCACACAAACAGGCGGCGACCTGGATACCTGTTAGGATCGCGTAGGTGTGTGTGTTGCCCATGGCGCCCAACCACAAACTACAAACGAATGTAAAGATGCATCCGATTGCGTTGTTGATCATGGAGACACCAATCATACCCTCGATGACCATCTCTGGATAGGCACACATTAAGTAGGACATGGCGATGTCACCGGAACAGCCGAAGGAGAACCCCAAGAAGGCCAAGCCCACACAGTAGGTGACTCTCCAACTCCATAGCTGATCAGTACCTGCTGCGAAAACCATCAATCCGATAGGACAAGCAATGAAGACACCAATCAAGAAGTAGAGGTAGTCCTCTGCCTCCATGATACCGTTTCTTCTACGGGCCATCCAGGCGACAAAGTAGTCTGAGAGGATACCGGCGTAGAAACAGCCAATGACGGCACCGATCAAACAAGGAATGTTCATCAATGCAACACCGGTGTCGGATAAGTTGAAAGGGGGGTCGTAGTACTGGTCATCCTCGGTGGTCAAATAGAAAGTCAAGAATGCGTCCTGCAGACCCCAAAGGACACCGGATAAAACAACCGGAGGGAACCAGAACACACGCAACATCAAAACAAGACGCTCAAAGTACTGCTTGACACCAAAGCCCTTGAGGTTGGTGGAAGGTGTGATCAAGGCGATTCTTTGCCAGAAAGACTTTCTTTTTTCGTCTGCACCATTGTTTAATATGTAAAACCCTTCGGACGGTTCAGATTGAGAAAGGTTTTGAGACTCTGCTTCAGCCGAATGGATGTTTTTCTCATCACCAGATGAGCAGGAGTTAGCGTCGTCCTTGGTGGCCTCGGCGTTATTGTGTTCTACCGCCTTCTCGTCCTTGGTGTCCTCGTCTTGGTGGCTGCCTGAATCGAGGTTGACATCAATTTGGTTGTGGGGTATTTCGTTCAATTCGGTGGCAGTGATGGAGGAGGGTACGTACCTGGTTCTGTTGAAATAGGTCTCGTACTGGGTGAAGACAATTACCGCCAATAGGCCACCGGAGATGATGACTGCAACCCAACCGACCCATCTGAAAGTGGCGTACTGGACGATGAACCCTGCGATGAGCGGACCGAGGTAGGTCCCGACAGATGTGCCGATAATATATGCGGTCAACGCCCAGCCTAGTTGATGGGTGTAAAACATGTCAGAGATAGACAATTGCACATTTGCCTCGGCACAACCTTCAGAGGCGCCAACAAAGAGCTGCGACCAGATGGTGTCACTGGTCGACTTGGCAGCACCGAACCATGCGGCACCGCACAAGCCTAGCAATATACAGATCATGTAGGTGATCTTTCTACCGTACAAGGAGGAGGCTGGTCCAAGGATGAGCGTGCACAAGCCGATGGAGGCAAACAAGACACCGGCACCGGTGTTCATTGCGCCGAAGGAGATGCCGTAACGCTCGTTCATGGTGTCCTGGATGGCAGCTGCATCGTTGGACGTGGCGGCGGTGAAGGCAGTGATGAAGATGAGCAGTGCGAACTGGTAGGCCTTCACCCAGGGGGACCAGTTGAGCGGGTCATTTGGTGAGTCTGTTGGCTGTGGGTTGAGGATGATGCCGTTCTTCGTCGTCTTGAGTCCGGAGGACAGGGCGACTCCTTTCTCGTCCTTCTCGAGGAGGATGTTGTACGTGCCCGGGACGTATTCCGGGTGGTACTTGTTGATGTACTTGTCGTTGTCGATGAAAGTGGATGCCTTGTTCATCAGCGACGACCGTGGAAGCAAGTAGTCTTCGGCGTGGGTGTTGCTCATGGTGTGGGCGTTTAAGGCGGGAGCACGGTGCAAGAGTGCTGGCTGCTAGATGTGCAGAACCTCGTGGTCGACTTGTGTGTGGAAATGGGGCTGCGTCCGTATCTTGGGCTTCTCGATGCGGCACTATTGTCTGACAAAATTTTTTCTCTTTTTGCTTTTTTCCAGCTTCGGCTATACTGCAAGGTTGCTGGCGGGTCTCGGTATGCGTCCGGATGTGTGCTGATGTGGAGCCTCGGCAGGTGTTTGTGTGTAGTGACAACGACAGACTTTAGGGACTACAGAGCACAAGAGCAGGAGAGCACAGCAGCAAAGATGAAAGAGAACCAACACCCAGACTAAAACTACACCGAGGACGTTACCTCCACCTCATCCCCCCACGTCTGCAGCGCCGCAGAGCACCCGCAGCAGAGAAACTTCGCTTCTTTTATCCGGCCTCAGGCAGTCTGCGGCACCGGAGAGACACATCACACGCTTATCAGGCCTCTCACCGGTCCTGGCCACCTCCACGACCGGCCTCTCTGCCCCCAGCCTGCCTGTTATCTAGTCGCCCCGCCCGCTGCTCTCTCCGCGTCACCTTTGCCGCCGACCCCCTCGCACCGCGGCTAGATTAACGGGAGGCGGTGTGCGGGCACTGCCGGGGCGGACTATCTATCCGCCGGGACGCAGTTCGAGTCTCCGTAGACGGTGGAGCAGTCAAGATGAGGAAGTTGGCTATAAAGGTGTACACAGGGACAAGATACACCGGCACATCGGTACAGGTGCAGCGGTGCAGAGGCGCAGCGGTGACGGATCCGTCACTGGGCACGCTGGCGGGCGTCGTACTCCGCGAGGACGGCCTGGACACGGTCTCTGAACACACCGGCGATGCGGGCACCGCATTCCGTGCCGTCCATGAATTCGTTGCCGCCGTACGCCGTGTGGAGCAGGTTGCGGTCGACCCTGCTCCAGTCGTGACTGTAGTAGCCGGCGAGAAACTCACCGGCGTTCCAAGCGTAGTCCCGAAACCTCGTCCTTGTGTGGGCCGGCCTCCGTGGGCCGGCCGTGTTCTCGTTATGGTCATCAAATTCGTTACTGTCGGCATCGCTGTCGGTGTCAAGGTCGTCTGCCCCGTCGACACCGTCCAGACCCACCGCGTCGTAGATCCCGCCCTCGCTCTCGCCGGCAATCTGCTCACCGACCTTGAACACCCGGTCGTGGATCGCATCCCACTTCCCGTCCACCTTTCGGTCCCGGGCCATCTTCATCCAGTCGTGACGTCTCTCCTTCTCCACGTTCAGCTTCTGGAGGTCGCCGTCCGCCTCCATCTTCTCCAGCACAGCCCGCTTCTTCTCCGCCTTGGCCACCACCTCGCCGATCACCTTCAAGATGTTCAACTTGTCGCTCTGGCCCAAGTCCATGCCGTTCAACATCTCGTTCAAGTCGATCATCAGGTCGGGCCGCTCCTTCTTCACAAACCGCAAGAAGCTCACCACCCCGTTCAACCAGTTCACAATGCCCTCAAATAGCTCACCCTGGCCGCTCTCCTGGCCGCTCTTGATGTCGTTCAAATACATGTCTCTGATGAACCGGTACACGTCCTCCGAGTACTTCTCCTCAAGGCCAACCAAAGCTCCAACAACATCACTCCGTCCAAACTGTCCGTAGTCGCTCGCATACACTTCACATACTTCGATCAACTCGCCAATATAACGAGCAAAAATTGGCACGTACTTGTACACCTCAGCTTTCTTGAACAGATCTATCAATGGCGACAAGAATAATGCAATAACCTCCTTGATGACACTCATTAGTTCCGGCTCATTCCACAACTCCATCAAACTCTCTTTATCGTATTTCCTCAGCTGTAAAAAGAAATACCTTTTAGCCAGATTGTATGGAGAGTTCAATTCAGTTTCAGCTACCTTTTCATGCACTGGGTTTTTCTTCCCATCTGCCTCTTCATTCTTCTTCTCTTTAAGACCTGCAACCTTCTGCTTCATCGTTTCCTCAATTTCGGCTTTCTTTACCGTAGAATAATCCTGAAGAATGCTATTGATAGTTTCCGATCCTAAGTCATCACAGTCCGGCAACCCATTGTTTGGCATAAGAATAGCAGTAGGAATGTCGATACCGAGTGATTGGCTCATCTCTTTGATATGCAAAACAATCAAATCGTCACTCTGAAAGTACTTATCAATGCGCTGAACAATGGTCTCCCCTGCGCCGTATTCTTTACCTGTGTTGTCGTGCGAAACCAGTAAATCATGCACTTCTATCAGCTCCTTCTCAAGTTTACGTAAATCTTCTCCAAGCATTCCAGAGAATATCAATTGAAGTAGTGATCTACCCTTTTTAGATGAGTTACTGCTGCTATGGTTCAGCTCATCTGCAAATGCCTCTTTCTCCGTATCCGCATCCTTCTTCTTTTTGCTCCAGCCTAGCCCTTGCATCATACCACCAATACCACTACCAATCGCACTGACACCTCCTGACATACCTGGAACGGTTGGCATTTGGTAGGTAAAAACATCAATCATTCTTTTAACCATCATCAAAGGGTTAGTAAAACGCAAGATACCTGCAATTAATCTGTAAGGAAAAACAGAATGCAGTCTCTTGATGGTCTTGAGCGTACCCAAAGCACTATCACTTCCAATCAAAAGCTCATACTGTGTGCTGGCAATTTCCAACAATATTATTCGAACCAGACCACGCAATGGAGCAGCAGCATCGTCGGGATCGGAGGACTCTACAGGCTCTTGATTTGAGACAGAGGCTGCACCAACCAAATTAGCTGTTTTAAGCCAAGATCTGGAACTGTCGTTGGAACCATATCCACACAATTCATGTAAAGTCTTGAAATGCTTGATTCTTGCAAAAATGTAACTAAAACCTTCATTATAAATTTGGGTTTTTAAATTCTCAACATCTTTTTCGAGAACCGTAACAATGCCAACTAGAGCTGATTGAAATTTATAGTGCTGGACAGTACGTAAATGATCGATATTGATCCGATTTTGTATATCACGAATGTCTTTGGTAGTCAATGGAACAATGCGAGATTCATCTCCAAGAAATTTAGCAACTTCGGCAGATTTAGCACAAACGTTAATGTAGAGGACATACTTCAAAAAGCCACGAAGAGTCTGACGTAATATTTCACGTGGAAACACAATTTTATCCTCCTTAATGGTCATTTTGGTCATTCCTACAGATAAATCTTCGTTATCTGCTGTGTGAGCAGAGTGATAAGTTTTTATTGACTCTGCTGACTCGACTGAACCGTTGGAGATATTACTATTTATCGACGCGTCACGTTTATGTGACTCATGATTAGATGACGACGAGATACCCAATCCACTAGAGAGATCTTCTGAAGTAGATATAGGTGAAACTAAAGATGAGGAAGAAGAAGTCGAAGACCATGCAGATTTTTTGAAGGTATTGAAAAATGATTTCTCGACTTTGTTGACATTTTTATTGGACAATCCGCTACCAGCTTTCTTTGGAGACAAAAGAGGGGACGTGATTGGTGACTTCAAGAAGTTTGGCTTCGCAAAACCTGGAACGGATAGCTTTGATCCTTTCATCAGGCCACCGCTAGAACTAGACGCATTTGTGTCACCAGTAATTTCAGAGTTAATAGAATCCGCGTTGGAGTCGCTGAAATAGTTATGTGATGGGGAGCTTGGAGACATTGGCATTTTTGGTGAGTCAATTGAATTCGCAAACAACGAATCAACGCTCTCTTTATCTATATCTATCATATCGGAATCAAAATTGTGCATGACAGCAGAGTTAACAGTATTTTTGAGGCTCGAACTAGTGTTTGGGTCATCATCCAAATTCATTTCCACTTCATGCTTGTCCTTCGAAGGTAAATCTGGAATATGAGAGGCAGGGAAAGAAGCTTTCAAATCCTTATAAAGCTGGGTAAACTCAGAATATCTTCTTTTGATGAACCATCCATGTTGATCAGGGGTTTTGACATGAAGGATGAAACTGTAAAACTTGCTCTCCTTGCTACCCCAAAAAGTGGACTTTGTTTCGGATTCTATCGAGACGCCAACAATATTCACGTACCATCCGTTGATATATTCATCGTCGTCAATATCATCAAGGTGCTTCAATAGGTTAGCAGGAGATATGTTCATATCGAGAAGGTATGAACCTTCCTTACGATCAGATTCAAGCTGGCTAAGAGCCTCTTCTTTTTTCTTCTCATCCTTCTCCATGCTCTCAGACTCGGCAGTATCAATAAACTTCCCTAACTTCTTGTAAGCTCCCCTTCTTTCCTTATCCATTTCAAAATACTGAGGGTCCTGGGAACAGTATATCGATGAGTTGAAAAGTATCATGAAAAGATTCTGAAACTTGTAAAGTAGTAGCTTTCTTTTACTCGTCGTGCCACGGTCATTACTATTGCTGATTTTCTTTCCTTTGAACAGCTCAAACAAGACCTGTATTTTTAGCCAGAACTTTGACTGGTTCCTTAGTGAGGGTCCGAGTTTATCCAAGTGGATCTTGATGAAGGGAAACGTTGCAAAATAGTTGTCAAAGATAAACCTCAAAAGAGGGAATTGATTTCTGAAAATGTCGATGTTTGCCTCAGAAATGGCGTAGATCTGGTCCAAGGTCGAGCTGTCAGGATTTCTTAAAAAGTTTTGGGGGTCTGCGGGAACAAAAGGAGGTCCGAACCGACGTAAACCTGAGATATCAGAGTAGTCCGGAGATAGAGAGTTCACCTCCGAGATGAGCTCGTTTTTGATCAACGACTTTTTCAAATAGTGCTCTTCAACGGGAGACAAGTGGATTCTGCGTTCTCTATTTGCCTGGACCGAGAGAGGGTGGTCGGCGCCGTTGCCATTGCCGGTGCCGTTGCCATGTTGTTCCGCCATAAAGGCTTTGTACGGATGCGACATGCGTGCTGACGATAAGCTGATTTTTTGGTCGTCGTGAAAGTCTATAACTTGCTCAACAAGTACTTTGCTCTATATACAGAAAAGTGATGATCACAGATGTACCGCTTTGCCTTGTAACTTTCAGGTTGAACCGTTGCAGGAAAGAATAGGTAAGGAATGTAGTTCAGAATAAAACCGTAGCAAGAGCGTTCACCGGTGATGTGGACACACAAAAATCAGACCTCAAACAATTGAGCACAGTATAAGCTCTCTCCGTACGGGTTTGACAGCTTGGGGCAGCGGAAGCAGGCGACAAGCCCACTAGGCCAAAACTGGCGCTTGCCGTGTCTCCCTCTCCGTCAAGACCGGCAGGCTCAAACGGTCAAAAAACAACGCAGGCTTCTCCGACCGTGCGAGGAGTTTCCGCACCCTCCGTGGAGAGGGCGGGCCTCGGCTATTCTAGACGGCAGCATGAATTGTCTCTGGCACCGGATCGATCGATTACAGGGGGTTGACCACAAGATAAACGAGAACTACTGCAGGAGTACGAGAGAGAGCCCAGATCCCTCCAATTGACACATAGTAAGCATAGGGAGCTGCTGGCACGACGCATCCATCCATCCATCCATCGGATCACCGGACACTCAACACCATGACGTTGTCGCCCCCTTTGAAACAGAATGAACATGGCCTACTCATGCCTAGGCAGGAGCCACAGAATACAGAATGCCGGTCACCTACCCAGCTGAAAGTGATGATAACAGAAGCGTCGCCGTCATCAATTGGCACGGGCTCCGCAAGATCAGACTCGGTGGCAGAGAGAGATGCTGTTGAACTCAGCAATACACCCAACCACGCTGCAGACCAGGGGCATCCGGATAATCGAGAGGAGGAGGTGAAGTGCAGAATAGAAGAACATATGTCCCCTTCTCATGATAGGCATCAGACAGAACTCTCTCACACTCCGCAGTCGAAGATCTCCCTTAAATTTAAGCATTCCGTGTCAACTAATTGGTTACCGTCCATGAGGAAAAAATATCCAGCTACTGGGGAAAACCCGGTACTTGTGGAGACGGAGAAGGAATATGACTCTTACCTACTAGAGAAAGCACAGAGAAACGATAATACTTTGGGAAAACAAACAAATTCTAAAGGCTTCTTTCCCAAAAAGTCAGCAAAACGTATATCTTTGGGGCATACTTCGTTGATACCCAAAAGATTCTCGCTTAATCACCAAGCACATTCCCAAGTAAAGGTTGATGGCACACTTGGAGCAGCTGCTACTTTTTCGTCGCAGTCGAGTGGAAAGAAATCCAACGCCAAATCACCCACTATTAAAGACTCCAAAAACTTAGCTAGCCTTCCTCCGTCGATATCTCCTCTTCCGCTATCTCCAAATACTTCGGCAGCTAATAACACAACTCCTATGATGCCTTCCAGCCCCACATCAATTTACCAAGCAGCTCCATATCGACAAGCTTTAGACAGAAACACAAGCTTTAGCTCTTCCACTCCTTCTGAGAAAAGCACCATTGGAAAATCTTTAAACGCCTTTAAGCGTACCACCAAATCCATTCTCTTTCTGGAATCGAACTCTAACGGCTCAGCATCGCAATCTTCTGGTGCTAACAACTGCAACTACAACTACAACTATAACTACAACTTGAACATAGTAGACTCTCCACTCTTGAATAGGGGCAACAGCGAAGAATTGTCCGTAATACGTCGCTCGATCTCTTACACTGAAGCTGAAAGGAAGCAAGCTATCTTCTATGCAGACAACTCCCGTGAAATAACTCGAAGAAACATAGGATATGACTCTCCAATTAAGGCTTGCACTTATGACGATAGCGATCCCAATTGTGAATGTGATGAAACCAGTGTCAGTGATAATGACAGCAATAGCATTGAAGGAAATGACAGTGATGATATTGAACCCTCCTCTATTAGAAAACATAAAAATAAGCCCATGCCAAAAGACAAACGCCAGACTAGTAAAACCCTGGCACAATATAGACAGCGGTCTAAAACAATAGACAACTCTAATAATCCATTGGCGGAACTAGCAAATAACACTAATACGGGCCTTTTGAGCTCACTCACAAATTTTGTAAAGATCAACAGGAGTTCGGTATCTACATCTTCATCTGCCGTTAAATTGAATAAAATCTCTCAGCAATTGCCTAAACTTGACCATTTAGAGGTGATTGAAGCAGAAACTCCTGCTGAGTTTTTGTCCCGTTTACTTTGCATTTATCCTTTAACTTTTGTCTGTGAGGTTTTATCTTCCGAAGACAACGAAATTTTGAAGCAAACCTTACAAGAGTATTTAAAGACTTACTACGATTTCTCAAACGTGCCTTTGGACATTGCCTTACGTACTTTTTTGATGTTGAATCACCTACCCAAAGAAACCCAACAAATTGATCGTTTCATATATCAGTTTGCAAAATACTACCACAGCCAGCATCCTGAACTGGGATTTGACCAAGATACCGTATACATTTTGACTTATTCTTTGATCATGGTCCACACAGACAAATTCAACCCCAACAACAAAAGAAAAATGACGAGATTTGAGTTTGTCCAGAATGTCCTGAGCGCTCTTGAAAACAACTACAATTCTTTCTCTAATTCCAATGAGTTGACAAACTTAATTTTGAAGGAATTGTTAGGATACTTTTATGATAACATAACATATTGTCCTTTGATCAAGATATCTCAAGAGCAAAGTGTTTTTGCCTTGGAAGCTTTGACATTGAAAGCTTTTCCATTCCCATATCCGAACATTACGTTTTTGAATTCTTCTACTACTGGTAAGAACTCAGATCATGATTATAGAAAGGCTTCCGTTTCGTCGTCATCGATGAGTATTCCATCATCGTCCACCTCTACACACAGATCAAACTCGCAGCAGGTATTACAAGCTCAGCAGCCTATTAGAAAAAAAAGCAGTTCTTTTCTTTGGAGCTCCACTTCTACCATGGATCCATATGACTACATTGTAAAGAATGATACAGGGGTATTCAATGAGTTGAAATTTTTGGCTAACGAAAAAGATTTAAATCTAACATGCCAAAATCCTTTTATTTTGCCAAGTACAACTGAGGTTGATAATGCTTTGGATGAAAAATCTCCTACCAGTGACATGATTGGCCAACAATTGAATGAGTATGGATCGTTAATGGATAGGGAGATAGATCCTGAATTCTTGTGCCATATTTGGAAATCCCTGACGGATAGCAGAATTGGGTTTACGCTTAAAGTTCCGAAGGAGAAAGGCTCCTACTTAGTTTCTAGTAAAACCGAGGCTATCCCATTGAATGAAGCCGATGGAAAAGAATTTTACTTGACTCGTGTAATAAAAGTCGGCTTAATAGATAGGCAAGAAAACTCGGCTTCTCAGAACGATCCGACTTCTACACCCGTACCGACCCAAGAATTAGCAGAGCTGTCTATCAACAATGATATCAAAAATTCGCATGCTAAGTCACAGCTTATCAACAAATACAAAAATACAGTCTGGAAAAGATACTTTTGTATTTTAACTGTGGTTGGTATGTTTTTTTTCAAAGATGTTTCATCTTTCCGAATGAAGTTTTGTGGCAGGAATGACACTGATGGAACTAAAATGGTCATAATTGAAGAGTCATCTAGGATTAAACCTCAGTTTGAGTCATTTTCCACCCTCGCAAACGGGAATTCCAATACTGTTAGCAACGGCAGTTCCAACTCCGACTCTAGCGGATTTATTTCTTTCCCCCATTTTAGATCTGAGAAGAGTGATAAGTTTGAAAAAATAGAAAAAGAAAAATCGGAGTCAGTTCTACCTTCATTTGTTATGAGCAACGGTTCCTTCGCAGTTAGGAAGCTGGAGAATATAGAGTACGATGAAATAATCAATGATATGAATACCTCAACTGTAGTCACTACACCTCAAAGTACTTCAGAATCTTCAGCTTTCAATTCAGTACCCTCAGTTTTAAGTGTTACAACGGGTGTTTCACCAAAACTCTCAGCACAACTACCACAAATTAGGAATTTCCAATCATCTGTTCCTGAAGTTAATGTGCACCAGATTTCTGAAGGTGTGATGGATCCAGCATTAGATACACAACCAAAGAAAAAGAACATTGTCAATCCGGAGACATGGAAATACACATTTTTTATATATGGCAGGATGTCAAGAAACATTTTTATGGTTTCTTCTTTAACGGAGTTGAAATCGTGGATTCACAGCATTAATGTTATGAGTGTGTTGAATGGAGTGAAAGTTGATCACAAACCACTTGACTACCATATAATTCCCAAAATTTATTCTTCAAAATGCAATGAAGCTGAAGGTGAACCAAAATACTACGAGGTTACACCCCAATGCAATATCAGTATTGAACAGAGGTTTGCTCATAGGGCTTCTGATGATTTACTCTCAACAGATGAAAGAGACGAAGGTTCAGAAAGTTTTGAGAGCGGGAAGAATGATGTTCAAGTGGATATAAATAATGATAGAAGACGGAATAGGAGTAGTACCACATTTCTGAGTAAACTCGCTCCTTCCATGCCTGCATTGGGATTAGGACTAAACAACGGCTCTAGTAAAATTGACAGCGAGAAGAAGACCAAACTGCAGGATGTGGATAAGTTTAGTGATAATTTCAGTTCCGACTCTGACAGTAATCAAGATTATGCGACTGCAAGTTTAAAACCGTCTTTTATTTGTGAAGATAACAACAGTGAAAGTTATCTCAAAGAGGGTGCCCAAACAAATTCAAATGAAAGTGGTGCATATAAACATGAAATTACACAGGGGGATCTTGATTTCAAAGAAGAAGATACCTCAGAATTTAACACTTCCGAAGTTCCCTCTAAAAGCAGCTCCGCTAATTCAAAGAACTTTCACCAGTATCTGCTAAAGCATCTTTACAGTGTCAAGCGCTTGACACTGACTATGCCTTTACAGAAGAAAACAAGAGAAGATATGTTATCCACAGCGAAAATTCTTGGAGTCAAACTGGAATGGTTATGGTATGAAAAATGTCGCTCACAGACTATATCTGTGATATCAAAAAGGATTATGGTACTAAACGAGAACTCTAGTGACAGGGTGTTATTTGAAAGCTAGTGTGTTCATTATTGGTGGCATTAATGAATATGATCCAGTGAGAGTCATACACAGTAAATAAACATTTGGTTGGTTTTTTAGTTTTTTTACTTCTTAAACGTCTAAAAAGAAATTTATAGAAGAAAAGTTATCAATATACATGGATTTAGTTAGCAGAACTTTAATTGCTGATACCCTTCTTTTTCTGTTGATAGAAGTTGTCCGATCTGGAGACCCCTACGTTGAGTACTCTCGGACAGCCGTCTCGATCTCGTTCCAAGAGACAACATTGAGTGCAGTAATAAGCATCGTGCATAGCTTCACCTGGCTTGGCAGCATTCCCACATATGATACATGTGTCGGCAAGAGAACCGAAGGAGCAGTCATCGCAGACACGGACAACGTGCTGGGGATTCACGTAGGAATCGCAGGTGGGACATCGGCCGTCGCATTTTGAGCATAACACTCCCACACGTGTTCCCGGGAGTCTCGAGCAAACAACCAAGTCAAGCTGGTGGCGGGACATGGAAGAAGCTGCGGTGGTTTCTGTAATCCTGGGCCCCTTTGAAACTACAAGCCCTATGAGTCCGTCACGGAAAGCCAAGAGATACTTCGGAAAAAGATTTATATGCATGCTTCCAAGCGCCTTGTAAATTTTCAGGCTGCGTAACTCATACGTAGATCTTATCTAAGCACGTCATGCCAGTATTTGTGCCAAAAGCGGAGTTTAGATTTCGACATGAGTAGTCAGCTATGTTCTATGTTCAAAGTAGCAGACAACAAAACGCATTACGACTACAGATGAAAATCTTTACGTCAAGCTGGGAAGCCTCTGATTGTCGAAATTGCTCCAATGATTGCTGCACAGAGGGAAATGGCACAGGAACATCGCAAGTCCATGATCATAAGAGTTATCCGCTTACCATTAACACCTGCCATTTGCATTGTCAATTTGGTACATAAATCATCAAATTTCTGCTTCTTACTATTTGAACCAATTTTTTAAACTGGAGGTTATGCTCCTCCTTCGATGTGCCGAGCCGAGCTACAACAAACATTCGCCCTTTCCTAGGCCTTTAACGACGTAATTTCGTCCTATTGTTTGCATTTCGAGGTTAATATGGCCCTATTACAAGTGCAATTTTGTTAAATATGACATCCCGCCTAGGCTTTACTGGCAACTCCGTTGCTTGCTCCGTTTCACGGTCAAGCCTCTTTCGAAAAAGCAGAACAGACCACAAAAAATTAAAGGAAAACTTGCTTCGCGAGCTGACGGCAATCTGAGACATCGGATGAAACTGACCAGGCGTAATAGAAGGCATCAGAAGCGTTGCGGCGAGTAAAAGAGAGAGGTTGAATAGGACTCGATATACAAACAATTAAAACGAGACAGAGTTCGGCATCTGCAAGGAGGAAAATAAGAACGGGGAATGCGAACTTCAACACAATTTGCGGTGGCACTAGCATCGGTTTTCTCTGTTCTGCAGCTGACTCTGGCATCACAGGGTGACCAGTTGCCTGAATTCAAGCGTTGCGTGAAGTACTGCGATATCCTCACATGCGACAATGTCGATCACTATCCGGACGTCATACCTAGTACGTACATGAACTTGCTCAAGGACGAGAATTTAGTGAATCTCTTCGAGAAAACTCCAATTTCTTTCCACTTATCACTTTTAGGTTGGGACTGCTCGTCCAATTGCGACTACCAGTGCCAGAGACTTGTCACCGACGACAGAATAGCCGAAGGCTTGAAAGTCTACCAGTTCCATGGTAAGTGGCCCTTTGTCAGAGTGCTTGGTGTGCAGGAACTCTTCAGCACCTTGTTTAGTATTGGGAACTGGATTCCAAACTTTTTGGGATTCAAATTGCTATGGAAACAGTATAACGCAGAGCTCAGAAAAACGAACATGGATATGGCAAACTTGTACTGGACGTACATGCACATTGCTGTTGTGTCTATGTGTGCTTGGTTCTTTTCCACCATCTTTCATTTGAAAGACACGTGGGACAGAGAAAGATTGGATTATTTTTTTGCAGGAATGACGGTGTTGACGGGATTCTACGCCGTCAGTGTCAGGTTTTTCAAACTCTACCTAGTTGAGAATAACATGAAAAGAAAGATATTTGGAACGATATGCATATTGCTTTATCTAGGACACGTTACACGACTTCTGTTTGACTGGTCATACACTTACAACATGCAGGCTAATGTTGTCATCGGCCTTGTGCAGAATTTTCTTTGGGTTTATTTGTCTATATACCAGTTTCAGAAGATCAGCAGCAGCAAACTGAGCTTCATTGAAAATGTCACAAGACAAGAGTACAATTGGACACTCACGCCGACACTACTTGTTTTGAGTGTATTTTTTGGCATGTCCTTTGAGCTGTTTGATTTTCCACCAGTTTTACAACTCCTCGATGCTCATGCCATGTGGCACTTTGTCACTATCTGGCCTACACTCTTTTGGTATCCTTACTTGGTTAAAGACGCCCAGGAACTCATGGACTGGAAATTTGATTGAGGAGAAACCCACTATTCAATGATAGGTATAACTTTATAGACTTCTCATAATCTCATAAATTTTAATAACAGTCTGAAAAATCTTTTTCAATATTTTTTTTTATTTAACGATCGGCTTTTTTATGACATAAACTTCAGCTTCTACGGATACATAGATCCCGTAGATCACCCTACAACATAAGCTATTGAACAAACCAAAACTTAATTCTTCGATACTTATTATAGCTAAGAATGAGCGATGACCTGAAGAAATTATACACCAGTTTAATACTCCAAAATGGAGCTTTAGTGCCTGACAAATCAGTCATCAACCAAGAAATTATAGACGAAAGTAAAGCCTTGGTCAATGGGCACTATATAACTTTCATGAAGACCAGCGTGATTTCTAAGTGTATAATGCATAATGAAGACGTTAAGCGTATAACAGAAGGTTTTATTTCTGATTCAAATGTGTCCTTGCAAACTTACTTAGAGCAGCTGGTCTTTGTAGTTGAGAATAATATCAATGGAATATACCTTTTGGGAGAAATCAAGAAAACATATATTCTACTTTTTGCAGTGCTGGCTCTTCAGTGCTTTCTTGTTTCTAATTTCTCTGGTCCCAATTTACCTTTTGAAAACACTTACGATGAGACAGGATTTCTTTCACTACTTCTCACTGGAAATGAAGAATTTAACAAGAGACTGCAATTACAGTCTTTATCTCTTTTGTCAATTTCTGGATTGTCGCCATATCATTTGACGGAGTCACCTGTTCTACTTGTTTTGGCATTGAAATTTTTTGAAAAGTTACAGGGTGCTAACATTTCTCTGCTGGATTCAAGTAACGTCAAACTTGAATCTGACGCTCTGGTTGAAAATTCGTTTGATAGTGAGAGCATCAGAAAGGATGATCCACATTCTTTCATAGTGGGTGCACTGTGTTGGTGGAGAGCTAGAGCTTTGCAAGTCCAACAATCCCTTTTGCCTGACGTATCTTCAGAGTTGACTTCACTTTCATTGTTGTTACTTTCTAACAAGACAGTTGATTCTCTAGTAAATCAGTCGACACCTAATTCAGAAACTAACCAAAGCTTACTCATTGAATACTACTTAGAAAAAGCAAACATTTCGATTGCTGGTGAACTGGAATCACAAACCTTGGAAGCGATATTAAATGCAAATAAAGTGTCGGGCCTCTCACTAATTCTTACAGGTTGTAAAGCCAAGATGACTAAATACCAACAAAAGTCTACAGCAACGTTAACGGTACTTGCAAAATCACATGATGCATTGCTTAGATCAGAACAAAACGAGCAAAGCTTCAACCCTCAGGATGTGAAATTGAATGACGATCTTTTTCTAGAAATGCCACAGTATGATTCTTTGGGAGACTCCGAGCTGCTTAATCAAAATGAAAGCGAAGACAACGAATTTATAAAAAGAATAAAACTTGATTTTTCTAGTTTGGCTTCTTTTGAAAGCTCATTGCCGTCAACAAAAGACAAGCTATTGCCAACTGCAACCAATGAGTCTGACATCCCTGAAAAACTTTCCGATATTGATTGTAACAAACAACCACGCCTTGCGAATTTAGATTACGTCCAATTGATCCTAAGGATGCAAGCTATTTTAAATAACACTCCATCAGATAATGCTCTAGTTAATGAAGAATTAATTGCCATCATTCAAAGAATTTTGTTTACTACAGAAAATACTGTAAACTGGCTAGTTTTTTCAAGAGCTTTATGGTACCGGTCATTATTGGAAACAGCAAGACCTCGCACAGTAGAGAGAGGTATTTTACAGTTATACTCTTTGGTGGAAGAATTAGGTGTTACTGGTGACAAAACAGCAAGATTGTTTCCGAAGACCGAAGATGAGGTTAAATTTTCAGAAGAATTCAAAAACTTGACAAGTATCGAGAAACCTTTAATCAACTCCATAAGGCTAAGATACATTTACTTGATACCGCTAATGCCAAAATGGTCAATGGATTCTAAGCTTGCTGAAAAACTTGTCGAGCTAGGGGCTTTCAAAAGTGCTCTTGAAATCTATGAACGACTAGAAAAATGGGCCGATGTGGCTTTATGTTACGCTTCAACTGGTGATAAGGCACGTAGTATAATGTTCATTAAGAAAGCATTGGATAAAGATCCTAAAGATGCTAGGTCATGGTCCGTACTCGGAGATATCGAGAGTAATCCCGAATATTGGAATAAAGCATGGGAGGTAGGTAGATATGCAAATTCCAAGAGAAGTTTGGCAAAATATTATTACAACCCGCCTAAAGATTCCGGTGTCACCAAAGATCTACAAAAGGCAATCGATAATATGTTTGAATGTCTTACTGCCAATCCTATTAACTTCGACAACTGGTTTTTTTATGGTTGCATGGGTTTAGAAAGTGGCAACTACGAGCTTGCAGCCGAAGCTTTTACTAGGTGTGTATCTCTAGATGATACCAACTCATACTCTTGGTCAAACTTAGCCTCAGCGCTTATACAACTTGATAAACTTTCAGAAGCTTTCACCGCATTACAAAAATCAGTCAATTCTGGAGATTCTGCAAAAAAGTCGTGGAAGATTTGGGAAAACTACATGCTTGTAGCTGTTAAGCTAGGCAAATGGGATGACGTTCTATACTCTTCTATTATTCTTTTGAATCGTAAAAAAGAGTTAGAGCATGATGATTCTTCAATTGATTTACCAGTCCTAGAAAAACTTGCTGAATTATTGATTTCGGAGCCATTAGATGCCAGTAAAAGAGAAACTTATTATCAAAAAACCTGCACCCAGTTCATATGTGAAATGATTCCAACTGTTGTGCTCCATGATGCCAGAATATGGAGAATTGTTGCTAAAGTTGATTTATGGAGGAATAAACCCTGGCTAGCCCTTGAGGATTATGAAAAAGCGTATCGTGCAGTAACGAATAATCCAGATTTGAGTACTGATGAAAACATTTGGAAAGATGCGGTTGAAGCTTGTACAGAATTGATTTCCGCATACGAAAACTTTGGCGAATTAGAAGGAAGACATGGTGCTGGAGATCTCGTTTGTAAAGACTGGAAGTTCAAAGCAAAAAGCACAGTCAGAAGTTTACTTTCGAAAGGTAAATCTACCTGGGAATACACTGATGGTTACGAAAAACTACAAGAACTCAAAGCGGAAATCATGAACCTCTAATTTAATCATATATATATAAGCTATATCTCATGTTTTTTTGTTTATAAAACCTTCTGTTCAACTTTTCCTTCCTCATCATCTGAAAAGAACTCTCCTTCAACACTTAAGTTTTCCTTCATTGAAGTAGTCGAAAAATTCTCTGCTTAAAACATACCCAGTAATGAGTGATCTTATATGGTACAAATTTGTGGTTAAATCCCAGGTCTATCACTTTCATTATTTTATAAACTGCAATTCTACTAGCTTCGGAGTTATCCATTTTAAGGCCCCATACAAAAATGTAAAGGAAAAAGACATAGTAGGAATTGTTGTGATATGATTCATTCAATAGTAATCCAATAATGAAGATGTCAACAAATGCAGAGAAAATCAAGCAAGGGTTCTTTATATAGCTAATGAATGGTGCCAACGCTACTGAAAAGTGGGACTGTGGGTATGCTTCAAACACAAGAAAACAACTAATATTCAAAATAGAGTAGATTGCAAACGGGACCAATTTAAAGAATGATTCATTTGTAGCTGTCCAAAGAAAGGCAGAAATGATAAGCTGTACGTTTTCGGTTTTTAGAATATAACTAATAAGAATCCTACCACCTGCTTCATTTTGCTCAAAAGTTTCTTCACACAAATATCGTTTGTAGATAACGATCGTGTAAGTTAAAATACAGCTATAATTGGTTAATTTGTACCATGGAATGACAGACAAAAAATGCTTCTCGGGATTGAATACCCAAGCGGAATACATGAAGAACCCCAAAAGTGTGTTTATATGAGATAAAAACCATAGCAATTGGTATTTATCTTGAAACAACGTGAAGGCCAACAGGGATTTGGTTTTTGGAGAGATTCCGCTATACAAACTTTGAATACTGCCAGTGGTAGGCGATTTCATTGCTGTTGAAAAGGAAACACCTTAAATATCCTCAAATCAAACAAAACTAACATAAACAGTTAAAGAAAAGGGATAATTCGAAAGTTATATACAGGTTACCCGAAAAGGGAGAAAAATAAAAACGATTCATGTTGCCCTTAATTGGTAGCTTTATTTGAATCGCCTTCATCTGCCTTTGAAGAAAGCTTAGGAGTTTCCTCAGAGAACTCGATTTCTTTCTTGTATTCGGCAGGTGCATTCTTGGCATGGTGCCCTATAAGTTTTTTAAGAGATTCAGGAATATCTTCGAAAACTAGATCTGTAGTATCAGTTCTGATGTTTTCACCCTGTGCCTTCATTATATCTTCAAGCTTAATTCTGTGATCAGAAAATATTTTCAAGTGATCAGAAACCAGGTGTCTAAATTTACACCCAGGACATTGAACGAGAATAGTCCCATGTTGGTAGGCTTGTTTTGACATTACATGTGATGATCTGGTATCACATTTTTTACAAGTAAAAGCCAACATGAGCATCGGCTTGTCCATCTTCAGTGTATTTCTGTCCGCAATTCCAGCATGATTGTGAGAGTGATTGTGGTTGTGTGTGTGGCCGGAACATGGGGTGCCGTTGTGAGTGTGACTGTGTCCTCCATCGGACTGGTCTTCGGCATTGCGAATAGGATAGTACGATGTAAAATATCTTGGAGAAGGAATCAACCCTCCTAACCTTTTTGGGACAACATTATCAAGTTTCAGAATCCTTCTCAGCATTATCATTAATTTCTCAGTATGGTAAACTGACTAGACTAGGTATTCGTCATTTTAGGTATCCTTCTCAAATAAGAGTGAATCATAGAACCTCTTACTGAAAAATGTGAATTCTTTACTGAGAGCGTTAGCGAGAGATGACATCGGTGCACCGTTTATTTCCTGCATAAATATTTTTTTCGAGCTACATGATTTCTTCTGCACAATAACTCGAGTACCAAAAGAGATATATTTCACCCTAGAAAAGGTTTTTGGGTTTCAATACTTGAAGGCAAACTTCATAGACATCAATATGAATATACAGAGTATGGGTAGTTTAGTTCTTTGGCCCAGAAGTCTGATATACATACGATCGTCTCGATTTTATTCATCGAAAGTTTCTTCAGATGAAAAATTATTGAATAGTATACTGAATGAGCAGCCGGAGAATGATACTACTGAAACTTACAACCAACAACCACCTAGCACCTATAGGAAAAATTCACTGCTTTCTGTGCCTCAGAAAAATAATGCTTTCGCTGATTCTGGTGACAAAACATCGAAACCGCTACCGATAGGACCGAAGTACTGGAAGAATAAGTTTCGGAAGTCGTATCGAAAAGTGGAAAAAGGACTCATGTCCCCATTGGACGAGTACGTGTCAAACAATATAGAAGTAATAGAATCTTATAATAAAAAGTACAAGCAATCTGTCGAAGAACGGATAAAGGTTGATTTCAAGAAGGAATTACATTGGAACGATGTGATACCTAATCATTCTTTACGAAAAGCTATTTTGCGATATTTGGCTTCACAAAATAATGCGTCAACAAATGACAACAGGTTCACTTCTTTTCAAAAGCGATTCTTTGCGTTGATGTCATGTTTTGCAAGCACTGTTGCCAAGGGTCCATCTGGAAGTGGCAAGTCGTTTGCACTTCTCATCCATGCTCTTTCCATTCGCCGATCGCATACTAGGGGAAAGGGAATAAATTCCTTGATTGTGGTTAAATCTAACTCGTTAGTTCGTCAGTACGAACAATTAACCAATGATATTCTTGCCAAAATGGATAGCAAACAGAAAGTGAATGTGAAGCTTGTTTCACAGTTCTTATATAGAGGCACCCCACTGGAAGAAATGAAGCAAGATGATGACTTGACTGATTATCAAACACCACATATTTTAGTCACTACTCCGCAAAGACTTTTGGATGTTTTGAGCAGCAGGGGAATGGATTTTGTGAAAATAAACTCACTGTCATACATTGGCGTTGATGATTTTACTTCAATGTTGGACGAGAATCAATTGCTTGAAACTCAAAAGAAGTCGCCAGTTGTCAACTTACTAGATTATGTTCTGAAACTACAAGATTACAGACGTCAGCACAATGATCCCCACCCACAGGTCGTCTTAATGGTGGAAGAATCAGCAACTGAATCTTTGATTCTACAGCTCAAAGAGTATACTAAATGGATTGACTGGAGAAAATTTGCGCTAATAGGGAAGTTCGGAGAAGAGGAAGATATCCCTTATTACAAATATATCGCTAATAAATCTGCAGTAAGCACTGTTTTAGTTTATCCTAGATTTTCACAAGATGGTGTCAAGGGAAATTCTACAAGCAGAAGATTCAAGGTGAATCTATACGATATGAAACCATTTGATTATGGGAGTACCTCAAGTACCTGGTTGAACAAGCTTTACAGGGAAAGTTTTGGGAACTCCCTGGTTTACAAGAAACATCGGAATTCCAAATGGTCAAGTATTCCCAATGTTGTCAAGAAAGGGGAACTGGAGATTTTATGTTCAGGACTCGGTAAACTATTGAAAAAGAAAAATATCATACAGTGGATTGGAAAAAATCGTGCATTGGTTGTACATCCCGATGAAGTCAATTCCAAGCAGGTTGTGGATATTCTTTCTAGTAAAACTAGGCGAAAAGTTAAAGTCTTTGACATCTATAAAGACGCCAAAATCTTTAGGACAAGATTCTCAGATGAGGACGAAGATGATTCTCAATTATTTGCCATAAATGCTTCATCTCTTACAGGGTTGAACTTTCCTGGATTAAGCACAATTTTTGTTTTGGGTATTGACTCCATAAAATCCGAGTCTCATTTGTCAACAATAATGGGTAGAGCAAGAACGTCAGACGGATTAGTTCCGGAGAAGGAGTATACTATATTTTCAGAAAGGACCAATTCAAGTGTGGACGAGAAAGAGGATATCAGAGCACGTACATTTATAATTACCGCAATGTTGCCCGACTCCACTATTGACCCTTATGATAGGAACTTCTTGGAGCGGGCCTACCTTGTCAATGGATTGGTGAATCAAGTTGATGCTATTGGAGTGCAAGAAAATTGGACAGATAAAGAAAAAAAAGATTATAAGTTGGCAATTGAAGGGTCGGCGTCAGCTTATAAGGATGATGTGAATATAGAGTTCGGTGGTTTGGGAAATTTTGTTGAGCATATTTCTAATATCAGTAACTCGGCGAACAAGGAATAGCCAGATACTTCTTGAGCAGTTATTCACCATTGTGAAGTGTCAATTCTCGCAGCATAATTTATACATGTACATACATAACTAATTTACTATACAAGGCTAGATTATTGAGACTACTAACTGGTCATCTTTTTTGTTGCTTTAGTAAAAACTCTGTAGCTTCATTTCGTAACTCCTTAGGAACATTGTACATTTTTTTGCCTAAATCATACTCATGATTAATTTCAGTTTCTTTCCCTCCGGCATTCTGCAGCTGTTGTAAGCGTTCTACTAGTGTGTTTAGCTTGACCTCTACTTGAGAACAAGTAGTTCTGATTCCATGAATTTCATCTTGAGTTTCAGACAACTTTTTCTGCATACTCAGGATAAGGGTCTCTCGGCTTTGGTGTAATCGGTAAGAGTTAAGCAAGTGATGTATATTGATCAAGATGGTACGAATGTTATCAATCTTTTTGGCAGCTAGTTTAGGATTTGAAGAGAGTAAGCCGACCAACTCAAGAAAATTGAGAAGAAGGGATTTAGTCATCTTTTTCAATTCATCAATACGAGCCTTTGTAAAAACCTCTTCCTCTTCTTCTTCTTCAATATATGCTTTAGTGAGATTATCTTCTGTTTTTGATTCTCCTTCTTTCGTAGTTTCTTTAATCGTCTCAGAATCTCCGTATATTTGTTCAATTCCACTTTCTTTTAAACTTACCTGTTTATCCTCAAACCACCATAGATCTCCAAAACTTCGATATTGCTCCTTTGTGGGAAGCTTAGGACGGACAAGAAATTTTATGTCTGGAATTTCCTCTAGCTGCTCATCATTTAGACCTTCTTTTCGAAGTTCGTTGAACTTTTTAACATTTGTATGTGTGAAAAGTTTGTAGTAAGGTGGGGGTGGTGGGTATAGAGCAGATATTTCAGAGCTGTCAGCCATTTTCAATGGATGTTACCTTTCTATATGTCTTTTGGTCAGCTCATTGACTCAGCTTATTTGGAAAACTCATAACCCGTGTAAATAGCATTAGTTGGTAACTAATAGCCACTTTCTTATTTTCAACGCGCATATCCATGTGTTGAGAGTCTTTTTTGACAGTGCTCACCATTGAAGTGAGCATCCACAAACAGGCATTCTACTTTGCCCCCATACTGCGACACAGTTTATTCTAACTTAAGGATCAGTGAGCAATACTGGATTGATTTTGTTTGGAAAAGATGTCTGAACACATGGATATTGAGAATGAAAATGAAAATGATAGCCAAAGTGAAGTCATAGGTGAACTCCCTGAGGGAAAAAAAATAGACGAAAACAAGAGTAATTCAAAGAAAAAGAGATTTGAAATCAAAAGATGGACCGCAGTTGCATTCTGGTCGTGGGACCAGACCAATGAAACATGTGCTATTTGCCGAAACCACTTGATGGAACCATGCATTGAGTGTCAAGGTAAAAATGAGGATCATGGAGTAGGGACTCACATCGAATGCCCAAGAGCTATTGGTCGCTGTAATCACAGCTTTCACTTGCACTGCATCTCAACATGGATTCAAACGAGAAACTCCTGTCCATTAGACAGTGCCGAATGGTCTTTGAAAGAGGTGGTAAATAACTGAAAAATTACTAAAGATGAAACTCCTCAACCTTTTTTTAAGTTTGTGAATAGGTCTGAAAAATGACGGTCATGAACCTTGGTCTTCATTAGCAAGCGCAAGAGAAGAAATTACGCGGCATCTGAAAGGGATCAAGTGCTGATCGTCCTTTCTGCTTGTGTCTGGGGATCGTAAATGGTCCCAGTATAGCTCGACAAAACTCTCTACAGCTTTATATCTTTGTATCTAAGATTATGAATAAATGATTGTAAATGGTTGCAACTACTTTGACTAAATAGTATATGAGGGAAATAAACTCAAATATCTGGTATCGTTCTATACGACACAACAATATTTTTCTGTTTGCTAGGGGTTCCGTGGGAGTTGTCGATGTTGATGTCGTTACCTTTCTCAGGAGTATACCTGTTGCTGAAGAACCTTAGTGCACACAAAATAAAAGATACTGCAGGTATGATTGTGTTGATTAATATGAGAAAATCATTTTCGAATAGAATAACTACCGTGCTCGGGAGGGCAGGCGTGAAGGGGCAACCCATTAGCAAGATCAGCAACCAAGTTATTCCAGTTACAAGTGATTTGAAAAGATGTAAAGTTGAACAATGCGAGCACGCATGCATGCTCACTAAATTGATTGATGTTGCAAGAAGGAAGTTCAACACCGGGCTAATGTTATAGTTGTGAGCTGAAGCACTGTTCAGGGTGACAACAGGGGCAGCGTTTGAGGGAGGCACTGCCGATAGCGCCAACAAGGTGGCCATTATGGGGGACGTTTTAGATGATCTCAAGGAAGGTCTGCCGGTGGGAAGGTACTCGATGAGTGAGGGAGAGTAACTGTTGTAGGCCGGTCCTTTCTCTTTTGTGGTTATGGGGTGCAGATCGCTTCTTGCCGGGATTTGCTGCTGAGAAGACTGCATGTGAGGAGATAGGATGTCGTCGATTTTGAATAGCAGCAGGTCGGTTGATCTCTTCGATAGGCTGGTCAGTGCTGGAGAGATGGAGATTGAGTTTGAGAGTGAGTTTGTGAAGTTGTTTATGAGTGACGAGCCGGAGTGTGGTCGGGAGGGAATGTCCTGTGCGGACGACGAGAAAAGGGCCGAACTGCCACCTAGACTGGACCTATCGGCGGATCTTCTGCGGAACCGCAGCTGGCTAAGTAGAGACACGGCGTATATGAAGAAAGAGCAGCACGAGAAGAGAGACAGCTTTTTGTCTGTGGTGTAGTAGTGGTGGGCGTATAGCCAGTACTGGAGCAGACTCAGCCCGTTCGATAGCGCCAACGAGTGGCATGGCGTGGCTGCCGACAGCGAGACGGCGAGGTCTGATAGCGGGATCACCAGCAGAATGGACAGCCTCACCACGAGCGGGTAGAACGTGCACATTACTCGGCGGTGTGGCTTGGCCCGAAGCTGTGTTTCCAACAGCAGGGACTCCTACAGGCCATCAAAATGATGCAGACGGTAAAGAAGCAGGATACACACAGACCTGTGTGCCACGGACAGACCACAAGGAATGCATATCCTCACAAACAGCAGTCGGGGCTTGTTATAGCCGGCGCCAGAGCACTCAGTGTTTCCAGTGTGGCTGTCAACTTCCTCCGATAGCAACCACGAGAAAAACACGGGAACACAAACGCACCCATTTTCGGCACCCCCGGACAGATATACTTCTTTCTCCAACTGTTATCTGGCCATCTTGCTATCTCTCTTATCTCTGTATCTTCTTATCTCTCGCTCTGCTGCCCCCCGGGCGTCGCATGCGCCACACGCGAAGTTAGCCCGAGGAATCCGCCAGGCCCATCCGTGGTGGGGGGATTCCGCGGGTGCCAGGCCGATCGGCGGAAAAGACGGCTGGCAGACGACGGCGGGCTTGTTGATGTCAGAGTTCCCCGTTGCTCCAATTTGGGGGAGGCGTCTGGGGCGAGCGGGTGGGCTCGAGATCACCGCGGGAACGCAGGCTGGATTGCAACTCTGGAGGGATGCAGCCGGTGTGTAGCTGCGGTGGTGGACGGCGACAGTTAATAGCAGTGAGGGCATTGGGTGCAGCAGGAGAGAGGTAACAACAGCAGGACTGCAGAGAAGGGAAAGAGCGATCAGTACGGTAAAGAAAATCTACAAGGAACAATGGATGAGACGTTGATCACAACTATCAACAAGCTTCAAGATGCGTTGGCACCTTTAGGGGGCGGCTCAACATCTCCAATCGACTTGCCGCAGATCACTGTGGTTGGTTCGCAGTCCTCCGGTAAGTCTTCTGTGTTGGAAAACATTGTCGGGAGAGAGTTCTTGCCACGGGGAACGGGTATTGTCACAAGAAGACCTTTGGTTTTACAGCTCATCAACAGAAGACCTGCCAAGCAGTCCGCGGCCAGCAACACGGACTTGTTGGACTTGCAGACGCACGACAGCAAGGGGAACAAGACGGAGAACAACGCCGACGAGTGGGGAGAGTTCTTGCACTTGCCGGGGAAGAAGTTCTACAACTTCGACGACATCCGGAGCGAGATCGTCAAGGCGACCGACTCGACAGCAGGCAAGAATGCGGGCATCTCCCCGGTGCCAATCAACCTCAGAATCTACTCGCCACACGTGTTGACGTTGACGTTGGTTGACTTGCCCGGCTTGACCAAGGTGCCCGTGGGCGACCAGCCCGTGGACATCGAGAAGCAGATCAGAGAAATGATCTTGAAGTTCATCTCCAAGCCCAACGCCATCATCTTGGCCGTCAATGCTGCCAACCAGGATTTGGCGAACTCGGATGGGTTGAAGTTGGCGAGAGAAGTCGATCCGGAAGGAATGAGAACCATCGGTGTCTTGACCAAGGTCGACTTGATGGACCAGGGCACCGACGTCATTGACATCTTGGCCGGCAGAGTCATTCCTTTGAGATCAGGGTACGTTCCAGTCATCAACAGGGGCCAGAAGGACATAGAAAACCACAAGACAATCAGAGCAGCTTTAGAGGACGAACGTAGATTCTTTGAAGACCACCCTTCCTACAGTTCCAAGGCCCAATACTGTGGTACTCCGTTTTTGGCCAAGAAGTTAAATAACATTCTTTTGAGTCACATCAGGGCAACTTTGCCCGAAATCAAGGCTAAGATTGAAACTGCGTTGAAGAAGTATCAGAACGAGCTCTCGGCCTTGGGTCCCGAGACTGTCGAATCTCCTTCTTCTACCGTTTTGAGTGTCATTACAGACTTCTGTAACGACTACAACGGTGTGCTAGACGGTCAAACAAAAGATATCTCATCGAACGAACTTAGCGGTGGTGCCCGTATCAGTTTTGTGTTCCACGAGGTGTTTAAAAATGGTGTCTACGCGCTTGATCCTTTCGACCGTATCAAGGATGCAGACATTAGAACAATAATGTACAACTCGTCTGGTTCGTCTCCTTCGCTTTTTGTTGGCACTGCTGCCTTCGAGGTTTTAGTCAAGCAGCAAATCAAGAGATTCGAAGAACCATCTCTGCGTTGTATTTCCTTGGTTTTCGACGAATTGGTAAGAATTCTTTCCCAAGTTCTAGCCCAACCTGAATATTCCAGATTCCCTGCCTTGAAAGAACGCATATCGCAAGTTTTCACCATATTTTTGCGTGAAATTATGAGTCCTACAAACACCTTTGTCACTGACATAATCCACGCTGAAGAGTGTTACATCAATACTGCTCACCCAGATCTCTTGAAGGGTTCCGAAGCAGTGGCAATGGTCAATGAGAAAGTTCATCCACGCGCTCCAGCTGTCCAGGTCGACCCAAAGACTGGTAAGCCTCTCAAAAACAGCGCCTCATCAAGCAGTGCCAATGCAAGTGGCAACAGTGCAAATGCAGTGGTGGCAGAAGAAGACAAGTCCGGCTTTTTCTCAGGTTTCTTCAGTACTCGTAACAAGAAGAAACTTGCTGCCATGGAGGCTCCACCAGCGGTTTTGAAGGCTACAGGTGGAATGAGTGACAAGGAAGTCATTGAGACAGAAGTTATCAAATTGCTCATTTCCAGTTACTTTGGAATTGTCAAGCGTACAGTTGCAGACTTGGTGCCGAAGGCCGTCATGTTGAAGTTGATCCAGCAGAGTCGTTCTGATATTCAGAAGGTTTTGCTAGAAAAGCTGTATGCAGACAAGAACATCGAAAGTTTGGTGAAGGAAAACGATTTTACAGTTGCACGTAGAAAGGAATGCAAGAAAATGGTGGAGGTTTTGCGTAATGCTGCCGAGATTGTCACCAGCGTCTGATGAATCTGGACAGATCACAGTACTTTATTAGTTGATACGATATACGTCTCTGTAGATGTGTATGTGTTTATGTATATGTTAACGTAACGGCCATACTGAGAGGTGCAACCAAACCGAGGGAACTCATTATGCGGAAGGCCGGACCTGTGCACTGAAATCCGAGATTTGCCTAGCTAACGCGCAGGAGCGAGCAGAGCAGTTGGCAGAAGGGCAAAACATCAGGCAGCTACGTATACCGTATGAAGGGCTGGAAGAAAGCATGGAGGGGGATAGACACAGGCCCTTTTCTTGACATCCCTAGCTAAGCCATACGACAGCTCAGTCATACCACGAAGTAATGCTGAGTTCTTTGAGAGGTTTCAGGCCAGTGTTACCTGGCCAGGCATGTCTCAAGCTAGTTATACAAAAGGCGCCTAGTAATAAAAGTGTCAAAAGTGGACTACATTCATCCAGATTGTTCAGTTCGTTAAACTCCTCATACACCACTCAAAAAAGGTTGTCGAAAATATACACCTTTTATTCAAAGAACTCACAAAAGTCCAGAGTCCAGCTTGGAATCAGCAATTTGAACAATAAGAGATTCAATTCTTCCGGACCTCATCATCCGAAGTATAACTCCCGTGGTGAAAGAGAATATACAGATGAAGAAGCTGAAGAGATTTTAAAGGACTTAAAGCACATTTGGAAAGATCAAACAGTTTCTCAAAACCAAAAAGTCATTGAACTTTTTAACAAGTATGAAATGGGCGGATTGATTTCACCGTCAGCAAGCAAGATAGTTTCTGCTATCTTGAGGGACTCAGAAGCTACTGTTCCGGGAGAAAAGGTTGAAAATGTGCAAAAGTTTCACCAAGCATTAATGCATTATCATATGCACAAGCAAATGAAGCACAACAATGAGGAAGATCCTGTGTTCAATCCAAAAAAGGATGAAACTGATGCTGGCTCTAAGAAGGCAGAAAAAGAGGAGGACCAGAAGGATGCAAAACTGAAGGATGACAAGCCCTTTGGCTTCAAAATTGAAGTTGAGAAGCCAAAAGATGGTAAGCAAAAACCTTTTGAATTTAGAAGCCGTCAATCAAAAGATAACGGCACGAAGTTTTTAGAAATGGAGATAAGGCTAGATACGATTTTATTATGGCTTGTTGCCGGTGGTTTGTTAGTTTATACCTTTCTTGCCGAAAGCTTTGAGAAAGAAATCACTTTTCAGGAGTTTGAGACATCATTATTAAGTAAAGGTTACGTTGATAAGCTAGTTGTCGTCAATAATGAAACGGTTCAAGTTATTCTCAATGATTTTGGTAAAAACCAACCAATTCATGATTCTAATGTCGAATATTATTTTACTATCGGATCAATCGATAAGTTTGAAGAAAAGTTGAAGAGATCACAAGAGGCATACAATATCCCTGAAGAGAAGAGAGTGCCAGTGATGTACATTCGCTCCACAAATATTTGGAAAAGTTTATGGAGTATTCTGCCTACTGTTTTACTATTTGGTTTCATATTCTGGTCAACTAAAAAACTGCTATCAAGTTCCGGTGGAATGAGTGGCGGTCTTTTTGGGAACAAAAAAACTTTCAAGAAGTTCAATGCTGATGAAAATGTTAAAATCACCTTTAACGATGTTGCAGGTTGTAACGAAGCAAAGGAAGAGATTATGGAATTTGTTAACTTCCTCAAGCACCCTCAAAAGTACGAACGACTTGGAGCTAAGATCCCAAGGGGTGCAATCTTGAATGGTCCTCCAGGAACTGGTAAGACCTTACTTGCTAAGGCCACTGCCGGTGAAGCCGGCGTTCCATTTTATTCTGTTTCTGGTTCTGAATTCGTTGAAATGTTTGTCGGTGTTGGTGCTTCGCGTGTTCGTGAGTTATTCAAAACAGCTAGAGAAAATGCCCCCTCGATTGTTTTCGTTGATGAAATCGATGCCATCGGTAAATCCAGAGGTAAATCTAAGGGTATGGGTGGTAACGATGAACGTGAAAACACCTTGAATCAGCTCCTCGTTGAGATGGACGGTTTCAAGTCAGATGACCATGTTGTTGTCTTTGCTGGTACTAACCGTATTGATGTTTTGGACCCAGCTTTGTTGAGACCAGGTAGGTTTGATCGTAAGATTTATATTGGTAATCCTGAACTGGATGGTAGAAAGGATATTTTTGGTGTTCATTTGAAGGAAATCAAGCTAGATCCCAAATGTGACTTGGAAGATTTGAAGGGTCGTTTGGCCACTCTCACTCCTGGATTCAGCGGTGCTGATATTGCTAATGTTTGTAACGAAGCAGCTTTGATTGCCGCAAGGAAAAACGACCAATTTGTTAGACAACCACATTTTGAACAAGCAATTGAACGTGTCATTGGTGGCATTGAAAGAAAGACTAAGCTTCTTTCACCAGAAGAGAAGCGTGTTGTTGCATATCACGAAGCTGGACATGCTATTTGTGGTTGGTTCCTTGAATTTGCAGACCCATTGTTGAAAGTTTCAATTGTCCCAAGAGGTCAAGGTGCACTTGGTTATGCACAGTACCTACCTCCGGATGTATATCTATACACTACTCACAAGTTACTAGATCGGATGACCATGACTCTTGGAGGACGTGTTTCCGAAGAGTTACATTTTGATTCTGTCACATCCGGTGCTGCCGACGACTTTGAGAAGGTCACAAGCATGGCACAAAAGATGGTTCTTGCATGTGGGTTGTCTCCAAAGGTGGGGTTGGTCAGCTACGATATGGATAGAGGAAACGATTTTACTAAGCCTTTCAGTGACAAGACTGCCTCTGTTATTGATGACGAAATCCACCGTATTGTCAGCGAATGCCACGAGCGTTGTCGTAAATTATTAACTGAGAAGAGTGCTGACGTGGAAAAGGTTGCAGAACGCCTATTGGCAAAAGAAGTCATCACTAGAGAGGACATGATTGAGTTACTGGGTAAGAGGCCTTTCCCTAACAGAAACGACGCTTTCGACAAGTATCTTGAGGGGAAGCTCACTGAAGAGCCTGCGAATGAAGAGAAAGACGACAAAAAGAATGAAGATGGCGAAGGAGAGGCAAAGAAGGAGTAAGGCTAGGGCGAAATACTAAAAAATAACGAGGTGGACGAGAAGCTGTAAGTTTGAACTAGCAGTCTTGTGTCACGGCTATGATGGTATCTTTTTTGAGAATTTCCATTTCCCGGAACTCCACTTGCCGTCGTCCCCTCTGCAAATCCCCCTCCCGTCGAACCTGTACATACTATATATTAAAATGATAGATAATAGAACAAAATAACATTTTTTTCTGTACTTTAAGCGAAGTGAAGTTGAGACATCCGTTTAGGGAAATCCTCGCGGTTTCTGTGCAGACTGAGACAGTCTGAGGAAGGATTAAGAGTGGGAAGGAAACCGGCACCGGCAATTGTGTGGTTTTAGTCGGTATCTTGTGGGAGAGAGCTTCAGCTTCGACGTGCAGTCTCTCGGTGAACAGGACAAATTGGACAGAATTAATTGTGGTAGCAGCTTGCCGGTCACATCTCTATTGGCTGATTTTTTTTGCCTGAAAAATGACCGCAGAAACAACGTTAACGTCACCCGTCAGCCAGAAAACACAGCAGTTGAATCGGTCTGCGGGTATGCTGAGTCATGCATCGACTTCACAGTCCCCTCCAATGCCATCAATTCCTACAGGTCTGGCATCTGCAAATAGTCCCATTTCGGATAGGGCAGAGTATGCCTCGACGAGGAAGAGGTCTGCAGCAGATTTCCAGTTTTTGCAATGTATAGGAGAAGGTTCATACTCAAAAGTTTATCGTGCAGTGTCAAAGAAAAATGTACACACCTACGCCATCAAGATTTTAAACAAACAGCATATACATAAAGAGAAAAAGCGAAAGTATGTGACAATTGAAAAGAACACCTTAAACCTTCTAGGGAAACATCCCGGGATCGTCACGCTATACTACACCTTCCAAGATCCTAAAAGTCTATACTTTGTAATAGATTTTGCACAAAACGGAGAATTGTTAAATCTGATACATAAGCTGGGGAGTCTCAGTGTGGAATTATCAAAATACTATACCATTCAACTTATAGATACAATTGCCTTCATACATGGAAAGGGCATAATTCACAGGGATTTGAAGCCAGAGAATATTCTACTCGGCAGTGACTGGAAATTGATGATAACCGACTTCGGAGCAGCCAAATTTCTAGATGAAACGAGACAACCACTAGGTAAAGTCATAGGACCTGAAGAGAATGAGGATTCAACTGATAGTCTTGGCTCTTTTGTCGGAACAGCAGAGTACATTTCCCCGGAATTGTTGAAGTACAACCAGTCGAGTTTTGCCAGTGATTTTTGGTCCTTGGGATGTATAATTTATCAGATGTTTGTTGGAATTCCTCCATTCAAGGCTTCCAATGAGTACGAAACATTTGAAAGAATTGTGGAACTAAACTATTCTTTCCCTGATCCCCACAAATTTCCTGTGCCTTCTTACGTGGTTGACTTGGTTCGTCATTTGTTGATCGAAGACCCAAACCAAAGATTCGGTTCTGAAAGCGTAATGGCACACACGTGGTTTATAGACATTGATTGGCAAGATAAAAGCAAGCTATGGGGGCCGGTCCCGAAGCTCGAACCTTATAAACCAGAAAAACATTTCAGACTGAAACGAGCACAACTCCCATCAGAACCTCAGCAAGTGCAAAATGTAAATAATGTACAGAAGCATACAAATTCCAGTATACAGCCAGGTGGTAAACATCCACCTTACGCAATGAATTCAACGCAAACCAGAAGCCCAGTGAAGCGTGTTGATGTTGATTATATCAATGATAAACCAAGGACAGTTTTGAAGAAGCAAATAATAAATGCCCAAAACAATACCCATCTTATGAACAAGGTTTTGAACAATAGAATTAATGAAAAAAGTACTATTATTACTAAAAAATTAGCCAACCCAAGCACAGGCTCTTCCACTACCCTCAATTATACTGCTCAAGCTTTATCCAATGGGAGGTCAGATTCTATTGGTTCACTTCAAGTGGACAGGAAACGGGTCGGAAACAAGCCGTCTATACCTCCTTTACCTACGCAGAAAAAGCAAGTATCCTCTCCTCGTCAAAACTCTTTGAGTTCTTTGCTGACGAACAATGACTCCGCTAAGTCGGTAATCATAAATTCGAAAAAGACGAAAACTCCATCAACTACCCCGACAATGCATCCTCTAACGGCGTTTTCGAGCAATAGTACTGTGAGGATTGACCGAAGAGTCTCTACAGATAAGAAATTTCCCAAATCAAATACCAATAATGGCGGGAGCAAACCTATTGATGCTTCACTCGCATCTTCTTCGTATTCTCCGACCATGCCGGTCAAACCTACGATGTCCCCCAAAAGCGGATATACCCAACTACCCTCTTTTATCCAGAAGCCAAGAGTAACATCGTCAGATGCAGCAGCAGCAGCAGGAGCTATTGGTACTCTGCTTACTCATAAACGACACCTAAACTCAACCTCAAGCACGACCACACAATATAAGCAGCTGCACAATCATCAAAAACAATTGATCAATCCTGTACTTTTAGATAGGCAAATACCCGCAATTATCACCTCAAAATTAATGCAGCAGGAAACCATTTTAAAATTAGACAACATTTTCAAAAGCGAGATAAGCCACAAGCCTAATCAGTTTACTGCTCCTGGAGAAACGCTGAACCACTCAGTTTTAGAGAAGCTAATTCATAAATATGAAAGAGATCTTGAGAAAGATCTGAAGGCGTGTGTTCTGGTTATAACAAGTTTTGCTCGTCTATTCATATATGAGCTAAACGATGATTTCCGCTTGCATAATCCTCAAAGTTCAACTCAAATGCAAGCCTTGGACTTTTTCCTGAAAATCATTGAGATCAAGCTGACCAACAAAAACGTGAGTCTTTACGATTATGAGTTTGACGAAGAAATTCACGAGGGATATCTAATTTTGGAATTGGCTAACGTGAATAAGTTGATATTTTTGAGTGCATGGGATAGAAGCAGACTGGTGAAAGGTGGGCTGAACTCAAATGTGCGTGTTGGCTTTCACATCAATGAAAACGAGTCCTGGGTGAAATCTTTTTTGAAGGCAAAGAATTTGCTGAAGAAGAGGGAAGTGGTAGCCCAGAATAATTTGAACAGAAAAGGTGATGGTACACTTACCAAAAAGGAGCAGAAAAAGGACGGTGAAATACAGACCAAGCATCGAAGCGGGTCTACGTCAAGCATGCATCAATCGTTTAGGAAACTGAAACTTAATACACATTCGAAGATTCGTTCTCTTTCCACTTCTTCTGCAAAAGATGGATTTGCACAAACCCAAGCTTCGTCCTCTTCTTCAATTCCTTCTTTTCCTTCGTCCAATGCTAGTGATAACAGCGAGCGTCGTCAAAGTAGTGTAGGTAGTCATAGTGGGAGTATTATGAACGGTGTCAAAGAGTTAGCATTAGGTGTTAGAGCTGGATTCAAAGGTAAAGAGTCCAACCCGAATAATGAAGGTAAAAGGATAAAGTCTGACTCGGATGTGACCAAAACGATTACTAAGGTAGTGCCAAAAGAAACAGTAGGGGTTCACCTTCAGTTCGAAAGAAATACAAGCTCAAAGGACGTCAATGCGGGTTCGCACGCTAAGAGTGGTTCAGTAGTGAATAGGAATGGGAATGGGCAATCGTCAAATAAGAAAACTTTCTCAAACTTACAGACTCGTCAGTCAAGAGAAAAGGTAATGGAAAGAGAAAAAGAAAACCATAAGCGGAGGAGTCAAGATATAGTTTCGACGCAGCAACAATCGAACGGAGAGTCCGGAGCTGCACTGGCGGCTGCCCTGGCTGTGGGTAAAAAGCATTGACTGATGCGTTCTTGCCACATATGGATTCCTTGTTGTTTGCTTCTCCTTCGCAATTCATGCATGTGTATAGTATTTTTCTGTAACGTTTAACTATTTATTTATACATCTATTTATTTATTCGTGTAGCTGCTCTGAATATTTATAAAGTTCCGACAAAGTATTCCACTAAGCTCTTCACGTCTTCTGCTGCACTGTTTGCGCTTTCAAGCACTTCGGCATGGCTAGCCATCCCCTTGGTCTGGTCAACGGCTGTGTAGGTGTCACCTCGAAGGCATGTCTCCTTTGCACTGGCTGGCTTGTCGCCCAATACCGAGTTGGTAATCAAGCTGAGGCCAATGACTTTCATACCACAGTGTCTTGCGACAATGACTTCTGGGACCGTGCTCATGCCGACGGCGTCAGCGCCAAGAAACCTCAGCATCCGGCATTCAGCTCTACTCTCAAAGGTTGGTCCGGAAGCATAGAAATATGTGCCCTCATGAATGGATCTCTTGAGTTCGAGCTTCTGGGAGGCTTCGAACAGTGCGTACCGCAGATGAAAGTCGTAAGCGTCGGATAAGGGCAAGAACCTTGGTCCAAAGTAGTCCAAGTTCAGGCCCCTGAGAGGGTGCTGGCCTGCTAATCCCGGGAAGTTGATGTGGTCGTTGATGACCATGATATCGCCGGTTTTGTAAGTTTCGTTGACTCCACCAGCAGCATTAGTTACGACCAAATACTCCACGCCAAGCAGCTTCGCAACTCTGATAGGGAAGGTGTTGGAGTAAAATGAGTGGCCCTCGTAGTAGTGGAACCGGCCCACCATGCACATCACTGGGGTGGCGTTTCCGCCCAAGTGGCCAAACACCAACTCGCCGTTGTGGCCAGGCACCTTCGGTTCCTTGAAGCCGGGGATGTCCTTGTACTTGATGGACACCCTGTGGTAAGTCTCGTCCTCTTTGAGCAACGACGAAAGGCCGCCTAACCCAGACCCACAGATGATGAGCACCTTTGGTTTCTGGAGTTCGGTATGCGGTTGTAGGTATCCTTTCAAGCATGATGCTGCGAGCTGAAACTCGTGCAGCTGTTCCTCTGGCGACAACTCTGACATGCTACTGATAGATAAGGCTGAGATGGGTGGGAAAAGAGAAAAGGTGAAAGTTAGGTGTAACAGTGGTCTGCTGCTCTTGTTGCTGTTGGTTATGGGGTTAACTGGCAGTCTGGAGAACAACAGGCCTCTGTTCAGTCATCTGCATACCCATTTCCTGTTTCGTGTTTCGTGTCGGCTCTGCAGGCCGTGTAGATAAAAGACGAGAACGAGGATCAGGATGGGCAGCCGGGACGAGGAGGCGAGCAGTCTGGGGAGGGACACAGCCAGGCGAAAAGGACGGTTTTCTTTCTTGAAAGAAGACAGGTGTCGAGGTCGGGACTGGTAAGGGCAACCTGGAAGCGTATAGAACCTGTAAAGAGCCAGAGAGAAACAGAAAATACTGCTGGAGGACACGAGAGCACAGAGCATGGCAGACGAATACACAGACAAACAGCGAGATGTGTCCATGATGGATGTGACGGACCAGACGGAACAGTTTATTGAGCACTCGGAGCAGCACTCCGACATGGAACAGGGTCATGACGAACAGACACCAGGAATCAACGGTCCTAACAGTGGTCTCACTGGCGGAAGGGGGCTCCCGGACACGGGGTTGCGAAGAAAGTCTTCGATTATTTTGTCGGAAGACATGGGGACGAACAAGTTGCTGCCCGGAAGCAAGAGTGAGGACGTGGTGATGGACGAACAGTCAGATATTGGGCAGAATCCGACGACACTTGCACAGCAGCCGCAGCCCGTGCTGGTTCCGACGGTGTTCAAGTGGACGGAGGGCGGCGAGAGAGTGTTTGTGATGGGTACGTTCACTGGGTGGCGGAAGATGATTGCGTTGAACGGGCCCGACCCGAAGGACGGGTCATTTCACGTGCAGATTGCCTTGCCACCGGGGACGCACCGGTTCAAGTTTGTGGTGGACAACGAAGTTAAGTGCTCGGGTTTCATCCCAACGGCGACGGACCACTCAGGCCACCTCGTGAACTACCTCGAAATCTTTCCCACCGAGCACGACCTGACCCGGGACCCGAACAGCAAGTCTCGGGCATCCCTCCGGGCACTGGACTCGAAGCTCGGCCTCACGAAAGACGACGACGACATGGGTGACGGCTATTCTCGTTACTACGACGACCAGGAGGCAAACGCCAACGCTCCGGCGGAGTACATAACGTCTATTCCATCGATATTCACCGACCCGAAGGTCATGGAGGAGTACTATGTCACCTTGGACAACAACGAGAAGAAGGGAAGCTACACGCAGCAGTGGTTGATTCCGCCTCAGCTCCCGCCCCACCTTGAGAACGTCATCCTCAACAGCTACAACAGCAACGACAAGGCCAACACCAGTGGTGCTCTTAACATTCCAAACCACGTTGTCCTCAACCATCTTGCAACTACCTCCATTAAGCACAATACTTTGGCTGTCGCCAGCGTCGTCCGCTACAAGCGCAAGTACGTAACCCAGATCTTGTATGCTCCACTCCAGTGACAGGGCCTGGGTCCTATATCTATATAGTCCTCTTTCGTTCTTTCTTTTCTGTATCAACCAATCCAAGACTCTGATGAATTTACCTAGTGGCCAAATAACTGGCCAACTAGCCTGGCCATGACTAAAGGCTGTTGTCTCGGCAAGGCGCGTAGCGGCGAAAGGTAAACAAGGCCCTTCGGAGACGACATGTTTTTGTCGTGTTGGGGCGTGAAGAGCCTACTTGCAAGCATTCTGCCGGAGGAACAGTACAAGGAACACAGAGAACACCACCGCATACAACACAGCAGAATAAAAATACATGGCAGACACGGGCAGCGTGAAGGAATCGTCGATCTCAGTCGCCGTGAGGGTCCGGCCACTGACGCCAGACGAGAAGGTGCACCTCCAGGAGGAGGAGGAAGAGGAACAACAGTACAATGCTACAGCCGCTGACAACAGCTACGAGGCAAATAATAGTAGTAGCAGTGGAATCGCAAACAAAGAAAACCTTTTTCTGCGAAAACAGAGGATCCGTCCACTTCCAAAACCGCATGCAATCAGGAAGATTTTGGACGTTGTGGACGACAGGATGTTGGTGTTCGACCCTAAGCCAGCGGTGGAGGACGAATTCGAAGCAGGGGAAAGTCATGGCCATGCATATGGGATTGGAAGACGCCGCAGCGTCTCTGGGAGAGGCCTCGGCAACCACAATAGTCGGCACAAGGAGCACAAATTTATTTTCGATAAGTTGTTCGACGAAACATCGACCCAGAACGACATCTACGAAAATACTACTAAGCCCTCAATTGAGGCCGTGCTGGACGGGTACAATTCCACGGTGTTTGCATACGGCGCCACTGGATGTGGAAAAACCTACACTATTTCCGGAACTAGAGATAACCCGGGGATCATATTCTTGGCAGTGCAGGAGCTCTTTTCCAAGATCGAGGATCAGACCGAAAAGGAGATAGAGGTACAGGTCAGTTACTTGGAGATATACAACGAAACCATCAGAGACTTATTGAACATCGAAACAAGTCCGCGGAAGTTGACGCTATTGGAAAACGAAAATAAGGAGATTATTGTGTCTAACCTTACTAAGGTCGACGCCTCGAACGTAGAGGAAGTGATGGATGTGATTGTGCGGGGAAACTTCAACAGAGCGGTCTCCGCAACAGAAGCGAATCTCACCTCGTCGAGGTCTCATGCCGTCATACAGGTTTATATCACCCAAACTCCACACGTCACAGACATTTACGAGAAAAGCACTAAGTCGGTCTTATCTATAATAGATCTTGCCGGCTGTGAGCGTGCAAGTGCCACAAAAAACAAGGGAGCCAGATTGCATGAAGGCGCAAATATCAATAAGTCCCTTTTGGCACTAGGCAATTGCATAAATGCACTATGTGATCTGAAACGGTCAAAGCACATTCCGTACCGAGATTCCAAGCTAACCAGGCTTTTAAAATTTTCCTTGGGCGGCAATTGCAAAACAGTCATGATAGTTTGTGTCTCCCCGAGCTCCAGACATTACGACGAAACCTTGAATGCTCTAAAATTTGCAAACAGAGCAAAGGAGATAAAGACGAAAGTGGTGAGAAATAGAACAACCGTCATGAAACATGTCGGGTCTTACATGAAAATAATCGCCGATCAAAAACGGAAAATATACGAATTAGAGACACTAATGGATTCAACTGTGAAGAGAGAAATCTTGAAGTACGCAGAACAGAGAAGCAATGTCAAAACTCAAATGGGTATTATGATTGATAGGCTTTGGAATAACGTCAGCAAATGCGAACAGTTGAAATCAAACAAAATATATATTGTGGCCAGGAGGAAGATGCTTCTGATATACACTAAGCAACTGATTGATTTTTGCGGAAGCTTGGAAAAATTTGATATCGAAAATAAGACCGTTGTTTTGAGGCAAAGTTTGGGAAAAATTGTTAGTGATATCAAATCCCAGATAGCTTTGATGGAGGAAGAATATAATCAAAGGACCGAATTGGACATTGTCTTGCTGGATACCTCTGATTCTTTCCTTGGTAAACTAAGGGAGTTGGAAAGTTGGTGTGATGAAGACGAGGTATCTTATGCAAAAGAAGTCGAATACTTGAAAACAGACATCGAAAAGCAGATTTTCTACGAATCCTCCGTTTTGTTCGACTCTTGGCTTTCTGAGACAAGTGGAGTAAGCAGTTTGGATTCGATACCTAGTATTCTGGCTCAATTCCTATGTATGATCGAGAACATAGCAAATAATATACAGAACGTGGAAGACGCCAGGATGCAATGCTATCAGCTATCGGATAGCTTGATACAAAACTGTATGCAACAATTGGGACCCGAAATTGACACATATCCACCTGACACCACACACTCAAATAACAGGAAACGCAAGAACAGCGGCAACAACGGTATTGCCAAGACGGATGAATCGGGCGAATTGTCTTTCATTAGACAGGGAAACAGAATAAATTCAATAAATAACAAATTGATGAGGATCAATTTGAATTCAGTGAAAGACGATTCAAAAAACGCCAACATTGACTCACTATCAGAGGTTGAATCTTCACTAATTTTAGAAAATGATAATAAGCCTTCAAGAATCTCGTCCAGAGTTCGCTCATCCTCTCATTCATTACTATTACAGTCCGAATCGACTCCACAAAAGACGGGAATCGTAGACGACTTATCTGGCTACATCTCTCCTGGAGTGATACGGAAGATTGAAAACAATACTGATGATAGCCAGCAGAAGACCACCACGATTGATATCCAGTCTACAATTCCTGAATGGGATGAGTCTAATTCGAGTGTGATAATTAGAAAGGGCTTCGACATCGATGAGGAAAACATCAACCCGGAGAACAAGGACAATATGCTAATACCACATATGCTGGGTTCGCCGTTTAGGTTTATGACGGGGATCAGCAAGGAGGCAACTTCTCCATCTCCCTCACACGTGAGAAAACACAGAAACCACAGCGGGAAGTTGACAACCAAAAAGTTGGTTGCTTCGCCTAGGATAACCAGTCCTCATAGACTGGTAGGGTTAGACTCCAGTAGCAGTAACATGTTTCAGTTCAAGATCAGGGAATCCATGGGGAATATCAAGCACGGCGAAGATGCAGGGAACCCGAATTATGATAGAGACAATGACATTGGCATGGATGTAGAGGTGGTGAAGAATTAAAGAGAAAACTTTGGGTAACGCAATCTCTTTTTGTAAATGTAGCGTGTATTATGTAGTTATGTAGTTGCTTGTAAGGCTTTATGAGTACAAAAATGGGAGAACCGGTCTTGTGCGAAAAATATGGACCTAACACCGGGCCATTATAATTCTTCAGACACTGAGTACATACTAGTAACAGGTTTCATAACGTTTTCCCTTGATTCATGCCATATGATAAAAAAGGTTTCAATTTTCTTTTAAACTACCAAAGAGGTATAAATATATATACTCAAACCACACGATGTAAGTCTGGTACTATGACTCGGAGCGTGAATATTTTTGTCGCTAATTTTATATGTTCCTTCCCCGGAGGTCCTGAATCTTCGTTATGCTTAGGTAAAGAGGAAGAGGTACAACTTGAAGATTATGAAAGTCAATGAATTCGCTTTGAAAGAAACGATACTTACACAAGATGATCAGAGCATTGTGCAAAGCGAATTTACATGAAGGCCAGATGCGGAAACAAGCGGTTGGGATAAAAGGAGGACTGGTACGCCAGTTGCATGTCTCCTCTCGGAAAGGGCAGGTTAACGAAAAAAAGAGTAAGCTTGATGGTGCAACAGACAGAAAATATTACTACGAGATGCCTGGGAACCAGTTGAACCCCCACTCCTATTTCTATCGTGTTCTTGCAGTGCCGTACATGAAGTTTTGCGGAGTCATCATTGCAACATATTACGGCATGTCTGGGTTATGGGAATATCTTGACTCTCGGGACAGGAGAAAGAGCGACCTTCTGTGAAGATATCTTAATCTTATGTAGTTTATTCGTAAACGCAAGTAGCAGCTTTATAAAAGGTGCCAGGAAGAGAAAGGAAAATTAAATCCTGGGAGAGTACTTTATATATGAAATGATATGATATGAAATATCGGTGGGACGTATAATTCGATTATAACCATCACACCTAAATGATGATACGCTGTTTATTTTTGGAGTGTATTGGCCAATCTAGAAGCAACAGCGTCCAGGAAGCCCTCTGTGTCTGCGTAATCCTTTCTTTGAACCAACAAGGCCAAGTCCTTGGTCATGATGCCGTCTTTGGAGACGGTATCCAAGACGCATTTCTCCAAGGTGTTGGCAAATTCGACGACGTCTGGGGTGTTGTCCAACTTACCTCTCTGGGCGATACCTCTGGTCCATGCAAAAATGGAGGCAATGGAGTTAGTAGAGGTTTTTTCGCCTGCCTGGTAGCGTCTGTAGTGTCTGGTGACGGTACCGTGGGCGGCCTCGGATTCAAACGCCTTTCCATCTGGGGTGATGAGGACAGAAGTCATCAAGCCAAGGGAGCCAAAACCCTGGGCGACGATGTCGGACTCGACGTCACCGTCGTAATTCTTGAGAGCAATGACAAAGCCACCCTGGGACTTCAACATCTGCGCCACCATGTCATCAATCAATCTGTGCTCGTAGGTGATGCCTGCTTTCTCGAAGTCAGCCTTGTACGAGGATTCGTAGATCTCCTGGAAAATGTCTTTGAACTTGCCGTCGTACTTCTTCAAGATGGTGTTCTTTGTGGAGAGGAACAACGGAGCCTTTCTGCTAAGGGCCATCTTGAACGAGGAGTGGGCAAAACCTCTGATGGAGTCCTCGGTGTTGTACATGGCCAAGGCCACGCCAGGGCCCTGGTAGTCGTACACCTTGCGGGAGATCTTCTCGCCGCTAGGGTTTTTAGGGGTGAAGGTAATCTCAAGGGAGCCTGCCTCGGGGACGACAAAGTCGGTGGCCTTGTACTGGTCGGCGTGGGCGTGTCTGCCGATGATGATGGGCTTTTTCCAGCCTGGCACCAATCTAGGAATCTCGATGTCGCCCGGCTGCTTGTCTGGGCCGGAGCCGATGACGATTGGCTCTCTGAAGACCGTACCGCCGAGGATGTTTCTTATGGTTCCGTTTGGCGAGAGCCACATCTTCTTCAAGTTGAACTCCTTCACGCGGGCCTCATCTGGAGTGATGGTGGCACACTTCACGCCGACACCGTACTTCCTGATGGCGTTGGCCGCGTCGACAGTGATCTTGTCGTCCGTGGCGTCTCTGGATTCGATCCCGAGGTCGTAGTACTTGAGGTCGACGTCGAGGTACGGCAAGATGAGCTTCTTCTTGATGTCCGACCAGATAATCCGCGTCATCTCGTCTCCGTCCAACTCCACGATCGGGTTTTTGACCCGGATCTTGCCCAGCGAGGCACTGGACGTGGAAAAGTGTCTGTTGATTGCTGCCAAACGGCCTTGTGCACGGGCTGCTGCAGAGTACATTGCGTGGTAGGGGTCGACTTAGATGACTGCAGAGGAACGGGGTGTCCAGACCGGTCCAGCCAGCTCCAGGCGCTTCAATTGGACCTTCCAAGCTTTGCCCTCGTGTATAAAAAGACACAGAGCCTCCCCGTTCTGAGTGGACAATCAGTCATCCCGTCTCCTCCTCCCTGCGCTTCCTCGTCTCGTCCGTTGCCTCGTCCTCCGCTTCTCCTCCACCGGCCTTTGCAACTCCGGTACCGCTGCCGGCGGACACCGGAAAAGGACAAAAATCCCGAAAGCGGGGCACCTTTTCCGGCACGTGATCTCAAGCTTTTGCCCTGTCCCAATGGGGCAGTCGAGCCGAGAAATCCGAAAACCCGAATCTGAAAATGGGAAAATCGCTGATTTTTTGTTTCTGTGGCCTTTTTTTTGGTTTCTGCGGTTTTCGTCTGTTTTTGTTTTTTGTTTTTTGTTTTTTTGTTTTTTTGTTTTTTGTTTTTTTGTTTTTTGTTTTTTTGTTTTTTGATCAGTAATCTTTTTTACTTTTTTTTGTTATTTTCCCATTTTCTCATTTCGCCGGATTTTCTGTTTGTGTCGTGCAGGTGAACATGTACGGGACGGCCCAGTGCACACAGAACGCAGTACAAGGATTGGCAGATGGTGCAGAAAGGGGTGTGCTCTTGTGCTTGCAGACGCTCCACGAAACCGCAGGAAAAGGGCATCCAGACGCCGAAGTCGAAAGCAGACACAGAGGAGCACAGGCAGGCAGCCCCACCTAGCGCCCCCCACCGCATCTGACACAGACCCGGACCACCACCACATCAGGACATGCTTCACAAACACAGGCTCAGAGTGTCGATCCGGACGCAACTTATAGCGCTCGTGCTATTTGTTGCGATGTTCTCGTTGCTTGTCTTGGCGATCGTGACGGGAGTGTACTTCCGCAAGGTCCTCACCGACACACGGGTGTCGAAGCTCGAGTTGGTGGCGGAGTTGAAGAGCTCCCAGTTCCAGCAGATGATGGACAGCTACTACTTCCAGATCTACCAATTGAGCGAGAAGCAGAGTGTCCAGCGAGCCCTCTCGGCACGCAAGGCCGGAAACAACTCGGCCAGCGCCTTGCAGCAGGCCCAGGGCGTCATCGAACAGACCCTCGAGTCGTCCACGTCCTTGGCGTACGCCCGCTTGTACGACTTGAGCTTTGCACTCGTATCCAACGTCTCCAACGAAGACTCCGTGCACAACGCCACAGAATCTAGTCTGGCATCCTTGTTCATCCTCGAGCAGAACACCTCCGCCAGGGGACCCTCCCTGCCCAACGGGCTCCTCGCCAACGGCGCATACCTGGAAGGACCCGTCGCCAACGACAACAACTACTTCGCCTCCCTCACCCTTCCTGTCTATACAAACGAGTCCATCTTGATGCCGCAACAGTTCCTCTCCGGCTACTTGACCGTTGTGCTCGACCTACAAGCCTACAACGGCACGATCGCCAGCACAGTGAAGTCCTCCGAATACTCCTCCGTCAACTACATCCACACCGTGCACGCCTACAACAACATCTCCAGCTATTCGGGTTTCAACTATGCATTTGACAACTTCTACCTCGAAAAAAACGATGTCGATACCGAGACCCTTTTTCAAATATCGAAATTCCCGCCCGCAGATGACGTGTTCTACCAGGCAAAAGACCTTGGCAGCTACGTGAACCTCATAAACCCCCTGGGAATGAAGGTCTCCTTAGGGTACTCTTCTATCGACTTGGGCTTTGCCCTGTGGCTCGTCACCGTCGAACAGGTGGAGGCCGACTTTGAGCGCCCCATTACAAAGTTGATCAAAATCATGGTCGGACTATGTATAGGCTTGGCCGCCTTTATGTCCTTGGTCACCTTTCCGCTTGCACACTACAGTGTCAGACCAATATTAAAACTTCAGAAGGTCACAGAAGAAATAACAGACAGAAGAGGCCTGAAAAGGAGGAAGAAGAGAAGGCGCCATGCTACTCCTTTCCAAAAGTTGCATACTAAAATGAAAAGCCACGATCTAGACGAAAAATCTCTATCCAACGAGGACAATACTGAGTACAGCGAAGCTCACCAATCCAGGGCATTGACTCCTCAAAGTCTTTCTCCGATTACTCCCACAACACCGATTCCGCCACCAATTACTCCAAATTCAGGAAACTCCTTTTCTATAAATAACAGTGCACGAAATAGTTGGTGCGGCTCCTTACAAAACCCATCTTCCATGGAGAGTTTTTCCAACAGTTATACCCACGACTCTAAAATAAGTCACGCAAACTCGCCTTTACCTTCCATCGTTGAGACCAAGGGATTATTCTACGATGAATTAACAGAATTAACTGAAGCATTCAATGCAATGACACTCGAACTAGATCGACAGTATTCCCATCTCGAAGACCGCGTTCGTGCAAGAACAAAGGAACTAGAGGCTGCCAAGGTCCAAGCAGATATGGCGCGTCAGCAAGCAGAAAAGGCAAACGAAGCCAAAACAGTGTTTATTGCCAATATATCTCATGAGCTGCGTACGCCTCTTAACGGGATTCTTGGTATGACCTCTGTCGCAATGAGTGAAAGCGATATAAACAAAATTCAAAATTCTTTAGAATTAATATTCAGGAGTGGTGAATTATTACTTCACATTTTGATTCAGCTCTTAACATTTTCGAAAAATCAGCTTGATAAATCGAAATTGCAAAAGAAAAACTTCCTGGTTGTTGAAGTAGCATCCCAGATAAAGTCCATTTTCAGCAAAGCGGCCAAAGATCAAGATGTCAATTTAATCATTTCCCTAAAGCCAAATCTTATTCGAAAATTGATCCTTTTTGGCGATTCGAATCGTATAATTCAAGTCGTAATGAATTTGGTAAGCAACTCACTGAAGTTTACCCCAGAAAATGGAACTGTAAGAGTCCTCATTCAAGTACTGGGTCCTTATGATGAAGAGCGCTCTAAAGAGTCGGATTATGAAAAAGTGTATATTAAAGGTTTACCAAATGATGCGGAGCATTATCCTGTTCCGCCAATAAACAAACCAGATGATTCCATGGATGATTCAAAACAACTCTCTAGCGACGTGTCCTCAATTGTGACAACGAAAAGCTCATCGACTTTATCAACGTTACGTTCTTCAGTTTACATCAAATCATTATCATCTTTGTACAACTCTTCCGATTGCGAGATTGAGTACTTCAACGATGATGAATTCACAAAGGAAAACTCCACTGATTCCTATGAATCACATCATAGGAGCAGAAAATGTTTCAAGTTCGGTAAAGACAATGAATCAACTGGTGCTGCTTGGGTACTCAGATTTTCCGTCACTGATACCGGGACAGGCATTGAACAATCTTTGCAAGATAGAATTTTTGAAGCCTTCGTTCAAGGTGACCAAACTTTATCAAGATCTCATGGTGGTACTGGTTTAGGTTTATCAATTTGCAAACAATTTGCTAAAATGATGCACGGTACCCTTACTCTGAATTCGGCTGTTGGAAAGGGATCAACTTTTACATTTACAATCCCGTTGCCCCAAGTTGGTGAAATCATTTTAAGCGATAGCGAACTCGAAGAATACAATAAAGACGATTTTAATGAATTGTATAACAAGAAAAAGAAGGTAACATTCATTGATGATGATACCCACGTCATTGAAACCGACACCGATACTGATAACAGTGACGAGAAGAGCAGCAAGCTCAAAAGGCCGATGAATCTTGCAAGTAGCTATAAATCAACCTTTACGAATGACAACAAGATAACACAGAACACAAAGCAACCAGAAAATCACAAGGACGGGATGATTTATGAAAAACCCGAACTTATTACGCGAGCATCTACAGGTACGGCGCATTCCTACCGCTCGAAGAAATCAGATTTATCAACAGATAGTTTCCTACCTACTCCTGAAGAGAATTCGTGTGATCTTAAACTTTTAGTTGCTGAAGACAATTTGGTAAACCAAGAAGTTGTGAAAAGAATGTTGAAACTTGAAGGTATTAATAACATCTCAATGGCCAGGGATGGTAAGGATGCAGTTGAGTTTGTTCGAGAATGTGTAAACTCAAAGAATAGGCCTTTCGATCTGATATTGATGGATGTTCAAATGCCAAATATGGATGGATTATCTGCAACAAGAATCATTAGAAGTGAATTAGGATATAGCGGTCCCATCGTGGCATTGACCGCGTTTGCTGATATTTCTAACGAAAAGGGTTGTATTGATGCCGGAATGTCAGGATTTTTGTCAAAACCAATAAGCAGAAGTTTGTTGAGAAACGTGATTAGACAGTTTTGCCCACAGCTCTGCACGACAGTTGAATTAGACGAAAACGATAAAAATTCAAGTGATACAGAGCAAATTAGTTGTTCGTTGCCAACTCTCGGATAAACTTCTTTGGACGCTTACAAATTTTTGTGTAGAAGCTAAAATAGATACCCATTTATTATTATACAAGATTTACTACGTAATTTATTACTCTTTTATTTACGAGAATTTTTATCAGAGTCACTGTGGTGATCTAGAATTTTGGCGGTTCCATAACTAGCAGAATCACTTTCACTCTCGCTGTCGCTGCTAAGCTGTATCTCTTTTTCCAAACCACCAGCACTGATTGCTACATCTATGTTGTCATTATGAGGCAATAAAGACTTCTTGACTCTGTAGCTTTTTGTTTGCTCCTCAATTTCCTCTCTTTCCCTCACCAAGGCACTAACTGTAAGTTTATCCTTCTTCAAAGATTTTTCATTTTTACTTGCTTCATCAAGTTCCTTTTTTAGATTTAAACCAAGTTTCTCCTTCCTTCTCTTCAAGTCCGTAGCGGACCTAGCTTTTTCATATCTTTTCATAAGTCGAGGATCTTCTGTGAGCATCTTCTTTCTTAATCTCTTATCTAGTTCCCTTAGTCTTTCTTGCCTGTGTAAAGCCTCTTTGTTCACCCTATTTGAATGCTTGAACGCTTGACTTGCATATATGGATGAGAATTTGCTTCTGTTTCTTTCTTCCTCTGTTTTCATGTTCTCCATGGTCTGTGGATCAGAAAAATCTGGTATCAACATTTCCATTTTTTTATTTTGAATGATAGGGGGGTTCAATTTTACATTTTCAATTGCAAGACCTGTGCTCCTCACTTGATTATTCTCTTTGTAAGCTTGAACTAGCTCTAGACTTTCTGCTTGTTGAGGAGTGACAACCATAACTTGTTTATTTCCATTCATGTCCACTGGAGCAAATAATCTATAGTTGGTACCCATTTCATTTCTATTTGACGCTGCTTTATCTGCTCTCTTTTCTTGGTGATAGTCACAATACCTAGATTTTTTGATGTCAACCACTTGAGAACATTTTTTGGACCCGTTTCCACGACAGTGTGCAAAATCCCGAAACCTTGCGTACTCTAAAATGCTAAGGCTATTAGTAATTCGAAACATGAATGAATTGGCACTCTTCGAATAAGACCTTCCTGATTTTGAGTATGAATCTACTTTTTCCGGATTTAAAACAGCAATAATGGAACCCACCGGCAACTTCCAAAATTTGTTGTATGCATCTCCCTGCAACAGTAGAAGTATCTCAAAAAGAAAATCAGTGAGTCGAATCCTCAAATATTTTGATATCCCGTCATTCGAGAGTGCCGGATCCGATTTGTATGATATCATTCCCACTAAAATAAAATTGGTTTCCATGATGAGCTCGTCATTTAGCGACATGTATGCTAACAATGATTTTGTTCTAAACACTTTCGTGTTACCTATTTGGCAATCTAGAGTTTCTCGTGGTAAATACCTTTTTGAAACATACATGTGAGAGTACTTATCAAATGCGGGATCATTCTCGGGGTTATACTTATCACCCATTTCAGTTTTATGAGAAACAACATTTTCTTCAAAATTCAATGGTAATTCGTGAATCTCAAAACCAGGCCGAAAAGGCTCATTCGCATGAATTGCTTTCCGCTCATCTTCTCTTTGTAGTGCAACCTTCCTAGCCTCTTTCGCTTTTTGTAAAGATTCGTTTAGCGCAGAAATGGATCCAGAAGTATCGCTTTGGGATCTTGACAACTTTCTTTGCTTTTCAACTTTTAAGTTTTTCTCCATTCTCTCTCTCTGTAGAGCTTCATGTCGATGAGAAATTGAAGAGCTTATGAGTTTGTGACCTTTCAAGAGACCCTTAACACTCGATTCGGGTCGAGATTGTTCCAACTTTTGTGTGTCATCTTTCGTTACCTTCGAACGGTATTTCGACCTCTCGTAGCGTGGATCGGTGTTAGGATCGTCAAACTCCGGATCTGAAGTAACAACTAGCTTGTTATCATACTCATCAGTAATTTGATGTTTCAATTGCTCCATCCTCTTATCTATGAAATCTAGTTGCTTGAGGAGCTCATCTTTCAATTTCGTCAGTTCTTAATATAGCAAAATTTAGGACAGTCTGTGTTAGTATTTGCAGAACGAGAATTAAAAAATCTAACTACTTGTTTTTCGAAATAAAAAACTTACTATCGTATTCTTCTTGAGCAGACACGCCATTTGACATTTAATCTACCACTATTTCAATCACTATATGGTCTTATTTACCGTGATCTTGTTGGTAGATATGTATTATCTTGAACCAATTTCTGAAGTCTTGCTGATTCATGTCTCAAAATCCATTGTCATGTACATCCGTGCACCGATTTAACTTTATAGTGCATGTACGTATTGCGAAGGATTGAAGACGAGATTGAACTTTCATGAAAGAGAAAGTAGATCAAAATAGTCAAATAAATGCATGCATATCTGTTATGCCTGTGATCCTTGGAGTAATTTCTGGAGCAATTGCACCGCATTCCAAGTCATGAGTGACCCCATGTTGAGTAAGGAAGATGAAGCAACAGAACCTCAGAAGGAGATTGCGCAATCACAAAGCTCTCAAGAACGAGTTGTTAGTACTGATGAGGTAAACCATGATGAAAGGCCCACCATTGGGGAAGCCAAATTCACAAATGGCCAAGACCAGAGTGAAAATAATTTGTCAAAGCCCGTAGTCAATGAGCATTTAGCTGCAACCTCTGATAATGATGAGGTTGCTAGCAAAGCTTCCGATAAATTGCTTTTGCCAACCAGTATAGATGAGCAAACCCCACAAATTTCTGTTACAAGCGATATAGATGTGGATAAAATAGACGAAAGTAGTGCTCAAGAAGTTCAGCCAGTTGAAGATCATATGAAAGCTGATGATGACACGGTTTATCAGACCTCCGTACTGCCTGAATTTAATGGAGATTCTCAACAAATTGTTGCAGATGATGAAAAGTGTGCAGAAGCCGAGATAGAGCATTCTCAGCCAGCAGAGGATTTGGATCATTCAGAGAATGTAAGTCAAGCTGTAGTGGAAGGCGATCTCACGAATACAAATACAACCTTTAACCAAACAGGTGAAAACTCCGCTAGTCAGGTGGCTGAGTATGAGCTTGGTGAGTCAAATGATGAGTTCATGACAAGCGATGAGGACTTCCAATCAGTTGCTGCATTTTACTCTATTTCAATCGAACTACTCAAATCCAACAGAGCATTGTTCACCTCGTTGATGCTAAAGTTTTCAGATTTCGAGAAGCTGAAGTCAAGTAATCAATACCTGGAAATTAATTACGAACAGCTACAACATTCTCAGAAGAAAAAGATGGAACTTGCAAAAAAAGAGCTAACTTCTGCCAAGAGTGAGCTAGAGGTAATGCTCAATGCTCAAAGACAGCTGGTAAATGATAAGAATGAGCTTGAATCAGCTTTGAAAAATTCCAACTCTTTAACTACTAAAAATTCAAGATATGTTGACGACTTGAAACTCAAACTACAGGAATTAGAAAAAAACAAGTTAAATCTTTCTGAACTTTTGGAAGTGAAGCAAAATGAACTAAATGAATTAAATGAAGAAATGAAAACGTTAGCTGATGAAAAGAAAAAATTAAGAGAAATAATGCTTGATCTGGAATCTTCAAAAGAAGGGACAACATCAGAACTAATGACTTCCAAGTTTGAGGTAGCCAAGTTGCAAAGAGAGTTGAAACTGCTTAGTGATTCTCGTGATTGGTTTGAAGCTGAACTGAAGAGAAAAATATCAGAGTTCGATCACTTCAGGTCTGAGCAATCTCTAAAATACACAACGGTTTCTAGCGAGTTGAATGCACTCAAGCAGAATTATGAGATTTCTCAAACCTCTTTAAAGCACTATTCTACTGAAATTACACGGTTGAGCTCAAAAAATGACGAGAGTCAATTTCAAATAAAAGAGCTTTCTGACAAGCTGCAAGCCCAAGAAAAGCAATTTATGGAACAAATCTCTAAAAGAGACGAACACATACAAGTGCTAGAGAAATCAAATAAGGACAAATCTCAAAGGATTACATCGCTTGATAAGGTATATGCTGATACGGCCGAGAAAGTCAAAAACGACGAGGAGGAGTACAAATTGCTTTTTGAAAACCTTAAATCGGAGCTTATTTCCAAAGATGTCAAGATAGAAGAATTAGAAAAAATGGTTTCTGATTTGAGTAACAATGGTGCCCAAATTGATGGCGCTGGTTTCAAAATCTCTTTATTGGCTCAAAAAACCTTAAAAGACGTGAATTCTGAGTTGTCCTTGAGTGACTTATTATCTGAATTGAACAGTTTGCGCAAAGAAGTAGTAAAGGAGAAAAGAGCAAAAACTAAAGCAGAAAATGAATTGTCCAATTTCTTGAAGGAATTTGAACGTAAGTGGCCTCTTTTGGAATCTTACAAAGACAAATGTGAAGATTTGCAAAACAGAGAAGAAAAAGTTCAGGTTATGTTAGATAATTTGACCAATGATAAAAGCAATCTTTCGAAAAATTGTGAGATTTTAAAAAAGAAAGTCAGCGAGTCCCAGCTGCAGATTCGCAACTTAAACAAGCTCAAGGTTGATCTCCAACGGCAGTTGGTGATACTCTTAACCGAAATTCAGTTTAAAGTATCTGGTGAAAACCTGCTAACCATAGAGGAAAAGAGCTATATTAACAAAATAGTTTCTTCTTATGGCGAGTTGAGAGATGTAGATGAAACAGATACGGACAGGTTAATCACCTCGCGATTGGCAACTTTCAAAAACACAACGGAGTTAATTAAGCAGAATGAGCAGCTTTTGGCGGTATCCCGCAAGCTTGGCTCGGAACTGGAATCGAGAGATCTAGAAGGAAAGGGTTATATCGATGAAACTGAAAGTAGTACGATCCAGAAAGCGAAAGAGGCAATATCCAAACTTCAAGAGAAAATCAAGGCACTGGAAACTCAACTCAAAGCCGCAAGTAACAGTAGAGATATGTTGCAAAATCTATTTGACTCGGGTGCTGCTGCGGTTGGAGATAAAAAGGATATTGAAGCAAATAATGAAAGACTCAACTTACTCCTGGAAGAAGTAAAGTCTAAGAAGGAAGAGCTAGCTAATGTCAGGAAATCTTATGACACTCGTATCTTTGAACTCAACTCACATATACAAAGCGTTATGTCTGAAAAATCCAACATCACTTTACAGTTGTCCAAAGAAAAATCTGCAAACGAGTTGAACAATGAAAAGATCAGTAATTTACAATCTAGCATAGCGTTTGTCAAGAAGGAAAATGAACAACTAAAAAGTATGCTTGACAAAAGTCAAAACAATTTAGGCAAGCTAGAAGAAAAACTACAGATTGCTAGCAACTCCTTGGTTTCTTCCAAATCCTCAGTTATCGAATTTGAAATTAAGGCTAAAACGCTGGTGGCTGAAAAAGAAGTTTACAAGTCGGTAGAAGATCAATTGAGAAAAGACATTGATAGGTTGTACAACGAGAAGGCAGATTCAAACAGAATGATAATTCAATTGCAAACTTTAGACTCTGAACGTCAAGCACATTTCAAGGAAACCATACAAAGATATACTAATAATACCCAATCGTTACAAAGGGAACTTGACATGTTGAGGGATAAGCTTGACAAAAGTAACTCTGAAATTAGTAATATATTGCATTCCAAAAATGTTGATTCGAAAGTTTATCAAAGAAGAATTGATTTGCTGGTAGAAGAATTAGGAGGAGCCAAAACTGCATTGAACAACAAAGAGAAGTTAATATCAGAGTTGAATGAGGAGGTTATCACTTTGAAGAAGAGACACGCAAATATTGATGAAAGAAAGCAATCTGTCCTGTCCTCAATTGCTAATTCTTCAGCTTCAAATGATGATACTGAAGTATTGAAAGAGGAATTGCAAAACGCTTTGGAAGATTTGGAGGTAGCAGCGAAAGATGCTTCTCAATACAAGGAGTTATCAGTTGCGACTGAACAGCAACTTTCTTCCTTGAACGATGCTTACGAGCAGTACAAGAACATTGCCGAGGAAAAAATTAGTTCGCTAACTACAGAGGTTGAGAGTTTGAAATCTAGTTCAGCAAAGCTGGAAGAAGAGAGAGACGCGCTTAAACAAGAGGCCATAAGCACCAAATATGATGCAGACTTAGCTGAGCAAGGATACAACTCAAAGCTTGAAGAGCTAAACTCATCTATCTCTACTTTTGACTCAATCAAACAAGACTATGAGAAAAAACTGGATTTGGTGAAGTCAGATGTCAAGTCAAAAGACCAGGTTATCTCTGAGCTTAATGGTTTATTATCTGATAAATCTAACCAAATTGAAAGTCTCAAAACCATTAATGATATCATCAAAAAAGAGAATGCAGATTTAAGAGAGAAAATTACTACGATAGAGGGACAAATCTCCGAGTCAAACAAATTGTTGAGTGACGAAAGGGAAAAGAACAAGGACTCAATAACCAAAATCGAGCAAGAAGTTAGAAATGATAAAATCAGGATTTCTGAGCTCGAAACTCAGAACAGAACTTTATTAAATCAATTGGAGGAATCCCCTCTGGCATTCGGTGAATCCGATGATATGAAAGGATTGGTTGCTTATTTGAATAGAGAGAAGGATTCCTTGAGTCAACAACTCCAATATGTACAAGAAGAAGAATCGACTTTAAGACAGAATGTTAGTTCAAAGGAGAAAGAGATTGCTGAGCTGAAGTCTGAGCTTGCGGTTGTAAGAGAAAAGTCGTCCACTATTGATAAATATTCCGATGCTCTGACGAAGATGAAAGGGGAAGTTGAAGAATTGAAAGTATACAAGGATAATAACAATGCTTTGCGCGATCAAGTTAAAAGTTATGAGAGCAAAATCAAGGAGCTTGAATCTCGTATTGCTGAATCATCAAATAAATTTACTCCGTTAACTGCAGAAATTGGAAATCTGAAGGCTGAAATTATTGAGAAGAATAAACAGCTTGCGCAGTTTAATGAGCAGATTCAAAGTTTGAGTACTCAAGTAAAAGACAATGCTGTGATTGCAGGCCAGAAAGTAGAAAAAGATAAGTTAATTGAAGAACTGCAGAGCAAGTATGCAGAAAGGAATCAGGTCGTCGAGAAGCTCAAAAATCAATTCAATGAGAGAATCAAGAAAATGCGTTTCGAAAGACAGCAAGCATTGGATGAATCTAAGGAACTTTCAACCAAGATACAAAGTTTAGAGGGGCAATTGCTCTCCACTGCATCTGCTCCTAAGGCTGCTGACGAAGAAACTGAGAGATTGAAATCACAGATAAGGTCTCTTAAAGAAGAAGTTCATCAGAAGACGATTCAAAATAGTACAATTGCTAGGGAAAGTGCTGAGAAGTTGAATAAGATCAGTGAAGAGTTGGCAACTTTGAAGAAAGAGCTAGCCGACTCCAAAGTATCTGGGCCTGCTAAACAGCAATCAGAAGATTTGGTTGCGTTAGAGCAAAAGTACATTAAAGAAAAAGAACAGGCATTGAAGAACCTTGAGCTTGAATTGAAATCGAAAGGAAGCAGTATGAGTAGCGATGATATTGAAGAGTTCAAGAAAAAATTGAAGGCCGAAAATGATGCGCAATTACACCGAGAAATTGAAGCTCATAAAACAAGAGTGAGAGCCCCAACCCAAGCAAAGATTAATGAGATCGTTGAGAAAAGAGTCAAGGCTAAAAGTGATGAGCTGGAAAAGCAACACGAAGAAAAGATGAAAGAATTGCAATCAAAGTATAGTTCTTCATCTGGTGCTTCTGAAAAATCCGGCAACTTCGCACAGGAGAAGGAAAGATTGCTAAAAACTTTTGATGCTGAAAAGGAGCAATTGAAGAAAGAGATCAGAGCAGCTGTTGAAAAAGAAAAGGGATTCAAGGAGAAGTTCTTGCAGGGCAAAATTTCACGCCTTGAGGAGCAAGTCAAAAATCTTGAGGAAGAAAGGAAAAAGCTAAAAAGCCAGCCTCTTCCTAATATGCCAATGGTGCCAAACATGGTAAATATGGGTAACATGCCACCTATGCCCTTTGGGCAAGGTGGCATGTTCTCAGGCAACAATGCATTTGGAAATGCCTTCCAACCTTCCATGAACCCATTCAATATGGCTGGCGCCTCTTCAAACAGCAAGGGATCAAATAGCTTCAAATTGCCTAACCACAATGGCAACAATGGCAACAATGGCAACAACAGCAACAATGGCAATGTGAATACGTCTGGAAATAAAGACCTGCCGTCCAAGCCAACTAAAAGAGCTCTTGAAGATGGCAGTGAGCCGGAAAAGAGGCCAAAAACTGAGTGATGTATAGTACGCTTTTTATTTTATTAGTTGTTTTGATTTTTATTTGTATAAGTATGTTTTTTGAAATAGTTCATTACTGATGATGTTTTAAGCCAGGTTAAGTTCATTATTATCGAAGAAGACTAGATTGGGTAGATAGGAAAAAAAAATCAAGATAAAAAGTGTAGAAAAGATTGTTGCACAGTGGAAAAGGTTAGTTTGCGGTCTTTTCCCGTTACTTCCCACGAACTTCCATCCAAACAAATGGTACTCAAACTAGGGTGCATCTCATCTGAGATAAACAACTCGAGGGACGAGGATTTCTCCAAATAGGAGTAGTACACACGCTTGTCCTGGACATGGGTTCCTGAATCGTATGCAGCATTCATGAGGGTCATGATATCATCGGAAGGTATATGCGGAATGGCAAGAATATGAAGTTGGTCTTCAGCTACAACGGAATGTGGAGAAATCATGAAAGTCTTTTCGAAATTCGAAACGGCAGCAAGCAGAAAATAAGATAGGTCAGTGACTTGTTCTGAGGAAGAAGTCTTTGATGTGTCTGATAACCAAGATCCAGAGCCGTGGTTGTAGAATAGTGATTTACTATCAGGCTGGAAGGTGATCCTGGCCCTAAAGTGGGGATTTTTCTCCAGTATCTTCATGGCAGCGATTCGGAACCTTTCGGGGCCGTATTTTGCTCTCATCTCGGGTTTATCCGACTCGAACACCAAAGTGGAGTGTAAACACCATGATGCTACGACAAGGAAAAAGATGGCCTTTTTCTGCGAAAAATGATCCAAAGATAGGTTCTTCGACTCTAGCTTAGTGTGTGATTGTAGTTGGTATAGTGGCAGATGGCGGGGGCAGAGCCTGAAAAGCGCCTTGATGGACTCGATGTCGTTAAAAAGTTTCAAGGAGTTACACAACGCGTTCCCCGTTCCGTGGGGGAACGGGAGGATGGTAACGTTCGGGGTAGACCCGGAGTAACCTGAAATTTCCGTATCCTGGATTCGTGGAAAGAGACAGTTGACAAATTCAAAGACAGAGGTGTCTCCAGAAAGGAAGAGATAAAGGAGTTTTGCAGAAGGTCTCGACAAGTCAGCTGCGGCGGCATACTCCTGCAATGAGGAAGCGGAAGTTGTTTGCAAGTACGAGTGTCTGATATTCAGGGCAGAAAAAAGCGGCTTGAGGATGGCCGTGTAGAAGGACGAATATGAGCTGTGTCTACCGGCCTTTGTGGACTCGATGACGGAGATCTCGTAGCTACTGAGCGAGTCGAGCATCTCATGCGTAACCTCTATGGTGTCCAGTGATAAAGCTGTCAGTCGTGGACCTGTTTCCAACATTGATTCCGGGCCATTGAGCGTTAATCTCAGGGTTTTTGCAGGATTCTGGGGGATAGTCACCTGGAGGGTGGCGGTCTCTTCGGACATGGATGGGGTACGAGATAAGCTTCTTTTTGTGAGGAAGCGAACAGCGGGGTTAAAGCTTGCCGTAGACTACCACCGAAACCAGTTTCCAAACAAAAACACTCCGTTCTTCTGCTTTTTGCCTTGCCAATACCTTAGTCTTGTCCTAAATCCTCTTGCGACCCTTTTATCTGTCGGTGTTCGGACCGTTCTGCCGATCTGATCTCTGTGCATCGGCAGCACCACTACTGCAAGCATGCGCCACATAATTTCCTTACATCACGTGCTCGTGGCGGTGTGGCACATAACATATGCTTACGTGATTGCTTACGTGATTTGGCTTTATCTTTCCTCTCCTTTCCTCCTTCTCGCTAATGCCGGCCCGATATGTGTCCTCGACACTTCCGCGAGACAGCACAGCCAATCGCAACGATCTAAAACGTCAGGACAGTGTCGGGGTCTGCGGCAGTGGACAGGGCGAGCAAAAACGGCCACTGGGAGCAGCCGAATGCTACGAGGTCAAAAAATTTTTTTCAGCCCGGCAGCGGCGCGCGAGGGAACCTGTTCCCCTTTTCGTGCAGGCCAGTCACTCTTCCTCCTCGGGCTGTTGACGACGGCGACCTTGTCCGTTTCCTCTCAGCTCCAGGCTGTCCGCTAGACTGGGCCTGAGAGGTGTTTGGTTTTGCGAGTTCTTTCTTCTCTGCCTGTATTTTTTTTATAGCTTCTGTTCCATCCTGTTTTTCTGTGATCCTTGCTAGTATTGTACTCAAAGCATTCTCCTGTTTACATCCAGCCGAAAAAACTGCCCTCCGTTCCCACTGAACAAGCAAGCAAAGTAGGAATAGAAAAAGTAGAAAAAAAGACGTTTTCTGAATCATCATGGAGTCGTTAACCAAAACATCGCTGAGGGTGTGTCCCTTTGTCAAGTCCCACTCCTCTTCTGCCATGAAGCAATTGGCTAAGAGGTCTGGTTTGCTCGCCGAGGCAGCCCACTGCCCAGTCATGGGTCCTGCCATTGAAGCTAAAAGAAACTACTCCCACCCTTCAAAGGCCGCATGTGCTCAAGCTACCGACTCGATCACTGCCACGAAAATCAACCACGACGCCACTGCCGCCGCTAAGGCTGCCGCTGAATTGCACTCGTTTGATTCGAACGAAAAAGCCACCGACTATAACGGATTTTTCGACAACCAGTTGAACAAGAAGAGAGAGGACAACTCTTACAGATTTTTCAACAACATCAACAGGTTGGCAAAGGAGTTCCCGAAGGCGCATTTGCAGGATGAGGCGGATAAGGTCATGGTTTGGTGCTCGAACGATTACCTCGGCATGGGTAAAAACAAAGAGGTGTTTGACCAGATGATCAAAACCATGGAGAAGTACGGTGTCGGTGCAGGTGGTACGAGAAACATTGCAGGTCACAACAGACATGCCATCAACCTTGAGTCCGAAGTTGCAGCCTTGCACAAGAAGGAAGGTGCCCTGGTTTTCTCCTCCTGTTTCGTTGCTAATGATGCTGTTTTATCCTTGTTCGGTAAGCAGTTCAAGGATTTGGTCATTTTTTCCGACGAATTGAACCACGCTTCAATGATTACAGGTATCAGAAATTCTCGTGCGAAAAAGCACATTTTCAAGCACAACGATCTGGAACATTTAGAAGCGCAATTGGCTATGTATCCAAAGTCAACTCCAAAGATCATTGCATTTGAATCAGTTTATTCAATGTGCGGTTCGGTTGCACCAATCGAAAAGATCTGTGACTTGGCCGAAAAGTACGGTGCTCTCACCTTCCTCGATGAGGTCCACGCCGTCGGTATGTACGGTCCTCACGGTGCAGGTGTTGCCGAACACATGGATTTCAAAGCCCACTTAGCTTCGGGTATCGCCTCTCCCAACTATAAAACGGTCATGGACAGAGTCGACATGATCACTGGTACCTTGGGTAAGTCTTTCGGTGTCGTTGGTGGGTACGTTGCTGCCAACAGAAGCATGACCGACTGGATTAGATCCTTTGCACCAGGCTTCATTTTCACTACTTCCTTACCTCCTTCTGTCATGGCTGGCTTGTCTACATCAATCAGAATTGTCAGAAAGAACGTTGAAGATAGAATCAACCAACAACTCAACGTGAAATATGTCAAGGATGAATTCAAAAGGGCTGGAATCCCAGTCATTCCTAATCCTTCTCATATTGTTCCTCTATTAGTTGGTAATGCCGCAGATGCTAAAAAAGCTTCTGACTGCTTGTTGGATAAATACAAGATTTACGTTCAAGCAATCAATTTCCCAACAGTTTCCACCGGCGAAGAAAGATTGAGAATCACCCCTTCTCCTCACCACGACAAGCAAATTTGTGATCAATTGATTGAGTCTGTTGACGATTTATGGAGAGACTTGGACCTGAAGAGAGTCAAGGACTGGGAAAACATTGGCGGTCACTGTGGTGTTGGTTCTGCCACCCATACCCCACTTGAAAACCTCTGGACTGACGAGTTTTTGCAGTTGACCAATGCAGACTTGAATCCGAACGTCTTGAACCCAGTCGTTGAACAACTTGAAGTTTCTTCTGGTATCAAGGTTTAAGGCTGAACGTGGAAGTTTCATTTTCCGTTTTACTCTTTCCAACAAGTAGGTAATTGATCAGTTATGGTCATTATTATGTTATTGCTATTGTTATTTGTTATGCTTCTCTATTTATCTATCTGACTATCTATATTTATACCGTGTTGTTTACTTTAAGAAAAATCCTACTTGATAATTTTTATTTGCCTGAGCCTTAAAACGAGCATAAGGAAATCAGCATGTTATGGGAAAAAAGAAAAACCACTGCTCGCACTCAGAGTTGAACTGAGGATCGCCACATTACTAGTGTGGCGCCTTACCAACTTGGCCATACGAGCAATTGTTGAAAATTAAATTTTACGGTTTTTGATATTTTTGTACATTCACGTGAAATGCTTATGTAAAGCTGTTTTCTTGACAGATTTCCGATAACAAACCATTTGAATTGGGAATTTAAAATTACTTTGTCCAATTTTCTTTTTTCATAAATCTTATATCTCTTTAACCAGGTTCCAAGCAGCCACAGAATGCCCATAGCATTGCAACTTAAAGGATTATAACACAGTAATCAAACTTGCAATAAATAGAAGACAAAAGCCAGAACTTATTCTGTGCACAAATGAATTTTACCTGTTTAATTGAAGAATTGGAGTATCCTGCTCAACGCTTGAACTTTCGTGAATGCTAAGAAAGATGCGGCAGCGCCACTATTTGTTGAATCAAGAACTCTCAAAATAAAACAGAGACTAGTGCCTTTGACAGAAAATGACTGATACTCTATTAAGGAACTGCCCGAACAATACGATCACGCAGAAAGAGGGGTCCTTTACCTTTGATCGTACCTCTATGAATGTATCTCCTCAAAGCTGATAGATGTGGAACCAGCTTCGAGTGTAATCTGCCATAATTTATGGAGAGCAGAATCAATATTCAGTAGAGATAGAGCCTGGATGGAGTTTTTTTTAGATCATACGGGCACCTGTATTTGAAAAATAGAAACCTTAGACTGTAACTTTTAAATTAATCTATCCTGGCTGATATATCTGTAGTGTATCGTTTCTATTTTTTAATGTGCGTTGCTTATTTTCTATATACACATGTTTTTATAACGTACTAACTCACTCAATACCTCCTATGTTAATACAAGGGAAAAATCTCCTGTACTCATAGACCGTCTTTATCGGACATTCTTTCCACTTTTAGATTACTGTAAGGCCTTATGATCATAAGGATCTGATCTTATTGTTTCAATCTCATAAATTAATCCCAACTTTTTTCTTTGTTATGAAATACCTGTTTTCTCTGTATTGCAGATGACAAGATACTTGCCAGCATGACATTCTGTCTCAACACGGGAAGCCAAACTAGGAGCATAGATGAGTCTTTTGGTACATGAATAGGATAATATCTAACCTTATCTGACGACAGTAAGATAATACTGGGGTCGATCGACGTGGGCCGGAAAATTTTCGGTTATCGCCAAATTGCGGTGACGACTGCTTAATCTTTGCTGCCAGCAACCAGGTACCTATTTAACTTTCCTTCGGTCGTGAAATTTGCGTCTACATTATTATTGTATGCCAGAATTGCCTAACAATTCTTTTGCCCTCTCTCTCCTTCTTTCTTACCTGGACTAAAATTTGTGATATCTTGATACTGATACCACATTCCAATCCAAGATGTCAGACCAAGAAGTTTTTGATGCATTGCAACAAGCACGCAATTTGAATGACGACCAAGCACTGCAATTGCTCGAGTCCACTATTCACAAATGCGAACAAAGTAATGTTGACTCTAATCTTTTCTGTAAAGTCAGAATTTTGAAAGGTGACCTTCTATTAAAGAAAGGTGATGTTCAGTCTGCGGTTAGCGAGTACCAAAAAGCTTCCGAGTTAGATGAGCGTGATGGGAAGATCGACTCTCCAGAACTAAAGACAAAGTTAGACTCTTTGATTAACAACGTTACCAGCCAATTGCAAAGAAATGTCAGCGAGAACAACACCTCTTCTAACGAGAGAGATTTGTCTTCTTTATTACTAGGCCAGATTGCAGGCGCATCAGGGTCCAATTCCTCAAAGCTGTCTTTACTGTCTACCCTTATGAGTTCGGGGGGTGGGAGTAGTAACAGTGGAAGCGGTGGTTTCATGTCACTCGTCCAAAACTTAGCATCTAGTGGCGCTAACGCCAACAGCCAGAAGGCCTCTGGAGGGTTCAATGTTTCTTCATTGTTATCAATGGCTTCCGGTTCCGGTTTAATGGGAGGGAGTGGTAATAACCACGGTTCTGGTCCTGTTGCGGGTGCTTCAATGGGTTCGTTGGTTGGAATGTTGATGGGTTCGGGATCTAGTCACAACAACAACAACAACAATAATGGTTTCAACAATAGCAACAGTGGCTACAATAGCGGTTACAACAACAGCAACAACAATAACACTGGCTACAATAATGGCAATTCTAACTCTCAATTTCAATCCCATTCCGGCAATAATAACAACCAGAACAACTATTCGAACGAAAACGGCTATGGTCATAATAACTACAATAACTCGCAAGGCGGCTTCAACAACGGATACAATAATGGCGGCAACTACGGTAACAACCAGAATAATAACAGCAACTCTTACCCAGACCAGGTTAATAGTTACAATAACAGCGGTTCAGGCTACTCCCAACAACAACAAGGCGGAGGTGTTGGTGCTTCTTTAATGCACATGGCCGAGAATTATATGAGCCAAAATAGTGAAGGCTCCTATGGACATAACAGCAACCAAAATCATGGTGGTAATCAAGGTTATGGTGGTAATCAAGGTTATGGTGGTAATCAAGGCTACGGTAATGGTAATAGCGGCAACGGTAATTCAGGGAGTGGCACCGCTTCTACGTTGATGAACCTAGCCAACAAATTTCTTTAACAGGAGGAACTTAGTGTAAGATAATAAATTATATACACAAGCGTCTGAAGTAATCGACGACTGAGATACAGATAAGAAACAAACATAAGTATGGATGATGCCAAAAGTATCCAATAAGTAACGGTTAATACGAAGGCAAATATCCATCGCGTAGACAATAGTCGTGGTTAACATGCTGCAAGGGTAGGCCCCTATTCAGGGACCTCGGACTTGCTCGAAATTTATTGGCGTACTTTGTATCACATGACCGTAAAAGCCGATATGTTCCTCAAACAGGCAATATTTGAAAGGATCAGCTAAAAAAAAGTGATAGCATGTAGTGTGTCACCATAGTGCTGGTGAGGTTTCAGCTAGTCGTATTTAAGCAGCAATTGGCCCACAATTCAAGCCGTCTGCTAAGGGGCTTTTTTGGAGCCACTTAGCCAATGCAATTTTTTATCTGTTGCTTTACTTTTTTTTGAAACAGCGATTAATTTATTAATCATTAGTTAATGATGGAATAGGGAATAGGGGAAAACGATTTAAAAATGTAAATATCCTGAGTATTCAAGAAAAGGATTCAGGATTATGAGAAAAAACCAAAAGATTACCAGCTTTGCATTTCTTCAAAATACTCGATTTTATGAGTAGAAAGGTCTAAACTGTTAGCAACGGTTCTTCTAACGTCATCAACAACCTGTGTGTGAGCACATGCACCAAAGGCAACAGAGCCGGTAGAACTTGCAATCTCTGAATTCACAATCTCAGCAACCGACAGACGACCGTGCTTGATTTCAACAAAATCAAGTTGCTTCAAAATATCATCCTTCTCAACGGAATCGACATCAGACTCCTTCTTTTCATTGTCATCACTTGAAGTTGAGCTGGAATTGTTTTCTGGCTGACTGACAAAGATTACTGGCTTTAGCTGCGTATCTTTGAATGTTAATAATTCTGGGACAAACCATCTAATGCATTCGTAAGTGCGGACGCTCCAGTACAACTTGACTTCTCTGTTTGAATCGCTTTGCACAAGCTTCTTAGCATGGAAGTAAGGACCAGCAATACCAGTACCACCAGTAATAAAAACGGTTTTGTCATAGAAGTGGTATGGTGATTGCTCACCATAGTAACCGTCAACACAGATTTTCATCGAAATCTTATTATTGCCACTTGATTTGCATTTGTCGGCAAGGAACTTGGTCATACCCTTCTTGACACGACAAGTAAAAGTGACTGCACTATCCTGAGTTTCGGAAGGATAAACAGTGAATGGATGTGATTGCCAGAATCTCAATGGGGTCAAGAAGTGAATGAAAGCGTGTGAGCCCGGAGTACCCTTGAGGATCTTAGACGCTGGAACGGTGATCTTCAAGACGTCTTCACCAGGGAATAGCTCGATTTCAGCGGTCTTTGGACCACCAAACAGAACAATACGAACAAATCTAACAACAGTGTCAAAGATCCAAACTGCGCAACAAGCCCAGTAGAAGTCCTGGTAATCTTGTGAGTATGCGTGTCTCCATGCAGTCCATAAAAACATGACAACCAAAACAACGTGGACGGCAAGGAAGAGTTCGTAGTAGAATCTTCTGATTGGTCCAGCCGCAAGAACAATGATGATAGCAGCACAGACACAAGCAGTAATACCTTCCCTATACCAGTCAGTACCGAAACGAGTGAACTTGTCCAGCGCATAGGTTTGAGAGGCCATAGCAAATGCGTGGATGAAGATTTCCATCATGATGATTCTACCCAACCATTTGTGGAAAGTGACAAACCTACTGTATTTCCATCTAGTGATGTACTGGAAAAAGTTGTTTCTACCTGGGAAGATGAACAAAAGAGGCATTTGGTAGGAAAGCATGATACACGCTCTGTCACCATAGTATCTTGAGGTACCAGCTTGATAGGTTGCAAATACAGTGTCTCCAGGGTAGTAGTTGAACCCAATGATCGTGCAGCATAAGATGGAGTATAGGAACATAATGAAGATGAAAAATGCTTCGATTCTATCAGGGTTTATACCTTGCAGCTTGTTCACATGTAGATGGTTGCCAATCAAACCGAGAGTGAAGTACTTTCTGAAGAAGTTAGGCACTCTACCGACAACAGCGTTTGAGTAACGACGGGACAGTCTGAGGGACCAGTTGATGAGACCAGCCAAAAGGGTGACTGCACCGACTGCAGAGACAAAGGCAATACCCATGTAGTGGGAATTGTTGACGTTGTCCCATCTGTGCTTGTAGGAGATGAAGTTGGTGTATGCAAGTTTCTTGAGTTTTTTGCCGGTGACAGCAAACTGAGGGCTTGTTTTGTTGAAGGAGGAGTCAGATTCGATGTTGACGATGGTGGAGTTGTACTTGACGAGGTTGGCTTTGATCTGGTCCGATGTCCAAGTCTGGTTTGCGTTTTCTTGGCACATTTCCACGATCTGCTCGTTGAAGCCGGACTGGTCCACCTCTGGGAAGGCCGAAGCGCAGTATGCCCAGGACGCCATGGCGTACTTGTTTTTGCAAATGCACTTGTACTTCTTGGCTAGTTCTGGGGTGCCACAGAAATCTGCACTCTTGTCGACGGCCAGCTTGCAGCCGATTGCAGCATAGTAGTCGTCCGTGTATCTTGTCCACTTATCGGCGCTCACGAGGGTGGCCAGGAGAGTCGCTTCGAGTAAGTGTCCGAGCTTCATGTTCTGTGAATGCTTCTGTGGAGAAGTAGCGGAAACGAATGCTGATCACTTGATGTAAGTCCGAGAAGGAGAAGAAAAAAGAAGGAAAAGAAGCAAGAAACGAAGCCAAGCAAGCAAAAGAGGAAGGACGAAGCAGGCCTGAAGGTTTAAAGTGGCAGATCAACCTTCAAGAAAGGAAGGACAGCGGCAGACTTAGCGACCAACGGGAAGACACTAAGATATAAGTAACAGAACAAAGCAGGAGCCCGTGAAGGAGCAATCGGCGGAAAAGCTGTCTTTGTGGAAAATCCTTTGCCAACCCGCCAGACAAAGCACCATTCATTACTGTTTCGGCGAATCCAAGAGGCCGTTTCCATCTTCAACAGCAGAGTTGCTCTCCGTCGCCGAAGACGTGCGGTGCTGCAGCTGCTTTGCACCAATCTTGCGTCCAGGTTTCTTCGAATGAGGCTGCTACAAAAAGCAACCCCGAAAGCCACCCTTTGTATCCATTCTTCCTGCTGGGGCCAGGCCTATCCGGGCTGACAGCGCCTGTCCGTAAAGACAGAGACTCCTCAAAGGCCCATCCTGAGGCCTGTTAAAAACGATATGTCCACAAAGTCCGGTGCCTGTCGCATGCTAGCCCAATCGCGTCGCGCTATTCTGCGGGTGCAGACGAGCAGCTGGTTGCTCTTGTGACAAGATTTGGCGCCTGGCGCAGACTAAACAATAGGGCGGCGGGAGAGCCGGCTGCTGGGCAGAAGGGCAGCTGGTGTTGCTGCAGGGGTTTTTTGCGGAGATGGGGGCCACCATTGGCGGGACGTCGGGATAGAGATCGGGAGCACAGGGAGTCTGTTTCGTAGATATTTGAGGCAAAGCGCACGTTGCAAGGCTGCACGTTGCACGTTGCACGTTGCTGGGTTGTAGGGTTACAGGGTGGGAGCGGAAGTGCACGGAAGCCGGCAAATGAGCCAGCAGATGGTCCGGCGTTGCGGCCTTGGCTGCAACTCTCACGGCGGCCACCCGTTGGCAGGATCTGAGCCGATCTGAACTGATCTGCGTCCGCCGACAAGACGGCTAGAAGATAGCGCTGCCCGTACAGCAGCCCCCACCTCCTGTGGCCGTTGCAAAGGCAACGCAATCTAGCCAGCCGGGGCGCCGGCTGGAGGCATATCTCCTCGCTCGGAGTCGGCGCGTCGAAAATACTAGAGATAGATGGATGAGTGAAGATTACCTTTGATCCTATTTCCTATACAGAGCAACTAAGGGGTCGGGCGCCCTACTTCTTCAAGCGCTTGTTTGGGAGCTTGTTTGGTGGGAGCCCGAACGAACGCTTGACAAGCGGGGCAGCGTTGATGAGCGTGTTGGAGGCGGTTGGGGACCGCACGCCGAGATGGGCGTTTGCCGGCACAGCACTGGTCTTGTCGCCAGCTGGCGGTGCAGCGGGGGCAGCGGGGGCAGCGGGGGCTGCCGCTGACGGGTCCGGCGTGTTGCCTCCCTTGGCGTCCTGGGTATGTGTGGTGGCCGGCGCTGCTGCGACGGCGGCGGCTGCACGCCGCTGCTTGTTTTCCTTGTTGTCGTCGTGCCTGATCTGCGACTTTTTCACGGGCAACGACTTGCTGTGGTTGATGAAGGACGACTTGTTGATCTGCGTCGAGGAGAAAGACATATCGTACTTCAGGGTTCTCTGCAGCGACGGGTCGTGCTGTATCGTGTCTGCGCTCGTCGCAGAAACGAACGTTACCTGCTCGGGGATGCTGCTGGTGCTATTATTGGCAGTGTGCTGCTGTGAACCCGGCTTGGATTTTGTGCTCAGCGTCGACTCCTCCTGCATGCCGCCGCCGCTGGCGCCGGCGGCCTCGTCCTCGAAATCGGAGTCGGGCAAGTCTTCATTTTTCACAAAGTTGTTCGAGTCTAGAATCTGGTCATTGATCTCCTCCTCATCCTCCGGCCAGTCGTCGCTGAATATAAACGAGTCGTCCCCCTCGTCTTTCTCCCGGTCCCCTGAAGCACCCTTCTCGTTCGCCGACTTGTGCTTGCCCTCTCTGCGCTTCTCGCCTTCCTGCTTGCCCGGAGAAGATCCAGGTCGTCTGATGTTCCCCTGGGCAGAAGCAGCTTCCCTCGCCTCTGAAGCGGTACTAGAAAGGGCAGCCGGTGCACCCCTTGCCTCCGGAGCCGCCCTGTTCATGCGATATTCATGTTCCGTCTTCGGTGTGATCGTTTTCGGGACAGTCGTGGACCGTCTCATCAACGAGTTCGCGTCAAACTTGACTGGCTCCGATGCAACCTTAGTGATCTGCTGGAGAAACTCCTTGTCGTAGAGACAGTTCCCTAATGCATTACCGAACTGCCGCAACGCACGCTTCATTCCGTCCGTAAATGCCTCTTTTTTGCATTTGTCAAACGCCATAGCTTTTCCACGGCAGTTCTCTATGGACCCGTAACCTACGTCCTCGTGGAACGTTCCATCCTTCAAAATGACTCGCACAATGCAGCTCAATCCCAAACTGATCGCCCCGTGCTTGTCTTCGATGTAATCCACTTTGAATTCTTTAAGTTCAGTGCTCCATCCGTTAGGTCCAAAAATTTCGTTCGCTAGATTGATTGCCTTCCACCCTTCCAAGTACTGAACACTGTTGTACCCAGGACCTTTCCTTTTACTGATGAACTCGGGGCCTAGCTTCTTACTTAATGCTGTCTTCATCTCTTCCACTTCCTTTATTGTGTAACCTGGCGTGGCATGCCCGGAGGGCGCCTGCAACTTTTGTCGTTGATCGTTCCCCACGTTCTTGTACATTCCCAGTTATAATGACTCTAGCGTCAGCTGTTTATGTCTGTGATGCGAACCTCAACTTTGTATCCCTATTTTTCCAGGTTAACTGTACCTCAATATAACGCGTTATATCTTTCTTTCCTGATGGCAACTCGCCTTGACACATAAACAAAGGCCAAATCCGTCGCTTCACTGATTTTCTCGCATGGAATAATTTTTCTACTTCACCAGGTGTATGGATCATTTGGATTAGAAGCGTAATGAGTAGCTTGAAACTATTGCCAGCCCACCTTATCCGATTGGCAATCTTTTGCAATCGTCAAACACGATGTCTACATTCTATGGCTCTAGAGGGGGACAACCCTCTTTTCCTTCACAGGCAAATGCTTTTTCAAGCAAGCCGAACAAAAGCAACCTCCCAAATAACAACATTCGATTAAACATATCAAACACAGGAATAAACGCTAACAGACCGAGGACTATAAAGTCTTACAAGTCTATTTTTGAAAAGGTTTTTTACAACAGAATGAAATTTTACCATAGATTGTCTGCAGTGCTGGCTTTGATCATTACAATACTTCTATATATACCTTCTAAAAGCAATGCAATTTTTATCCCTGTAAAGTTCATTCTTTTATGGACAGGATATACTTTTTTCCAGCAAGCACGTATATCATCCTTAACAATTGAATCATCAAAAGCATCAAACCTTATTCAAAAAATTGTGTCACTGTTCTGCTCAAAAAAATCTTACATTTTAGGGGGGACCATCCTACTGAACAACCTACTTGTATCACTAATTCTATACGCTCAATCTGATTCTTCACTAAATTATTATATCGAAACACCTACAAAAACAATAAAGCCCTTTGTAAACGACAATTTTGCATTCTTTGTTTTCTTCACCATTGCATCCTCAATCATTTATTCATTAAATTATATAATGTCAGAAAAATTCCTTTTACAAATACCGATGGGAACGTATAGGCAAGAACCAATTAGCTATTTGAAGAAATTGCCACATTTGAAACTATTAGTCTTGACCACTTTGAAGTCAATCTTTGCGTTTTTTGTGATTCCCCTCACTTACCATGTTTTTTTTCGTGACATCTTCTTCCAGACCTTTTTGAAACCTTTAGTTCTTTTCAACGATCTGAACAATCAGTTACCAAGGTCAGACTTCAGCTTTAAACTTTTATTCAAGTTGTCGTTTTACTTCTGGATAGAATCTCTATCATATGATTTGTTAAATGAGTTCTTCAAAGCATATGCTCTGGTAGGCTGCTTAGTGGTAAAAACCCCAATAAGTCATTTCAGTGATACTCCGTTCCAAACCTTATTATCAGGGATTAAAGACTATGAAAATTCCATAGTACGTTTAACTGCATACCAGGAATTGGTTTATTTATCTACAAGCACTGATTTTAAGGACCGTCAAGTATTTTATCGTGCCGACAACTGGAATTTGATTTTAGCTGAGTTTTTCTTTGTCCAGACCAATGCTGCTCGATCAGCCAGAGCAGATCTTCCAAAACTGAAATCGACTGACAACCTGAAAAAAGAAAGACTTGAAGGTATAAAAAAGCAGGCCAGCATATTTGGAAACCAAAGTAAAGACAAAAAGAGTTTTGATTTTGATTTCGACTTCGAAATCAACGAAGAAGAGAAAAAGGCTGATGTAGATGTCACAGTTGTGAAAAATGACAGCGATGCCATATATACTAAACCTGAACCAAAAGCGGAACAAATATCAGAATTTGAGATTCAATATAATACTGCTGTTACTTCGTTATACACATTTATGGACGGATTGAAAAATAGAATTCAACGATATGTGAAAAACTATCTTAACATTCAATCTCACAGTTTGGGGGATACAACTGAAGCAAATTCAATCACCTATCAACTCGATGTGCTCTATGCAGATTTTTCAAGTTTCACACGACATCTATTTTTTGGGGACATTACTGAGCAATCTAACAAGCGGATTCCAAATAAGGAGATAGTAGGTTTCAGTATAATTGCCCTAACAGAAATGTTGATTCATGCAAAGGTAGAGGACAAATACAACACAGTGACAGGAACGTTGACAGAGTCATTGACTTTGTTGACAAAAGTTTACAAGGGGACTTCCGAATTCTTGAACAATCCCCCTGCTGGATTGAGCGGTAAGAGAGAGTGTTCTATAATGGTGATAAACGAGCTGACTATAAGCTATTTTTTCAAGCTAGTGATATACTACAACAATATATTGAATGACTTATTACTACCGCCTGAAGTATTCAAGCTAGCAAAGTGGTGTACAGATATGGCACTTGAGCAACAAAGAGAACAGAAATTTACTACAAATATTTTACAATGAAATTACTATTCCGATACTTAGTGCAATTCGCATGTAGCGACTTATTGTTTTTTGTCTGTACATCAAGCTGTATATGAAAATACATAATTAGGTGATAGAGATGAAGATATGTATATTTCTCTATAAATACGTATTCACAAGTTCGTGTAATAATTTACAAACAGATTTTCCATAGCTTTTCAACTTTTTTTTACCGAACATCATTGCTCAGAATTTGTGTTTTTCGTAGCATCTGCAGGAAGTGAGTCCAACAAAACCGGCTTCAAAACGTGTTCATCAAAATTCGTAAACCATTTTGCGTGCTCATCAACACTGAATATTTCACTCAAATGAATACCAGAATTTGAGGGACTGTTTGTAGACGGAGACTGTCGGATGCTCTCGCTACCAGCTGCACCTACACTAGCATTCAAATCTATTGCAGGTGAAGTTAGCTGATTTGTCATTTCAAAAGAAGATTTGGGAAACGAGGCAAGGTTGTTAGCGGATGATTGAGGAAGCTCAACTTCAACCAAGGAATTTGGAACAGCCATTTCATCCTCAGAAGGTGCTCTGGATCTCGAGCCCGAAATATTGAATTTGTCGAAATACTGTGAGCTTGAAGCCGAGTTCAGATTCATGTTCAAAGCGTTTGCTGCATTGGCATTTGGAGTGTGTGCGGGCATTTCTATATCAAATTCATCGTCACTTACATCTTCTTCAATGCATCCTGTCTTGATATTTAACATTTCTAACATACCAGCTGTTGTACCACCAAACAAAATGACAGTCAATACGACGACAATCAGGACAGTTGCCAATAAGGCAAATTTTGCCTCTCCTTGAAGACCCATGGCTAATGCCACACCGACAGCACCTCTTAGTCCAGCCCAGAACTGCATCATCTGATAATTATAAGGAATTTCATCTTGAGCAACAGATAAAGAGGTCAATCCACGGGCTTGCTTTCTATTACGTGAAAACCAGTTGATAAATCTTGAAAGCGGGAAGACTGCAGCCCATCTTGCAACACAAATACAAGCAAATGTGACTATGATCAAAAGGGGCTTGAAAACCAATTCCACTTCGGTAAATAGAGACAAACCAAGATAAATAAAGATGAAATTCTCCGATAGTTGTGCAAGCAATTGGAAAATGTATTTTGTAGCTATTTGGGTACGGCGAGACATGTTGTAATAAGCGTAATGTTTCATAGTGATACCACAGAAAAGTAACGATACAATACCTGACATATGACAGCCGTTAGAGAAAAAGTATGATTCATAGGCAAATAACAAGACCAAGCAAGTTTCAATTTGGGGATATCTGCGTATGTGAGAATGCTTGAGAACCAAAGCAATCAAGACACCCATTACCAAACCAATCAAAGTGGATATCGTGAAGGTTACCAAGAAAAGTGAGATACCTTCAAAGAAGGAAGAAAATTGAGCGTGTTTTCCATGGAACTTTTGACAAGTTTCGAACATAACAATGCAGATCGCATCGTTCAACAAGGATTCACCAAAAATTATCGTATATAGTTTAGGATCAACCTTGTAGGAATTGAAAATGGATAAGATGGTGACCGGATCTGTGGCAGACAACGTAGCACCAACTGCCAAGGCATCAACGAATGAAATGTTGATGCTCTCAAATCCCAACTTCGTGTAAATGAATAAGATGATTCCCACAACAATCGAGCTAATAAACGTACCTGGAATGGCAAACGTCAGGATTGAACCTATATTTCGAAAAAAATTGGCTTGGTGCAACTCGTAACCCGAATTCAAGATGATGGGAGGAAGAAGAATATTGAAGAAGTAGCTCGAGTTGAACTTGACCGCATCCTGGATGTAGTGACCAGGAGAAACACGAATAACCAACCCTATCACCATACCGTAGAAAATCGACAAGACTGTCTCGTGGATCGCCTTGATCCTCCTCTGTTGCAAGTAGTATGAGGACCATAATGCCGCACATAGCAAGAAGAAGACAATGAATAACGCCCACGACGAGAATATCTCCTCTGCGACTGGGTTTACGTCGTCTAAGTTATTGTCGTCGGGCAAGTTGATGTCCGGACTGTCATCAATTGGCGCTTCGTCGATCGGATTGTCTATTCCACCGTTTTTGTTTCCGACAGAAAGCACCGACTTTTTGGCCAGCACAATGGCGGCATTCAGCACGATACTGTAGACCAGACTCTTCATCGAATGTGCCCTGAGACTTCTGCGGTTTCTGACTCTAAGGAATCTGTTCTGTGTTCCAATGTACAACTGAACAATGAGGCATCACCCCGTTTATGCGAACGAGGAACGCCTAGAATCTGCGGAATGCGTACCTGCAATTATCATGGTAACTGACTAGCCGCTGTTATTATCACCAACTCGGGTGCGACGCGTCGATCACGAACTAAGCCTCAAGTATCGTCGAAGGCTTCTTCGTATTTCGTGTTGGGGGAGAAGTTTACCAAGCCACTTCATAGCACACTCTTCCTGGACAAGTCAACCGCGTAAATCGGCGTGAATGTCTTCTTCCTTGAAGCCGTATTACATTCTTGATGGAGCAATAATGCTGAAGCAATTGTATGCGGCGTGGAAAAGTACTGGAGACTGTTGTGTGGACCAGTAGTTTCGGAAAGCCCACTGCACCCACCTTATATACTCTGCGACCCAACCGTTACGTTTTGTAGATTGCTAAGCTCAAACTTACGCTTAAAAAGTCACTTCAAGAAAACAACTGCAAGTATACAAATTAATAAGCAAATTGTAGATGAATCTCCTAGCTTGTGGACTTTATGTCTGTTTCATGTTTTCGTTATAACGTTGCCAGTGTCAGAACTTTGCTCAACGGCAACATCAATCTGATACTTTTGGAAGTTGCTGATTGGAATCATATTTTCAAACATGACACCGAATTTTTTTTGTGTTCTTTTCTTATCTTTAGGAACGGAGCAAAATGTGAACACTATAGAGATAAGGCTGAACTTAGTGTAGTCAAAACCTACCTTCTTTTGCAATCCACCATACTGGTCAAAGGGAAAACAAGACACAATCCTGTTGGTATTTTCTAAGCACTAGAATTTTCAAATTAGGCAGTAGCATTAGTTATGGAATAAATGATAAGATTTCCCACCCAACTGAAGGTCGAAAGCCATCAACTGCAAACCCCTTATATTAGCTGGAATGACTTCAGTTTGAAGCATTGTTAAATTTGATGCTTTTATTCCAACATCGAAATAGTTTGATACTCTCCCAGTAAGCCTTTGCTCTTTTTTGAAGCTGATTGTTTATTGTTGCTACCAAGCTAAACAATTTCTTGCAAGGACTGGTTTTCTTTGCGGTCCCAATTGTCACTGATCATAGCTCTTATGATAATTCCAAAAGCAACACCAATATACTGTAAATTATTCAAGTATGATGAGACCTTTGGTGCTATTTATATAAACACCAAGTTCTGAAAATAAATTGCCGAAATGTTTCAAAAAGCTATCGATTGCTTGCGTAGTGGCATATCCTTGATTGTCAAACCCCCATGTGGAGGATTCTGAAATTAAGCGTCAGAAACTTAGCCCTAGGGTAAGATTTAATTGCTTTCCAAGATTATCCAGTGTATCTAAGTCAATCATGTTTTTTTCATGTTTTTGTGCTGAATACATTTTCCAAAAAAAGTCCAAACAGTCTAGAGTACACAACCAATGTAAAAATTAGACTGGAAGCAACATTTATGTAAAAAGATATTGTTAAGCATCAATTTTAGAGACTCGCAGAGACCCCATCTTAAATACCAGATATTAGAAAAGCTCTTTGGTCTCTTTTATAAATACAATGGTCGACTTTTCATTGCAACACTATAGTTGACGCATCTTGGGTATTCAAAGATTTGGCCAGATGATTAATGCCATAGTTTACAATTCAACTTTGAAGCTTCTTCGAATGGGAGAAACAAAACTCTATGGGAAGAGGAATAGTGCCATTCAAATTGGAATGACTTTTATAATCAATGATCAAAATGACGACATATTAAACAGTTTACGAGAGAGGAAACTAGAGACAAAGACGTATACACTTTTTTACTAAGCGAAGTGGTCAAGCGGTTTTTCAATCTCTTTAGTGGCTCAATCATTAATTGTTGCAGGCCATAGTATCCCAAAAAAGCAAACTAAAAGCACTACCTACAAATTGGTTGATTCTGAGGAAACCAGCTGCCAGCATTATTAAAATTGCGAGTGAATATAATTTCACAAAGTCACACAGTAGTGTGTACCGTATCGAAAGATTTGAATAATGCGTAGTTTGGAAGCATTCTACGAATTACTCTTATCAGCTGCACTGCGCTGCCCGTTTGTTCCATGCCTAAAAATAAATGACTAACGTTTGAGAGTGAAATAACTATTGCACAAAATATAACCTTATCCACGACTTGTTATGTTGTACATGATCCATTTCACGGACTTCTCAGCCTTAGACAGATTTGACTATAAACCAAACTAACTTTGTGCTCTCATGCAGACAAGCATTGGGTAGAAAAAAACGTTAATGCCACACATGAGCCAGGTCTCACGTGACTGGAAAGTTCTTCAACCAGACAACAAATTGCTTTTTTTTTCAAGCTAGATTACCAAAGTACCTGAGTATTTTTTTCATTCATTTGCTTTTTTGAATTTCTCATTCTTTTTAATTTTCACCGTCCTCCTTTTTTTGCGTTTTTCCTCACCGCTAGGATCAACATAAGACCGACACGACAATATTTACTGTTTACTCGAATCTGTGTTGACAAAGCCTTCCATCTCTGACTCTTTCTGAGTTTTGGTGTTTCAGGCCAAAGCAAGACCCGTATTCCTTTCAACACACAATGGCTGGCCGTCCTATCGTTATCTCTGGTCCTTCAGGTACCGGTAAGTCCACTCTTTTAAAACGTTTGATGACAGAATACCCAAACACCTTTGGATTTTCCATCTCAAACACCACCAGATCCCCAAGACCCGGCGAGAAGGACGCTATCGACTATTACTTTGTCACTGTTGAAAAGTTCAAGAACATGATCAACAACAAGGAGTTCATCGAGTGGGCGCAATTTTCCGGCAACTATTACGGTACCTCGATTGCTGCTGTCAAACACGTGTCGGAGTCTCTGAAGAGAACATGTATTTTGGACATCGATATGCAAGGTGTGAAGTCTGTCAAGAAGACCGACTTGAACGCCAGATACCTGTTCCTTTCTCCTCCCTCGATCGAGGAATTGAAGAAGAGATTAGAAGGTAGAGGAACAGAGACCCCCGAGTCTCTTGCCAAGAGAGTCGGTGCAGCATCTGCTGAAATGGAGTATGCTAAGACTGGTGCACACGACAAGATCATCATCAATGATGACTTGGAGAAAACCTACAAGGAGTTTAAAGAGTTCATCTTCTCCGAACCAGTTTGATTTACACTTCTAATTTCCTCTTCCCCCACCAGTTTTGTAATTGGTTGCAACATTTTCGTGTCTTCACTTTTTGTAGTAGCGTAAGAACCTTATTATACACAGTGTAAACTTGCATTCCAGACAAACGCAGACTGAGGAGTCACAAGTTGTGGATGTCCAGCGCCCTCATCTTACTCAGGATCTCGTCCAGCCTGCTGTCCAACTTGCCTGACTCGTGGTCCTCCCTCGTCGCACCGTCGATCTGGACATCGTTGTTGAACTTCTCCTGCAGGTCTGTGTAGAGCTTGAGCTGAATCTTCATGAAGCTCTCGAAAGACGGGTCCAATAGTGAAAACCGCAGAGCAATGTACTCGTCTATCTCGTTTTTCAGCCGCTGATTGATGTCGGTGTAGATGTCGGTGATGCTCTTGTCCTCGCTCTTCAACTTATCCAGCTTCTCCTTGTACTTCTCGAGCTGCGTGTTCGAGTTCACCAAGGCGTTGCTGTTTGTGCTGTTCTCCTCTCTTAGCGAAAGCTCCAACGAGTTGTACTCGTTCTGGAGCTTCTCGAGCTTGTTCTTCGACACGTCAAAGTCAAACTTCTTCCTTCCTCTCTTCTTGATCAACTTGTGGATCTCGTCGTTGTACTCGTTCAGCTCCTTGATGGGCTGGAAGACCGTGATGTCCAGCGGCTCGTTCAGCTGCGTCAACACCGTTAGTCGTATGTCGTTCAGGTTCCGCAACAGCGTCAACGAAATGCCGTCCCGCGGATTGACCCTGTCTCCAGCGCTGCCGTCGCTCTCTATGTTGATGCCCACCATGTTGTCCGCCTCGATGTCGAAATTGTAGTCCCCGTAGAACGAGTCTAGCGCCTTCACGAGCTTGAACTGCGTTTCAATCAAGTCCACGAAGATGTCCTTGAAGTTGCCGAGCTCCGCGTTCAGCTCTGTCATGAGTCGCTCGAACACGAGAAAGCTCTTCTCCTTCTCGTCGAACTCAGCATCCACCGACGACTCCTTCACCTTGCTTGTCTTCATGATCACATGGGCACCCGCCCTGTTGACCGCCTTCTTGAACCCCGACCACGACATGCTGTGCTATCCAATGATGTGTTCTCCTGCCTTGTACCCTACAGTCCTGTCGATCGCTACCGTCCAGTTCCTGGTCAAAGAAAGACCCCAACTAATCAGCGGATAGCTCTCTTGAGCTGAGCTTTTGGCTGAGCTTTTTGGCTGAGCTTTGGCAGGCTCGGACTGTACGTCCTCCGTCTGATGCCTGTTTCATATCTCACCCCCCCGGTCACGTGCCCGCATTCCCTCGCCGACGCCGACGGCTCCCCCTCAAAGACACCAGCCTGAGAAAATGCCGCCCCCGCCCGGCCCCGCCCGCGAAACAGCGAAATAGCCTACGCACACCGCTCCGCGGCCGGCAGGAAGCTCGGTACGAACCGGGAACTCGCCGAGAGGGGCTCCGCGGGCCTCCGGCTTGCAGGCCAGCGCGGCGACGGTGGCAGGGCGTGCTGCCGACGCCGACCCTCGGCATTTTGGGGCTCGCCAAAGATGCGCATGGGAGGGAAGGCCAAGAGTGCTGTCGGCCTCGGTGTCGGTGACGGGCGTGGAGCACAGGTCGGCAACGGTGGAATACGAGACGCTACTGCGTTGGCGGGTGTCTATTGTTGCCCTCGTCTGCACCCTGACACATTGTCTTAGGGCGTACGGAGACGGGACCTTGGGCGGGTGCACGCACGGAGGAGAAGCATAGCGGTCCTCCCCGTCTTGTGGCCTGCCTGTCCGGTCCGCCCCACTTATATATAAAGACGTGTCCTCCCTGCTTCCCCGCAACGGCAGCCTCGACGCCGGCGTGGTAAACAGGACCCCGCTGCACGCTTACACCAGCCAGGCAGCACCGTCTTGTGTCCCCGGGCCCCAACAACACAAACACCTTCCTGGCGCTCTTTTAGCCATATAAAATCACTCAGACTCCGTCTACTCCGAAGACACAAATTTCCGTTTTTTTGCCGTGCATCCCATCACAATCGCTTCACACACCGACCCATCCTTCCTCACACCCCCCGTAGCTTCTTCCCACACTACCGGCTGTCATCTCCATCTTGCTGCGCTATCTGCACATCCCCGGTGCCTGCTACCGTTCTTCCGACTGACCTTGTTTCCTCGGTCCCGGTGCGGCCCATCTCTCCTTTGGCACTACACCTCTGATGCTGTCCTCGGCAACTACCATCCCAGCAGCAGCAGCAACAACAGCAACAGAAGCAGCAACGACGACGCCAGCGACGACGTCATCTCCAGCAACCTCCTCCTCAACTGCAGTGGTGCTCCGTTCGTACAATCTGAGAACGCTCACCAGACAAAAGCGAGATAGCTTCAAAATGACGACGGCATCCTCAAGCTCTGACTCCGACTGCTCAGACAAGACCCGAGATCACTCGGTCAACTCGACGTCAGATTCCGATTCCAAACTCAGAAGACGCAAATCAAAATCCTTCTCTAAGAAACCGAAAAAAGAAACTCCGCCAGATAAAAGAAGAGTTAGAACAGGATGCTTGACATGTAGAAGCAAGCATAAGAAATGCGACGAAACCAAGCCTGTCTGCAAGTTCTGCCAGTCGAAAAACCTCCAGTGCATCTGGCCCCACGAAGGAATGTCTCGTCCGGCCCAGCTGAACGACACTTTGAAGCAGATCCTGTCTTTGAAAAAAGTAGATAATAATGAATTGTCAACAATTTCAAACACCTCTGCAAGCCTGCCCGGATATACCCTGAGCCAAAAACTGGGCTTTCTATCAGGCTCCCTCAATTTCAACACAGATCTACATCCCAAGTATCTGCAGCTACCTTCGAACTTTCCTGCCATTTTATCGATAATACCTGCCCTGCAGAGCGGGAACTTCTCATCGAACGTGAGCTCTTTCATCTTCTTCAACGACAAGTCAGTCACCTCAACAAATTCTTTGTTCACGCAATCTTTGACAAACTTGCTTTCAAATTACTTCTTAACAGATCCAACTTATATTCTACATTTGAGTAACCCAAACCACATTCTATCGTTATCCAGAGAATCTAAAGCTTTGACATACGCTATCTTAGCCATAAGTTCAAGGTTGCTGGAACAGTTCGATACGTCATATTCTGGAGAAAATACTTTGGACTTTTATCTTTTAAGTGTACGTGAACTATCGAAATACTTGAGAAATGAGGTCCAGGGAATCCTGAAAGAAAAAGTATCGAGCAAAGAATGCATCTGGTGGACTGTTGTTCTCTTAGCATGGTTTGAAGTCTTCAGTGTAAAGCCAGAGGATTGCTGGGACAGAATCGAGGGAATCATAAATTTTTTCGATTCATTGGGTATTTCCGAAGATACAAAATCCTTCCAAACTTTTACAGGATTGATAATGGTTCCTTGGTGCTGTAAGATGAAATACTTGGAAGACAATTCGGACGACCCTATAAATTCAAATTGCTCTTCCATATTCATTGATTCTTCGGCCGAGTTCAGTCTACGTAAACTTTGTGCATCAAAGCATGATATATTGAACTTGGCATGCCAGTCCTTTTTTGTCAAAGATGAAGTCAAGCAATGGGTTGATCTTTGGAACACCTTGCTCGAATGGAAGTCCAGGACAACAGGTAACGAAGAATTTAAACAACCCGATGGTGCAATCATTCTGGCAGTCGACAAAGACTTATTCAGTTACATTCTATATCACACTGCATGTTATCATTTACTCTCCAATAAGCCAGACAACGTAAGCTTGATCTTCCAAAACCCGAACGACTATTCGACAATCGTAGCATTTGCAATGGGTCAGGATAGACATGATTGTGACAATTTGATCCAATGGCACCGCAACAGGCTTATCAAAATCCTGGAGAGTAACATGATCACCAAAAACAAAAAGAGTATTTATTCTTCTTGTGCCTGCTGGTTTGCAGGCTTTGTTCTTAACGACGACAAATACGACAAAACGGAAATCAAGCATTTACTACAGAAAATCAGTTCATGGTGCAACTTGGAAATCTTCAAATGGCTGATTGAAACATACAACTAAACAATATATTCATTCACACTTTATAGACAATCATATATAGGTATCTCTATGTATACACAGTTATAGAAGCACAAACACACATTCATATGGTATTACAATTTACCAAGCACCATTTTGGGTATGCAGCCGAGGAAAATTGAATATTTCTGGACAGCCAGCGTGTCTCCCTCCTTTGTTGTCGCTACACGCGGTGAAGCTGGATAAAGCATTTTTCCTTTCCTGTACGTAATTTATTGGAGGCTTCATTCCGCATGCTGTCTATTTATCGTGAACTGTTTGCCTGTATGTCCTACTGGTAGGAGCATGCTAAATACAGCGCCAGTACTGTCCAAGTTAATTGTTTGAGGAGGTATTGTATATGCCAATCCATTTTGCACAAGTGTCCAATAGTCGCCCCAGATGCTGGCTTCATCTCAATACAATGGAGTGCTACTATTTGACGATGCCGTGCCCAAAGCTCAAATCAAGTTATCTACTGAAAGGAAAAGCTTGTCAAAGCAGATTGGAGCTCTTGTACAATCAAATCTTGGGAAAACTGTGGCAAAAGATCCAAGCAACCAACGTTTGATCAATGTGATTATCGTGCTGCTAAATTTGGACCTCAATACACATGCCAATGTTCTTTCAGGCTACAAATTTTTCAGATTGTACCAGCTTTCCAGTGAAGGCAAGATGATTACCTGCAAAGGTGAATATAAAAACAAACACAAGGAAATTTCTTTAGTAGGCATGGACAATTACTCGAACACTACTTGCTATCTAGATTCCTTGATTGTTGCACTATTTTACTCAAACTCCTCATTCGATTTCCTACTCGACAAAACAATAGATCCTAATTTATCCTCCGAGTTCCAGCAACAGGTAGAAAGGATGAAAACTGTTTTGCGATTCATAGTAAACTTACTTAGGGCCGGTGAACACATAAATACTAATATAATGTATCAACTATTAGTGACATTGGACTCCTTGGGTTGTGATATTGCCTTGAGCAGGAAGCAGCAGGATGCTTTACAAATCTTTGAATTTCTTGCAGAATCATTATCACTCCCACTATTGACCTTGAAACTAGATATTATTCATACGGGAAAACTTAATGTCAATGATGATTTGAGGTTGATCGGTGAAAGGTCTTTACTGATTTCGATATCCTCTTCTGCTACATCAAATGATAGCCCCATTACGTTGGAAGAGTGTTTGAATACGTATTTCAACAACTCAATTACCGTAAGAAGACATATTGATCAGCAGTTAGGATCCACGTCTGGCAACAAAATTCGTTTCCATAATTCAGACGCCATTTGTTCCTCAGGCGAATCATTAGCTCAAAATAAGGATGAAATTAATGAGTACGAAAAGTTAGGCATTTTAACATCATCCTCATCATCCAAAACGTCAGTGCCCATTCCATCCTCAATTTCGACCTCTTTAACACCATCCATATCTGCTTTCTGGCCAAACACATTACAAACACCGCTTCCGTCTTCCGATGCATCTATTTCTGCCCCTGATCAGTTACCAATAACTCCACAACAGTCATCGCAGGATTCTTCTGTTTCTCCTACTGGGTCTCAACTCACTTCAACCAAATCAATCCTTACCAGGACACCATCCAGTTCCAAATCAAGATCGGATTTTGAGACGCCCACAGGTTCCCAATCTAAGAAATCTCTACCGAATACCGGATCGTCAATCACTGATCTCTCACCCGATAACAACAACTTGACCGCAACTGATTCTGCAACTTTGGATTCTGTAAACTTGATTGGATCATTTAGAAATGTGACTGAGAAATTGGAGAGACAAAGAACGAGGTCCTCGACTCTTGCAAGCGTTTTGAACAATGTTCAATCTATCAATCCCAAAAAGTTAACAAGAAGATCATCTTCAATTTCAAATACTGAGGTTTCCTTACCGGCATGGATGTATCTCCAATTATTACCTTATTATACTGATCCAGAAGTAAAACTCACTGTAGAAAACCACGAGGAGTATTACCGTCGTCGTATTTCACGTTCTAAAACTATAGACTCTGCTCAAAACATTCCTGTTGGATTGCAAGACAAGACTTCAAGCGATGATTTATTCCATACAGATGCAGAGTCATATTTTGGTAGAAGGTTTGCGAATCGAAGGCCAATGGTCCCTATTTGCCTAAAACGTTACATATGGAATGAAAGAGGTCAATCTGTTAAAATTCAAAGAAAAGTTACCATTCCAGAAATCATTAAGTACCCTTATTTTATTGCCGAGGATAAGAAGAAGCCTGGGTATATTGATTTCAGACGTTCATACGATCATCAAGCTCCTCGGGGATCGTTTATGCTTGTATTACAGAGCTGTGTCTGTCATCGAGGAAATTCTACAAATTCAGGTCATTATGTTAGTCTTGTAAGAAAGAGGCGGTTTGATGTTTACCATATGGATGCCAATAATGAATGGTTGCTTTTCAACGATATAGAGATAGGGAAAAATAAGGCCCAGTCCTGTACATTTAAAGAAGCTATGGATAAGGAGAACCCGTATATTTTATTCTATGAAATTTATGAAATCAAAGATGATGGATACCAAACACCTATTGGTGCTAAAGAATCGTATTGGAACAGAAAGCAAAGTGTTAATAGCGGATTTAGCGGCTATTCAGAACAAACACTTCATGAGGAGCCCCAAGAAGAAAATAAGTCTACGAATTCTACGAAACACATGATGCATCTAAGTTTAGCCGGTCTAACACTGAGTAAAAGTCGTTCAAAAAATATTGGTACTGATATGGATGATGTACTAGATGAATATTTTTGGTATGGGGCCTCTTCGGATAGAAATAACTCTAACTTCAAATCAAACTACTCTTTGAATACAAACATCAGTGGGCGAAAAGAAGAAAGTAGTACTGAACAAGCATCCTCTCACAGTGCATCATCTACCACTTCAATTCCATATCCTGAAGATGAGAGCGTACCTCAAGTACATGTGATGGAAGTCGAAGAAAGCACCTCAACAGATATAGACAACTCATCAGAATTTGAGAATGGAAAGATTGAATACTCAGCAGGTTTTCTTGATGATAACAATGATAAATTAAACAACTCTTTACCTTTTAACGATGATGACGTGGACTTTGCTAGAAAGAGACAATTTTTGAAAGTGAGCAGTGGAATTGCTTCTAACGAAGCAGCCATTGGCTCTAGGGCTGGGTTGTACACATCCATCAGTCATCGTGAGCAAAAAAGTAATTTGCTCGATGTTAAACTCACACAAAGCCATAAAAGTGTGGGGACAGTCAATACAGGAAAAACTGTTCATAATGATGAGCCAAGCGGCCAAAGTATTTCAGACGGAGCTGTCAATGCTGCTGCTGCTACTATGACTGCAAAAACAACAAAGAAAAAATCTTCCCTTGCCAGAAAAGGAACAGTAAAAAAACTGTTTAAAAAAGTATTCAGCTGATCTGTACTTATGTAAAAGTTAAATAACATTAGATAAATAAAACATCTCATTGCAATACCATCATCTTCAATCCTGAAAATGTGGGGTTTAGTGCTTACCACCTTTACTTAAAAAGTCTTTTTCGATTTCTTTTGTAAACTGATCCACAAAATCCAAACCTGGATTGTTATCATTCGTCGAGAAGAAGTTAAAAAGCTTCTCACTGGGATTTTTGTTGAAGAAATCATCAAATAATTGTTGGTTAGCACTGCTGAAGTTGATGTTTTCGAGACCATAGTCCATGGGTTGATATGGGTTTCCGGTATTGTTCGTATTTCCAAAATTGGAGGACATGATGCTAGGTCTTCTATTATTACCTGGGTACATCGACGAGTTGAAGATTTGATTGCTCTGGATATCAGGGTTATGCAAATAAGAATTGTGCATATTATCTACCGACTCCTGTTGGAATTCTTGTTGAGATGCTTGCGGTACATAAAGAGTTTGCTTTTTTATTTCCGGAACTGTCCCATTTTGAGCTTGGGTGTTTCCATTTGCGTTCATATTATCGTTGCTATTTCCGTTAGTATTGTCATGTTGGTTTTCATTTTGATTTTCAATTTCATTTTCATTTTCATTCTCTTCCTCTATAGGACCAACATCGAGCTCTGTATCTTTTTCATATTCTCGGACACTGGATCTATTCTCGTTTCTTTCTCGCATTTGGGTCTTGAACTGAGAGCAGAGATACATGAGAATAGTGGAATATCTCGTACACAAATGAAGCTCATCCGGAGCTGCATACCTCAAACAAATGGCTGTCTTTTGTAGTAAAGTAATAATTTCTTCAAGGGGAATTACACTTAATTTGAGAATTTCTCCGTTGGTGTTTTCTTCCTTCTCACCAGAACCATAAAAATCCATATCTTCATCGTTCTTGCCAGAGGCGAATGGTGTGATATCACGATGTGGAAGTTTTTGATCAGCGTGTGTGGTGCCGGAGTCAAAGGAGGTGTTGGTATGAATATCTGTAGTTAGTGTTAAGTAGCACTTCACAATAAATGAGACACTTTTTATAACTCTGGTAACCCAACGAACAGGCATATATTTTAATAGTCTCAGTTTCCTAACTCTTTGGATAACTGCTAGAACCTCCTTGGCCGCTTTATATGCTAACTCAACATATCTCGAATACCTTGCTAGTTCATCGAGTCGCAAGTTCCTACCTTTCTTAGAGTTTCGTAAATTTGCATTAACCGAAGTATCACCCGAAAGTGCCAATGAATAAAGATATAATTTGGTGTAATAATAATCCAAGATAAGGGATTCTCGCTCGATGCTAATGGTCAAATCACGTTCAAGCTTAGAATTTAGCGTAATCAAGTAGAGCCAATCGGGTGACCCATCATCATTGCATGCAGCCAATGGTGCACAGTGTATGTTGGAAGGTTTCAAAAGTTTATAATACTTCCTATACCAATTTTCCAATATTGGAGATAGAATGTCTAGGATCGCCAACGTTTGATACTTGTCCAAGCTAATGAATTTTGGCCTAGTACCGTAAAGTGTTTCATAACACAGTGAAAAGAATTGTAAGAGTTCTAGGTTTGCCTTTTGATAGTGGGAAAATTGATATGCTGGATCATTAACATCGACCTCACTTAATGTCTGTTGTAGCATTGATTTCTTATTCAAACCAACAGCAATATGTGTTTCAGAGACATGGGTAGCAATGAAAATCAAAGGATCTGTATCAAGTAGAAACGACAATCTTGTTGCTGTTCCAATCAACATAAAAGACATTATTTCACTACGCTTCATCGCACTCAATCCTGCGAACTCTTCATCGTTGTCATTGTCATCTTCGGTCTTAATGGAATTACTATCACTACGGCCATTTGCCTTATTTTTAGTTTTACCATTTGAGTTTATTCCCACATTTTTATTTTTACTCCGGTCAAATTTTTTGTTTGCTAAAGAGTCATCTTGTGCACTATTGGCATAATCACCCCACCTGAAATGAATTGCACGAGGATTCCATTCGGTAAACATCAGAAAAGTTAGCAAAGTACCAACACTTCTGCTAGAAGACTCTCCCCACACCGTCATACTCATTAATCGTTGGCAATAAATCCAAAGCTGTTCATGAACGGCCAAATGTCTTTCACCATTACTTGAGTTGACATGTATATCCTTTTCGCCACGTTCAAGCTTTCTCTTTGTAGTATCATCATCGGAAATGTCATCCCAAGCACCCATTTTGTCTGGAAGAGGATTATATCGAGAACTAATAGCCAGTAGAGCGCATAGTAGCATTGGGTAACCTGCTAATGTATCAGGATCTCGTAGCATTTTAGGTATGTAGGGGTAAAACGGATGCATTGTAACAAAAAATATTTTGATTAGTCTTTTGGCTTCTATTTCTGTTAGTATAAATTGAGAGTGGGCATCTTTGAGATCGCTAGAAGACGCTATGTACTCAATGTCTGCCAAAGCCCCTGATGGCCTTTGTCTCATGCTTTGGGAAGTTGTTAGGGGTGGTACAGTCAATCTATCTTCACGTAAAACAGGGTATAATGAATTGTCATGTCCAAAACTATCTAAAATTGGTTCGGTATCTCCTATATGAGAGGGCGAGTTTTTCGAATCAGATGACTGATCAAAGTATGACCCCCTTCTTGAGTCATCTAAGTTATTTGTGTTACTGCTGGACAACGATCTGGGTATAGGAACCGATCTTTCCAACTGAGATAATCTTTCTGCACCGTCGATATGATCTCTACTATCAGCATGGGCGACTTTACCTGCAACATGTGCCAAGTAGATCATGGTTGCATTGTTTGTAAGGCTTTGTATCGAAGAGGTTATCGAAGGAAGATTGGAGTCAGAAGGTTTTGAGGATAGTCTTTCGCTTTTCAATGCGGTCTTCTCGTGATCATATGTCGAGTCATTCGCATCCTCTTTCTCATTTTGAGAATCAGAGAAGTTTACGCTATTACGAGAAGTCAAAGATGTTGGTTTCCTGTTATGAAAAGAGGTTGAGAGGGTTTTGTTCAATAGCAGCGGGTTGGGGTTCATCGACGAAGGAGTCGAAGACTGAGATAAGGACGGTGATTTTGGGTAATCTGTCATGGGACTCTTGTTTGAATCTAGAAGGGGTATAGATTTCGAGTGGAAATAGGGCGACGGAAGCGGCAGAATTGGGTTGATGGATATATCCTGGGCTGTGGAAGATGACTTGTTGTATATTGACGATTGCTGCGGAGTGTAGGAGTTGTGAGCTTTGATCTTGCTGGATCCTCTCTTGGACTCTATGAAGACACACTCTTTTCGTTCTCGTTTGCATCTAGCACACGGTGGGTCGTGGGGGTTTTCAACACTTCCTAGATCACACTTCACCTTCCTTGTACGGCAGTTCAAGCATGCCAAATAGTTTCTTTTGAAGGGAGGTTTCTTCTTCCCATCAAGTTGGGACTCCATGTGGACAATGCCGGTACCCATTTTATCTTTATTTTTCCTTTTCTGGTCTTTCCTCTTTCGGTGATCGTCGGCACAGTATGGAAGCCGTTTTCTCTGGGCTTGACTTGATGGGATGAGCAAGGCGAGTAGACTAGTAGAGGGAAGAAAGTATGCCAATCTGTGTTACAGTTATGCCACAAAAAACAATATTTTTTCGGATAGATGTGGATTGGGAAGGTTATCCGCGGCTAAAGTTGCACGGCTCCATCCACTTTCATGTGGGCATGGGGAGATGGAACAAGATCTGATATTCGGACCCGAAGCGAAATGGACGGGTTGGTAAGATTAGGTTTTATATTTGAATACATAGATATATTTATATATAGATACATATATAAACATATAGACATATGGAGAATATAAACATGCTGATATTTATAAGGATACGAAAGCAACATGGAGGAGAAGAGGAGTGCAGCAATGGGCTGCGTGTAAGCTGTGAAAGCCGGGGACCCACGTTATCGAAAAGACGTGTGTGTCTTCGCTGGCCGGAGCAATCAGATGGCAAACTTCTTTGTCCACTCCTTGGCGGTTGCTTCGTACTTGGCACGGTCTGTCTTGTAAATGTGTGCTATTTCAGGCACGAGAGGGTCGTCTGGGTTTGCGTCGGTCAAAAGCGAGCAGATGGAAAGGAGGACCTTGGAGATGGTCAAAGCCGGGGACCACTGTTCCTTCAATATGTCGAGACAGATGTTACCGTTGGAGTTGATGTTTGGGTGGTAGATTTTGGTTTCAAACTGGATCTTAGGAGGCTTGAAAGGGTAGTCTGTTGGGAAGTGGATGGCGAGGAAGAACACGCCTCCGGCGTAGGGCGAATCTGGGGGCCCGATGATGGAGGCCTGCCAGTGGAACAAGTCGTCACCTACTGGGCCTGCGGAGCATTGTGAAGGAGGATCTCTGCCAATATCTTGGAGTTCCTTGTTGATTCTTTTCATAGACATGTGTGTGGGGTTATTATCAGGGCTTTGGATCTATCGTTTGTTCGTTTGTTCGTTTTTTCGATCTCTGCGGTGGGTGCACAGAACCAGGAAGAGCTCGTTGGGTGTTTATCGATCGGGAAGGAAGAGAGGGTTGGGGGGCGAAAAAAGCGGGAATGCAGATTGCACGAGGCCAGAGGGGAAGGGGGAAGGCGAGGGGAAAAGAAGCAGAAAGAAGAGCAGGAGATTCAACACCAGGAGAGGCAAGAGGAAAGAGAGAGAAAAAACAGGGCAGACCAAGCAGGATCGGAAACGTGAGAGGAGAGATAGTATGAGCCAGCACGAAGCAAGGAAGGAAGGCAGGCCAGTCTAACATGTCTGTTGATAACTAAGCAGCAGCGACAGCGAGCGAGCGAGCGAGACGCCCGGAGACGCACTGCGAGCTGGCCCTGCTGGTCCTGCCTCGTCCTCGCCGTCCTCTCCCTTCTGGAGCATTCCACCGCGAGCCCCCGGTGCACGGGCGCTTAGCCCGCCTACTCCGTCGATCGTCCCGTGCCGTCGATCGTCCCGCGTCGATCGTCCCGTGCCGTCGATCGTCCCGCGTCGATCGTCCCGCGTCGATCGACAGCATTTTTTTGCTCTGCCCCGTCTCCTTTCTGTCCGGGTTTTACACTTTCCGACCCTGCCGCTTCTGCCTGTCTCAATAGTACCGAAGCGAAAACCGTTGTGCCGTTGCACTGCAGCCAGCGCAGCCTCCATCGCGCCGGCGGTGCAGTGGCCGCTTCTGGCCGCGTCGCCCCACTGCCATGCACAGTTCATGCACCCGACCCGACGTCACGGCCTAGTTCTCCTGTCGCCGCCCCTCCGCCTCCCCTCCGCCTTTCCTCCGCCGGCCCCTCGCAGGCCCCATCCACTTCCATCATCCCCTTCCCCTCTGCCGGCCAAGACGCCCCCCACCGCCTGCACACCCTCAATCGGGCTGCTCCTCGCGCCGAAGCCTCGCGCCGGCAGGCAAGAATGGCACGATTGCTCTTCCCCCGACAGTGGCCGGCCACAATTAGTCCATTATCCGTCCGCCGGCGGTAGAAGCGTGGGGGCGGGCCATTGACGGAGGGTGTTCTATTATCCGGCAGGGCAGCGTGCGGCCGCTGTAGGGGCATGTCTGGAGGCCTAAATGGTGCGTTGGCTGCGACAGCGGTGTTGGGGATGTTGTTGGTGCTGTTGAGCTGTTGTGCTGTACGCCTGTGCGTGTTAAATAAGTGTCAGTGTCTCTGCAAGCCCGCCCTGCCCAGGCCCGTAAGACCAGTACCCCCTGCACCGCAGCGACAAGTGGAGACGTCCTGCGATCGGAAAAAGCAGCAGCAGCAGCAGCAGCAGCCACATGGACGCCATGATGAACAAGTCGAGGAAGTCGTCCTCGTCTCTCTCGGACGTCTCGCCAAACACGATGTACTCGTGCCGGGACGAAAGCGTGTCGTCGAACACGTCCGACTCCGTGCGGACACACACGTCGCCCGTGTCGCCAAGCCTGCAGTCCGTGCTTCCGTCGTCGAAGCAGGCGGCGGCTGCCGCCGCCACCGCCGACGTGACCAGCCGCAAGAGCAGGTCCTCGCACAACAAGATCGAGAAGAAGTACCGCACAAACATCAACACCAAGTTCATCGAGTTGAAGGACGCCGTACCCACGCTCCGCGTGCTCGACAACGTCACCGACATCAACTTCGACCAGCTCGAAGGGTTGGCGCCGGCGTCCCGCCTCAACAAGGCCAACATCTTGTCCAAAGCCACCGAATACATCAAGCACCTCGAGCTGAAAAACGACCTCTTGCTCAACGAGGTCCGGACCTTGCGGGCAAACCCCAACTACAGCTACCAGCCGCCGAACAGCCTGCACAACGTCCCGATCGAGGTCATCAGCAACCTGCCTAACCAGCCCCAGATGTCTCGCATCGTTCTGCCGTCAGAATTCAACAACGGCAGCAGCAACGGCAGCAGCATGGTCGACAACAACCACATGTCATCTGCCTACCCGGCTGACAACGCAGGCGTGCTCTCCGACTCTTACAGACATGAGCAAAGCCATACCCTCTCAAATAGGCTGCCCAACAGAGCGGCGGCTAGCTCATTGCACCACCAAACCTCCAAGCAGCCCATATTGGGCAGCTACCCCTCCCATGACACTACCCACTACATACAGTCTTACAACCATGTCAACGAACAGTCGCAAGCGATGTGTTCCAGCGTTTATCGTGAGGGAAGCATCGATCGTCGTAACTGTTACGGATACCGTTCCAGCATGAACAACATCAAGTCAGAAGTCCTCGACTCTCCTTCACACACCCAACAAGCTGCAATCCAGAATCATCCTCCAACAGAATTTACTAGTGCCTACACAACGCAGCAGCCAGGGCTCTCTGTTGACAACAATTCATTGCAAATGCAAGACATGAGGGAGCATTACTACAGCCAAGATGGTTACAACAACAGTAGCAGTAACCACAGCAACAACAATAGCAACAATAGCAGCATTGCCAATAACAACATGAGGCACAACAATCAGCTTCAAGAACCGTTCTATGAAGCTCCTAACGCAAGATTGGCAAGGAAGATCATGATAGCAGGAGTCACAACTCTTGTGGGTTCGAATATAGTCGGCAGTGGAGCCAGCGGGGGTCCTGCATATGGAAATGCAGGCGGCCCGGATTATCATTCGATGAGCGCCAGCCCAATATTCTTCCTACTGACACAGTCAATCAAGTTAATCCAGCTGGTGACCTTTTTCTCATGTGTCTACTTCTTTGTTCAGCCAGTAGTGTCTGGTTTCATTAATTGGAAGAAGGACAACGCGAAGAAATCAGACAAATATCGTTCTTTCTATTTGTTAACTTTTGTTGGGATCATAAGGTTTTTTTTGCCTGGAATGTCTAGTTCCACCAGCCAATTTGTTTCTCCAACTGCCACAAATCAAGCCCCAGAAGTTTTCCCAATTGACTTAACTTCATTCCCAACCTCTTTCTGTGGGCTCCTGTTTGCTTACATCAAAATACTTAATGTTTCAGACTGTTCAAATCTGGAAGCTCTGAAGACGAAGCATCCGAACTTAGCCAATCCAATAGAACACACCTTCAATAAATTGATACTTTTAGACTTAATTTTACGAAGATCACCATTCATTGGCTATTTATTAGGCTTTAAGTCTAGGATTGAATTCTTAGTAAACTCATTGCTGCGTATTACACAATCCGGCAAGACCCGTGATATCCATTCTCGTATCACCGATTTTATACATTGTGATCCTGGATTCATCAACTCTCGCTCGGTGGTCGACCAACTAGCTAGAATATTAGCCTCGTTGCATCAGACAAAGTCCAGCGCATTAACCGCAAAGCAACTTTACGGTAACGATAGTGACAACTCAGGTCGTGGATACAACGCAGTATATGAATACCTGGTCAACACACCTACCAACAAGTTGAATCTCTTTGAATTAGTGGCCGTCCTATGGTGCGTTGATAACGTTCGTGCAAGAATGGTCAAGTTTCTAGGAGATGTCGTTAATGAGGGTGCCAAAGTAGATGAGACTATAGAGGGCGACATAAAGAAGTTGATTGCTGATATCCGCAAAATTGAAACATTTGTACCGACACCTTGCATCAAGCTCATCAAGTGCTGCAAAATATTCAAATCTCTGTTAGACCCAGAAAATGAGTCCTATTTGAATGACGCTCTAATCATGATTTTACTCAGTGTCGAAGAAAATTTACTATTAATCAAGCAGAACAATGATTCTAACAAAGCGATCAGTGAAAAACTATTAGCTGAGCTACATTCACCAATACCCGTTCTTCGCAAAGTTTTGATCGTTATACACGCAGCGCAAATTTCCGCCTTGTCTCATACCAAAAATGCAGCATCTTCTTCTGCTGCCGCTGCTGCTTCATCTTCTTCTTCAAATACGGCTTCAAAATTCTCACAACCCATTCAACTCCTTTCCGATGAAAATAGACTGTCACTGCTGTGCTCTATCATTCTCCACCAATATGCAATTGGAAACGTTGATTATGGACGCAGCTTGATTAGATTCTTGAAGGGAGAAAGAACTCGTAAATTCATGTGCAGTGACTCTGTTTCATTGATGGCCTCCATTGCCACGTTCCGCACTATTGTGGTTGTCCTGGACAATGAAAAGCGTAATGAAGGAATTGCAAATGAAGATTCAGAGGAAGAAGAAAATGGGGTAAAGGAAGAAAATTTTGAAGAAAGTAATTTGGAAGGGGAGGACGAGCATATCGATGATGACAATATTGTTGATGATGATCTTGATGATCATGATGATGATCATGATCATGATGATGAACTTGACTTTGGGCACTTATCATCCGATGTCGAGATGCTACTAACTTCCACTGTGAGTAAAAGAAATGGTTTAGAAACGACTATCGAGAGTGACACAGATAGTGAATACGATGAAGGAAACAATTCTCTAGTTTGCTATTCTGAAGGACAATCTTTAAACTCCAATGACCACCGTATTTTGGAAGATCTACTCTGTGGGTTGAGACTTTACGTTGGCCAAGGTAAAACTGCCAGTGCAGGTGACAGTACAGACTATGATATTTTAAGTTTGCACTATGGGTTACAGAGCGAACTTAGCCACAGGTTGCTCGAATTAGCCAAAGAGTTGGTTGGTTACACTGAATAAATACTTTAATATCTTATTCGCTTGTATACTCTTTACTTTGCGACCCGCTTTGACATCTCAACCATTTTACAGCATTTTCATTTCTTTTGTTGCTTTTTTATGATAATTTCTGCTTTTGGGACTGACTTTATATTGCATTTGCATACCTACAAACATTCTACCACGATTTTATAACCTGACGTACTTTGGTTTCTCGTTCGCACACCAGAAATGTAGATGAGAAAAAGTCACGAGGGGAATGAAAAGGTGACCAAACAGCCTTTCTGACATCCTAAAATGTCCGGCTTCATGATAAGAGTAGAGTTTGCAACAACTGAAGTCGCATATTTTATGAGAAGAACTTCCACAGCATGTCAAAATACGCCTCACCGGATCTTATAGCTAAGGCTATTGGAGTGAATGCGCACAGTGTAATTAACAATATTAAAGACACAAAAGACGATAAGCTCGGCGATTCAACAAAAATAAATGATAGGCAAAACACTGGAGAGATAACAGAGCTGGATGAAATACCAGAATTACGACATTGGAGAGATCTAGGATCATACTTAGATACTCTAAAGAATGTGCCAGAGAAAAATACGACTGACTCTGGCGTTTTCGAAAGTAGTTCAAGGCCATTAACTCAGCCGATAAATTACAGAATTTGCAACTCTTGTGGGACCGCAATTTTAGAGAAAAACATGGCAGATCATATAAGTCATTGCAGTACTGACAAGATAAAAAAGGAGCCTACCAATGAAAAGACTGAAGTCGCTGAAACTATTATAACAGCTGATAACGCTGATTCCAGCACAAGCAAAAAAGAAGTGGCGGTAAAAGAAAACAGCAGTCCAAAGAAGATTAGCAAGCCAACCAAGAAAATAGTGAAGAAAAGAAAGAATGAACCAGTTGAAGATAATACTGAAGTAAGTAACAAAGAAAATACCGCTGAAGAGCCCGCTCAAAAGAAACTCAAAACGGAACGGAAAAAGAAAGAACCCAAACCTAAGGCTAACAAAAACAAAGGACCTGTTGATGTTGAACGTCAATGCGGTGTTCCATTGCCAAATGGTGGATTTTGTGCACGTTCGCTCACATGTAAGACACATTCTATGGGAGCCAAGCGTTCCGTGTTAGGCCGTTCTGCACCTTATGATCAACTTCTCGCAGCCTACCAAAGAAAAAACCAAGCAAAGATTGGAGCAGCAGCTGCAGCTGCTCAACAAGCTAAAGATGATTTGATGCATGGTGCTGGTGTTGCGTTAGATGATGAAGAGGAAACTCAACAGGTTTTATCTGGCGTTTGTAGAAGCTCAGCCATGCCGTTGGAGAGGAATGTATGTATACCGGTTCGAATGAGAACAGGATACCTGAGAATGAGGGAAATGTTTGCTTCAAGCTTACTGCCAAGGTTACAGAATAACCCTTTAGGTAAGATGTATGCACGTGCTGCAGTGATGAATGTTGAAAATATTGGGGAGAACTCCTTTTTCCCTGTAAGATCCCAGCATCAAAAAAATAATCAGCAACGTCAGAACTTGAAACACAATCAAAATGCTGTACACTTACAAGTTCAAAAGCAAACGCAGCTTCACGCAAAAGTACAGGCACAAGCCCAAGCCCAAGCCCAGGCCCAAGCTCATGCACAGACACAAGCTGCATCTATGGTATCTCAGCAACAATCATCCGGCAAAAAGCCTGTCTCGAATGATACGGGAATGGCTGGAAACTACAACGTCTCAACTAGAGGAATGAACATATCTACACTGACTCCTCAGCAGCAACAGCAGATGCTTATGCTAGGGCAGGTACAAATGATGAAATCGTTACCAAAATAATTTGCGATCGCTTCTAAAAACTTCTATAGGTCATTTTTATACTTGTATTATATACATGCTTTAGGGAATTGAAATGGTCGTTTTGTGGGTTTTTCAGTTCCACAATCACTTTTGCTCAGAGGAGCTTCCCTCCGTCGATGTTTTCTTCTCTAATGGAGCGACTTTATCGCTCAAGCGTACCTTTATGAATGACGATTCCTTCCAGTTCCCGTTTTCGTCAAAATTTTCAGGGTTAGGCGGTGAGTATTTTATTATTTGGTAGTCCTTCACCAAATACAAACCAATCAAAAACCCACCAATGAGGCCAAAACTCATGACGTTGAAACGTCCACCAACTGTCTTCTGTGACATGCTACCGGTAGTGAATGCGTGCTACACGTTCAATAGTCTGAATTGTAGAGTCAAAAGTGTGAAGCTGAAAGTGGTGAATTCATGTTAAACTTTATCGCACAATTAAGTCTCGGCAGGTGAAGGCGAGGCCTGCACAAGATAGGCAGGCTCACGCTAAAACTATACAAGGTCACACTTAATTTCCGTTGTACAAAGCGAAGGAGGCACCTGGAAGGGGAATAAAGTCCACTGAATCAACAGTTGACAATGTCTGCCCTACCTAAAAGGATCATAAGAGTATGTATGAGGATGGATGGCAATTACAATAACTTGGTTTTTGATACTAATATATATCTCTTCACAACCTTGATCAATTTCAATCATTTTAGGAAACCGAACGTTTAATTTCCGACCCAGTACCGGATATTACTGCTACTCCACATGAAGACAACTTGCGTTATTTTGATGTGTCGTTGAAAGGACCAGCAGGTTCACCTTATGAGAGTGGTGTTTTCAAACTTGAACTTTACCTACCTGATGACTACCCTATGACGGCGCCCAAAGTGCGTTTTTTGACCAGAATCTATCATCCAAATATTGATCGTCTAGGGAGAATCTGTCTTGATGTTTTGAAAAACAACTGGAGTCCAGCATTACAAATTCGTACTATATTGTTATCTATACAGGCGCTATTAAGTTCACCTAATCCAGATGATCCTTTAGCTAACGAAGTCGCCCAAGAATGGAAAGGCAACCACGCAAAGGCAATTGCTACAGCAAAAGAATGGACTGAAAAGTTTGCAACTCCCTAGATCTTCAATACTTTATTGCTTTAGGAATAACGCTTGCACTGGTTATTACCTACATATAATTTAGGTAAATAAGTTTATGTATCAGATCTTTATTTCACTTTATCCTATAAATGTGCTTTCATTTCTTTACGAAGGACTACCACTTCACCACCCCAGGCTTCACGTATAACGTCCATGAAATCATCAACGTACTTCACGTCAACATCAAACTCTTTTCTGACCCATGACTCTACGTCGGAAGAAAATTTGTATCGCCTTTTCTTATCACCTAAACACTGCTCTTCTTCTAAGACCAGTTTCGTCAAAACCGCATTAGCCTCATCCCTGTCTGAAAGTGATTCAATGTAAGCTGATATCAAATCTTTTCGATTTAATCTTGGTACAATCACCTTTGTGATCTTGCCAGATAAGCTAGCACCTAGTAGTTTTTCTTTTAGTCCTCCTATTGGTAAGGCTTTGGCAGAGAGTGTGATTTCTCCAGTCATGGCAATGCTACTACTGACAGGGCGCTCAAGAATAAGCGATAAATAACATAATGTCATAGTGAGACCAGCGGAAGGGCCATCTTTTCTCACACCACCTTCGGGAACGTGCATATGTACACTTGTTGAGTCTAGTCTTTTGGTAAGTTTTTCTTCGTTGTAATCTAAAAATAAATGAGTATGGATCAAATGTTCTACCAAAGATTCGGCAATTTCACAGCTTTCCAATAAAACTTCACCAAGTCTTCCTGTACACGATATTCTTTTTGAGCCTGGTACACCCACCATTTCGAATCTCAACAATGAACCTGAGCCATCAGAGTTATAAGAAAGACCATTTACGATCCCAAACTCTTCTTGAATTGAAGAATTACCAGCGGAAAATTTCTCCTCACTGCCAAAGCTAAATGGAACACCTAAGTATTTAATCAAATCATTTTTAAGAACCACTGAATTATAGGTGCCCTTCCTGCTCAATAGTTCAGCCGCCTTTTTACGACAAACTTTGCTGATCAATCTTTCAAAGTTTCTTATGCCGGCCTCGTGGGTGTATGATGTAGCAATAGAATCAAAAACCTCATCATCCATCTGAATCTGACTTGGAAGTAGGCCATTTCTCTCCAATTGTCTTGGCAAGATAAATTGGCCTGCAATTTTCACTTTTTCTTTACAATTGTAGCCGTCAAGGTCTATTATTTCCATGCGATCACGTAAAGGCTCACTAATATCCCACTTGTCATTACTTGTCGCAATGAATACTATTTTCGACAAATCGATGGGGAAACCGATATAGTGGTCGGTAAAAAAGGTGTTTTGTTCGGGATCTAAGATTTCCAACAGCGCAGCCTCTGGATTTCCTTTGTTGCCAGCCATTCCAATCTTATCCACTTCATCGAGTAAAATAACAATTTTTGTGCTCTTCGCACGACGCAAGGCTTGAATAATCAAGCCAGGATTAGCACCAACGTAAGTTCTACGATGACCTTTTAAGTCGGCAAAATCATTTATACCCCCGAGGGAAATTCTTTGAAATTCGCAGTTTAAGCTATGTGCAATTGATCTGGCAAGTGATGTTTTCCCTACACCTGGGGGCCCATTGAGTAGAATGATCGGAGATTTGTGAGCATCTGGTGTCTTTTTTGTCAATTTCACAACAGCCAAATGCTCTATTATTCTTTCCTTTGCCGCCTCCATTCCAAAATGATCTTTGTCTAAAATTTCTTTGGCTTTCATTAAATCAATTTCTTTTTCAATTTTAGCTTCATTCGACGTTTGTGTCCAAGGTAAGTCTAATACAATATCGAAATAGTTCCTGAGCTGTTGATACTCCGAGGAGGTATTCTGCATTTTTTTCAATCTTTTAAAATCCTTGATCAATAAGTTCCTACCGTCATTCGAAATCTCATAGTCTTGGATATTCGAAATGAATTCAGCAATAGTACCCAAGTCACCATCATCATCGTTGTCATCATTGTTGTCTGAGTTATGAGAACCTTTCTTGACGCTGGCATCTCCCATTCTAAATGGCTTGCTCGCATTTCCTCCCTCTGAAGACTTCGCAGATTTAGAGTTTCTAGCAGTCAAGCTTAAAAGTTCTTTCAACCCGTTAAAGTGGTTGATAATAAACTTTGACTGTAGCTGTTTTCCATTTTGCAACTTTCCGATTCTATTCCAAGAGTGTGAAACGAATTCCACGTCTAAGTATTTTGTGAAAATAGCCGAGACAAAATTGATTAACTCAAGTGTGACCGATAATTGTTCTACTGGTTCTCTGGCTTGCAAATAGTTAACTTCTTGAGAGAATGCGAATGGAAATACGGCCACGTAAATATCACACGCTTTGAGTATCTCTGAAAACTGGTGGTGCTTCAAGGAAAACAACAGCTTTTTGAGCTTCAATAAATTATTTTTTGTAGTAGAATCAGAGAGCTGGATGTTAAGCAGCTCTGCCAAGGGATTCAATTTTAGCAGGAGATCCTTGAAGGTGGAATTGTTCAGGCTGGCATAATCCTCTTTGAACTTTTCCGTCAGTGTAAGATTCTCGGTTATCCCATTTATGACCTTTTTGGAAAGTTCCAAATTTTCAGCTGTTGGTGGAATCTCTTCCCCAGCATGTAGTTCGTACAGCACTTCGCCCGCATATCCGTATTTAGATGTCTCTACGTTTAGAGGGGTCAACGAATCTAGATCTTTTTGTGCGTAGCCTTTAAGTTCGCCCCTCAAACCTAAAATGCATTGGTCGGGTAACATCTGAACATTCACCAACCGAGAGATGACTGCAACATTGGAACAAATCTCCCCATTCTTATCTGCAGCAATGCATGCAAATACCGGATGTTTTTCTGACGATGCGAAAAAGATTGAGTGTAAGTCCTCGATGCTTCTTTTTGCCTCCTTCGACAATTTTATCGATTTCTTGGATTTGCCGGAGCCAGCACTTGCTCCAGAAACATTCACTCGAGAACACAGCAGTTCTAGTGATTTTTTGATTTGCGGAGAAAGTAGATCTGATTCCTGAAGAAAAGCTTCCAAAAGGAGAAAGGCGTCGTCGATTGGGACACCCATGTTGAAGGTAACTCCTGGAAGATGAAGTAATGTGTTCTTTAACAGAACGGTCGGTAAAAGTACAGAAATATCGGATGTTTTTGCCATCTTGTTGGTGAAACCGATTCCTACCTTTTTGCTTGACAGTAATATGCTTTTCTTGACTTTTGCTGAAACACCATGGTGATTAAAGCCAACAGTATTTACACCTACATGATACGGTATAATGCGTCCGGGTCAAAGTATCTATCGCTCCACTCGCTCGCGGTGACTCTGTGGACATCACAAGCAATGGAACGAGTTACCCAATTGGGCTTATCGTAAAGCGGTGCGAATACCGAGAAGAAAATAAGGTCAAAATAGTGAAGCAAACTTTATTAAAAAGGAAAAATGGAGAAAGGAAAAGAATTGCAGGGGTACACGATTAGTGGAAACTCTATAAAAACTGAAAGGCTGAAAGGCTTAAAGAATGGTAAAACTATGCTAAAAGAAAAGAGGAGATAGGAATCTTAGTACTGATGGGTGTGTATCTCATCTGAATGCTCAACCTTAATCATTGGTCTGTACTCTGGTCTCCACATCTGCTCCTTCACCCAGCTCAAACAAGCGTAAAAATCTCTTGGGACCTTGACCTTACCACCGACAGGAGAATCTTCGGACTCCACTCTGGAATGGCCCTCTTTGACACACTGTAGAATGACGGCAGTGGCGACACGAGCGGAAGTTTCGTCAATTTCCTCGATTGGAGGAAGAAGTCCTGCCTTAGGGTCGTTTTGTGCTGGCGATAGGGATGCAAGCTCGTCGACGGCAGCAGATATCATTGCGTCCGAGATGGTGGTGGCTCTGGCAAGAACTGCACCAAGACCGATACCAGGGAAAGAGAAACAGTTGTTGTTTTCGGAGATAACGTGGCCTTCTACAGGTGGAAATGGGGAGCCTGTAGCAACCAGGGCATTGTAGTCTGTCCATTTAAGTGCATCTTCAGGAACACATTCGTGAAGTCTGGTTGGGTTTGACAATGGGAAGATCATTGGTCTTGGGTTAAACTTGTACATCTCCTTGATGACTTGTTCATTGAACGCACCGGCCTGTGTAGAGCAGCCGATCAAACAGGTAGGCTTAACCTTGCCGATTACCTCGACCAAGCTCTTGGTGTCCACGCCCTCCCAATCTTTTGGATTGTGAGCGTAGCCTTCTTGTGCTGGGGAGTTGGTTTTCATTCCGGTAAGGAGAAGGCCGAATCTGTCCATACAGTAAATCCTGGCTCTGGCCTGTTCTTGGGTAGCACCGTGGATGATCATGTGGTTGACGATCTGGTCGGCAATACCCAAGCCTGCGGAACCTGCGCCGTAGATGAGAACTCTTGAGTCAAGCAAGTTTCTGTCGGTCAACTTCAGGGCGGCAGCCATGGACGCCATGACGACGGCACCGGTACCCTGGATGTCGTCGTTGAAACAGGGCAAGACGTGTCTAAATCTGTCCAAGACGGCTCTCGCGGTGGTGACACCAAAGTCCTCGTAGTGAATGACGGCGCTTGGGAATCTCTTCTGCATGGCCATGATGCACTTGTTGGTGAAATCGTCGTACTCCTTGCCCCTCACTCTTGGGAATCTGTTACCCATGTAGAGGTCGTCTTCCAACAACTTCTTGTTGTTTGTTCCGACGTCAAGGACACAGGCAATGACTCTACCTGGGTGGAGACCACCGCACAGGGTCATTAGGGCGGCCTTGGCGATGGCGATTCTGACACCGCCCACACCTTGGTCGCCAATACCCAAGATTCCTTCTGAGTCTGTGATGACGATGTAGTCGACATCCTTGTCTTCGCCGAATTGCGCTAACCGCTTGTCGATGTTATGCGGCTCGGTGATGTCCAGGAAACACCCTTCTGGCTTTCTGAACCTGTCCGAGTAGGCGATGATGGCGTCACCTTCGGTCGGGGTGTACACAATGGGGATGAGCTCCTTGATGTGTTCCCGGACCAACTTGTAGTACAAGACCTTGTTCTGCAACCGCATCGAGGTGCAGAAGTCGTTTTTGGCGAGCAACGTCTTGAGGAAGTGCAATTGCTTGTACGCTCTGTCGACCTGCTCGTCCAAGGTGTTCACGACTGGAGGGAGGAGGCCTTCCAAGCCGAAGGCAATTCTCTCCTCCTTGGAGAAGGCGGAGCCCTTGTTGAAGAGGGGCGAGTTCAAGAGGTGGGAGCCGGCGAGATCGCATTCGATCGGTCCTGCTACCGACAATCTCGTGGAGTGGGAGATCTGCACCCGGGCCTCTTCGCCAACGGGGGTCTTTTTCACGACTTGGCAGTTGTCTCTGGTCATGTTTGCGTCTGGGTCTTAGTGCTTTCCTGTCGAGAGGGAGTTCCAGGTGGAGGGATAACACGCGTGCTAGTGAGAGAAGAAGCGGCGAGAAGAATCAACAGCGGGAGGAAGTTCAGTCGGACGAACAAGTACAGAGGAGCTGAGCATAAAACTACAGGAGCAACACCAACACGGGTTGCGAGCCCGGATTCCCGTGCACAGCAGGGCGCCAGTATCCCCTGTGCCGAACCGGCGGGGGGGCCGACCTATTATATACGACGGGGTCGAACCCGTCGACTATCAGCATTATCACCACTCTCGGGCCGCCCTGACAGGCCACAATAGCGGGCGCACGAGCCCGACCTGGACATATGGAGCTTTTTCGCCGGAGAGAAAGGCAAGGCGAGACAAGCAGTGCCGGGCCCCTCTCGTCCAGCCGCTGCGAGCCCGGCCTGCGACTCCGGGCCCACGGGGGCCTCTCCTCGGAGTGTTGGGGGTCGTATGGCGGGGCGTTGGGCCCGGGCGGGGTCCGCCGCGGACCGCCATGCGGTCCGGCACGGGCTGGATACGTATGCCTCTGTGTCTGTGTCTGCTGCTAGAGCACTGTGTTGCGTTGGGGCTGCTGTCCTGGCCCGCTGGTGGTCTGGCGGTGGAGCTCCGTTTGGCGGCCTGGACCAGAAGGAGCAAGCCTTTCCGGAACGGGGACGCCGACAGATGGGGAACAGCGCCGCCACCGGCGGCGCGTGTCCGGTTTCCTACGAGAGGGGGCTGCGGGTGCCGCCGCCGCGTGCTGCGCCGTGCATTCCGCCACGCGGTTTTCCACGGGCCGGCGGGCCTTGCCGGAGGAGAAAGTCCGCTTGTCGGGGATCGAGGGAGGGGAGACAGGGCAGCAGTCGCGACAGAGCGGGGGGTTGTGTCGCCGAGAAGGGGAGACGGCTGGCTGGAGGGAGGATGAAAAGGCTGGCTGGCTCGCTGGACTGCGGAGCCGCCTTGTTGCCCCACCGGATCGTGCCAACCGAAACGGCCCGCCGTCTCCGGGAAGAGCAGAAATGTCGGAGATCCGAAGCACAAAGAGGGACATCCAGATCTCCCGAGCCCTCTCGAAGTTGCTCCGCCACCGGGCGGCGGCACAGGGCCTTGCCATCGACAGCAGCGGGTACGTAAGCGTCAGCGACGTGCTGCAGCACAACGACCTCAAGTGCAAGCACGCCACGGTGGAGGACCTCCGGCGGGTAGTCGAAACAAACGACAAGCAGCGGTTCCGGCTGGCGGAAAAGGGCGCCGACGGGGCCCTCTACATCTGCGCACTACAGGGCCACAGCATGGCCGCGGTGAACGCCGGGGCAGACTTGAAGCGCATGGACCAGCGCCACGACGAGGACTGGCCACAGTACATCGTCCACGGCACGTACAGAGACAAGCTGCCGCTGATCAAACGGGCACAAGGTCTCTCGCGGATGGGCCGAAACCACGTCCACTTCTCGTACACGCTTCCGGAGAAGTTCCAGAGACACCTTCCGCCGGCTAGCGAAGCCGCCTCCCCGAAGGCAGCAGAGTCGCACCGCGCAATCAGCGGGATGCGCTCGAGCTGTCAGGTGGCGCTGCTGCTCGACGTGGACCGCATCAGGAACTCCGAGCTCGAATTCTACAGAAGCGCCAACGGCGTCATCCTCTCTGCCGGAGACAGTCGTGGGATTGTCGACGCCAGGTACATCGCTCAGATCGTCGACTCCGAGCACGGCGTGCTCTCCTGGACCGACGTGCCGGATTGCCGAGAAAGTAGCTAGTAGACTGGTTTGTTAATTCTCTATAAAATGTCAAACAGAAATAAATATATATCGAGTACGGTCGAAAGGCTGGATCGGCCGCTAAGATCATTCCTTTCTGCTGAACGTCAACAAGTTCGCCAACTGCGACGTCGCACAGGCTTTCTTGAAAAACTTGTGGTGTAGCAGCTCGTCCGTCGTGGCCCGGAACTTCACCTCCACGCACAAGCAGACTGTCAAAAAGTCCATGATCTCGTTGCTCAACAACTCCGGGTGCTTCAGCGTAGGTGTACCATTCGACGCAATCAAGTACAACGCCTTCAACGGCTCTTCATTTAAGTATGGAGGCTCACCCTCGATCATCTCAATCGTCATGATACCCAACGACCAGACATCTACCTTTTCGTCGTATTCCTTTTGTCTAACAACTTCCGGCGCCATCCAATATGGCGTGCCAACCATCGTCGCCCTCTTGGACTTCTCTGTGGTCAATTTAGCACAGAAACCAAAATCTGTGATCTTAACATTCCCAGATGCATCAAGCAACACATTATCGGACTTGATATCACGGTGAATAAAGTTCTTCTTATGCAAGTGCTGTAGACCCTTTGTTGTTTCGTGACAGATACACGAAATTTGCTCTTCCGTGATCTTAGGATTGTTGTCAATAACATCAGTCAACGATCCACCCTCCATATACTCCATGATGACCCACAAATCAGATGGTCCGTTCAAGTATGCTTCAATAAAATTGACAATATTCGGATGTTGAGAATCTTTCATGACCAAGATCTCATTGACAATCAACTCTTTCCTACTTTGCTTTGTCAAGTCTATTTGCTTAATTGCAATGCATTGGCCATTCAATCTCATCGAACGCGCAAGATAAACAGATCCACTTGCACCTTGACCTGCCTTGGATATAATTTGAAAGTATGGGGTTGGATTGGCATTGATAACAACACTTCTCAGCTTGGCCATGATTTGCGCTTCGGTCATTGTGGAAATACGTTTATCTGCTGGACGGCGTGGTGGTTTCATCTCAGTGGCACCTACACCCATAAGTTTAGCATGTGCACTTGATTGGGCCATCATGTTATTGTTGTTGGTATTAGTAGGTTTGAACTGTTGTGGAAGTTTTTGTTGATATGTCATCGGAGTTTGATATGGATTCGTGGGTTGAGGGGGGATTTGTTGCTTATGATATGGTTGCTGAGGATGTGGTATGCGTTGCATGTTTGGCTGAGATGGTTGATGTTGCATGTATGGCTGGGATTGAGGCAAATGCTGGTGTTGTTGTTGGTGTTGATGTTGGTTAGGGAACTTTGGGTATGCATTTGAATGGAATTGCTTCGTCTTCTGTTGTAATGGTATATGTTGGTTGTTGATCAAACCATTATTTTGAGTTTGTTGTGGTTGCTGTTGCTGTTGCTGCTGTTGCTGCTGTTGCTGTTGCTGTTGCTGTTGCTGTTGCTGTTGCTGTTGCTGTTGAGGGTGTTGGCCGATGTATTGAGGCTTGGCAGGAGCTGCTCTTCTTGGAATTAAAGTGTGATCGATTGTGCCATTTGATTTAGAAGGATGATGTTGGTTTTGGTGGGTGGTAGGTGCTTGGCGTACAGGTAATCCAATGTCTGTTTGTGATGTGTTAACAACGTTATGCAAAGAAGTTGAAGATGCAGAGTTTGGTCCGCTCGTCTGGTTGGAAGGTAAGTTTGAAGTGCTCACCTTGACTTTCCCAGAGCCTATCGATGAAATCGAAGATGATGCGCCTGCAATCGGAGGGCTTTGAGATGGAGGTTTTGTGGATGGTTTTGTGGAACTATTATTGGTGAATTGTTTGATCTGCTGTTGGGTGTTTGAAGATTGGCCTGGAACTTGGGGCGCTCTCCTAGCGGGGATATATTTGTGACTGTCATTACTGCCACTGCTTGTATTTGCGGCACTACTATTTTTGCTGTTTGTCTCATTATCACTGTTTGGAACAGGTGGTGCCCTCCTTGGTTGGAGAAATCTATCGGATAACGAATCCTTTTGCGAGTATGGTTTTGTGATTTCATTCAATAGGTTATTTGAGGGAGCGCTTTTTTCGTTCGATAAGGGAGAAGGATTTGAAGGATTTGCGTTTCCGGCAAGGGTTTTCTGGATGCTCGACATTGCTGATTTAGTAAACTTGTCAGAATGGCTCAGTTCGGGACTTACCATCTCACTGTATGTGTTAAGCACGTCTATAACTGCAGAAGGATCGGCTGCAAAATCCTCATATGTGATGTTGGAACCTTTCAATAGTGCTAGCCATTCAGGAGGTATACCTTTCACCTTGAATGTCCCATTTGAGGCGTCATAGCTGACTTTGGCTTCGTGTGTGACCTTCAACGGCTTTGAAAATCCTTCCTTCGGACATTTGGCTAGGACAGAATCAATCCACATGTTCATTTCCTGATCTGATTTGGCACAAACAAAAGTCGACTTACCCTTATGTTGAATCTCAAAACAGTTTTCTTTCATCTGGTTCTTTACGCAGCTGGACACGTGCAACAGGGGTATTCTATACCATAATTCGGCTTTGTCATCACTCTTGAAGAAATCCAAGCTGGTTTCTCCCAAGACTAAATATTTTTTTGGCCACCTAAAAGAGATTATACCTTCATCCTTGACATTGACCCAACCGCTTTTCCTGTGGACGGTGGAGTGGATCTTCATTTTGTTGAAATTGGAGTTCAAACCGTAGCTGGCAGAGGATGCAGACGACAACGAGGGTGGATCGCCGTTGGTCTTACCAAAGCCTCCTAGTATGTTTGCTGCAGAAGTCATGGGGTGAAGATGAGGCGTGTGTTCGAGTAGAAGTAGCAGAGAAATACCAGATTTATAGACGTCTTGAGTTGATGATTGATGGACGGTTGTGGCGAGTGGAGGATTGATGATGTGCTGGACGTAATTTCTTAGACGAGGGAGGTATCTAGCTCTGACTCTGGCTACTGTCTGGTACGGAGCAACACGCTAAAACACTGCTTTGCAAAGAGGTAGAAGCGTGGTAGACCTCTGCTCTGTTTGCTTGATCTTGATCTGGACGTACCAAATTGAGTGAGAATGTGAGGGGCCGAGAGTGAGACTGAGAGTGTGAGAGACCGTTTCATACGTCTCCCTCTCCTCTCTCTTTTTGCCGGTCTCGCTCGTGGCGCGTTTTGCGTGTTGCAGGGGCGGACGCGACTTTCTTTGTTTATGTTTCGGTTCCGCTGCTTCTGGCAGCAATCGCTCGATGACATTCGCTGACGTAAGACGTTGTTCGGCTCAGGCACTCTGTGTCCGTTTGTGGAGATACTCCGGAGAGAGAAGGATGGAGCAGTAGGAGGAGCCTGATGACGACGTAGAAGACGGGTTCGATGCTGAAGAAGCTTGGTCAAGAGACAGCATTAACGCTGGTAACGGCAGCGGCAGCAGCGTGATATGTGAGGTGGATTGTGTGCCAAGGAGACTCCGTATCAGAACTGTGGAAACTCTTGTAGTGGTGCCTGTAAGAGCGACGGTGGTTGTAGCAACTCCGTCCTCCAGCTCTGACTCCACCAGTTGCTCGCAATCGTCATATTCGTCACTATCATTGTCATACTGGTCATCGTCATCGTAGTACTCACTGTTGCCATCAGTGTCGTCTATCCTATCTCTAGTATTGGACTCAGACACCATGGAGTCTTCATTTGTCGAAGATTCAAAATTGTTGCTGTTGGCATCGCTTAGGTTCAAAGAAGAAGAAGCGACATCGACAGAGAGAGAACGGATGGCTTCTGTACCCTCTTCCTGACTTTCGCTGAATTCTCCGGCGTGGCTCGATTTGTTTGTCGAGGTTGGAAGATACTTCAAGCTTTTCAGACGAACCTGTGAGTCTTTTCGGATAGGAATCATCGATGTTTCAGGGAGGATGAGAGTTTGAATCTCACTTCTCTTGTCTAAACTTTGCATGGTTTTAGGGCATGACATTTGGTATTCACTTCGCTGATCATCGAGGTATATTCCGTTTCGGAAATAATACGACTTCCCACTTAGTATTGTGATTCCCCTATGTAGTTCATCGTTGGTGTTGCCAGTACCGCTCGTCAGCAATTTTGGCAGTAACGATTTTGGTGGTTCCATTGGCTTCTTCACCCTACTAGACTCCTCGTCGAGTTTTTCCTCTTTCTCCCGCTTGTGTCTGCCAAATTTGTAAAGAAAGCCTTCCTTTAGTTTAGAATAGAAATGCGAAGTCTTTGAAATCTTTTTTGGTAAAGCACGCTCTGGCAATGACCGATAGGTAAGATCAATCTCTTCAGCGCTTTCAAGTTTATCGATATCATGGACACTCAACTCTTTGGCGGAACTGCAAGACTCGTCATCGCCGCAGTAACTCTTGCTCGGCTCAGCTTCCTTCAACAGGTTAGGCTCACTTTTTGTTTTTAGCTTATTTCTTTTATTATACAATTCACGGTACCTTTTCCTTGGAGGATCTAAGGGTAACGATAACAGCGTCGAATTACTTGGATATCGTTCCATTTGAACAATTTCTGTAAAATCTGTCAATTTGATCATTTCAAAAGTTTTTTGAATCTCATTAATATCTGTCGATATTTTATAAAAATCAGAGTTCAAGTAAAATTTTTCTGACATCTTCGATGGTACTATACAATTCAGTAATTGATTGCCTACCAAATACACAGCTCTAGTTCCAAAAGTTACTTGTCCGAAGCAAAGATGCTCCTGATAACATCAACTGCAAGGCATTTTGGCTTTAATCTTGGGCACGACAACAGACATGTTGTTCTTTAATCCCTATTACGTAACCAATCATTTCTCTTACTGCGGTGTTTAGAATAGAAATCTAATCAATCTTAAATCGATAAAAATTCATCAATAACTCCGGAGCTTTTCAGTTGATTTATCGGCCTAAGATAGATTCCTTTTCTGATTATTCCAAGTCATAAATGCACGACATGGCCAACGATGAGAAAAAGTGAACAGAGCGTTATCTGATTGTTTGTGCAATGCGGAGTAACAGTACATGAGGTTACGTCCGATTCTTTGTTACTGCGCGCCTCGGAACGTCCCACAGGCGTTGTAGCATTTGTTATTTCTGGAGACAGACCGATTCAGCCCATACAAACAGGGGCTTGCCAAGCGTAAATTTCTACAGCATTGCTCACCATCACTTCCGCCTTGACTAGTGGATTCAAGCTTAAGGCCTCAGTATCTCTGTACATCTCACCTGGACGTCCACCAGACAACAAGACCAATTGGCTTTGGACTATCCTTTGAGCAGGACATCCACTTAGAGAGATCAATCGATACTCTTCCATACCGTCTCCAAATTCTGTTCTAGAGTTACTGTTTGAGACCAATCAGTTTTTGTTCATTTTAATTTCTTGCTAAAAACATTGGTTTTTCTACATAAACACAGCTTGCCATATATCCGACCTACTTGTCAAGAAATAACTCAAACATACACATCGTAATTTATGGAGATACATAAACATTACCCCCTCCTTTCAATACAACACAACAAAACTTAAAGTCCTAATATTTTAATGTCATCTTCGTCATATCCTAACAACGAGTTTCATTATTCGACATTGGATCCACAAACTCCTGTTGAAATTGAAGAGTACTCTGACTTGTATGATGATTACTTAAACTCTCCAGAATCTCAGAGGGCGGCAACAATGAATTCGGGTGCTGCAGTTTATGAACAATCAGTCGCCCCTTCTTATGAGAATCTGGCAAATATTATACCTTCCAGCTTGAACAATAGAAACGATGCTTTTGTTTCTGATGACTCCTTAGATTCTTCTTTCGGCACAAATGATGTAGCTTTCAGAACTCCTCAATTTTCAAATACAAGTCGATTTGGATCGCCACGTACTCCGAAAATAAACACTTTAGGAGCACCAAGAAACATTGATACATATGTTCAGTATTCTGACAGTTCAGATAACAATGGTTCTCTTCCTTCTTTGATTCCAATTCCAATTTTAACTGACTCTGATCAGCCGGGGAGTCAGCTGGGTACTCAGCACAGACATGTTACCGACATTGGTCATGACGCATATAACCAATCTACTAGCTCTGTGGACGAAATAAGAGATGGAAATTTTGCCAGTCAAGGTGGAATGAAAACAACTTATTATAACAACGGATACTCCGGTGTCAATGGTTTGAGCTCAAATCAAACTCAACATGCAGGTGAGGACGATGATTCGTTAGAGGACGAAGAAGAAGACGAAACAGAGGAAGAAGAAGACGAAGATGATTATGAAGAAGATGGGGAAGAAGATCAAGAAGAAGAAGGAGAAGAAGCACTTGATGAAAGCTACGGGGACTACGATGATGCTGAAGTTGATAAATTGCGAATGCTGCAAAGGCAAAAGAACCAGGGGCTTTATTCTTCTTACGACCCTGCGAATGAGTCTCTGAATTGGCAAAATAAAAATGACGCTACAATCATTACCAAATCTTTAGGTGCACCACCTAAAGCTATCAGAAAAGGTATCAAAGACTTTCAATTGGGGAAAGAATTAGGAGAAGGTTCCTATAGTACCGTCGTTCTGGCAACTGACATTAAGACGAAAAAGAAGTACGCTATAAAGATTCTCAATAAGAGACATATAATCAAGGAGAAGAAAGTAAAATATGTCAACATAGAAAAAAATGCATTGAATAGATTGGGAAAAAGAAACGGGATAATCGCTCTACACTTTACTTTCCAAGACTCCCAAAGCTTGTACTTTGTATTAGATTTCGCCGAAAATGGTGAACTTTTAACATTGATAAAAAAGTTTGGTACGATGAATGAACATTGTACCAAACATTATGCTGTCCAATTGATTGATGGTATAAGTTTTATGCACAAAAACGGTGTGGTACACCGTGACTTGAAGCCGGAAAACATTTTGTTGAACAAAGACATGAAGCTTGAAATTACAGATTTCGGAACAGCGAAGTTGCTGGATAAGGATGATTCAGGTAATTATCCGAGAGATATCAGAGCAAACTCCTTTGTGGGTACTGCTGAATATGTATCTCCTGAGCTATTGAATGATAAATATTGTGGAAAAGCTGCTGATATATGGGCTCTGGGTTGTATTATATATCAGATGATTGCCGGTAAACCTCCTTTTAAGGCAACAAATGAATATCTTACGTTCCAAAAAATTCAAAAATTGCAATATGCATTTACAGCTGGTTTTCCTATCGTAATTAGGGATTTGATCAAAAGGGTATTGGTCATTAAACCAAGAGAAAGACTCACTATACCAGACATAAAGCAACATCTGTGGTTCAAGGATATCAACTGGAGCGATGAAAAGCAAATATGGGATACATTTCCGCCAGAGTTAGGGCCTTATAAGATTTCAGCTAAGGCTATGAAACCAAGACCAGAGTTGGACTCGCAATATCCAAATGGATCATCGACATCTATTCAAAACATGAAAAAGTCTAAAAGTACGAATTATGTTAATATGCAGTCGAATTCAATCATTCAATCCAAGCCAGGAACTGTCACCAAACTGACACAGCGTTCCGTTTCAGCAGCATCTGCTCCTGTTCTTGTGAGCAACGCTAAAACAACTCCACAACAGTCCCAGTCACCTATGGTACGTACGAAATCAAAGAGAAAGAAGTCAGCAAGCAGCGCAGCTGCAGTGGCTTTATATGGTAATAGCCGAAAAGCTTCTTCAAGCACCATTGCGTCAACTTCTACGACCGCAACTACAGGATCACCGTTGCAACCATCATCGATGGCGCATCCTCAGGGCCATAATCTCATTTTGCAACCTTCAAGTAGTGAGTTACAACAAATTACCGCTGATCGCATTATGAAATCAAGACAGCATCAAGTCAAAGAAAAGCCCTCCAGGTCCCATCTAAAAAAGGTGAGTACACCACCATTCGATGTTATACCTGGCACGAATATACCTAGACCCGTTTTAAACACGAAAGTCCCATCTTCGAGATCTAACACTGCTACACGTTCGAGAAATAATTCTTCTTTACAAACCGGTAAACAAAGTAAAGTGCCTCAGATGTCGGTTTTAGATATGAAGTGGGTTCAGTTCCTCAAACATCACGAGGAAAGAATCATGAAAGTTGGTGTTGTAGACGCAATTCGGGAAAAAACTTCACTCTTTGAGAAGAAATATCGAGGCGTAATGATTGAATCTCCCCTTGGCTACAAGAACAAGGATAATATCAATCAACCTTCAATCTTTTCAAGCAATGACACTGACTCAATTAGGCTGTTGGATTCAGCAACTCTTGCTTCTGATTTAGGTGAAAATGCAGATGAAGAAGCGGATGACACCGATCCCGAAAACGAATCTTCTGCAACTAAGTTCAGAAAGTTTTTTACTGTCAAACAGACTCCTGCCCCACAAGTTGAAAATAAATTCGCCACACGTACAATGCTTGTCACAACTTTTGGGCGTGTGTTACTGTTCCAGGAGAATTATGGTGTGGATAACAAGATGAAGTATGAGATGACCACTGAAGTTGACCTAACCAACTCTCTAGTTCACTTCGTTGAAGTTGTTGTGGAACGTAAAAACAAGCCAAGCAAGGGGTTGTTTGCCATAATGTCAAACGGCTTGACTATCTGTTTTGAGGTTGACAAGACAGAAATAACACAATGGACGCAGTGTCTCGCAAGTTCAAGGATGATAGAAAAAGAACGCCGCTTGAAAGAATACCTCAATTCCCCAGCGGGGGATACTGCTTTGATATACGGAGAGGAAACTGCTTATGCGGCGGCAAACTTGGCGTCCGTCAAGAAAACTATTTCGGACACTACAACTGGCAGTGTATCTGCGGGCAAAAACACAAGTTCACCATCATTCCCTAGTACTTTACGCACTCCAAATGAAGACACTAGCAATCACCACCAGTCACCTAATGGCGCCAAGAAAGCTGCTCCCAAACCGAAAACTGTCCCCAGCAGAGAACCACCCAAGTCCAAGAAGACAATTGGAAAAGGTCCAATGATCAGTGCTGCTATCAACAAGGCTGTTTCGATGGCAAGTGTGAATGCTGCGGTTGGAGTACGTGAAAGTGACAGGAATAGTGGGGATAGAAATGGTGGTGACAGCAAGAAAATTACACAGGTGAACTCTAAGTTTCTGGCACGAAGTAGACTGAAGTAGTCTAGCTTGTATTGTGTAGATGTATTTGCATTTATAAAAAAATTCTCCCTTCACTGAGGGAAAAGTGAAGTATAAATGGATTATTACTTACTCGTCCGACCTGTTGGATATATATATTCATGATACCTTATCTATATTCGGTCAAGCCATAGTTACGTAAGCTCTTCTTGCTTTTCGCACGGTGAAGGCAGCACCCCTCGCACCTTTACTATATTGTTGCCTAAAAGCCCTTGCACAACAAAGTTGAGACAGGCACGTGCGTGAAGCGAGGGTTACACTGCTTGGGCCAGCGACAACAGAGGCCGCGAAGCAACAACTGTGGAAAATTGGCTGTGGCGGACTGCTGGTGGTGAGGGGTGTTCATTCCTTGGGCGTGGGTGAGTGAGAGAGTAGACCAAAAATTTTCAGCTCAACATCTACAATACTAACTACAACTTTGAAGTATACCTGTGGAAAGTTCAGCTAGATCAGCTTTAAAGCACATACAGATAATCTATTAAACAAAAATGGCTAAGTTCATCAAGTCTGGTAAAGTTGGTATGTACATAATCTGAAAAGAAACGTTACACCTGCAAAACTGAGTATCGACGAAGAAGCACTGAAACAGAGGAAGAACACACCTTCAATACGAGATCAAACAATATCGAGCTACGCCGGCAACAACTACTATGACGAAAAGTTACAAAATGCCAACTGAATAACTTTGTTGAGACCGCCATGAGTCAAGAATTGGTTACCGGAAATTTTGCCGAATGTTTAATGATCACATTACAAGGGACGCTCTCCAGGTTACAGGGTCAATACACAACGTATCCAATATTGCATTTTTTAGAGGAGAGCTTTTCGAAACTAAGCTGTCAGGAGTTTTTACCATGAGACCAAGTGGCTGCTGAAGACGAAATAAACGAAGAATAATAAAACAGTGTCTCGAATACTTACACAGTTGATGCAGAGTGCAGTTCATATGGTTGCAAATATTAACATCTTTTTCTCTTTTTTTCTCTTTTTTACTCTTTCTAATTCAGCTGTCGTTGTCAGAGGCAGAAACGCAGGTAAGAAGGTTGTCATCGTCAAGCAATTCGACGAAGGCACCAAGGCCAACCCATTCCCACATGCCATTGTTGCAGGTGTCGAAAGAACTCCATTAAAGGTTACCAAGGGTATGGGCGCCAAGAAGCTTGCTAAGAAGACCAAGGTTAAGCCATTTGTCAAGTTAGTTAACTACAACCACTTAATGCCAACCAGATACAACTTCGACGTTGAGCCATTCAAGGCTGTTGTTTCCGCTGAATCCCTCGCAGAACCATCCCAAAGAGAAGAAGCTAAGAAGGCTATCAAGAAGGTTTTTGAAGAAAGACACCAAGCTGGTAAGAACAACTGGTTTTTCACCAAGCTCTCTTTCTAAGTAATTTATATATAAGATTAAGGATAAATTAAAAAAAACTTTAATGTGCAATAATTAATAAAACTTTCTGTTTTCTAGTCATAGGGAAAAAAAGAGCAAACAAAGTACTGGGGAGCTGAACTTTCGAATCCGTTTTCGCCACTGGTATAGATGATATATCCTATATATGTATATTTACCTACAAATCTACTTTTTTGCTATCTCCCATTTCACGTCGGTGATGGAGGTTTCCTGGGCCGCTTCGTCGTCGTAGTCGTACCATTCTGTGTCCTCTAGCAATACCTCCTTGAACTCACAACCGCTTTCTGAACCCTTGCATACAAACGGACCGTCTGCCACGTACTCCACCACGTCGTAGCCTCTCGCGTCGATCTCTAGCATCTTCACACGTTGGCCACTATCGTCCTGCGAATACCCTTTGAACTTCGATGGTAGCTTGATCGACAGCTGCGATTTGGACTTGCAGAACGTACACGAGCTGACAAAACTGGCGTCTCCCTTTGAGTCGCCGGTCTCGTATCTTTCGTAGAGGTTCACTGTGATTGGCTTGCTGTGCACCTCACGGCAGTTTATGCACCGGATGATGAAGCTGTATTCGAAAGGCTGGGAAACCGAGTCCTGTGGCCTTAGATCGGTCACGTTGCTCAGTTCTGCTGACAAAAAGAGATGCTGGACCATTGCGGTGTGTTCTGTTTGTATCTGTGGATGTACTCAGGTGCCTGGGCGAGGACATTGGCTGAGTATGGACTAGAGCCCATGTAAGACCTTTCTGGAATACAGAGAGCGGTCTTGAGTTCCCCGTCTGATGGCAGCCGCGTATTTTATCGCCGAGGGGCTCTTTTCTCTGCATCCAACCGTTACAACTACAGCAGCTCGAGGCCCACTGGCCTCTAACGACCCTGCAAACGACAGCGACAATCCCCATCACCATGTGTATTCTTCTAAAGTCCGGAAGCTGACTGTCGGTGTGCCGCCAAAAATCCTGGAAGTGCACCTTGGCTAAGGAGTTCCTTCTCGCAGCGCAGCTTGCCCTTCTTCTGGATCCATCGGCTTATCAGAATACTTCATATCCTTCCTCAATCTCTCTGATAGGTCTTCCGTACTCCCCACACCCGGTCTTCTACTTGTAGCTCCTCTCCATCTTCCTTCTTTCCAGCTTGCGTGCACCTACTCCCTATGGTGTTGCAAAATCCGCTGCCGCGATTGGCCCGTTTCCGTCTCAGTGAATTGTGAGCCGATCGCTTTTCGTAGCACGCTCGCTGCCACAGAGGATGTTTATTGTAAAGCAGATGAGAGGAAAAGAGAAGATGGAGAAGGATTTGCAGGGTGAGTCCAGAGCAGCAGCAGCAGCAACAAGCATACAAGAATACCATAGAGCATGCGTACTAGCATGTCTTTTGCGAGCAGGGCGTTACGTCCAGCATGGCAAACGAAAAGCAGTGCGTTTCCGAGCGCTGTGAGACACACGGGCTTCAACCTGAGACAGCCCAAGTTCAGCAGAGCGTTCCACCAGGGCCATGCGAAGAGACCTCGGATCGCCAAGGCGTCGACGAAGTGGGGGGTGTTTGACGAGCTCAAGTTGTTCTCGTACACTTCTCATTTGGCCTTCTTCATGCTTCTTCCGCCAATTATCCAGATGTACACGACCAAGGTTGAGGTCACGCGGGACGAGACGATGACGGAGTCGTCATTCGCAGCGCTGGAAACAGGACAGGGCGTGACCATCAAACACATGAACTTCCTGGACATTCTTCAGGCGGAAAAGAACAAACTGCTGGACCTGTATCTGCAGAGCGAATCGAGCGGCAACACCGAGCAAACGCCGGAGAACGCTCAGCACTTCACTGCTAGTGGTAACAGGTCTGCGATAAAGGAGAATGACCCGGCGGATGCGCCTGGAAACACCGAGGAGATCAAGTCCGCGAAGGATGTGACGAAGGACGAGGAGCTGAAGTCTCAGCTGGGCATGATAGATGAGGCGTACAGCTCGTTACAAAGACACCTAATATCAGACCACCAGTATATGTCCGCTGTCGAGCAAATAACGGACTACTTACTCGCTGTGGGGCAGAGGCGGAACACAACACACAGCGATCGAGAGCTTGCCAACAACACCGTGATGCGGATCTTCGATCAGCTGCACAGCTTGCGCATGCACACGTTTGAGTCGGATCTGTTTCGACGTCTGGTCACATCGTACACCCGCCCAGAGGCTAGGTTTCTCAACATCAGAAATGCGATAGTGACGAAATACGAAACCAGCAAGGCTGTCGCTTACTCCCACACACACACGCGTAGCAGTAAGCGGCAAGTTTCCAAGACCAGAGGTGCCAAGAGGAGTGCCACACTGCCGCTGCATGAGGTTATGAACGCCTCTCTCTGGCTCCGGTCGTACGTCTGCAGCTTTGAGAGGTTTGCCCAGCTAGTGCAGATGTTTGCAGCCACGGGCCAGACAAAAAGGGCTCTGCACTCCTTGTTTCACATAGGCTTCGACAGCCCCGAGGTGCGCAAGCAGGTGCAGAACCCAGAGCAGCGCTACGGACTTGTGAGTGCCTTGCGTAGCCTGCACAGGGAATCCGAGGCGCTTGCCTTGGAGCGGAAGATAAGAAAGCTCATGTAGCACCAAACTACTCCGACCAGCACCACCGGCTTTTCTTTGCTAACCTGCCCCCAAACTTCAATGCACCGCATGTCTTTATATCCCTCCTTCTATACACTCATATTTATTAAACGATAAACCCCTCATACCACACATTGTGCTATTTTTCGTGAAGCCTGTTTCCATCTCAGTGGGAGAACTAACATAAAAGATGAGAAAACAAATGAAAAAAATGAGAAATAAAAAAAAAGATTCATGATGGAAAATTTTAGACCTGATCTGACCAGAGCCTTGAATTCGTTCCCGGCTGATCATCTGGGCCTTTCCTTGCGCCGACTACCCCACCACACCAGCCAATACCACGCACAATGAAATTCCTAACAACCAACTTTGTGAGGTGTGCCGTCAAAAGCTGCGACGGTGCCGAGAACTCGTTCCCGCTCAAATACGAAAACTGCCAGCTGCAGCTCGAGGAGCAGGATTTCAACCCGGACTTCATAATATCGATGCTAGAGAGACTCGACTGGGACGCCGTCATCAAGGTCGCTGCTGACCTCGGCAACACTGCCCTTCCTGCACAAAAACCACAAGACATCGATCACGACGAAAAAATGCTCAAAGACTTGCACTCCCTCTTGGTAGAGACCCAGATTGTCGACGGACAAATGGTGTGCGGCAGTTGCAAACACGTCTACCACATCAAAAACTCCATTGCCAGCTTCCTTCTCCCTCCACACCTTGCGAAATAGTGTCTCCACCTGTCTAGTTGTGTATCAAAGTAATCTTTCTAGCTCTATCTTTAGTTGTATCTCTTCCGTCACGGATTTTGTCCGCGCACGTGACTCTCTTCCCCTTACAAAGAGAGAAAATCCGTGTTCTGTGCGAACGTAAAAGCCCTTGGTGCTTACCGACTGGGAAGGAGATGATGAGGATATGCTTGGCGTTTCCAGCTTGATTGTGAGTAAGAAGAGCCTCGTGTGCGCCTTAAGCATAGCCAGCAACCAGCAACCAGCAACACGCCAGCATATTGCATGTCCGTGAACGTCTAGTGGAACTTGCACTATCTTTTACCACCTTCGAATCAAGAGTTTGAACACAACTCTAAGCAAGAAAAGATCACGGAAAAGAAAAGAGTACCTAAAAAAATAAAGATCTTAAGCATTAGCATACAAGGGTGATTAGAAAATTCCCTTAAATTAATAGAATAGCATAGCAGTTAGACACCCAGCATATCGATGTCGTACGCACAGAAATACCAGAGCTCGACCCACGGAGACCTGCCGATCCCGCCGGAGAAGCTGAACTTTCCGGCCCAGACGCCTCCTGGGTCTCCGAATCGCCAACAAACCACTTTCCTGAACCTCAATAAGACACTGTTTGGCCAGGATACGAACGGTATGAACGGCTTGAACTTTGACCAACCGCCAGTGATAAAGCCAAAGTCGAGGTCGAGATCCAACTCGAGGAAACTATCTATCGGACGGCTTTTCCAATTTGGCTCGGATAATAACAACGTGGAAATAGCCACCGCTAGAGCTGGGTCAAACACCAGCAATAACACAGACAGCTCCACACAGGCTGCCAAGACCACAGACGATAATACCGATCTTTTTCTACAGACGCCTCCAGCCACAAAGGAGAAGAATAATCTGGATACGCCTTCGACCACAGTGAACACGTCCATTAGCGCCTCCGACCCAAAGAACGAAGATTATTTCAGTTACGGAGAGCCTCAGTATTCTATACAGGCAGTTGACAATACTAAAGAAAAGGAAAAGGAAAAGGATGAAGCCCACACCGCTTCCAATAACGATGACAACCAGGACGATATCTTTAAGCCCAGAAGGTTAACTAAAATCAAAAACTTATTCAAATTTACAGCTCACGATGATCCATCTGCTGTGCCTACGGAATCATCTACTTCCACACCAGCTGGATCAGCCACAGCTAATGGGCATACACAGTTGCAACTTGCACTTCCACAAGCTAATCATCATAATGATGATCAACAACACGAACCTGAAGAGCACTCGTCTTCAATCATGCAAAAATTCAGAAGAATAAGGGCTCCTTCGAGCCCATCATTGTATCAAAACAAGACAACAAATCAGCATCAAAATCTCCACCACGAGAACAGGACGGAAGATCCAATCGAAGAATTGGATTTGTCAGAACAACCAGTTCATCTCGAGCCTGAACTTGATTTCAAAGATGTAGAGGAAACTTCTGAGAAAAGAAACATACCGCCACCAGGAACAGTAGAAAAAAAACAAGAAGCTGAAGATAGTGACGAACGCAGGGATGAGCTTAAACCATTGAAGGAAACTGAACCGAGGGGATTTCTTCATAAACGGTTGAGAAAAGTGGCGTCTGCTCCTTTGAGTTTGAGACAATTGACAGAAAGTAATCATCATTCTAGTCATGAATCAACAGACAACTCTAAAAAGGTAGATGAATTGACGACTCATATAGGTGAAATAAAAATATCGAAAAACATAACATCAAACAATCCAACTAGAAATTACTCAAGTAGCTCGATCAGAGTCACGGAGATTCAAGCTGGTCCCCAATCATTTGAGAAATTAAAGCTTTTAGGAAAAGGTGATGTCGGTAAGGTCTACCTTGTTCGAGAAAAGGAAACGAAGAAGTTATATGCCATGAAAATTCTTAACAAAAAAGAAATGATTGAACGTAAAAAGATCAAGAGAGTGCTAGCAGAACAGGGTATTCTTGCAACAGCAAATCATCCTTTTATCGTTTCACTGTATCACTCTTTCCAGTCCGATGACCATCTCTACCTATGTATGGAATATTGTATGGGCGGTGAGTTTTTTAGGGCACTCCAAACCCGTCGTATGAAGTGCATATCTGAAAATGATGCTCGGTTTTATGCTGCTGAGGTGACTGCAGCACTAGAGTATCTTCATTTGATGGGTTTCATTTACAGAGATTTGAAACCTGAAAATATTTTACTTCATCAATCTGGACATATAATGTTAAGTGATTTTGATTTATCAAAACAGTCTAGCAATGCTGCCAACCCTGCTCTGATAGCAAGCACTAGATCTTCAACAAGTCTGCCTCAACTTGACACCAATGCTTGCATTAATGGATTCAGAACGAATTCTTTTGTTGGAACGGAGGAGTACATTGCACCTGAGGTTATTTGGGGCAAGGGACATACGTCTGCTGTTGACTGGTGGACATTAGGCATTTTCATCTACGAAATGCTTTTTGGCATCACACCTTTCAAAGGATCGACAAGAAATCAAACTTTCTCAAATATTCTAAAGAATGAAGTCCAGTTTCCAGATTATAATCAAGTTTCAAATAGTTACAAAAGCCTGATCAGGAAACTCCTTATCAAGGATGAAACGAAAAGATTAGGTTCTCATTCCGGCGCATCCGAGGTAAAGTCACATCCTTTTTTTAAAAATACACAATGGGCTTTGCTTAGGAATCAAAAGCCACCAATGGTACCTGTTCTGAATCCGAACAAAAAGAAACAAAGTACAGGTGCCAACAAAAGCAGCAAGGCAAGTAACCAATCGTCAATGGGTACTCTTCGAAGTAAAAGAAAAACAAGCTCATCCACTGTTATTACAGGTGAAACAGATCCGTTCAAAGATTTTAACTCAATCACTATTATTCATGATGATGATTCCCAGATCATCAGGTTTGATGGGACAGACTTAGGAGATATTACATACACTTTGCAAACCACAGGATCTGAAACATTGGGTAGAAAGTTTTTGAAAATGTAATTATTATGTAGAGTTTATACGGACTTATTTATAAATCTTACATGACGCACATTCAGTCAGTTAATCGGAGCTGCAATATCATACAGGTCTTGTAAATAATTTCCGTTTATAAGTTTGGTTATTTTGTTTAGGTCTCGCTCCAGCGCCTTCGTCTCCATTTCTCGTGATAACTTATCTGCAACATTTATTATTTCATGTGGTAGTCCTGCAATTTTAGCACAATACAGACCGTATGAGCCAGAACTAGGTCCAGCAGTTAATTTATAAGTAAAGAGAACATCAGTATTGACCGCATCATCTTTGCCATCGGTATGTGAGATCCTATACCCCATGTGATAGTTTTTTACAATGCCCGAGCTAATACTTTCGAATGCTTCAAGCTCTTTGAAATGGGTTACGAATAACACCAAAACGTTATTGAGCATATGATTAACAAAATAATCCAGTACTGACCATGCTATGCTACATCCGTCGACAGTTGATGTACCTCTGCCCAATTCATCCATGAGAATCAAGCTATTTCCAGGTTTACCAGTTCTGGGAAAAGTTGGATCTGCCCCGCTTTCAACACAAGTTTGAAGAATCTGGTGACACTCCATTAATTCGACTTGAAATGTAGATTTGCCGGCAAAAATGTCATCATTCGAGCCAAGTCTTATGCAAATATTTGCAAAGATGCCCAAAATTGTGTTCTCATCACATGGAATGAAAGAGCCCACTTGAGACATCACGACAATTAGCCCAACTTGTCTCATGAACGAGGATTTACCACCCATATTTGGACCGGTGATTAAGGCTATACGGGAAACATCGTGAAAATTTTTTTGAAGGTTGAAACTGTTTTCAATATAAGATGATGCACGTGTATAGTCCGACTGCGAGGAACTTGATTCATATGAGGCATATGCTGGTCTTTCTTTGAGTAATTGTTCAGTTATTGGATTTCTGGCATTATTAAGTTGTATAGTAGGAACATCAACGACTTTCGGTTTTGTGTAGTCGTAATTTAAAGCCGCTGAAACAAGTGACATCAAGGCGTCAAATTCGCCAAGCTTATGTATCAATTTAGTAATATGCGGATGGTATGTGTTTATCCTGGAAGTAAACTCCAGGAATAATTTGTCACAAGTCAGTTTTAGAACATCCTCGTGGTATTTGAGTTTTTTATAAAGATTGACAGTTTCAGGTGATCTATATCTCACACAGTTTAATGTTGCACTTATTCGGATCCAATCTGAAGGGACGTGCTTCACATTTGATTTTCTAATTTGAATCAAGAATGGCTCATTGTTGACTTTCATAAACTGGAGATCTTTATTTTTGGTAAGGGTTTTGATGTTATCAAGCTCTTCTTCCAATAGCTCATTTATGTGCTCAATTTCTGAATTTTGCTTCTCGATTTGTCTATAATTAAAAAAGCTAGAATTGAAATAGTTTGTGATATGTTCCGGAGACTTGCTATCAATTGCAGATGGAGAATTAATCATTGATAATAGCTCTTCCATATCCAATAGTTCTTTCTGGGAAAGACTTTTCAAGGTCTCAAAGTTGGAGCTGAGTAAAGTTGAGCCTAGCGCATCCAATGATATCAACGCATCATTCATATTTTTGAAGACGGCAAGAATCTCGTTGATTTTTTTCAAAAATAAATAGACCTCTTTTCTATTTGACCGTTCGTAATGAATTCTGGAAAGGATCAACTCTAGATCAGGACAGGCTTTCAAGACATTCTTCAATCTTTCTATTTGTAGTCCACTCATTCTACCCATTAAGGATTCTACAGCATCGTGGCGTTCAATGATGGAGATTTTATCCACCAATGGTCGCTGTAACCAATACTTTAGCATTCTTTGACCGAATTTGGTGAAAGTGTTGTCCAACATGGCAAACAAAGATCCTCTTTCGCTTCCTGTTGTGTTGTTGTTGAAAATTTCCAAATTTTTCAAAACGCTTGCATCTAGAATTGTACATTTATTGACATCTGAAAACTTCTTGTAATTGTTTAGGAACTCGAAAACTGAAGTCAGCTTAAATTCTTTCAAGTACTCGAGTAATTTTGTAAAACATTCTAGCAACGGTTTTCCCAAAGTCATAAAAAAAGAAAAGACTTCATCATTATCTTCCAGTTCAGCTTTGGCATACGCCAGTAATTCACTGAACGTTCTGTTTGGTATATCTGCCTTTAAATGCGCAACGTTACTGGTATTGCTGTCGTTGTAGTTTCTAAAATTGTTAATGCATGTCAAAGTTTCTTTTGAGGTCTCACCAATAGTAATTATTTCAATTGGTTCCAGGTGGTGCAACCTTGACTCTAGTTTGTATCTCGTGAAGTCGTCCGTAAATTCATCATAAACGACATCTGTGAAATAGACGTTTACTGAAACCAAAGAAAGGTGTCCATCAGTAGACTCATTGATGCATACTATTGATTTTCCAGTGACATTTTTCTCAAGATCCTCATCGCTGATGAAAGTTCCTGCTGAGTAGACATGTGATAGAAAACGGTCAAAGACCTTACTTTTACTCTTTGTTTCAGCCCTGATTGCAGCAGTTTCAATTTGATTCACAACCCCGACCTTATATCCTCTAACTATCAATCTTCTGACATGCACCAATAGTCGCTCGATTGGCACTGATGCTTGTGCAAAAGTTGAATACAGGTGATCATTTTTGGATGGATTGTTCAGATCAAAAGAAAACTTTCCTTCAGTCAGCTTGATGTTCAATATTTTGGATGCAATCTTGGCATCCTCTCCAAAAAATTTGTATCTATAACCACTTTGGATGAAAAGTAGTTTGTCTAGATGATCCAGTTTGAAATCCATGATTTGTTGTTCGAAGTCTGTTAAAAGTTTGACCTTTTTGTTTGCTGTGGACTCGTTTTTAGATCCTGCGGACTGTCTCTTCTTCGAAGATATATTATCCCTTTTCTTGTTTAGTGACTCTGTCTCCTTGGCATCATCTTTTCTTGCAGGTTTTGGCGAATTACATGCAAAGGATTGCAATTTCTCGATACTGGCGAGATTTGGTGGCTCCTGTTCATCTTGAAGAGAGGTTTTTTCTTTAATGGTCTCGCTTTTCTTTCGTACGGTGAAAAATCTACTTAGAGTTTGCTGTGACATTTTAGTGAACAGAATTTAATCAGCGTTTGTGGAGAGGTTTGCAACATGCAAGGCTTATAGTGTAAAAGAACATCGCATTTGCACGCGAGAGACGTGTAAGTAAATCTTTACTAAGGAACGAAGTTACGCGCATGATTTTGAGGAAAAACATGATAAAGCTGTAAAGGTAACTTTTCTTCCTCTTCCGAACTTTGACTTCTAATTCACCACACGTTCCGTAGCGTTGATGCTGAATATACCTTCATACAACTGCTCGCTCTACATACCTCCATATGTCATACAACGGGATTGGGTTGAAATCCGCAAAGGGGTCTAGCACCTCTGGATATGTCCAGAGAAATGTTGGCGATGCAAGGGCTGAGAGAATAGGAGAAAGTAAGGGCAAACACTACTACAAGAGACAGTTGAATGAGAAACACCAGGAGAAAGTAGAGAAACAGAGGAAGTTTGCTGATTTGTCCTTAGATAAAGAAATTTTAGATCATGAAACAAAGAGAGAAATAGAAGTCAAGGTGATGGAGTACCGGGATAAAGTCGAGGCTGAGAATTCAAATATGGAGGACGAGGAAATCGACCAACTGGTCGATAAATACAGGATAAAGCTACATAAAGTGCGACAAAAGAAGCCTCGTGATAGAGAGCATTTATCGTACAACAGATCCGTCAACCCCTTCCAGGTCGAGGAAAAGCGAACGGCAGAGGAGAATGCCAAGTCTACAGATTAGATGCAAGACATCTTACACAGATGTTAAAAGGTGCTGCGTGCGTTTTGGAATCACAAAAAAACCGGGGACCGGAGGTTGTTCTAGAGTGGTGGTTCATAAAGGGGATGGAAAGAGAATGATCTGCGGCACTCCAGTCACGCAGACATCGTGCAGCAATCAAGCTCTAGATTCGAGCCTATAACTGCTGGCAGGAGATGCAGAGGTGCGACTATCACCCGTCTTCGTCTTAACTACTTGTAGAACTCCAGGAAAGAGTTTATTAATAGAAAAGGGAATTAACAGCAAAGCAGATCAGCATACAGATGTTAGGGGCTTGTCTCCAGCCACTGATCGCCCTGTAGCCGAGCATGTGTGGTGGAAACAAAAATTGCCATCGGCAAGTTTTTTCTCCAGCCCCTTCCATTCACTGGCTCACTCTCGCCCCAACTATCCCTTTCTGGTGAAACAATACTAGTCGCTAAATAATTTGCCCGGGTTTGAGCGGCATGCATGCTTATGCATTATATACGTCTGCGTGAGCGCACAAATGACAACCCATGCGCAACTTGTGGATCCGATGAACAACCGCCAACATTTTGTTCCACAATCAACAGGAGAAGGGCGTTTTGCATATCCCGAAACGTGTTGGTCCCCTCTTCGTGCTTGCTGCTTGCTGTTTGGACTCCATCCTTTTTTAGCGATGAAATCATACATGTGTTGGAAAGAAAAAAGAAGCAATATGAGCCACCAGAAACTCAAAAAGTCAAGAGCTCCGCTGGATACGGAGTTGCTTGTTTGTCCTCTTACCGGGATCTATTTCTGTCTGTCCGAACTTTACCTCTATAAAATTCCCAGCCTTGATCTCGGCTAAGATCGCTGTTTCCGCCATGTTGTAGATCTGAAATCTTGGATAACAGCTTGCATCACTACAGGCAGACAGCAGGTATGCCATTCTGAAGGAGAAAGTTGAGCGGGCAGCAGACGGCAATAGAAGTTGTGTTGGCCGAACTACATACCGTACCTCTTGGAGATACGGCTTTAGCCGGCTAAAAACGGGATTGAACGGCATAATTGTATGCTCAGTTTTGTTCTACGCGGTTGCACGACAATGCGCCCAAGCTTAACCCACTCTAGACCTTTTTCTTGTACTTTTGATTCTATGTTCCAGCCTGACATGTATGTGGGACTACCAGTGGGGGAAATAAATATGCATTGGCATGGAGTTTTGGGAGGAATTATTGGTGCATACTTGCGATAGATCTGCATGATTACATTATGTCTTGTTATACATATGCCCATAGTAACCGAAGTTTGCAGGTTTCCGTACTCATCCTTTTGCTATTCAAAAGCCAGAGGAGTAAAATAAGAAAAACCAATACTAGGTTCTGATCAACCAGCCCTGTGGGATAGCTAGTTACTTTGAGGAGTTGTCTGATTGTGCAAGATCTGCTAAGTGTGAAGTTCTGAGTGTGGTAACTAATCTATCTGAGCAGAATAACTTAGGCCAGATGATTAGCTGTTCGAAAGAAAAATCAAGTGCTGTTCTTCAATAACACGCTATACTCAATTTCTTTCGGCCGGACCTAGACACTACCGAAAACTAAAAAATTATCGCAAAAAATGCGAAAAAAATAAGCGATTTTAAGGTAATTGCCGAAAGCTGTTGAAGGTTTTCTTAATTCCGCAGTGTAAAAATGTGGGACGAAAAAACCACAAATATTAAAAAATCATGATCAAACAAATCATGGGTTCACTAGTACATTACCATTAAAATATAAACCGTCTATAAACTTATCTCAAGTGAGATATATTGATCAATATCATAATTACCTGTCTAAAGTCTGAGTATACACTACTTTATTTCCAAACAGCTTCTCTTTCAGATCGTCATCCACAACTATATCTGATTGGCTCAAAATTCTATCTAAATCCTTTTCGTCACGACTAAGAATTTCTTCTTTAATGTCCCACAGCAACATCTTGATATCGTTGTAGAGTATGAAGTTGAATGATGGTCCTAGTAAATGGAGGTTCATTCCCCCTTTGTATCGAGGGTAGCAGATTCTCCTTTTCAACCACTCCGAAGTATAGCTGAATTTCCCATCCCTATCAACAGGTGGCTTGATAGTTTCGAGTTTCAGTATATGTCCATTATTGTCTCTAATAGTTTTAACGAAAACATATTCATCAAGACCCATGTTCTCTTTGATTAGAGTATGGAAATTAAACCTTTTATCCTTAGTCTTTTTGTCAGACTTATCATCCGCATCACCAGCTTCGTCTGTCGATGTCTCTTCCTTTTTGGCCTGTTTTGTTTTACACTTCGGATTGTAAGAAATCGTTTTTTGGACAGGTGTAAATTGCTCCCTGTATCCATCTATTTTCATAATATCATCATGTGTACAATCTAAGAAGTTGTCCAGGGCTTCCATAGAGACTTCAGAGTTTAACTTGTCATTGATTATGCCCATTCTTACAACATCGTTATTACTCAAACTTTCCTTTAGATTCTTAAAAAGCATTTGGGTGATTTGTTGGCCCTCTTTTGAATATTTAATGACAGGCTTTTTTATCTTTTTGATGGTGGATTGACCATCTTCTGTTGCTTCCCCATGTTTCACTTGTGATTTGGTTGTGTCCTGCTTTTCATGATTCTCCTGCTTTTCATTGAGTTGTTTACTAGACTTACCGTGCTTGCTCATATCATAGACGACAAAGTTATTGTTGTTTTTCTTGTCAACATGGTTGAGTAAGCTTTTCAAATTGTCATGGAAGATGAATCTTCCGGTCAAGTTACTGCTAAAAGGTCTCCCTTGAGATCTATTTGTCTCTTCTTTATATATAACTTCACTTTCCTCCTCACTTAAACTGGGTTTCAACCTCTTGAAAACAGCACTAGAGTTATAGATAACACCGGCAATGGACGACTGCTTTTCACCATGTAAAAAAGCACCTTCTTCATACTCTCTTTTCATTCCATTATGTGGTGAGACCTCGTTCTCGTTGTTTGTATATCCATAAGGGTTATTATTTGTAATATGTGGAGTTGCCTGGTAACCATATCCTCGAACAAAACCGGTCATCCTTTGATCTTGCATATTAGAGTCTGGATACTTGGGAGTCAAATGAGGTAATGGCATCTGCCCTTGTGTGCGCGTTTGAGATGGGAATTGCGACGGTGGAGGAAGTGCTGCAAAATGAGTTGATTGTGATGGCTCATAGGGTGGCAATGGCATATGACTTTGATACTGCTGATACTTTTGTTGTTGTTGAATTGATAATTGTTGCGTATGTGGAGATAATAGCTGTCGCTGGTCTGACCCTGGGCCTGGCTGTAAATTAGGATTCTTTAGCAAATCAGCTTTTGGGGAGAAGGCTTGGGGTTGAGGAGGCGATCGAGTTTGAATTTGAGAGGGTGGCATATTTTTCTTCATTTTGACACCCCCTCTTATGCTTGTACTACTGCTGCTATTGCTGTTATATATCGGAATACTATTATTACCTGTGAGAGGTTCACTGTTAATTGGGGGAACGGATGAAAAATTGTGAGGTATTGGATACTGGTAATGATAAGCTTGTGAATATTTGTTTTGTTGCGAGACGTAGCTGAAGGGAGGTATCTGCTGATTTGTGCCTTGCAAGGATGTGGAAGAGGAAGCCATGTGGGATGGTGATGCTACACTCTGATGTAGCGGAAGGTATAATTGCTGAACTTGGGGAGTGACTTGATAGTTACTGATTGGCGAGGCGATTGAAAAAGGTTGATGTCCATTTGGAGAGCCAGAATTATTTACCGGGTTATAATTCATTTTAGAAACGATATTTTCGTTAGATTGTTGAAAATGCTGATTGGTTGGATTGTTGTATAAATTGTATGGAATGCTCTGGTTAGTCTGGTTAGGGGACGGTTGATAGTTACCACCTCCTGGCGGGAAGTAGTAGGAGTTAGATGGATGGGGAGGAGGAGGAGGAGGTGGTGGTGGTGGTGGCTGTGGATAGTTGACCATATTCATATCCGCGGTTTTAGAACAGCTAGCCTGAGCTTACTATTATTTGTTATAATAGTAAACACTAGAAACAGAATCACTGCCTGTCTTTTAAAAAAACTTAGAAGCTAGAGAAAAAGGTAAAAATATGAGGGAGAAGCAGAGGGAAGGAAACAGGGAAGTAAAGGAGAGAGAAGGGAAAGCACAACAAATATCAAGATTCACACAATTCGGTATGCACCTACGAAAATCTAGATCTGAACTGAAGAATTAGGAAAAGCGGATAGAAGCTTGCCTATATATATCTATATAGATCCTCTTGTTACCATATTTCTCCCTACATATCCATATATATTGTACGCTCAGCATGTGATGAGAGTATGCAAGTTCAAAGAAAAGAAGCAATGGGAAAATGAAGAAGAGGGAGAAAAAAAACAATCCGAAACCGGGCTTAAAGGAGAGGAAGGCTTCGGCTATTATTTCCTGCAGTATCTCCATATGTGCCGAATCTTGCAGACAAATTGGCTTTAGGTTATCTCTGGGGATATGCCAGAAGTAAATAATGCGATGACGCGAATGCCGACTGCAGTTTCCGTCAAGTGTTTTGTGTTCTCTACCAGTTCAGCCTCGATGCACTGCCTCATTTATCAGAGCAAGGACACAACAGTTGACAAAAACTTTCTCAGTAGAGCTCATCTATGCTTACCTCACGTATGATGCGGGTTGATGCAGCGCGGGCATTTTGTAATGCGGGAGAAATTAAAGCTGTATGGTAACTTTTAGCTGCGGATGACGTTATCAAATCCTATGTGATTGACCACATATCCACGAAAATAAGAAACGTGCAAGAGAGAGGAAAAGTGAAAAAGAAAGAAAGCTTTTGTTTGCTTAAAATGGAACTCGTATGTGAAGAAAGAGAAAAAGGGAGTGGAACATCAGAAGCAAAAAAAATCATGGCTTGTGACTGCACGTTAAGGTGGTGCAACCTGATGTTCCACTGCGTTTACAATTTTTCCGCGTATAAGCGTTTAAGAACGGATATAGATATAAGAAATGTTACACCAAAATCATCAGTTCCGAAAATGAGCTTCGCCAATGAAGCTTGAAAGCTTATATACCCCGTGGCGAAATGAACAACGAAAGTACAATAGGTATCACGCTTTGAGTTGTTGCCGCGCTCGCGAAAAATAAATTCCGGCTTGCGATGCATCATGCGTACGAGTATCTTGAAACCCGTATTGTGCGAAGAATTCAGTAAGAAAAGTGGAACAAAAAGAACCGCCCTGCATATTAGAATTTAAAACTTACAAATGGGAAGTGTGGGTTTTACTCAAGCGGCTGGATCGGGCGGAGCTCGGTTTTTCTGCAACTGATTTCTATGCACCAGCGGTGATGAATCTATTTGCGCAAGTAACTGTGGGCAAGTCGGAGAGTTTTAGAGCACGTACACTGCAGGAACGACAGCAAAATACCTGTAGACAATTCAAAAAGCAGCCGTTAATTAGGCATATTTTTGTCCGACAGAATAATTGTTGTTCCTCGCACATCAGCTTGAAACGACCTTGTACTAATGCATATTGCCGGCGCAAGGAGTAGAACCGGAGGGGAGGCCACATTTTCCCTTTATTGCTGTTATTCAACATTTAAGTGTGCGGACATTTTCCATTTTGAGCGGTTTTATTGAACGAACGGCAAATGCTGGTTCGTTGCTTACTCAGATCCAGAAAAGAGTGAGCAATATAGCCATTTCACTGGCCTCTGTGTTTGCTGGCTCTATACATTGACGCCTTCTTGATGCTTTCTTTTTTTAGTTTGTGGTCAGCAGGCTTCGATTCATATTATGACACGAATCCTTTGTGCGGACCTCAAACTTGTCCCTTATTTATTGAAGACGCAAAAAAGTTGCTGAATATAAAAAGCAACTTTGTCTGTGCCACCTCCCCCGCTCTCGTGCATGGAAGCTTTGTCTACTACAATGATGTTAGGCATATTTATTAGGGGATGGAGTTAAGAAATTCGTCTATTAGGGGCTTTTTTGCGTCCAGAATTAGACGGATAGGTTCGCGTGGCCGAGCCAAAAGCGTGGGGTGGCTTGAAATAGCAGCCCGCGGAGGATTTGCGGTAGTCCTGAAGTGCGTCACAATGGTGAAGCGCGAGACCGAAACCAGCACGCATTTGTTTGTACCCAATTGAGCGAGTTTCAGGATGCCACCACTCTCTGATTGCCGTCGAAGGTCTGACGCCAGATTCCTGCTAGGTGCCTCAACACCCCTGTAGTATAATGCTGTAATGAAATGTACCAGCCCACAAGCCCGCACCAGTTACCCGCGGGCACGCTCGGTCCTTACCCAAGTTCCTACCCTGCCTTTGTGCGTGGATGAGCGAAATATTAAGATCTAAATATGTTTCCTCAGGTTGCTTTCACATGTACTCTGTCCTAATTATATTGCGTGCTAAAAATTACAGTGCGAATCAGTGCTTCAGCGTTGATCAGGGCAGAAATGGTGCTCCTCTGAAACCTCGAGGCAAGGCAGCAATAATATATTCTCTCATATCAGTCTCTTCGGTAAGAAATGCATGCCAAACAGCTAGGTGGCCCTGAACCTTTGAAAATATACGGTCTGCCTATGCGCGATGTACATTGGATCAAAACATGTTTTACATCAAGTCATCGTGCCATAGAAATGCATACGGCTCATGCCCTTGCGTTATAATATTCAATATTACAGGGACATGTAGGACAATCACTGTATTTTCATTACGTTAGGTCTTGTAGGTACACCAACCAGATTCAGCATCCAAAGGTCTCCACACTATCCGTAGCTAAATGTAATAGCATCGGTAAATAAGAATATAAAAATGCAGTTTTGGTTGCTCTTTTCGTACTATGTGTTCAGCCTTTTGCATTCATGAATTACCATGTTATCCACATTCTAGCTTCCTGTATCCACTCTAATTAGCCTGAATCCGTACTAGCGACAAAAATTAGCTTCGTGCTAGAAAATACTTTTTCGTTGTGCTGAGCCTGCAGTTAATAACCTCTTCAGATTCCAGACGACGTAATCAGTAAAAGTAAAAGAATGGATTCGTTGCTGGGTGATGTAGAAAGGGGTAGAATATCTGATCATAAGGCTCAACTAGACCCAAATATGCTTATCTTCCAAAGTGGAACGGCTTTGGCCACCTTTTCGTTTTATGTTTATCTTTTCTTGCATTGCGGAAAAGGTCCTCAGCTGATAGAGGTAAGCGTTTTGAGTTGTATTAAAGTTAAGATAAACACGCCGGCTCAGCATGCATTATAGATCTCAACTGATGGGTGACCTACTAAACGGACCAAATACTCAAACCAGTACGTGGTAGTTGGAGTTTTTGCCGCCTGCTCTATAACTCAAGCTTTCCGCAAAGAAGCTACTTTCGACAAAACAGTTTCAAACCAACGTCTTTATGCACAGCTTGTGCTTCTTTTGATACTTGCTTTCGGTGTCGTTCGACTAGCAACTACAACCGCAAAACACGATCCCAGTGTCGATGTCAAACGTTGCACTATGGTGTTTTATCCATAAAAGGCAAGCTTGGTATCTGATACGGATCAGCAGGCTGTCTTAACCGGGCAAAAGACCTGTGTGCTTTTTTGGCGTTAGCAAAGTGTTATTCCCCGAGTAATCATCAAGCCCGTTTGAGAGAATGTCTTCCAACTACGCTACAAAAGGAGCCCTGCATGCCTGGACATCTTTACTACACGTGTTGTATTACAGCATATACATACTTTTAACATCTGCGGAATTTTGTTGTTCTTTTCCGCCAAAAGAACTCTTATGTAATCATGATGAGGCTCATTATTAAATGTGAAAGCTAGAATGGAACCGGGAATTGCATGAGATTTTGGGAAAGAGTGCCCGTCTTTCTTTCCTAGCGAAGGGCAGTGTGTATTCTACATTGAGGCTGTTGACCTGGGGCCGCCAATGTAGAGCTTGACCAGCACACGCGAGTATCATCCTCTTCTATGCCCCTGCCACAGGGCATTTCTCTCAATCGGGAAGGGCACCTTTCGCGTTAGCTGCCACCCATTTCCTGTCATATATTACTGCGGAAAACGGAGGAAGGAAAAAAAGGCAGCAGCAGCAGCAGCAGCGATAGTGTCCTTATCGGGATGAGACGAGGCCAGTGGCGGGACTGTGCTGGGCCGGGAAAATGAACAACGCATTTCTTTTCCCCCCTCCCTTTCCCGCCCGTTCCCCGCCCTCACGTCTCTTCTTCTCACGATTTGACGCCATTGATATCTGGACTGCTACTGCCGTCAATTGAGTCGTTTGACTACAAAAGCTTTGTAGAGTAAACCATAGCTGTGTAATAGCCCGAACACGAGTGTAGCGTAGCCCAGCACTCTCTTTGCCACTGCCGCTTCTGCCACCCCCACGACCGAGAGAGAAAAAATTGGAAGCTGCGCAAAACAATTTCTTCGATAAAGAGGGCGAGAAAGACAGCTTTTTGTTACCAGCCTGATACAGCAGAGGAAAGGTGTTGTAGCTGTTCTGTTACCGGCTGGGTGGATTCTGTATCTGTAGCCACACGTGTTGCAGGCTTTTCATTGACACATAGTTACATTGAGACTTTACATACGTGCGCAGTCTATTGCATGCACACAGTTAGAAAGTTACACATTCCCATCAATCTTCTACCTGGAGTCGTACCTTCGTCTATACAAACACGCACACGTTTGACATTCAAGTACCGCCCCTCGTCCACCAACATACTCAGAGACCGCCTACACGTAACTGATATATCTTGCTATCAGCGAATAGATATTTAAGGCACATACACTCACATATACACACGAAGTATCTTATTGTCCCTTCCTCTTGTTATTCGATAAGAGCAACATACGTTAACAAGAAAAAGCCGATATGGGTTGTTCCTGCAGTTGCTTGAAAGGCCATGAAGATTCAGGCCTGTACCGCCAATTGCTAGCCGACAATGAAAGAGAAGCTATTGCGTCTCTCTTGGAATACCTAGAAAACAGGTCAGGTGTTGATTTCTTTTCGGAAGGCCCATTAAGGGCCCTAAGCACTCTGGTTTATTCTGATAATATCGACCTACAAAGAAGTGCAGCTCTAGCTTTTGCCGAAATAACCGAAAAGGAAATTCGTCCTGTAACCAGGGATGTCCTAGAACCTATACTTATATTGCTGCAAAGCTCTGACCAGGAGGTCCAAAGAGCCGCCTGCGCAGCTTTGGGTAATTTGGCCGTCAACGACGAAAATAAGGTATTGATTGTTGAAATGGGTGGCCTCACCCCTTTGATCAGACAGATGATGTGTCCAAATATTGAAGTCCAGTGCAATGCCGTCGGATGTATTACCAACTTGGCTACCCAGGATGAAAATAAAACTAAAATTGCAAAGTCCGGCGCCTTGATTCCCTTGACCAAATTGGCAAACTCACCCGACTTAAGAGTTCAAAGAAACGCCACTGGTGCTTTGTTAAACATGACACACTCTTACGAAAACAGGAAAGAACTGGTTGAGGCAGGCTCTGTTCCTGTTTTGGTTCAATTATTATCGAATTCTGACCCAGATATTCAATATTACTGTACAACTGCCTTATCGAATATTGCGGTTGATGAAGAAAACAGGAAAATACTCTCTACCACTGAGCCGAAACTAGTAAGCCAATTAGTTCAATTGATGGATTCTTCAAGTACCAGAGTCCAATGTCAAGCAACCTTGGCCTTGAGAAACTTAGCCTCGGACGCTCTATATCAACTAGAAATCGTCAGAGCTGGTGGGTTACCTAATCTGGTTCAATTACTACAATCACCTCATGAACCATTAGTTCTGGCTGCCGTTGCTTGTATCAGAAATATCTCAATTCATCCGATGAACGAAGTATTAATCATTGAAACTGGATTTCTCAAACCCTTGGTCGATTTGGTGGATTACCCAAATAACACCGAAATTCAGTGCCATGCAGTTTCCAGTTTGCGGAACTTGGCAGCTAGCAGCGAAAGAAACAGAATGGCATTGTTAGAAGCTGGCGCAATAAAAAAATGTAAAGATATGGTATTAAATGCCCAAGAAAATGTTCAAAGTGAAATATCAGCTTGCTTTGCGATCCTTGCGTTGGCTGATGAGTTGAAAGAAAAATTATTGGATATGGGTATCATTGACGTTTTAATTCCTCTGACAAAATCTTCAAATGCTGAGGTTTGCGGTAACTCTGCTGCAGCTTTGGCAAACTTATGTTCAAGGATAAAAGACTACAGTGTGATTTTAGAGCATTATGACGACTTGTCTGACTTCATTTCAAACTTTTTGAAGAGTCGGAATCCAACGTTCGAACACATTGCTCTTTGGACCATATTACAACTTCTCGAATCCAATAACAAGGAAATCAAAGATAAGATTAAAAAGGAAATAAGTAAGGGTAAGATAGATCTAACGAATTTGACTGGAGAAAATAACGAAAACCATGAGATATCAAACCTAACAATGCAAATTCTAGATTTAATAAAATAAATAATGTGTTTGTTATATAAAAATATACTGCTAATATAATAATTTTAATTCGTGTTGTCTGACTTTGTCTGACTTGCGGTTTCGCCCACTCAAAGCTTTGTCCACTCTTAACCGAAAACACCAGTTAAGTCTGTTCCGTGGATGACCGAAAACCTCGGCATCTAAAGCCCGTTCATATCCTTTTTCCGACACGTTTCCCGTATCTCCCTCTCCTTCTCGGAGGGTGGGGGGAAGAAGAGGAGAGGTGGAAGTCGTATTCTGTTGCTCCATCATCTCCTGATAATTCCGTTTGAGTGCGCAGAAGTCCGTTCGTAGCCTGCCTTTGTCGCGCGGAGATAGACGGTTTCCGACGGGCTTAGATAAGATAGGCGGAGGAGGGAGACGGAGAGGGAACTTCGGAGATGCAGCTCGTCCGGAGGCTGCCTTCTTCTTACAAGCCAATGTTTATCTTATTAACTGTGAGCTCGAGGAACAGCTGTGTCTATAAAAAGGCAGTTATCTTTCTTAAAAGCAGATTTTATTTCGTTCTAGTTCCTCTGTAGTGTATAATATTTTGTATTAGGTTCCTTCTACCATTTTAATTCCTCACGTTTAGTTGTATTGCACTAAATAACAAAACCTATCAACAGATAAACAAAACAGAAAGAAAAAAGACTATAAAAAGAGCAACAATGACTTCCATTTGCAATAAATCATGTGAACACCAGCACGGGAACATCGGCATTCATGAAGTCAGCTCCACTCCTATTGCAGTAAACAGTGCCTTTGTTGATTACTTTGGAGAAAAGATGAGATTGTCTACTTTTACTAGTGACGCAGACATCAACCCACTTCCATTAAACTGGTCAGCTAGTGCTAGTACAGCAAGAGGCCCTGTTGTTGTTTCCAAATATAAAGACGGAATGACCAAACACAATGCAATTGGCGCCCATGCAGGACCTTACTCTATCTACCATGCTTTAAGTATTGCTTCTAAGCAATTGGACTCCATGCATGAGCCTGACTACACAAATGCCCATCCTCCACATAACTTCCCTCAACAACCACAGTGGTCAACTCCTGGTAAGATTGTTACTATGGACCCATTTGGCCACATGGCTCCATGGATCTATGGCGATCTTGCAAAGAAGGAAAATGTTGACATCAAGCCCACCATGTCTATCACTAAGGCTATTTTATCAATACCAGAAATTAAGGAGGAGGTCAAGAGAGGAAACTTGGTTCCAGATGGAAAGATTGTTTTAAACGACGAAGGTGAGATGGCATGCACCAAAATTGCTGTTGACCCAGTTTGGCACTTACCAGGTGTTGCAGAAAGATTGAACATCACTGAGGACGAATTGAGAAAAGCCCTTTTTCAAGATACCAACGGTATGTATCCTGAACTCATTTCTAGACCAGATATCAAAGTTTTCTGTCCCCCAATTGGTGGTATCACAGCCTATATTTTTGGTGACCCAGATAACCTACCAAAGGAAGATAAGAGATTGGCAGTGAGAGTTCACGATGAATGTTCAGGTTCGGATGTTTTCCTTTCGGACATTTGCTCATGCAGGTGCTATTTAATATTTGGTTTAGTTGAAGCCGCCAAAGAAGCACAGAAAGGTGGAAACGGTTTGGTGTGCTATTTCAGAAAGGAAGGCAGATGTCTCGGTGAAGTTACCAAATACTTAGTTTACAATGCACGGAAGAGAGGCGGTGACACTGCAGATGAGTACTTCCACCGTACCGAGTGCATTGCCGGTGTGAAGGATGCCAGATTTCAAGAATTAATGCCAGACATTCTCCACTGGTTGGGTATCACCAAGATTGATAGAATGCTTTCCATGAGTAACATGAAGCACGACGCTATTGTCGATTCTGGAATCACCATCGACGAGCGTGTCGAGATTCCTGACTATCTTCTTCCTGCTGACAGCAGAGTCGAAATTGATGCTAAGATTGCAGCCGGTTACTTTACCAACGGCCATGTATATACTACAGATGAATTGAAGAAGGTTGAAGGTAGAAAATGGGAAGGCTTGTAAATGGTCCTTGAAAGCCTCACAAGCCAACTCCTTACCCCCAAAGAATTTACCCATCCTGTCTGTAATTTTACGTCTCCTTCCCATGTCTTCCCTATAGATTATATAGATTATAATGTATGATTGTGTTTCCGTTCAGCATCGTGTCCGGTTTACTTGGCTCCGCCATCGACAGCGCAGCACAACGCGGTTTCGGCAGGGTGGCCGTGATTTTCCTCGCGAAGGACAACAAATAGGCAGTGGCGCGCCTTGAAGGCTTTACAGTCGTCAATGATGGAGGAAGGAGAGAGACACGGAAGTGGGTTAGCAGTCCACTTCAACTGGCCTTGTATTTGCACGCAAGAAAGAAGAAGAGTGTTTCTGCGGTAGGCAATTCAGCACAGAGCGTTCCGCACAGACACCTCGGACACGGTAAGGGCATCATCATTCACAGCACAAGGGTATGGTTGAGGAAGACGCTGCAAGTGGAGATCAATTGGCAGCATCCAACGCTGTGCAGCTGGAAAACGGCACGCCAAACAAAGAACGTGTTGAAAAACCGGACGTTGTGAACGGAGAGGCAGATTCAGCTCACGTGGGTATTTCTGATGAGAATAGCAAGCCAGCAAATGCGAAAAAAGCCGCTACAGAAGAGGTTAACGGTGGTTCCGAAAAGGAACTAAGCACCCAAGAGGAAGAAACACCTTCTGAGACTGTTGCCGAAACAGTTGAAACGAATGGGACAAACGAGATAAAAGCAAGCGCCATTGATGTCTCTGCAAGTGGCGAGGATGTGACAAACCTTGTTAAGGAAGAAACCGCAGAAGGTCAGCCCGAGCCTGAAGTTGCGGTTTCTTCCGAAGCCCAGAACTCCATCCGTACATTCGACCAGCAATCTGCCTACTCGGCCTCAAACATGTCTCCTGTCAAGAAAACTGCCACCACCTCACACCTCAACGAAGCCGCAAGCATCTCCTTTCTCAAGTCCAGTTTTGAAAGTTTGATTGCAATCAAAGAAATCATGAAAAAGCATCAGCCAATAGTGCAAAAAGCCACGACTGTTATTGGAATTTTGAAGACGGGCGAAATGCCTCCAGAGGAACTTATTTTTGAGCCTATCAAGCTAGCCTGTGAACAGTCCAATGTGGAGGCTAAGATATTGGCCTTGGATTGCTTGAGTAAGATATTTACTTTTAATCTATTTACCAAGCCAATATATTGGGATTACAAAGGCAAGAAAAATTTACCCATACAGACAGATGTCGATTTAGACGGCAGTTTAGGATCGCCTGTCCAAGAAGGGAAAATTCTCCTTATTGAAGCAGCAATCAACGTGGTGACCTCCTGTTTCGAGGGCGAAGGCACGGATGAACGTGTAGAGCTGCAAATTATCAGAGTCTTGACTGGTGCAGTTGTTAACGAATCAATGCCAGTGCATGGTAAAGTGTTGCTCCAGGCTATCAGACAGATCCACAACATTTTCCTGTTATCTTTGTCTCCAATCAATCAAGGGATAGCGCAGGCTACCATTATTCAGATAGTTGATTCCGTTTATGAAAAAGTTTTGAAGTTAACATCCAAAAAGAAGTACCACAGTTCTCTGCAGCCTGAAAGCGATCTACCTGACCAGATTGAAAACAACCAACAAATGACTCTACAGCAACTACAAGACACTAGCAATGACAACATCCAACTGACCTCGGATGAGATCATAGGCAATGATGACGAACTGTACATTAAAGATGCCTTTTTGGTGTTCAGATCAATGAGTAACCTTGCCTCAAAAACAATCGAGACCGAGTCCTTAGATATGAGGTCACATAAAATTAGAGTGAAGTTACTTTCTTTGCACATTATTCACTCGATTTTGAGGAACTACATGGACGTTTTTGTAAATAAGGAGTGCCTAATTTTCAATAAAAACAGCGATGAGAGTACATTTTTAGTGGATGGTATCAGAAAATATCTTTGTTTAGCCATTTCCAGAAATGCAACTTCTCAACTCTCCCCAGTGTATGAAATAACCTTGGAAATATATTGGCTCATGCTCAAGAATTTAAGATCAGAATTTAAGTACGAAATACCTGTTTTCCTGGATGAAATCTATTTCCCTGTCAGTGAAATGAAAACTTCAGCATCATATCAAAAAAGGTACATATTAGAAATTATCCGTCGTATTTGTTGCGACCCAAAAATTTTAGTCGAGTTCTACCTTAATTATGATTGTGATACCGTACTACCTAATTTATGTGAAGCAATTGTTGACTATTTAGCTAGATACGCTCTATTGAGAGTTGTAGCTACCTTACCCCAAAAGTTAAATTTTAAGAATTTCCAAAAACAACATTCTTTATCTAAAGAGATAGATACTATTCCAGAATTGAATTCCTCAAAATTGACTAGTACGCCCCCAAATCCAGATGCAAATGTCAACTTTCCAAACGATTTTGCTCTCAAAATGAGTTCCATCGATTGCATCGTCTCGTTTTTGCAATCACTCAACGTATCATCTGGTGCTTCTCTTCAGCTTCAGTCTTCACAATCTGTTATAGCCTTAGATGACTTGAAGTCTCTTTCAGGAGAAGCTCGAATGAGAGGAAGCTCCATCGCATCAGGGACGCATTCATCAATTTCTCAATCTGAGCTAAACATCAATTCAAACGAATCGGAAGAAGCCTCATTTGATCCAGCGCAATTTGATACTGTAAAGCAAAGAAAAACGTCCTTAATTGAAGGAGTCAAATTGTTCAATTTTTCGCCTAAAAAAGGTATTGCTTACTTAGCTAGAAATGGCTTTGTGAAAGCCAATGATCCAACATCAATTGCTAAATTCATACTTGAAAACGACAGCTTGGACAAGACCCAAGTTGGTGAATATCTTGGAGGTAGCAAGGAGGAAAACATTGAAGTTATGCATGAATTTGTTGACAATATGGACTTTAAAAATAAAGGTTTTTTAAATGCATTAAGAAGTTTCTTACAACATTTTAGATTGCCAGGAGAGTCTCAAGTCATTGATAGATTCATGTTAAAATTTGCTGAAAAATATGTGAACGACAATCCTAAAGCATTTGCGAACGCAGATACAGTATATGTTCTCTCCTACTCTGTGATTATGCTTAATACTGATCAGCATTCCCCTCAGGTTAAAAAAAGAATGACGTTGGATGATTTTGTAAAAAACAACCGTGGTATTGATGATGGCAAAGATTTAGACCCTAAATTTCTGGAAGGAGTTTTTAACGATATCCAAGGCAATGAGATCATCTTGAACAGTGAACAGCAGGCTGCTTTAATCTCCAATGATTCATCTGCACAACAAACATTATTTGCGACTGCCCTTTTTGGGAGAGATTATGCTTCTCGAGAGGCGTACACCAAAGTGTCAAAGGTTTTGAGTAAAAAGACTGAAAACACGGTCATATTATTGGGTAAGACTACCAAGAAAAACAACAGATACTACACATCAGATTCTGCTACTAATCCTGAACATGTGAAGTCAATGTTTGAAAACTTGTGGATGTCATTATTGGCCGGTTTGACTCCACCGTTCAAAGATTATGATGACGAAGAAATTGCAAATTTACTCTTGTATGGTATTCGTCTTTCCACGCATTTGTCATGTATATTTAATATTGATTATGCAAGAACATCTTTTGTTAGAGCATTAGTTCAATTCACTAACATAAATAATCCAGAAGATATGAAAGATAAAAACATCAAGGCAATATATACCTTACTGGATATTGCAATTGATGAGAGCTCGTATTTAAAAACGGCATGGAAGGATATCTTCATAGTTATCTCACAAGTTGAAAGATTAAGGTTATTGTCCAAGGGAGTTGCCTCGAAATCCGTTCCAGATTTATTGAATGCTAGGTTGGCTAAAAAGTCCCTAGACACAAGTCATCGTGCTGAATCAACTAGTTTTTTCTCTCTGGGTGGTAAAAGGCAAAGCATTTCTCAGCAAGCTCTTGAGCATCACTTCAACCAGAAATTACCAGTTGACATGATTAATAAGATAAATGCTACAGAACTTGACGTTTCCATTGATAAGGTCTTCAGCAAAAGTTCAGAGATTCAAGGTGATGGTATCTTTGACTTTGTCGGCGGTCTTGTTGAAGTTGCCAGGGATGAAATAGCCTCATCTGGTGATAGCAAAGAACCAAGAATATTCTGTTTGCAGAAAATGGTTGATGTTTGTTATTACAATATGAGTAGAATCAGACTTCAGTGGTCCGAGTTGTGGAAAGTCATGAACCAAGAATTTAACGAGTTTGGTTGTAATCCAAACAATATAGTTGCATTTTTCGCTATTGATTCCTTGAGACAATTGTCAGAAAGATTTTTCAACATTGAAGAGTTAGCTCATTTCAAATTTCAGAAGGAATTTTTGAAGCCGTTCGACTATATCATTGTGAACAACGGTAATTTGGATGTGAGAGAGATGGTTTTGGATTGTGTGCAATATTTGATCATTAAGAAGGCAAAGCAAATAAAGTCAGGATGGAATACTATTTTAGAGATTTTGACACATGTTGCATATAGCGAGGACAGTGAGAAGTTTGTTGCAACAGGGTTGAGATTTGCTAAGCAAATTACGGACGAGCATATTGAGAGCCTCGAAGAACAAGACGCATTTCCTGCTTTAGTAGATTGCCTCTCTGAATATGCAAAGAATGAGCGATTCCAGAAAATCAGCCTAAGAGCGTTGTCGATGATCAATCAGTTAGTCGAGAAGATTGGAGACGAGGTTGACGAGAGAAGCGGAGATGATGATTATTTGAACAAAAGATGGTTTCCGCTTTTGTTCAGTTTCAACAGTATTGTGATGGAAGGTAATGATCTGGAAGTTAGATCCAAAGCTCTCAATTTTATGTTTGAAGCATTGATAATTCACGGTAAGAACTTTGATGAGCAGTTTTGGAGCAAGATTTGCAATGAGCTTCTCTTTCCGATTTTTGATATATTGAAAAGACATGGTCAAATCAATTTTACCCAAAATGAGAGTTTGTGGGTCTGGCTGTCGAGTACGTTGATCCAGGCGCTGAGAAAGATGATTCTACTATTTACGACATTTTTCCACGAACTGAATGGTACCATGGATGGTTATTTGAGCCTATTAATTTCGTGCATTTGCCAGGATAACGATGCGATTTCCAAGATTGGTATATCGTGTTTGGAGGATTTGATCCTACAGAACACTGACCGGTTCGGGGCTGAGCATTGGAAGAAAATTGAGATCACATTCAAGGAATTGTTCAAGCTCACAAGTGCTACGGAGTTGTTTGAGTTGGATCCATTGAACAAGAAAAACAAGAAGGCTGCAAGCGGCTCCTCCTTGGGAGCGGGTGGGAACGAGGTTGCGGAAGATGAGTCCGAAGACGATGAGACCGAACAGTCGTACTCCGAAATCAATCCCGACCGGAAGTTCTCCTCGCAGGAGATTGTGATCAAGTGTGTGCTCCATCTCCACATGATCCAGATTCTCTCGGAGCTCTTCGACAACAACGAGTTCTACACGGTCATCCCGTACTCAAACTTGATCGAGCTCACCAAACTGCTGCACAGCAGCTACACCTTTGCCAAGAACTTTAACGAGGACTACAACTTGCGGGTGCGCTTGTGGAATGCGGGCACCGTTGACAAGTTGCCGAACTTGCTCAAGCAGGAGACCTCTGCTGTGGGCGTGTACATCAGCGTGCTCTTCCGCCTCTACTGCGACGAGGAGAAGACGAACTCCGAGGCAAGAGACCGCATTGTCGGCATCCTGATTCCCTTGGCTGTCTCGCTTATGAGGCGGTCTGCCGAGTTCGACGAGCGGGAGGAGACCAAGAACTTCCACTCGTGGATGCCCGTCGTTGTCGAGGTTCTCCAGGCTGTCACCGAGCTCTACGAGAAGGACTTTAAGAAGGCCTGTCCGGAGACGTATCCGTACGTGATGCAGCTCTTTGGGAAAAACATGTCTGTGGAGCTGCGGGAGGTGATGAAGGACTTCATGGTCCGGGTCGGCAACATTTACGTGCTCCACCCCGCGGACACCGCTGCCGCTACTCCTGCCGCTGCCACCAACGGCGGCGCCACTGGCCCCTCCAACGACTAGATAGCCCCACCGATAGATAGATAGATAGGTAGATAGGTAGATATACTGATAGACAGATAGACAAGAACCGACGGGACGGCTGCCAGACGAAGCGCGTGCCGGCAAGCGAGCACCCCGCGCACCGCAGCCTGGAGCGGCCACTGTGCGGAGTGGAAAAGCTGGGCGCCGTACTGGGGAATGGGCCGGACAACGTAGCAGCGGTGGGGGAGGGTCGGGTCTGGCTACGAGAGGGTCTGAGATGGAAGAGATCTGGAGGGTGGAGAGAAGGGGTGACGGAGAGGGGGCGTTTCAAGAAGGAAGAAGGTTGATTGTACAAGCCATCATGTCTATGCAAAACAAGGTAAGTGCTGCTGTGCCGTAGAGGCCGGTGGGGAAGCAAGAGATGCCGCAGTGCAGGCGAAAGTGCAGGCAGACAGGGTCGACGGGGAGAGAGCAGGAGGAGGACGAAGAGTGGGTCCGGATTGCAATGGGGCAGGCACAGGAACGTCTGTGTGCTGATGCTGGCGCCAGTCGAGCTGTGCCGGGTCGAAGACGGGGGCACAGGGAGGGGGCGTGTGGCACGGCATGTTTGACGCCGGGTGACAGGTGCTGTCAAGGGGTGGAGGGGTGAAAAATGGGGCTCGAGACAAGTGGAGGGGGAAGATGTCGAAAAGAATGTGCTGCAATTGCTGCTGGCTGGCCCTGCTGGCTGGCTGTGCCCTGCGCTGTCCTGCTGCGTCCTGCTGCGTCCTGCGATGTCCTCCAGGCGACACCATGAACGAATTCTAACACCTTTTTCTTGTACAGAACCTTTACGCTTTATTGGGTAACGACGTCTCCGGTGACGAGGAGGAGTTCGTTGCACCAAAGGAGATTGTTGCTCCACAAAAGTCCACCAAGAAGAGTGGCGAGCCACCAAAGGCTGACAAGACCAAGGCCAAGGGCGGCAAGCCTAAGGCATCTGGCAACGAGGCCGGCGTCAGATTCAACAACAAGAACAGAGACAGCGAGGGCCCAGCCACCACCCAGAGAAAGACCGGCAAGGACAAGAAGTTTGACAGACACTCCAGAACCGGCAGAGAGGAGACCGCCAAGGCCGAGCACAACAGATTGGGCGACGAGGCCGAGGCCCAGATCGAGGGCGAGGAGGACGCCGAGGCTGAGATCCAAGAGGCCGTTGCTGCCGGCGAGGAGAAGCCACAGCTGAGATCCGCTGCAGACTTCTTCCAGGAGCTCGAGGCCACCGAGTTCTACAAGACCAAGAAGGTTGCTGCCCCTGCCTCCGACGCCATCAGCGCGGACAAGCTGGTTGTCAAGGTCAGCGAGGACTTCATCCCTTCCACCGCGGAGAAGAAGCTCAAGCAGAAGGCCAAGAAGGAGAAGAAGTTCCTCGACGTCAACATCACCGTCACCGACGGCTACGACAAGCCGGAGAGACCAGAGAGATCCGACTTCCAGAAGGGTCCTGCTGCTTCCCGGAAGCCAAGAGGCGGCAAGAAGTTCGCCGGCAAGCCAAGACCTGCCAAGAAGCCTACCGGCCAGTTCAACGAGCAGAACTTCCCTGCCCTATGAGTCTCTGCGACTCCTCCTCCACTGCGCACCGACGCTCCGTGATGGTTCTTCCACCACCAACACTAACTACTCTCTACCTATATACACCTTTCTTCGTATATACTCTAACCTAGTCACCACTTCTACCCCACCCTGTCACGGACGCTTTTCCTATCTTCCCTGACCTTCCAGTCCGTCACCCAACGTCTTTTCTCCACGTTTTTCCACCCGCTCCTCGGGCTGAAATTTCCCGTTCCGTGCCCCTGTTGCATTTTTCACTTCACCCCCGAGGACACCACAGCGGGTCATTGTGCCCGCCGGAGCGGCAGCGGGCGGTCGTGGAGGAGTAGGTGGTGACTGTGCTATGTTTGTTTGTTGTATCCTGCTGCTGGCGGGCCGGGGAGCCGGGGGACGGCTGGGGGGTGACTGGCAACTGACAAGAGACTGTCCCAGAACCCATCAGCGCCACCAACGTTCCCCGTGCCGTACTCCCCCAACCGCTTCGCCGTCAACGCCGCCAGCAGCACGCCAACCGCCCCGTTTTCCGTGTCCAAAACGAAAGACCAGACACGACCTGCCGAGAGACATCCAGCACGAAAAGTCAGTCGCCGCAGCTTCGATACACATCAGCACAGACACGCACACAGAACACAACCTTGTCGCTCCGTTCCACAACAGCCTCAGAGCCAGACATGTACGCATCCTCCGTCGACACGCCGGGGTCCAACGGCAGCGGCGTCGCCGAAGGAACCCCGAGTGGTATCGCCCACCACGGCGTGTTTGCCGGTAGCCACGTTGGCAGCAACAGCAACAACAACAGCACCGCCACCAGCAGGGGCACCACGCCACAGATCCACAACTTGCTGAACCTCACCAGCTCCGACAGCACCACCGAGAGAAACAACCTCTCGTCAATGTCCCTCCCGCTTTCGTCGAACTCGTACTCGGCGGCCTCGCCCAGTCCGCCACATAACGACACCAACACCGTGAACTCGCTGTCTCCTCCGCCACAGACAGAGAGCAACGACGCGTTTGCCGCCGCTGCAGCTGCGAAGGCCAAGCAGAAGAGAAAGCCCACCAGAAAGCTCTCATCCAACGAGGAGAAAGTCTTGCTTTCGACCTCCTCTCCGGAGGGAATTGCTGCAGCGTCACAAATCACCCCAAATAGAATCGCTAACATCTTGATCAAGGAGGGCCCGCTTCCTATCCGCCACTTGACCGGATACTTGATCCAACAGGTCCCTGCTTTCGGCAATCTTTCTTTGTCCAAGCAGCGGAGGTTGATCATGGCGGCCTTGGAGTCCGGCGACATACTCACGGGCTGCGTCTTTGAGAAGATTGGCTGGGGACAGTGGGAGGCGAAAATCGTAGGCAAGGAATTGGTGAAAATCAAGATTGAAAATAGCTTGAACAATAATAACAACAGTAGTGGCACCAACACCAATGGCAACAGTAACATAAGTACTCCTTCCTTCGCTAATGGCAAAGACAGTGGCCATAATGGTGTCAACAATGTTAGCAGTGGCAATGCAACTTCTGGCAGTACTGCCATTAAGAACCTCGATATCAACAACAACGCACCACCTTCAACTCAAAATATGGACATCGACAGGCAGAGCTTATACAGCAGCAGTGAACACGCACATATATCCCAACAACAGCCAGGCTTCTACCATACTAGCATAAAGTCGGAATCCGCCATTGCCGACCCCAAGCTGAAACCGTCCAAGCTGCTTTCGGATTCTATCCGAAGAGAGTCTATTACCAGCCAATCCAATGACGGAACCTTCAAAGTCCCCACCTCTCCAACTCTGGGTCCAATACAGAACTTGAGAAACTCCTTCAAAAATTACGCAGATATAGATGAGGCAATTGAGTCCTCCTCCGACGACGAGTTCGAAAACGACTACGATGACGAGGACTTCAACTTGAATAACGATTCTGGAGGCTCTCCCCCGGCAATAATGGAGTCCCTTCATAATGGTACCTCCACTGGTACCTCAAACATTGCCATCCCAACGACTGCCACCACAAACAATAGCGCCAATAACAATAAAGGCCTTCCGAACACCTTACCTAAGAACAAAGTACAGAGTATACGTTCACCATCCGTTTCATCATCTCGTCGGCCCTCCTTTGCAGGGATTCTGAAACCAAGGAAGCCGAGATCGTCATTCAACCAACATACGCTGGAAGTAGCCCTCGATGAGGGTCCGTTGGAAAGACGTGAATCAAGAGTATCCTTCTCAAACTCCGCAAGTTTGTCCCGCCAATCATTTTTGAGAACAAATATATCGCCTCGATTGTCAAACAACAATAGTTCTGCTTCGATCCATGACAAGGATAATGAGAACGCAATTGCCGATGACGACGAGGAGGAAGACGGAAATTTCACAGATGAAGAGGACTGGCAAGCAATTGGCCCTTCATCTCTCAGGAAAAATAGACACTTGAGTATAGTGACTCCTCCAACTCCAACTTTATTGGATTCTGCTGCAGGTATTTCTGACAATAAACCAGACTCAAGCAAGACCGACGAGGAAATGGCCGCTATTGCATTGATGGACTTAAAGACTGTTTGACCATATTCATTCATCTTGTCCTTGTTTTTTTTTCCTTTCTCTATCGCTTTCTTCTTCTATTGTATCAGACTCTTTGTTTTTGTCTTTCTATACAGCTTCCATAATGAAACTGGTTTGCTCAAACTGATTCTATACACGTTACATATTTTTAGTCTCTTCCTTTCAATTCTTTCTTTCCCTATCCTTACTATTTTCTACGTATATTTTATTCTGCTTACGCCAAACATTCGGTGCATTTAGGTCATTGACCTTTTTACACCTTTCCGCTCCTTCTTTTATCCGTCACAACATCACTAAAAAAAATTAATTTTATTGCATATTTTATTTAAACTATATGAAAGAATAACAATTAAAACTCAGAAATTGCAACAGCGATGGATTGGACATCGTCGTGAGAGATTGAAACTTTGACGTTCTTGACACCGCTCTTTGAAGCTGCAGTTTGAGCAGCACCAGCCAACTTGACAATTGGGGCCCCCTTATCATCGTGCAAAATCTCAATTTCCTTCAAAGAGGCACCAGCACCCTTAGAATCAACTTCTAAAGACTTGAACACAGCTTCTTTGGCAGACCAAGCACCTGCAAATGAGGATCTTGGGTTTGCAGCAGCATTGCAGTATTTGATTTCTTCAACAGTGAAGTTTCTTTCAATGAAAGTCTCATTGTCAATGTTGATTTCAGAGATCAATTCGACATCAACACCAACACCCTTAGAACCAGCATGTTGTGAAGTCAACTTGCTTAGAATATCGGCAGTTTTACCTGCAGATTCAGAGACATACTTTCCAGCTCTTTGCAATTCCTTGTCGGTGAAAGTGTACTTGTTGGTACCATCCAATGAAACTCTTGCTAATGGATCCAAGTAAACCTTTTGCTCTTGGTCGTCGGTATATGGAGCATGGTCCTTAGCAACAAACATAGTGTTGTTGATAATAGCATTATGGATGTATGCATAAGACTTCTTATGTCTTGAATTAACCTTAGCAGCATAGGATTCATATTCGTCCCTGGACAAAGATGCAAACAAATATTCTGGATGAACAACAACAGCTTGACCACCCTTTTGACCGAAACCAAAAGAGGTAATAGAAACTGCTTTAATGCCGTCTGTTTGAATAGTTCTAGATGGGAACAAAACATATTTGAAATCTTCTAAAATCTTATCAATATTGTCTGCGTTTCTGTTACCTGGAACAGTACCGGAGTTTAGGATTTGAATTGCACCATTCAACATCCATGCACCGGCAGCACCCTTTGGATGACCAGTCAGGTATTTCTGGAAAACACCATAAACTGGGTTACCTTCAGTTCTACCTAAATGTTCCATCATCTTATCAATGGTTGCAGACTCGTTCTTATCGTTGGCCTTAGTAGAGGTACCGTGGAAAGAACAAACCCCCAAATCGTCAACAGTCAAGTTGAATGTTGCTAACGAACCTCTGAGAGGAGCGATTCTTGGATCATTTTTCCAGAATTCATTACCGTAAGACCTTTGAGCATCTTTGATTTGTCTGGTAGCATCTCTTTCAATTTCTTCAGTTCTTTCCTTCAAAAATTCAGTTCTGTCGAATGAAGCATCGGAGGTGGCCAAAGATTCTGCCTCTTCTTGAATGTATTCCAGTTCAGATTCAGTCCAGGCCTTGACCTGTGCAACTCTATTCTTTAATTGTCTGGATCTGTATTTGATATCCATTTTTGTAGAAGTGTACTTGCTTTCACCGTGATATTCCTTGGCAGTGGTTAAGATACCCTTACCTGGTGCTGGAACCGATCTACCAATCTTATCTGTTGCAGTGGAAGTCATTGCAATGATAGCATAGATTGGAACACCCATTTGTAAAGCTAGGGAGGCAGTCATAACAACTTGTATACCTGAACCTTGAGCTTCCATGAAACCATTTCTACTGGTAGTAGCAGGTCTAGACATTTCAGATGGGGTTCTACCATGCGCAAACTCGTCAACAGCATTGGAAGTAGCATTCATATTACCGAACTCATATGAGCCTTCTTCTTGAAAGTCATCATAACCACCAACTAAAACAATTTTAGCCTTACCTGACATGATTGTCTCAACACCGACATCAACGGATTCCAAGGCAGTTGCACATGCACCAACTGGTGTCTTGATTGGACCAGATGATGACAATAGCAACATGTTAACCCATGCAGACATTGTGTTGATAAAAGATTCTTGTAAAATATCATTCTGAACCGGTAAGTCTTTGAATCTATCCTTGAACATACCCTTCAAAGCAGAGACACCACCCATACCAGAACCAGAACAATTACCGACTTCAGAAACGTGAACATACTTGTAGAACTCGTATGGGTCGGTAACACCGGCACTCAATAATGCTTCAACAGTAGCAACCAAAACGTACAAAGTAATTGGATCCACTTGATCGATGATATCATCAGAAATACCATAGTTCTTTGCATTCCAACCAGTTGGAATTTGACCAGCAACTAATCTGTCAAATCTCAATGCCTTAGGGATATACAACTTGGCACCTTTCATGATCTTGACGGTATATTCTTCACCAGATTCATCTGGGAAAATCTCAACTAATTCACCATGTTGTAATTGGTATTGCAGAGCAGTAGGTTTATCAGTGACAAATGGCTCCAGGTCATGTTGAATAACAACTTCTTGAATAAATTCCTTCTTGTTAGGATCATAACCATGGAATAATTCTGGTTCAATCAATCTAATACCAGTGTGCTCCAAAATTTGGTCTTCGTACTTCTTCTTGATATCAATATCAGCAACTGGTTGGCTGGTCTTACTATCAACCCAACCAGTGTATTGCTTACCCTTGATATTACCATTGAAATACTTGATGAAACCCATGATCCAGGCCATTTCAATGCAACCTTCTAAGGAGAACTCACCGTTGGCTTCCATTTCCCATCTAGTTCTAGAGTTACCCCATGGACCGACTTCAGCAAAACCAGTGACAACAGCAACTCTGTCCAAGTCTAACATGCCTTCTAACTCAGGAGCTCTGGACTTGACAGAGGAATAAGATGGTAATTCAGGGAACTCGAACTTCATGTTAGCCTTTGGATCAATGTTAGCTTTGTTGAATGGAGCGTCCGCATTTTCACCGTTAACAACCTTATGTTCAATTGCAGTTTCTATTGAAACAGCTCTTCTAATGTCAGAAGTGTTGTTGATGTCAGTTCTAAGCTCATTAGTAAACTCTCTCAAGTTTTCAATGAATTGTAAACCACCATTCAAATCAGCCATAACTGGACCATCTTCACACATTCTAACAACTTCAGGAGTCATTAAACCTAAAATGTTGAAAGCCATTTCCTTTTGGGAGAAAGTTCTTACACCTAACTTTTCGATACCTTCTGCAATCATGTTGTTACCGGACATTAAACCAGTACCTCTTGTCCAACCAATGACAGCACCACAAATGGTCAAGAAAGATGACCAGGATTCAGAGTGCCATCTGTTGAATAAGGTCTCCAAAGCTAACTTAGATTCGGAGTATAAACCATCAGAACCGAAAGTACCGTGGTTTGGAGATAATGGAAGAATAACTTCAGCAGGTCTAGTTTGAACATTATTAACTCTCTTGTGACTTGCAACTTCTCCTAATAATCTCAACAAGTTGGTCAACATAATTCTGTGAGCCAGTTCAGACTTAGAACCCAGGTTTTCAACCTCAATACCCATTTCAGGAATTGCAGCAAAAGGAATAACATAGTCTAAGTCCCAACCAAGGCCACCCTTCTTGACATCGTCATAAATAAAGTTGACTAAGGCTTCAACATCTTGTTTGGAACCTTGGTTGAATGGAACGACAACCAAAGTGGAACCTGAAGCACCAAATCTGGAGTACAGAGATTGGTAGTATTCAGTGACCTTCTTGGAAAATCTGGAAGTGGTAACAACAACTTTGGCACCACCGGATAATAAGCCTTGCATGACTTCAGCACCGATAGAACCAGCACCAGCACCGGTGATTAAGGCATACTTGCCGTTATAGGAAATACCATTGACAGCTGATTTTTCTAAACCATCCAAAAATGCTGATGATTTAGCCTTATCATAAACCCAAGATCCAAGTCTAGTCTTGCTCTTGATGTGAAGGAATGGAATTGTTTCTGGTGGAATACTAGATGAAACAGGCTTGTTGATTTCATTGAAATCCTTCAATGAAGCAATTTCATCGGTTTCATCACCCTCATCAGATGCGGTATCTAAAATTGAAGTGGTAGTCTTAGAAACTTCAATTTCTGAGTTCTTTCCAACAAATTCAATCAATTGCTTGTATAAAGTTTCAATCTTCAATTGGTTCTCGGATGTGGCTTGCTTAGATAAAGCCTTGTAAACATTAGCCAAATCTTCCTCGATGGTTGGCTTCTCTTCTTTGGTCAAGGCACAACCTTGTGCCATTTCGTAAACATATTGCTCGAACTTCCTACATGCATCCCTTGGAACTTCATCGTAGTTAACGTTACCTTTGACATCAACAGAAGTTTTTGGACCAGTTGGGTAAGAAACATCCTTGTAGACTGGGTTTTGTTTCTTTGTAAGCATCTCGGAACAGTTGTCAATTAATTGCTGACCTAATTTTTTGGCTAGATCATAAGTTTCACCCTTTTCTGTTGGAGTATGGTCAATGTGGTATTGCATGAATTTGATCAGCGTTGGGTTTGCTCTGTTCATGATGTTAATACATTGTGTAACAGTTTCTCTGTCGACAGAAGTCAACTTGCCGAAAATAATGTCAAAGTACATAGATAAGGCATCCTGTCTAGCCCAGTTCCAGTAGGAGTCATAAGTTCTGGCCTTAAGAGGTGAGAAAACTGGTTTAATACCAGAAGCGTAGAACTCACCATGTTCTTCGGCCCACAAGTCCAATTCAGCTTGTAAAACTTTTGAAGCTTCCTTCTCTTTGATAAGAGATCTGTCGCCCTTAGTTAGGTCAAGCTTCAAATATCTTGCTAAAGTTTGCAATTGTTGACGTGCCAATTCCTTTGACTCCTTGGTGACAGCATCTAAGGCAGTTGAATCAATGACAGCACCGCCAGCACCGCCAGAGGCAGCAGCGGATGCAGCAGATGAAAGGGACAAACCTTCGGAAGCAGCATACTTTTGAGTCATTGTGTCGAAGAATGCTTTGGCATCAGCTTCGGTAGCTAATCTTTGAGCTGGTTCGTTCGTTAAGGCATGTAACAAAACGGCGTCTTGTCTACCAGATTGAAAGCCCCATCTCGATTGTAAGTATTTTCTTGCAGCACCAACAGAGAAACCACCAGGCATTTTTGAGGACATCAGTCTAGCGACCAAAGAAGAGGTTTGCTTACCCAAACTTCCATTAAAGGTGTCCTGGAATTGGTCTGCTAACTCTTGTAATGGAGTGTCTTCTGGCTTCTCAGGGGTAGTACCGAATTCTTTACCCAAGTCACCTAGAATTTCATTTTGAACAGTGGACTTACCACCAACCAAGTCCTTGATAGCTTTGGACATTGGAATATCATTCAAGGCCTTCTTCAATTTGTGAGCAACTAGTGTGTGTAAGACCAAGCCAGCGGTGATTGGCTCATCAGCAACATCAGCAACAGGGCCTGAAGCAGCTGGAGCTGGAGCTGGAGCAGCAGCAGCAGCTGGAGCAGCAGCAGCAGCGGCAGCAGCAGGCGCTGGAGTGGCGGCAGCTGGAGCTGGAGCCGGCTCTGGTTCAGCCAAATCAGCAGCATCTGGAGTGTAGTAGATCTCCTTTTGGTCCTTTGAGTAACATAAGACTTCTCTTTGTAAAGACAAAGCAGCGTCGTATGATTCAAATTTGGCTTTAATTGTTCTGGTGGCCATACCAGCTAGAGTTGGGGAAGGCCCGATTTCAACAACTCTTTCGGTGTTGTAGTCTCTCAAGAAGACATCTTGTGTTTCAATCCTGGATTGATATATTGCCCATCCGGCATGATTGTAGATGTTAGTAGCTGATGTTTAAAGATGGGACTTTAACTGTTTGAGAAATACATACCATCTGACAGGCGAAGCAAATTGATAAGCCAAAAGCTCTGTCAAAAGAATGTGGGATAATTCCTGTTGTACCTCTGGTCTCATTGTGATAAATTGAGAAGTTGTAGTTGGAAAGCGAGGAGATGCCAAAGAAGATGTTTTGTAAACAGATTCCAAATGGAAGTGTAAAAAAGTTTAGAAAAGATACAAGAAATGAAGGATACAGGAACCGTTTTGTTATATTTCGAGTTCTCAATCCGGAGATTTTTGTTGGTGCATGCATTTCGTGTCCTCTTAGATGAGACGCGCCGTTTGTTGGGCCTTTGTTGGAAAAGCAGGATGAGAGGTCGCCTGCGCTGAAAAAATAAAATCGAGTGTCAGGGCTCAACAAATTGCTTTGTTTTCTCAATCCGTGTTAATCATACAGGCGTAAGGAAGAGGTTAAATGAAATAGACTAAACATATAAAGTAAACATAAGCGTAAATTCTTAGAAAGTAGTATTAGTAGTCCGGTATATACAATGCAAAGTAATTTAGAGTGTAGGGCACATTTTTACCCTTGGTTAGGTAGCCAAGCTCTCTTTTTTATCCAAAGGAACTGTGTGAAACTCGATGCTGCTCTCTGCCTTGTTTGCAGATGTGCCTTCTCTCAGAACGTCGAGTTCGACATTGTGAGAGTCGGCACTTGCGTCGGTGTCCTCCAGCGAAACTCTTTCTTGTAACTGGTTACGGGCTTCTTCGAACAAGCGGGCTGCTTCCGCATCACTTAGCTCGTTCTTCTTTTTGTTCTTGACGTGGTACATTGGGTTCAACTTTCTCAAAGTTAGCGACTTGCAGAATGGTAAGTGGCCCCTCTTTTCCTCGAAAAGCATCAAACCTAGGGTGACAATGAGGGCAAGCCAGTAGAGGTTGTAGGCTAAAATCGACCCGTAGGTAGCAGTATTTTGCCAGCCGAGTAAGGAGTTGAAGACATCCCAACCTTCGTCTATGAGCGGGTTGCAGCAGTTGACGTGCCAGACAGTTTTGTGGATGTTGTATGTGCCTGGTCCGGAACCATTTTCGGCTGCATCACCTCCGGTCTGGAGGTTGAACACGTAGTTTTCGAAGAACCAGACACCTCTGGAGAACAAACCGGCGGAAATCAAGTACAAGATGGCGGTGGAGATACAGAGGAAGATCTGTAGCGAGATGGCGGAACCACCGTAGTACATGAAGCCACCGACGAGGGCGCCGGCAAACAAACCACAGACGACAGGTAGCGGGAACGACTTTGCGGAGGACCCGATACCGACACCACCGACGAAGACAACGGCTTCTAGACCTTCTCTAAGGGTGGTGATGAAGGGCAAAATGAACATGGAGTATCTCTTGACAATGTAGCCACACTTCATTCTCTCACTCTTCTTCTCTGGCGGGGTCACAAGCGATCTGGCAATCTTGACTCTCCACTTGGCCTGCATCTTGTTGACTCTAAGCATGGCAATACCCATCATCGTGATCAAAATGGTTGCAATCATGCACATGATACCCTCGTATAAGTCTTCTGTTTTGGACCAGATATCGTTCTTCAACGAGTAGTAGGCTCCGATGAACGCACAACCGATAGCCAAACAAATGAAGATACCGCCAAACGTTCCAAACCAAATTTGGCGAACCAACTTCTTGGTCACAGCTGGGTTCTTGTTACCGATACTCTGTTTGACGAACGCTAGAAGGACGGAGACGACGATGACGGCCTCCAACGCTTCTCTGAAGACCACGAAGAAGATCTGCACATTGAAAATGTCGTTCATCTTTACGTGAGCCTATCTTGGTGTTTCCTTTGGCGAAAAAGCAGGGGGTTGGGGAAGCTATTAGCTCTGTTTCTATACTCCAAAGAAGCTGCCAGGGGATGCAACGGAATACACAAGCCAAGATGTACCAAATGCCAGTGTTTTAGATCGTAAAACAGTGTGACAAAAAAATTTTACGCTAATAGCAATGTCAAAAAGCATGAGCTGCATGAAAAGAGGAGACCCCCCAAATTCGCTTTTCCTTGCAGAAAAAGCTGCATAGACTCCTCCGTGAGGAGGGCCACCCGGCAGCCTGCTTTTCCGGCCGGAGCTGCCTCTCTCCTGGCCGACCCTGCCTCCCGCCGGCAGTCCTGCGACTCCACTACACTGTGTCGGTATACACCGAGGAAGACAACAAGCTCGTGTGACACACCCTCAGAGGAATGCGTCTCCACACTGTCGATGTGAGCTACTCCGGCGAGGTGCATGCCCTCTGATAAGAGAGACGTCTGCATCTACACGCCCCTACACAATCTGGCGGTGTGCCTTATCTCAGCCCGTTAAGCTTCGTTTGACACATGTGCTGCCCTGGATCCCCGGACAGTACTCGACCAGTGGCTGCTTTATAAACTGCAATCGGCAGCCTGCCAAGCCTGCGTCCATCGCAGCAGGCCCTGCTCCTCTGCCCGTTAGCTCGGATATTTCTGGAGCTACCCCGTGCGCTGGGTCCTTGCGGGTCTTTCTCGCCTTCCTGTTGGCCAGCGGGGCACCCGAGACAACGCCACAGCCCACAGCCTCCCGTGGCGTTGCGTGGCGCAGGCGCCGTCGCGGTCGGACGTACCGGTGTGGCTGGTGGGTAGGTCGATCGACCCAGGAGCCGTGGGGCGGGGCAACGATTACGACAGCAGCCGTGTGGCCCTCCCTTGCCCCCACTCTTGCCTTGCCTCGGAGATGAGCCAACAATGGCCGGCGGCGGAAGCTTCTCGCAGGTCAGGCTATTGCACTTCCCCGGCACCACGGAACGGTAGGTCGATGCACACGGCTCATGACCAGTCCTGGCCCATGCGCCATATAAAAAGATATGTCTGCACACTGGCTGCCCAGTCGTTTTGGTGGCTCCTCTGGCAGTCGTAGCCATTCAGAAAATACAGTTTCTCAACCAACAAAAAACAAAATGGCTACTATTGAACAAGTGCTAGACCCCAACAACACCACGCAAGCCCAGGTGCCCGGCACGGCACCAACTTCAGGCGTCTCGCAGACAGCAGCAGGCGGCTCGTCGGACTTGCTCAGCTACCAGTTCCCGGACTCAACGAACTTGGTGATCGAGCGCTACCACAAGTACATCAAGTTAATCCACTCGATTGAGAACTTTGCCGAGGGCTATCGCCAGATTGCGGCGTCGACTGTGAAGCAGTACGAGTCGCTGAACAAGTCGGTGACGACTGGTATGCCCAACTTTGAGGTGAGCGGAGACGAGGAGGGCGCCACCAAGGTCAGCGGCTCAGCAAAGCTGGGCAACTCTGCGCAGCCCGAGGGTGTCGACGGGGCATCGATCACCAGTGCCGACGCCGGGTCCCCAGCGGACTTGAACACCTTCTTGGCTGTGATGCGGAAGAAGTTGGGCGACGGCTACACGCGTTCGATGGATTTCCAGACCAAGGTGCAGACCCAGATCCTGCCAGACTTGAAGCACTTGGAGGCCGAGATCGACAAAAAGCAGAAGGAGTACGCCTCGTTCTCCCACGCAGAGGAGAAGGACCTGAGCCAGTTGAGAAGCGGCTCGGCCAAGCTTACGCAGACGCTTGACTCGGCTGTCCAGGAGTTTGAGCGTGGCGTCCACGCAAAGAACCGTTCAGACTATAAGAAGGACCCATACCTTGTGAAGAAAAACTTGTTGCGGGACGCAGCACTGCAAGTCAAGGCAGAAAACAACAGAATCGAGTTTCTTGCCAGCAGTGAAACCGCTCTCCGTGCTGCCGAGGCTAGAATCCTCCTCGAATTGAGAAGATTGTTTGATTTGTTAACCCAGTTCATTGATTACAGCTACGGGGGAACCGTTCAGTCGTTTGACACCTTACGTGACGTCTTGAACAGAGTCCCTGAGGATTTGGAATGGTCTAACTTTGTCTCCAGAAACAGGCAATACTTGATCACAGCCAACGCCGTTGATGACACAGTCTCCAATCCAATGAGCAACCTTTCCCTCTCTTCGGCCCCAGCCTCGGCAAGAAGCAACTATGCCCAAGCCGCCGTCTCGGACAATTCCTTCAAGAGAAACTTGGAAGATGTTACGTTCCGTAATAACGCGCATCCAAGTACCCGCCCAGTTTTAGAGGGCGTTCTTGCTCGTAAAGAAACTACCCTGGGTCTGGCTGGTAAATACAATTCTTACTACTTTGTTATCTCTCCGGCCGGATACTTTTATGGCTTCCCTTCGAGAAGTATCGACTCATTTCAACCAAACTTAGTGTTGTACATCCCTGACTGTGAGACCAAAATTAGAAACTCCTCTAGCGGTCAATTTTCCTTTAGTCTGAGAGGCAAAGACCTATCGAATGTGGTACCAATGCCGAAGAAGAAGTACGTCTTCAAGGCAAGCTCAGCCGAAGATTTCGATACATGGTGGAAGGTGATTTCCAATTACAGCGGGGAAGTTCAATCACCTAGTGCTCTTTCGAGTGACGGATCTGACCTGGAGTAGTCTCTTTTTCTGAAACCATAACAAGATTTTTTTATCAACTAGTGTACAATTTATAAACAGCGTAGCGTGCTTGTGTAATATTAATGCCCAAATTAAATAACTTACAAGGATTTTTAAGATGTATTGGAAAGGTAAATATGTATTGTGTGAAAAAAAAAACAGCGGTAAGTAATTACACGAGAAAAAGTTGATGAGAAGCCAAATAGAAACGAGTCAAATTTAGAAAATATAATAAAATAATAATAAATTAGGGTAAAATGGGGGTGGTTAGAGTTATGATAACACGGTGTGAACTGAAATTCAGACTGAATAGTAAAAAGAATAAGAGGGTAAAGGGAGATTAAAAGAAGGAAAGCAACAAATCCAGTAAGTATTCAGTTGATAGTAATAGTTATCACAAGCTAAATCAATTAATAAAACATGAGACTCAAAAGTATTGGCACGTTGGATAGTGTTAACTATTTTTCAGTCTTTTTTGTCGCTGGCTTGTCAATCTCAGCTCATCAATGGTTTCTCGAACCAACAACACCACCAACAACGGCAGCAACAATCACACAAATCAAAATAACACAGACCCAGAAAAGAATCCATCTCCATTTTCTTCCCTTCTTGGCATGGTCTCTTGCCTTTATGACATTAGCATCACCACGCTCAAGTTGGCCTTGGGCAACATTGATATGCTGATTGGCAGAATCAATGACTTCCTCTTGTTGAAACACCAATTCTTGTAAATCATTCAAGAGTTCGTTCAATTCAGCAGTAAGTTGAACAGCACGTAACACTTCTTGATGTCTTGCCTTCACTTCGTCGAGAACAGCAATAGCTTCTCCCTTACGGTTGGCCATTGCTATAGCTTCATCGAACACTTGTTGGTCCCCAATCTGGTCAACGAACTGCCGTGCTTCATTGTATGTAGCGTCTGGATTCACAATTTGATATTGCTCAATGGCCTTGTTCTGGTTAGACTGACGGTAGCCGTCGTCTACTTTGGCAAATCTTTGAATGGCATTACGGAATTGGTTACGGATGTTTTCAGTCTGTTGTTCTTTATCTTTGTCACCGCCGCATGATGTGAAAAGATCTTCAAGTTTTGGCTTGATTTCAAGTGACTGTGTGGACCTGAGGTTGGAAGTGGCACTATCAATTTGGGCTTTGATTGCATCTAACTCTTCTGCACTAACGGCGTTCAAGGCACTTACCTGCAAACGTTCGAGTTGGTTGATAAGGCCGTTGTAATCGTTGAGGTCATCTTTCAAAACTTGAATTTTAGTGAAAAAATCATCGCCTTTTGCTCCCCCTGGTTGGGAGACATCATTCATTTCATATGCTTCATCGTTGGCATACGGGTTATTGGATGCGTAGTGGTTGTTGTCGGCGTCTGCTGGGGCGCCATAAGGATTGGTTGGTTCCGCGGTGTATGCATTGCCGTCGTCAGTTGCATAGGGGTTTCCTGTGTCCGTTGCGTAAGGATTGTACTGGAGTGAAAAAACAGCGTAATGTTAGTAAACTGAGTCAGTCAAGCAAGCGAGCTCATTCGTCATAAAAAGGAATTGATACTTACACTCATTGTGCTTTATTGTAAGATTTTCGGGAACAATTCAACTAAGATTACCAATGCTGCACAAGGTGTAGCTTCTCAAAGATATTGGTGGGCCTGTTAGTACAAAAGCAGGTAGTGGCACCTTTCAATAACTCTTGAAATTGAAAATTGGCGACAGACTATTTTCGTTTATACGAGGTCGGATAATATGAGGAAAGGGAGAGGGGGTATTGGGTGCTTGACTTTATGTAACCACTTGAAATTCTAACGAGCCAAAGATCAGGGTGTTGGAGTCGACGTGCGTATGTTCAATTAAAAGAGAGCGCTGCAGCAGGGCGTGTAGCGGGAGCTCGAAGACGGATTCAACTTCATGTGGGCCGTTGCCAACTCCAACTCATTTTACTACTCGCAATCGCCTGGCAGCAAAAAAAAAAGTTCCTCGTCACCGTAAGCGACAGCATAGAGCTACACAAAAGCATGAAAAAATGTAAACAGAAGAGAGCAGAAAACCAAATAGTGCTTATGTCAGCAGCTTAAGCTTTGTTGCATCCGTGCACCGGATAAAAACCGGATTTTGATTATTTTTTCACCCCTGCATCATGGAAAATAGTCTCAAATCATGTCATAATTCTTCGGGTCGGTCTCAGATAGCAGTTTTTCCTTTTGTGGAGTGTTTGAAAAATCTTTTACTTCTTACTCTTGCCTGTGGCTTTTACTCTATCACGCCCCTTTTTTCGATTTACTTTTAAGCAGGACACCCACCACAACGATGCCTGAAAAGAGAGACAAGGATGCAGAGTCTTTGGACCATACCGGAACGAGAAAGAAGATATCGATCAAACAGACCCCTGAGGAGGAGGCCAAAGCTGTTGAGTATTTCCAATCGCATGTATTTGAACCCACTTTTAAAACACAACTGACTGAGAATATCAAATTTTCCCAACCTTTCCGTTGGGGGACGATCAAAAATTTAATCTCTGACGATCTTTTGCGTAACGTAAGGAAAGAGATAATGGCTGAGATTGAGTTCACCAAGAAAGAGACGGACATCTACAAGGTTTTCCAGTCCGGGGATTTGGCAAACCTCTCGGCCATGCCGGCAGACTTGCTAGCGCGCTTGCCAAGTGTGTACAAGCTACGGTCTGCCATCTATTCGGAGACGTTCCGTTCTTTCATGTCGGACATTACGGGCTGCGGGAAATTGAGTGGAATCAAAACAGACTTGTCCATACAGCTCTACACGAAAGGCTGTCACTTGTTGACGCACGACGACGTCATCGGCTCGCGTCGGGTCTCCTTCATTCTCTACATGCCGGACCCGGACACCCATTGGAAGCCGCACTACGGAGGTGCGTTGCAGTTGTTCGACTCTCTTGTCCCCAACGTCCCACAGTCGGACGTCCACTCGAAGCTAGTTCCTGGCTTTAACCAGATTGCATTTTTCACCGTGCAACCGGGCCTCTCGTTCCATGCTGTTGAGGAGGTGAAGGTGGACAGACAGAGGTTGTCCCTGCAGGGCTGGTTTCACATTCCTCAGGAGGGGGAAGACGGGTTCATTCCAGGAGAGCAGGAGCAGACGGAGCGGAAGTCAACACTTCAACAGCTAGAATCAAAGGAGTTGAGGGAGTACGATTTCCCCAAGCTGAAGTTTGCGCAGATCCCAAACGCCATTTCGGCCAAAAACGCAGACCACCTCGTGTTCAGCGACGCTGACAGGGAGTATCTCTCCAAATACATCAATCCGTACCTGTTGACCGTCGAGTCTACTACCAGGTTGGCGAAAATCTTCAATGAAGAGTCTGTTGTCGACATCCTGTCGTTCTTGAACGAAGAATACGAGTCTTTGCTGAAAACGCAGATGAAAAACCTTGAGATCAACGAGTTCCCACCGATGCCACAAAGCCAGTCGCAAGTTCAGTCCCTCTTTCCGTGGAAACTCGCGATTCCGTGCCACAAGCAGAGATACATGTACATTGACGGGTCGGAGTACGAGGATATCGGGACGGCGGGAAGCATCGCCATAGCAAACAAGGTGAAAAGCAGCTCTAACGCTTCCAACTTCGACTTGACTGCTCAGATACTCCGTCTGCAGAGCCAAGTGCCGAGCACAGAGTACGTGAAATCCATCGAGGACAACCCGAACTCGACCACCGTGGCCGAGGTCAGTGCAAAGCTCTGCGACTTGGCGTCGATGTTCAAGAGCAGGGCGTTCCGCAAGTGGCTGAGCAAGATCACCGAGCTCAAGCTTGTCAAGGACAACGTTCTGGTGCGGCGGTTCAGGCCAGGCCAGGACTTCATCCTTGCTACCAAGAGCACCGGCGATGACAACGACGACGACAACGACGACCAGACGATGGACGGCCTGCTCGAGGCCACCATGAGTCTCACGCCAAGCCACGGGTGGGAGAACGGGGAGTGGGGTGCGTACGAGTTATGTCTGGTGGACGACGACGCGGCAACCGCCAACGCTGCCGAGGAAGGCCTGAACGAGGACGAGGCTGCCATCTACAGGACTGCGGACCAGGACAGCGTGGTCTACGAGAACCAGGCCTGCTGGAACAAGCTCTCCCTCATGTACCGGGACCCCTCGGTGATGAAGTTTGTCAAGTACGTCAGTTTCGACGCCCCCGGGTGCAGATGGGACATTAACTGTGCGTGGAAGTGCGTAGACGAATCCGAAGAGAAATGATGCCGCCGCCTGAGTAGCGCTTGCATCCCAATTAGACTCTGATTAGCTCTTGATAGTGAAGATAGATAGACAATAACGAAACGATTTAATGACCTTATGGCGTGAGCGGGGCAGAATACGGCCAGCAGTGTCGGGGTAACGCACACAAGTAATTGCCGAAAGACGTATAGCCGAACCCGAGTTATGCCCACGCTTTCGGTTCGGCGCAACCGACTCGTCGGCGTTAGCGTCCTCGGAGTGCAAAGAGGGTGTAGTGGACCCCGGGCAACAGGGACTTTTCTCGCCTCCCGGAGTTGGCTCAAACGGGTTGCGCACGCCGAGCGCCGAACAACCAGCGCCGGGGGTGGGCTGTAGGCGGCAGACTGGCGGCACAGCGACCCGGCGTAGCCTCTGGCGGAGGGGTCCGGCTACGCTGGGCTCGACCGGCACCTTAGTGCTTTCTGTGCCAGTAAGGGTAGGGTGGCTAGGGTCTAGTTCGGTGGCAGACAGCACGAGTGGTCTTTGGGGCGCAAAGGTGGTTCCAGCAAGACACAGAAAGAGGTAATTACGATTGGGAGGATGTGTGGGGGCAACGGCACAATCGGCGGGTGTTAAAAAGGAAACTGGAGGTGGGAGGGCGGTGCGGCTGAGGGCAATTTTAGCGGCTGCACATCTGGGGCTGCGAACCGCCTCGGGCACCACGAGCAGATTAGCATCAGCAGGATGGGATGGGAAGGATACAGAAGAAAAGCTGCGGGACAATAGCCGTTGTGAGGGACGGGCGGGCAAACTGTGGAGTCTTTTTCTGTTGGTCGGTAGGTTGATCGGTCGATCTGTGATCGGTGCTCGCAGCAGAAACATACGTTTGGGCGCCAGAAAACTCGGAGCAGGATAGGGTGGGCAGCGGATCGAGCGTCTGGACCCGTGGGCCATCTAGTACGATCGCTGCGCATGGAATTGTGCCTGCACATGTGGTGTTGGTGGCACAGCCAACATCGGTGTGCATGTGTGTATAGAGCGTATGAATGTGTGCTACGTTTGCGTGCTAGCCAAAGATTAAATCAAATACAAAAAAATCTGAGAAGAACCAGTTAGAAAAGCCGAGAACTATAGAAAGGAAAAGTATAGAGAATGTAGAGGGAGATAGCAAAAGATGGGTAAAACGCCTCGCAGGAATATGATTGGCAAAAAACTTGGAATTTTGGAATTAAAAGGGGGTATGGAAAATCAAATAAATGTGAAAAGAAAAGAGCCTGGCAAACTAGAAGTAGGAAACAAAACAGAAGGGGAAGAACAAAATGTATGGGTTTTTAGTTAAGGAAGAGAAATGATGAACAGAGGGAGGCAGTTTGGTCCTCAAGGTCCTCAACAAGAGATGTTAGAATAGGATAGTGTGTGCACGTAGACGTAGACCTACCACAACAGATAAACAGAGGTTTAGGAGAAAGAGGCCGACGACTCGTACAGCATTGCCTTCAAGTCGGAAATTTCGGCATCCTTCTTCCTGCATTCATCTTTCAGCAACAGCACATACTCTGTCACCATGTCTAGAATCATCGACTTGTTCAACTTTTTGTTTGAGGATGGAGACGATGGCATTTGGAACTCGTCACCGGCTTCCGTGTGAATTGGAACCTTCTTGCCACTCTTGCTGTCGATTTCAAATGCAACACCATCGTCAGACATCCAAGGAACAAGTTTCTGTAGATTGGCGATTTTTGAGTTGATGTTGATCCGGTATTTCCTTTCGATCTTGTTGTGTGCTTTACGCTGGACCATGGTCATTGGCTTCTTGATTCGGCCTCCTGACTTCACCTCCTTTGGCTTCTTCGAACCGGAAGAGGACAAGGTGTTTTTCAGAGCAGAACCGGTTTCCTCGTGAAGTGTGGATAAGGACGACGAGGAGGCAGCAGCTGGAGCTTGGATCGATGCCGAGCCAGTGCAGGATGCAAAAGAAGATGGCGAGGATGCGCCATTTACCGCCTGAGATGGCAATGGGACGTCGTCTTCATCTTCATGCTTGATATTGATGTAGTGTGGATCGAATACAGATGGGTATGGTGGTATAGTAGATGCTGAGTCGATCTGGTAGTCCATGTTAGACATGTTGTAGTTGCTCTTTTCGGTTGAGTTAACGCTCGTCAGGAGCGGAGAAACACACGAGCTTGTTGGACTCGCTACTGTGCCTCTTCTTTGGATACTCCCATCATCGACGGACGGCTTTGATGGGAAAGAAGTCAGGTTCAGCATATCGACAGGCTCAAAAATTTGAGTGTTGTAAGAGCTAGCGGAAGAGACAGAAGAGCCCGAGCTTGTTGGAGCAGAAGCAGAAGCAGAAGTTTCAGGGCTGGCATTGGAATTCAAGCCCGAGTAGTGCGAGATGTTCGACACATGTTTGTCCAGTTCGTTTATTAGCTGGTGCTCAAAGTTCAGAGCATTGGTGTTCTCCTGGGAAATCATGTTCTCTCCGTCGACGTCGTCGCAATCAAACTCATTCCACGATGGGATTTGCATGTCTTGGTATTGGGTGTATGCTGCAGGAAACATCGAGTTGTGCATTGTGTTCTAAGCCTATCAGTTGCCGTGTGGTATAGTATAGGGTGTGGAGGGGAAGAAAGAGTGCCGGGGGCAGGGAGAAGCTGTTCTTAGCTGTCTGAGTTGTCGAGCTGGTATCTCTTTTATGGTTGCCACTCAAAAATTGTGCTATTTGTTATCCTGGGTTTTCAGAGACGTGGTCTATCTTATTTCTGGTGGAGAAAAAGATTGCTTTGCTATCTTCCAGACGACGAGAATCAGTAGGGTGGAGCAGAGCGGGGTTTGTTCGAGACTGGCAGAGAATCAAAAACAGATAATGCAAACGGAAAAGCTGTACAGGGGCGGGGGCAGGGGCAGGAGAGAAGAAAAGGAAGATGAGAAGCCAGAGAGAAAACACTATGGCACAGAGTGGATGAAGAGTACGCAGACGTAGAGCACTTTCGGAAGAACGAAAAGGGGGACACGCGGCGATTATAAAGAAACAAGAGATAACTGAATAATGGCAATCTGTTGGAGCTCGGGAGTATAAACCGCTGCATCAGACGCAAAAAATAACAGACCGACGGTCAATAATAAAATGATCAGTCCAGCTTTTCTGTCCTGCCTGTCCGGGGCCCACTGCTACTGCAATTAACCAAGATCGGGGTATATTTTGTGTGGGGCGTAGCGGACATAACTTTCACGTGGAACACCTGCCGGCGCTAGCGGCTGTTGCTGGTTTGCTCGGGAGGAGGATGCTAATTCTTGCGTGGGAGTCTGGCACCGCTGGCCGTCGCTTGGGTGTGCATGCCGGGCGGAGTAAAGGCTATTGTTGGCTCTGAGGCGTTAGTTGGCTGGGAATGGCGCGATGCAGGAAGACGCAGCAGCAAAAAACTGGAGAAATGCGAAAAAGGCGATACGACCAGGAAGGGGGAGCTAAGCTGACGGAGCCAGGCAGGCCGGCGAGGACGGGTGCGGGTGCGGCCGGCACTGGTAGGGCCGTGGAGGGTGCTAGCAGGGCAGGCACGGAAATCGAACGACAAATAAGGGCTTGCCCGGCGTCATTCTGCAGAAACTAGTACGCCCGTGGGTGGGGCGTGAGGGGAGGAAAAGGAAGGCGTGGGGGGCGAGGGGGCGAGGGGAGGTGGGTCGGCACGGGGTCGGGAGGCAGATGGACGGGAGTGTGCGGGAGGAGAAGGCGGGGAGCAGAGCAGGTGTATGGAGCCAGAGGATTCGGAAGATGATGAGGCGTATGTGGCGGTTCTTGTGCAGCAAAGCCAGCTGTGTCGCGGAGGCGGCGGAGACAGCGGCGACGGTGGCCTGAAATCCGGCGTAGATTCTGGGCTCGGGCCATCTCTGGACGAGATAGAGTTCCGAGATAGTGTGTGTTGTTGCTTCCCTGCGCTTGCTGCGCTTGCTGCGCTGACCCTCTCCGAAATCGGTGGAAGCCTGGGAAGTGAGAGCAGGCGGGAGTGCATGCGGCACACGGCTATCAGCAACGGTGGTTCTCGGTCGTGCGTCCCTAGTCCGGTACCAGCCGGGCGGCTGTAGACGGTCCTGCCAGGCGTCGGTCCGTGTGCGGGATGTAAAACAGCTGGAGTCCGCCGCGGTGGGTTTCGGGTTGGAAGCTTGGTACAGCCTAGGCCGGGGTCCTGTCGGGTCTTTCGAGCTTCGACACAGGCGGGCGTGCTCCGCACGCCCAGAAAACGAGCTTCCGGACACTGGACGGTGACAACGGTGACGACAGAGAAGTACAATGTCCATCGGGGCAAACTAAAAACAAAGGCGCCGGCAGGCCTGTGCTGGCTCGCTCCGCTCGGCGCGGCCTGTTCGCCGCCGGGAGCCCCGCTGGATTGTTGAGGGCCTCCACGGCTGCCACATGGAACCCAGCTTGCAGCGGAACAGGGGAGCCGGACGGCGAGCCTGCCTGTCCTTTTTTCGCAGCGCCATCTGGGTTTCTCCCGCCGCTTCCGGCTGCTGCTGCTTCCTGCTCCCACCCAGGGCTTCCGCAACCGGAATATTCTCGGGGACGTCTCGGGCGTCAACATGCGTTTCTCGTGCCACCACGGCGTTCGGGGGCTGGTGTCAGCAGCTACGCGGTTCCATCCAGCCAAACAGGGGGTGCGGTGCAGCATAGTTGGCCCGGCCCGGCTCGTCGGCGGCCTCTGCCTGGCGCCGAAGTCCTCAGTGCTACCGGTTTCTGTGCGCCAGTTCTAGCCCGCTCGCATGAAAGCGCCGGCAAGTTTCTGTCCTCTACGGGTGCGCGACGTTCCTCTCTACTCGGAACCGTGCACCATGGACGGGCCCCACCCGCAAAGAAAGCGGTTTGCATCCATTCATCAGCTCCCCCTCCTGCCTCCCTCCTTGCACCGTTCCCCTCCGAGCTGGAAGGCGGAACAGAATCCCCCGGTGGGCGGAGAAAGCACGCCGGTTAGATACAAACCGGCGGCGATCACTTGTAGTGCAGCAACGTCTTTGAGGGCCCGTCGCACATCCTTTATCCACCGCCCAGTGCTTCCCCTCCACGCCTTACCCATGCGCCTTGTTAACGTATGATAACCCGCATGCTCGGAAAAGGACAGCATTTTCTCGTACGCCGGCCGTACAGGCTCAGACGCAGTAGCACTGTCTGTTTCTGCTGCTCCACTCTACGATGCTTCCTCCGCCACCGCATGCAGTCTGCTACGCCTTACGCGGGAGGCCCCGCATCCAGCTCCACGCCCAAGGTTGCGCTGCCGGCTTGGCGCCCGTCTCGCCCTCGAAACACCAATCGGGTACGGGCTTCGCCCCGCGCCGCCGCTACTGCAGCCGCCGCCGCTTATCTTGCATAAAATCCAAGAAGGATCGTCGCCATACTAGCAAACATCGAGATCCAGATAAGGCACACACTAGTGTGATGTATGTAATAATAAATGGCCTGTTTTCGCTCATAGACAGTCTAGTCCATTATTAAGTGCATCATCTGCGCCTGCTGCTCCTGGAAAAAACCCCTACGGCGCCCTAACTCTTTTTAGCCGGAAGCGATGCGTGGTGGCACGAAATACTCTCAGGAACAGCCGGGCATTTCGTGGAAAGTTTTGGCCTGAAATGAATGAATGAATTGCATTACTGTTCAACGCAAGAACACGATGGTGAACTGATTGTAGATGCAAGTCAGCAAATAAGTGGTACCTCGGATGGCGAAGGGTGGAGATGTGCTCGTGCGTCTAAGGGGGGATCGCCTTGTGAATTCCAAATCTAGATATCGCTATTCAGAAACGACTACTCCATGTGGCCGATCCGACCCCTCTGCTCTGCTCCGACTGAACCAACCCAAAACGTAGATCCCCATAAGTTTTTCTCGGTGTCTAATTTAGCCTGTAACACGTTGGTTTATTGCCCGAGCCAAAACTAGCCCCAAATTACGTACGCTGAAACTGCTTTGGTAAACAAGCGAAAAACACGACTAGTCTGTCCGGCTAGTGCGAAAAAGAAGTTGATTACTGCATTCCTGTCTGTTTCAGCTTCTGAATAGCTGAGCAAAAAGAAGATAGCAGAAGAAACAAACTACATAGGGCTACATTTGGCGCTTAACGATTCACGATGAGCCTTCGTAGTGAGCGCGATTTGTGGTACTCTATTTGACTGTAGTTGCCTATGGTACTTCTTTAAGCTCTAAGGGTGCTAACACCTCAAGCTGTCCCTTGAGTTCCGTTAAGAGACATCCTAAAATGTTCTGGAGCCGCCTTTTGAAACAGTTACTGATTTCACATCCTTTACGTGGTGTATAAGATTTGATTTCATTGCCTGCAAAGGCTTTTACATCTGATAATGTTTCCGGCGAATTTCAGGTATTGTTATCTCGATACGCTCCACTATAGCGTCGCGTATCTTATTCTAATTCATCTTTATTTGTCTACCTTTCATCACCATCATTGAACATACTAACTAAACACTAGTAACATTTTTATTTAAAGAAAACTGTGGTAAGTAAACCTTTCGCTTCAGTGGAGCGATTATTGTTGCCCTTGGTCGATATTTCTTCTCTGTTCAGGCTGTTGGCCCTAATTCACACTGTTTACGTAACTTCGGTCTGTATCACGTGATTAATGCGTCGATCGACTGTCAAAAGCCATTTTTTGCTACTTAATGAGTCAAAATCTAAGATTTTTTTCCAGCGTTCCGAGAAAGCTAGCTGGAAAAAATAATCCTATATTAATTATAGGACGACCATCTCACCAACAGGTAACAATGAGTGGTGATTTGGATATTTCGCAAGGGTTCACACTCAGACAAACCGATTCTAGGAAAAAAGTTTTGGTCGTCTTTTTTAGAATCAGTTCAGAGTGAGTCTTTCGTTGCAAACTGGTGCATGTATAGACATCTAAGATTAAAATCTATTGGTGTTACATCTTCCGTTTTATCAGCTAGCAAATCAGTTTTCAAGTTTAGGAATTTCTCCAGCACATACTCACATTCGTCCCCTCTGAATACAGGCACAATGGATTCATTAACAGAAAACTTGAAAAAGTTGAACTTGGTTGTTCCTGCTCCAGTGGCTGACTCCTTTCCAGAAGCAAACACTGTTGATCTATGCAGAAACTACATCACTGAACAGCTTTCAGAACTAGCAGGTGTCGACAAGTCAATCATCTTCCCTGCTCTCGAATGGTGTCAAGTTCTTGAAAAGGGTGACTTACTTTTGCCATTGCCAAGACTCAGATTGAAGGGCAACTTGGACGAAATGGCAAAGGATTTAGCTGCCAAGTTTCCATTAGGCGGCTACATCGATCGTGTTGTCCCACAAGGTAAGTTTCTTCAATTTTACTTCAACACACAATTTCTTTTGAAGTACGTGACGAAGGATGTTTTGACCAGAACATTAGATTTCGGTTCAGCTCCATTGGGTAACGGTAAGTCTGTCATTGTTGAGTTCTCCTCACCTAACATTGCCAAGCCGTTTCATGCTGGTCATTTGAGATCTACTATCATTGGTGGTTTCTTGTCAAATTTATATGAGAGATTAGGATGGAAGGTCATTAGAATGAACTATCTCGGTGACTGGGGTAAGCAATTTGGTGTTCTTGCTGTTGGTTTCAGAAAATACGGTTCTGAGGCTGAATTGGAAGTCAACCCAATTCAACACTTGTTCGACGTCTACGTCAAGATCAACAACGACATCAAAGCCGAGCAAGAGGCAGCAGAAGCCAAGGGTGAAACTTTAGACCCAAACAACTGTATCGATGGTGAGGCCAGAAGTTTCTTCAAGAAAATGGAGGATGGCGACAAGGAATCTGTTGCTCTATGGAAAAAGTTTAGGAATTTATCCATCGAAAAGTATATCGACACATACGCAAGATTGAACATCAAGTATGACGTTTATTCTGGTGAATCTCAAGTTTCTGACGAGGTTATGAAAAATGTTTCCAAAACTCTTCAGGAAAAAAATATGATCACCGAAGACAGGGGTGCTCTTTTGATTGATTTCAAGCAACTTGGCCAAAAGAAACTTGGTAAGGTTCTTGTGCAAAAGAGTGATGGTACTTCTTTATACATCACTAGAGATTTGGGTGCAGCCATCGAAAGACACGAAAAGTACAACTTCGATAAGATGATCTACGTTATTGCTTCCCAGCAAGATCTCCACACCAAACAATTCTTCACTGCTTTGGACATGATGGGCAACAAATGGTCAAAAGATTTGGTACATGTCAACTTTGGTATGGTTCTGGGAATGTCTACCAGAAAAGGTACTGTGGTTTTCCTTGATGATATTCTTGAGGCTGTTAAAGCTAAGATGCTTGAAATCATGAAGCAAAACTCTGAAAAGTTTGCACAAGTCGACGACCCAGAAAAAGTTGCTGATCTGGTTGGTATCTCTGCTGTCATGATCCAAGATATGCAAGCTAAGAGAATCAACAACTACGAGTTTGGTTGGGACAGAATGTTGTCATCCGAGGGTGACACGGGTCCATACTTGCAATACGCACATTCAAGATTGAGATCTATCCAAAGATCTGCCGCTGTTCCAGACGAAGACTTGCTCAACGCAAACATGTCGATTGAAAATGTATGTGGTTCATTGGAAAAGTTGAAGGCTTTGAACTTATCTGAAGAAGAGTTCACAAAGAAGTACAAGTTGCTCGAATCGCAAATAGAGAAAACTCAGGCGTTAGCTAGAGTCATGGCCTCATACCCAGATACCTTGCGTTATGCTTCAAAGAACTACGAACCAAGTACTGTTGTTACTTACCTGTTCAAGCTTACGCATCAATTCTCTTCTACTTACAAGGTCTTGCGTGTGATAGGGGAAGACAGAGAAGTCATGATTGCCAGATTGGCCTTGTTCTCTGCCGTCAGACAGATTCTTCACAACGGTATGATCTTATTGGGCATAACTCCTGTTGAAAGAATGTAATTTAAAATCTTTGTATCTTTTCGATTTTCTCGTGCATGTATAAAGAAACAAATGGAAAAATCATAAATGTTCAGTCTAGTCATGACAGCCTCGGGGTGAACGATTACAAATAATATTTTTTCCTAATGACTAAGCGGCCGTTTCCCCAGCAAAATCCGGTCAAAACGTTCCACTCGCGGTGAATTGTAAGAATTAGGCATTTTTCACTATTTTCCCCGGGCTGTTATATCACGAGCTATTCGTCGGTGCTGGCTCTGTTCTTTCTTCTTTACTCCTTTCCTTCTTGCTTCCAAAAAGTTAGGTCAAGCAGATCCATTAGAAATGTCGTCAGCAGAAGAAGTTAAATTTACGTCTATTCCTGACGCCCTTGAGGCGTTCAAAAATGGAGAGTTTTTGATTGTCATGGACGATGAGGATCGTGAAAACGAAGGTGATTTGATCATCGCCGCCGAAAAGGTAGATACAGCCAAAATGGCATTCTTGGTCAAGCACAGTTCTGGTTACGTTTGTGTTCCACTATCAACCGAGCGTGCAGATGAGCTAGAGCTACCCCTAATGATCCCAGAAGAGTCAATGACCGACAGGCACGGCACAGCCTACACTGTGACCGTCGATTACGAAGATGGTACCACCACAGGTATCAGTGCACACGACAGGGCACTTACTACAAGAAAGTTGGCAGAAAAAAGTACAAAATCCACTGATCTACTAAGACCAGGACATATATGCCCTTTGAGAGCAAAGCCAAAGCTATTGAGAGAAAGAACTGGTCACACAGAGGCTGCTGTTCATCTCTGCGTTCTCACGCAACAACAGCCCGCCGCAGCGATTTGTGAGTTGGTCAGAGAAGAAGACGGCCTGATGATGCGTTTATCGGACTGCTGGAAGTTTTCCAAGAAATTTGATGTGAAAATCATCACGATCAAGCACTTAATTGAGTTCTTGGATGCTAATAACCTGTAGTGGTGGGTATTCTTGCCACAGCGCAGAATTGATTATAGTAGTATACTTATATACATGATAGGAATCTAGAAGACGATATTTAGGATAGTAGATACAAAGGCATATACAAACCTTTAATGCATTGAACCACGCGGGAATCTCAATCATCTCTTTATCAGTAACTGGGGATGAAATTCTTTAATGAGGAAGGGGGCGGGTGAGTGAGGAAAAAGTAAGGATTTCGGAACATGATGACTGCATAACCCGGTTGTTTGAGCAGCACATGACAGGTGTAGTTTGTCAAAAAATCAGCCTATCACGAAGTAAGCAACAATGAACCGTTTATTTGGTACCAAAAGTAAAGTCCCAAAAGCCACCCTGGACGATGCTATGGGAAACATCGATAACAGGGTATCTTCCTTAGATGTTAAGATAACGAAAGTGAACTCAGAGCTTGCTACATACCAGCAAAAGCTTTCCAAAATGAGGGAAGGACCCGGCAAGTCGGCAATAAAGCAGCGTGCAATTAAACTTCTACGCCAGAGAAAACAGTTAGAAACTCAAAGGGACCAGCTGATGTCACAAAGCTGGAACATTTCACAGGCTCAAATGACGACTGAGAATCTAAAAAATACCATGATTACAGTTGATGCAATGCGCCAGACGAACAAAGAACTGCGTAAAACGTATGGAAAAATCAATATAGATAAGCTAGAAGATATGCAGGACGAAATGCTGGATCTTATTGATCAGTCCAATGAACTGCAAGCTTCTTTGGGACGTTCATATGATGTTCCTGATGATATATCTGAAAGCGAGCTAGATGCAGAACTCGAAGCCTTGGGCGATGAATTGGACATAAATGAAGAAATGGGTGGCGAACAGTTGCCCAGTTACTTGACTGACAATGGTGACTCCGAGTATAAATTGCCATCGTTTGTCGAGGATGAAGCTCCGAAGAGTGAGGAGCCAGAATCTAAGATGCCGGCACAGTTAAGCAATGCAGGCTGAAATTAACAGATCTTTATAAAAAGGGGCTTATTTATCTAGGCGTGTATGTGTATGTATAGTAATCAGGCTTGACTGCATATGTCAATTCTCTTCAGGATCTTTTTTTCTCCTGAGAGCCATTAAATAGTTTCCAATATTCGGTGTTGGAGTGTAAAACCATCCAACAGCAGGAAGATAAGCACAGCCCTTAGAGTCAATTACCTCAAAGTCCTTAATTGTAGTCATGAAGTCTTCAATTTCTGCCTCCTTGATGTATTTGGAATAAGTGTGAGTTCCCAATGGAACAATCTTTAATATATGTTCGCCCATGAAAATAGTTGTGAACCAAGAAACAAAATCCCGATTGATAGTGGAAAGGAAAAGGTATCCTCCTGGCTTTACGTGAGAGAGAGCTTCCTTCAAGACAACGGACGGGTATTCAACATGCTCAAGCATCTCCATACACGTCACAACATCGAAAGTTTCTGAGTTGGGCACATCATCAAGAGAAGTCACTTGATATTCAAGTTTGCTTTCCAAAATGGGATCAAGCTTGGCATGTTCCCTTGCTACTGAAATTACTTCCGGTGTCATATCAATTCCCTTTACACTTCTCACATTGGGAAGACGAGCAAGTGATTCGGATAAAAGACCTCCGCCGCAACCTATATCTAGGCAATTCAGTTTCATGTCCTTGTAAATTCTCCAAGTAGCATTATTCAATTCGTTGTCAATTTGATTGGACACCTCGTTCGGTAGTAAGTTCTTATAATTCCATCCTGGAATAAAGATCTTCTCTTCTTCACTCTTAGCGTTCTTATTAACTAAAATGTGAGATCTGATGTTGTCACCTATGAAGTCCATACGTAAAACATTCATCTTGTGAAGTATCCTTTGTGGCCCATAGCTATCCCACCATGTTGATGCAAGCTGTTGAAAATGTTCCTGTTCTGATTTTGTGATAGATGTCAAATTTACCTTGGCTCCAGCAGCATCTCTTGCCTTCAAATTGGAAAGTAGACAAGTTGTGCTAAACCGTCTAGACATGTGATATCGTTTAACTCACTAAATTGCAAACAAAAAGAAGTACTGGATATTCGCTTGAAAGTGTATGCTTAGTGACATGGTTAAAAAGAAGCCTGGTTCACTGCCCTAAAAGATCACTATCATGCCCAGCAAAGAAATAGACTCAAATGGGGTGCGCGTAGAGTTATGCCGTTTTAAAAACAGCGACGTGCAATAGGATTCAATTCGCCTGTTTCCGGGCGGGTCTCTTTCATCACACATCATCTTCTTTGCTCAAGAAAGATTTACCTTAGGCTTATTCTTGAGGTTCAAAGGACGAAATACAAACAGTAATATTGGACATGAGTGAGAGTGAAAGCTCGGAAAGTGAGCCAGAGTTTGAGAGTATCATAGCAACAAGAGCACGTCGGTCCAATGCAGGTTCACGACTTCGACAACTTTTGGATTTAGAAGAGACAAACAATGGGCCTGTTTCTATCAATGACGACGATGAAAACGTGAACCTACTTTTTATGGAAGACGAAGATGACGGAGAATTTCAGGATTCCGAAGATGAGGAGCAAAAGGATGGCGATGAAGACGAAGATGAAGACGAAGAAGAAGAGGTTGATGTCGAAGCAGAACTGAATAAAACGCCAAGAGAGAAGAAAAAGACTACTAATGATTCCGGTAATACAAGCGAAGAAGAGAAGGACTTGCCTAATGTTGATGCAGATGAGATGCTGTCAGACTCGGACATCAGTGCCTCTGATGATGATGAGTCTGAAGGAGAGAAAGAATTACAAAAACAAGAACAGTTGAATAGACGTCGAAAAAGAAAGGCAAGTTTGCCTGCTGTTCTTCAGAAAAAGAAACCTAAAGTCGCTTCCTCAAAAGATTCTACCAAAGCAGCTTCCAAGCTTGCAACAAAATCTCACAGATCGAATATTTTCGATTCTGTGCCAATAGCACCTTATGAAAGACGACATTCTGCACGTAGAACGACATTACAAAATAGTATGGCTACTCATGAAAAAATGGAAAAAGAATATGAAAAAAGGCAGACGCAAGCACCTGTTGTTAGCAAAGAGTACGTGGAAAAAACCTTGGAGGAACGACTCGAGGAAGCTAAAATCACAGAGAAAGAGAACACTTTGTCCTTAACAAGGTTTTATGAACAGGAGATACAGAAGAAAAAGAAGCAAAGAGATTTGGCCAATTCCAGGAAGTTCAAAATGAGAAACTTCATACGATTTTGGAGTACTGGTATTTTTATAACACCTTTGGATGAAGTGCGACTGATCGAGGAAGAAGAACGAAGGCTAAAGGAAGAAGAGGAAAATAAAAATAGAAGGAAGCTACAGTATTTGAAACGAAAGCAGGCACGATTGGCCAAAACCGGGAGCTCTTCGCCAATCAAAACAAACACAAAGGAACAATCAGAAATTGATTTAATGGCCAACAAGATCAAAGATGACGAGGATAAAAAGGTGACTTCCGCAATTGAACTCAAGCAAGAAACAGAGGTTAATCCAGTAAAAAAAGAAGAGATTACGACAGCAGAATCAGTAGATGAGAATACTCCAACTAATGCAGTGCAATTTAGCGAGGTTTCGATTCCTTTGACTGATGAACAAAAGATTAGTAATGATGCCGAGAGCAATCCAGTTGACACTACAGAGAAAAAATTCAAAGAGGTAGAATTAGAAACAACCGATATACCGCTAAAAGAATTATCCTTGGGGGGCTCTTTCGATGAGAGCATGAAGGAAACTAGCACTCTAGAAGGCGTTAAAAGAGAGGGAAATGGCAAAACTGACAATGAGGATGAGAATACCCAAGAGGATAATGTCAATGAAAGTGAGGTGATATGCGATACTCCAAAGCTCCAATTTGAGGGTCCAGCACAGCATGTCGCTCGTAACTATGTAATATTTGAGGAGTTTGACCACGATGTTACTTCGGATGGGGTCAAAAGGTACTTATTTGGACAGCAGGCTGCCATCAAAGGTACGCATCATGATCCTCAGTACGAAACCCTATGCGTTATCAAACAAGACGAATCTTCCAACATTGATTTGCATAAGATTCAAGCTATGCGGGAAGAGTCATTCAAATCCTTGATTCAGCTTCCTAAATTTGGCGAGAAGATTACGGCTATTGACGATGGTAATGGACAACTTGAGGAAGACGAAAATGAAGTTGTTCAAATTCATACACCTGCCCCGGTGGGGATCCATTTGCCCAATGGTCAAAAGAAAATCTGTCCTACGAGTGGTTTACCTGCGATGTATTACGATCCAACCAATGGCGTGCCTTACGCTACAGTCGACGCATTTCGTGTTTTGAAGAGCATTGTAGAGGGTGACTATGAATGGCTCCAGTTAGATCACGGTGGAATAAATTCACGTTTCAAAGGTGGAATTGGCTGTTATATAAGTAAGAAGAACCAGCGTCATGCAGCAGGTGTTCCTGAAGGTTTCTCTTGAGTTAGATAGATATATCACTTAGTTGTTAACAATTTGTATGTCTTTCGGTTTGTACTATAAATCTATAATTACGCACTAAAATGCAGAATGCATAAAGCTAGTATAATCTTTATTTAGCAATCCATCTGAATAACCTAATCTGTGTTATGTTTCATTCCAACTTCATGGGTTGCTATCAAGTCCGGCTGGAATTTTAAAAATACTTCTTTAACGGCTAAAGGTAAAAATTGTTTCCTCACTGCTGTTTTACATGGTAGCTTAGAAGTGCGGACTTCAAAGTTGAAATCGCTCTCGTCGTAGTCATGTTCAAACTCTGGCAAAACAATAGTCACCTCCTCTTCTTCTTGTTCACTGTTGATTACGATCACAACAAATTCAACTTTCAGTTCAAAGAGGCACTTCACTTTCCCTTTTCTTTGCGTAACATCGCAATCTCCCGAGACTGAATTGATGGATTTAACAGAGATTTTGTACTCGCCGGATGGGACAGACACCTTGTAGAGGTTTTCATCGAAATACTCTTTGGCCCATGGCACGCAGTTTTTTTCAACCCAGTGCCTTCGATATTACATTTCGATTGTACATCAAGATCCTGGTTAGTAATTGTGAACTGGGAAAGAAAGAACGATTTATGGAAAAAAGATAAGGGATGAAAAGAGTACTTACCAGTTATTAGGATTATGTACAGTTGCCATTTTTGGATAAAAAGAACTTGTAGAAAGTACGGTATACAGAGACTTATTTATGGCGTCTGAGACAAATAGGCGAATGCGTAATCACGGAGAAGAGGTACTGGAGAAACATTTATAGCTTAGCAAAGAGGACGCGAGCATGGCTTTTCCAAGTTGATCTAGAAAAATCCACCACTTACTTTCTTCAGCTGCTGGAGTGAGGATAGCAGAGAGCGTTGGACAAGGAGAAGTTGACAAACAGTATGAAAGTGTTAGCAAAATCTGCAAGGGCCTCCGGACTCTCCAATGCTGTAAGGTTGAATGAGCAGACATTCTCCGTATCCAGCCAGAAAAGGACGAAAGGTGATTGTTGATCTTGTAAATGGAGGGTGAATAAGGGTCTTTGGTCCCCGACAGTTCTCTCTGCCACTTTTGAAGCAAGCTTTCGGTGGATCAATTTCATCTTGGGCATTGAAATCTGGGAGTGCGATAGAATCATAGTAAATGGGAACCTTGTAGCTCCGACCCTCTTTAGGTAGGCCAATACGGATGTCTGAATATAGTTGAGCTTATTTGAGCCACAGAGTTTTAAGTGTTTAGGTAAATCATAAAACATGAGCCACATGGACACACCAACCAAGGGGTCAGATATACCAGACGTCTTGACGTTTATTATAGTCTTGCTGGGGGACAATCGGGGGAAAACGTAGTGCTCAATATCCCGTTTCAAGTTCTGGTACCTCCGCTTCTCGTGATCTGGAATCTGCGAAGATATTATACGGTTTAAAATGTCATACCACTTCATCGGAAGTGCAAATACCAGATGGCTCTGGGCTCTTTGATATGGATTGAGTATATCCCGGACCTCATTCCTGAAGCCTATGTTTTTGCCAAAGAGGTCTGTATTAGAAGCAGGCTGTGGGCACTTGGCGATGGGTGAAGAATTGACAAAAGTGTCGGATTCCATGTTGTTATATACTCTGAACAGTGTTTTATAAATTTACTCCGAGGTGTTTAAATAAGGAAGATGGTGCTGGCAGAAGATAAATGAACAGAATGGACTTAACAGAGGCAGCACTTCCAACGATGACGGCTCAGCGAAATGTGTGTGACAGAAAATGCGTCGAGTCGAATCAGTCCTTGTTTGTGGTGAGGAAATTAATCAAGTCCGCTATGACCTGGTGGCGAACACCAGGGATATCTGCTGTAAGCTGGTGTCTACCATCCGGATAGGTGCTGATCTTCTTGTTTTCCATTCCGTCGATTGAATTTAGCGCTGAGATAAATGCCTTGCTTCCATTCACATCGGTGATGTTGTCGTTCTCTCCGTGACAGATAAAAACCGGGACTCTCGAGTCCATGCCGGAGTAAACCTGTTCGGTGAGCAAGTTTCTTCCCCGCAAGATGAAATCTCTGGTTTCGACAAAGGCACCGTTCAACGCCTTGGTGTCTCCGAGTGACCGCATGAACTTCTGGTACTCCTCGTCTCCGGTGATATACTCCAAATTGAGCGGGCTGTTGACTCTCAGCTTCTTGCCGAAGTCGAAGACACAGATCGTTCTGACGATATACTCGATGAGCTTCCCGGGGTAGGAGTTTTTGTGCAACACAATCAAGGGAGAGAGGGCCGACAGAGACTTGATTTTGTCTCTGTATAGGCCGTGGCACGCATAGTTCAAGATTAGGCCCCCTCCCATCGAGGCTCCCATCAGGTGCAACTTGGCAGGCAGCTTCTCGTCGCTCAGCTCCTTGAGGTTGTACTCGATCATGTCGTCGAGCGCCTTGTACGCATAGTAGTCGTCACTGACACCTTTGGAGTTGTCCACCAATCTGCTTTCTCCTTCTCCACGTTGATAGAAAAAGAAGAAGTCGAACCCAGCTTTGGCGACGCTTTCAGCCAACTCGTTGTACAGCTGGTGGTGGTCCCTGTATCCGTGGACGAAAAGCACACGGCCTTTCCAGTTATCCTTCGCAGCAGGCCATTTGTAGCTGCGGAAGACGCAGTCGTCGATGGGGATATCCTTCTCCACTGGAGGGATTTCTTTGCAAACATGTGGTGGTGGGACTGCGGCTGGCTGGCTGGACATGGCTGCTGCGTGGCCGCCAGACGGTGAGTCCGGTGCCACGGATAAAGTCCGTCTGGAGGCCCAGGGAACGGGAACTGTTTTCATCTGCTTTAAATCCGGGCACTTGCGGTGCGACAGGATTCTCTGTTGCCTGCCAAGGAGACCTTAAACGATGCGAGGCTGGCACGAGGCAGGGCTACGGCGGAAGGAGGCAACATGGCTGGCTCTCCGGAGCTGCTACGTCACCCAAGGTCCCCGCCTCGGAGATACCCCCGACAAGGAGTGTACACGTGCACTACGGGAATTGTGCAGTCCTGCATCACGGCCTAGGCAGCCTATACGGGGGCTTCGGGATCGTGTTGGTTCTGCAGGGGACGTTTTGTCTGGACAGGGCAACCAGCTCTCCTGTCTTCTTCAGAGCCGGCTGTTCTGCTTCGTGGGATTCGGACAACGCCTGTCGGGAGCCTGCGCCGGGCACGCTTTGTGTCCGTGGGCCCTGCGTCCCAGCTTCCCCCTCGTCTAGCCCGGCCCGCGCGCCCCCCGCAACGCTGCCCCGCCTGCCGCCTGCCGCCTGCGCCCGGGGCGTCTGGGACGATCGGTCCCGCGGCCGTCCGGCGGATGTGGAAGAAAATCCACGGTCATGATTGAGCCGAAGGCCTGTCCGGCCAATGCAGCGATAGTGGGACGGTGCTGGGGGGGCCGCAGACGGTCCATGGAGATGGGTGGAACATATCGGAGATTTGGGGTGTGGTTGTTTGAAGTTCGGGGGAGCCAGTCTCTTGTGGTGGTAGGTGTGTGGAGAACAGCAGCTGCATCAACACAAGAGTAACAAGCAGAGTAGGAAGAACAACATGTCAGAACAAAAGTAAGTGGCAACAGGAAGAAGGTGGCTAGGGGATGTGTCATCGGTGTCGTGGCCCGTGGAGGGACGAGGAGGCGGCGACAGCCGACTACCGTGTAACGAGGATACTAACCTTCTCTTGACTCTCGGGAGTCTGTATGACGTACTGCAGAGGTGACTTTGGATTAATTGGATTGGCCGTTATGGGCCAGAACTTGATTCTTAATGCGGCAGATCACGGTTTCACTGTGGTTGCATTCAACAGAACGGTCTCGAAGGTGGACCACTTTCTGGCCAACGAGGCCAAGGGCAAGTCGATCATCGGGGCGCACTCGATTGAGGACTTGTGCGCCAAGTTGAAAAAGCCTAGAAGAATCATGCTTCTTGTGAAGGCCGGCAACCCTGTCGACCAGTTCATCGACAAGTTGGTGCCACACTTGGACGAGGGCGACATCATCATCGACGGTGGTAACTCGCACTTCCCAGACACCAACAGAAGATGCGAGGAGTTGAAGAAGAAGGGCATTCTCTTTGTCGGATCCGGTGTCTCCGGTGGTGAGGAAGGTGCCAGATACGGCCCTTCCTTGATGCCAGGAGGTGCCAAGGAGGCATGGCCACACATCAAGGACATCTTCCAGTCGATTGCCGCCAAGGCCGACGGGGAGCCTTGTTGCGACTGGGTTGGTGACGGTGGTGCAGGCCATTACGTGAAGATGGTCCACAACGGTATCGAGTACGGAGACATGCAATTAATCTGCGAAGCCTACGACCTCATGAAGAGAGTCGGCGGCATGAACGACAAGGAGATCTCCGACGTGTTTGCCAAATGGAACACGGGCGTCTTGGACTCCTTCTTGGTGGAGATCACCAGAGACATCTTGGCCTACAACGACACCGACGGCACCCCTCTGGTCGAGAAGATCCTGGACACCGCCGGCCAAAAGGGTACTGGTAAGTGGACTGCCATCAACGCCTTGGACTTGGGCATGCCTGTGACCTTGATTGGTGAGGCCGTCTTTGCCAGATGTTTGTCGGCATTAAAGTCGGAAAGAGAAAGAGCCTCTGCCATTCTCAACGGCCCACAAGTCGAAACCATCTCCAAGGAGGACAGACCAGCCTTCATCGAAAACTTGATGCAAGCCTTGTACGCCTCCAAGATTATTTCTTACGCCCAGGGTTTCATGTTGATCAGAGAAGCAGCTAAGGAATACAAGTGGGAATTGAACTTCCCATCCATCGCCTTGATGTGGAGAGGAGGATGTATCATCAGATCCGTTTTCTTGGGTGAAATCACCTCTGCCTACAGAGAGAATCCAGCCCTTGAGAACTTGCTCTTCCACTCCTTCTTCCAAAGCGCAATTGACAAGGCACAATCCGGCTGGAGAAAGACCATTGCCGCCGCCGTCACCGCCGGTATCCCAACCCCAGCTTTCTCAACCGCTTTGTCCTTCTACGATGGTTACAGATCCAAGAAGTTGCCAGCTAACTTGTTGCAAGCCCAAAGGGATTATTTTGGTGCCCACACCTTCCAAATCTTGCCTGAGTACGCAGATGAAACCAGAAAAGTGGGTGCTGCAATTCACGTTAATTGGACTGGTAAGGGCGGTGACGTCTCTGCTTCCACATACCAAGCTTAATGACTTTACGGTAATCTCTTTATAGTTTAAGTGTAGTCGTTTAATCATGCAATCTACTATTAAACTCTCTTCCATCTCTTGACTATTCTCCATTTGAAAGTGACACCACAGAAAGCACCACCATTATTACGTCACCTTATTGGTGCACGGAAGTATTTCTGCTTTTTCCGATTTTTTTTTCTTTCATGACGGGAAGGAAATCAAATTTGGAAATGTTCACCTGTTTTTGTGACTGTCTTTTTTTGTTTTTCTTAACCCTAGAAAGAGAGGAAAGCCTTACACATACCCCCCTACTCCGAACTTCCGATAAGATAAGACGGCTGGTGACCCATCGTGTTTGAAATCTTCTGAAATGTTCGACAAGCTCGATGCGGAGCACTCGCAAAACAACAATGATACCACTGTTGATAACGGCCGACATAAAAGTGGCGAGTTAGACGAAGATGCTGTCCTCTCTTTAACAAACAGTATAGTTCAATCTCTCTACCCGGAGGAAGAAGGCTCGGAGCATAATCAAAATAACATCATCGATCACAATCAACAGAGAGAAGTTGAAGGAAATAGCGCTTCTAATACCGTCGACAAAAGTGATCACAATACCAATGACGAAGATATAGACTACCAATTCGACCAAGAGGCCCTTATCAGCAATTTGGCTGGCAGCGTTGTGGAGTCTTTAGAGCACCAAATGCACGATCACTATCAAGACAACTCAGAGCACCGTGACGAAGAGAAAACAACTGACTCCCAGGAAAATGAAGACGATGGTCAACCAATGGAGAGGGAGCACATCGAACACAATCATCAGCTAGCATTTATCAATAAACCGGCTATTCCCAGTGACCATCACGTAACACACGAAGAGACCGAAAAAGATGCCAACCTAGAAAAGATTATTGCTGATACATTCCGAGATCAGTTTCAAGTCGATGAAAGCCACCAGCTGGAAACTGAAGAAAATGAGATTCAGCCAGAGAAGGATATGATGAGCCTCGATCTAGTAAATGCAATCAATGAAGCATTCCAAGGTAACGTGTTGGATGAAAAAGTTGAAAATGCAGATAAAAACACAAATGTGAGTCGACCTGAAGATAAGCATGATAATGGTTTAACTGAGAAAGTAACACACGAGCAAATGCAACCAGTGGATGATACAAAAGATGTTGAATTAGGTTTAGATGATGCCATCAATTACGCTCTCAATGATGCCAGCAAGACAGCTGGTGGCATGCATCAAAAGAAGGATTCTGATGAGCAGGGTAAACTCGAACACGATGAAGCAGAAATAGATTTGAACGCAGCAATTGAAGATGCTTTGAAAAGCACTCAGTCCGTTTTAGAAAGTAGAGACGACCGTCAAGTGGCAACCACTGAAGACGCTAACCATTCATTTGACAACATCTATCAGGATATGCAAAATTTAGTTGAAAGCACAGTTTCAGAAGTTGAGAAGGATGAATCTGAGCCTCTAGCAGCTAACGCAAGTGAAGCAAAAGCTGAAGGAATGGTTAATACAGATATTGAGAGAGTGATTCACGGCATAGATTTGAATGACGTGATAGCCACTGCTATGAAAGATACCCAGGCTAAAGCTCCAGAATATGATGTGAACGTAGAATTGAATAATGCTATTGAAGAAGCACTCTTGTCAGTTCCGGGAACCAAAGCCAAAAAGAAACCAGCAAAGAAGGCACAATCAAAGAATAAAGCGACGAATGGCTCAAGCCTTGAAAAGAAAAGGAACTCAGACACTAATAATGAAATCAAAGAACTAAATGAAGATTTAGCGGCAGAACTAACAAGTGCTATTACAGATGCCCTGAAAGATACCCAACTCACTGATCAAAATAAGCCGGTTCAAGCTCAACAATTCAACACTACTGAATCTGAATTCGAAAAAGCACTAAAAAGTGTGGTCAACGACGTTGTGGAGCATAATTTAGTTGGGAAAAAGATTGAAGATGCAACGACTGACGATCATTCTAAAGATGATGAGGATGATGAACAAAAAGACGATGAGTTTAATGAAGAGAAGGATGGAGATTACAATTGGGATGATATTATGGACAAAGCTTTTGAAATGGCGATGGACTACCCCTCTGATTTGAATCTCCAGGTCGATGAAGCGGATCTTCAACGTGATCATTTGGTTAACAAAACAAATGTACCCTTCACTCATTCCACTTCCCAAACAGCTTTGCGCAAGCCAGTAAGTCAAAGCCAACCAATCACTTTCATTCAAACGGCCAATATTGAAAAGCTTCGTAGTGAGTTTGATAAGACCAACAATATCAAAAGGCAAAAGGTTAAAGTTGTCACTCCATCTATACCTCCCAAATCTTCTGTTGCTGCTGTTGTTGGAGATTTATTAAGCTCGATGAATTTATCATCTATTCAGAAAGCAGATATTTTGAAGCTTAAACTTTCAGAATTGGATGCGATCAAGAAGAATGTTTCTTCGACTATAGCGACATTGATGAACTCAAATCATCAGACTATCAAAGAGGTCAAGTCCATGGAGAAGATGGACGAAAAAGAGAAAATCAGATACGAAAACAGGGAGCGAAAGAAGAGATGGAGAGAGTTCAACATCGAAAGAAATAGGGATATCGATTTAAGGACCAGAGTCATAAAAAGAGCTAATCACTTATATCCATTACCGGAACATGAAGATCTGAGGAAACAATGGGTTTCTTCTGAATTCTATAAGAGAAAACAGAAGAGGATAGAAAGACAGCAGAAACAACGTACGAATTTCATCGATATGAAAAATTTTGATTCCAAAGATGCTTTACCGTTTGACCTGTTTTTCAAGGATAAGGAAAATCTTCAAAAGATTGCCGAGATATATAATGAGATTGGTGGTGATGTCTCAGGGGAGAAATTGTTACTACCATCTTCGGATAAAATTGTGAGTATTTCATCGATAGTGTCTGCTCTAGTAGCGGCGTATTTGCTGAAAAATGGTGGTGGAAAGGAGGAAAAAATTGTTCAATCGATCACTCAATCTCTTGTTGTTTCGCTTGATCGCTATTTGACTAAAATATCAAAGGATGGGAATGGCATACACGAGGCTAAAGATGCTCTAGATTCACCGACACCTTTGGAGTGGGATAATACTACTGATTCTTATGACATTCCCTTTGATACTGGTTCAGCTCATGGAGCCTCGAATGCGCAAACTACTGGCAAAATCTCTTTAGGCCTCACTGATAATACCCCAAGGATAGCACCTGCTAGTGGGGGGATCACATTTAAGGTCCAGTCACAGAACATTGAGAACCTGCAAGTTGAACGTCCGACGTATACTGCTGATGCAGACCTGACAAGGCTTGTGAAGGAGAAAAATATAGCTCTCAAATCAACGAAGCTAAGCGAAAGCAAAGCAGCAGCCGGAGTTGCTGCGGAGAAGGTATCAAATGTTCTGAAAAAGATAGGCGAATCCAAACCTAAGAGAAAAGCTGCAGCTCCTGTCGCAATCAATATAGAGAAGTTCTTGTCTCCTCAGCCACCGGATGCATCATTCATGCAAAAGATAAAAGGTGATGATAAGAAAAGAAAGCATGAGGAAATAGCGGGTAAGGTGACCGAAGAACTGATTGTCAAGAGACGTGTTGATGATGACAAAAGCGCAGAAGGGAGAAAGCTGGATGAAAATGTCAGGTCTGACCAAAACATTGCGAATGGCCAACTAAATCTAGGAAGCAACAAAATTGACACCGTGGAAGCAACCACATTCAAGGAAAGAATAGAGGACGTTGGTAATCCTGACGCTACCTTGGTAGAGGAGGTTACTCCAAGGGTTGCCCCTAAACAACTCGTTAAGCCGACAAGTGCAACATCAAAGACTAGTAGCAAAATTCCAACTATTCCGCTTCCTCAGTACGGGACGCCGAGCACCTCCAAAGCGGGCATGGGAAGTATACGCAAGGTTCCTGTCTCGCTCAAGAAGGCTGGGTCTAGCTCTCATATATGGGAGGAGAAGCTGGCGAACACAAAGAAGCCGACAAGCATTATTGGGGGCATTGCTGGTCTGAAGCGGCCGGGTGCATTCCGAAAGCCGGGGGCTTTTCGTAAGCCTTCCGATGTCGGCAGCAGCTACGGAATCCTGAAACCATTTGGAGGAATTACTCCGATCAAAAAAGTATAAAATAGAACTTTGTATATTAGTGAACTACTTATTTAATAGATGAATATGGCGACGACGCAATTATCCGAAAACAGGCATAAAACCTTTCTGCGACAAACATTTTGTTGTGCGTCGGATATGCAGATTGTACACTAAAGAGCTTGTAGAATAGACTTCTTGTTCAGTGTCAGTACTGTCCCCAATGCTGACCACTATCATACGTGTCAGGGTGTTTCAATGCTAGTTTATGGCTGATTTGTACATTTCATCATCTCGACGTTTTTTACAGATTCAGAACGGCTTCCCTGCATCTGAATGAATTCAAAAAATTCCAAAACATTGCATAAATTTAGATACTTCACTACACGCCACGCATTCTACACTACTATAAAGCTACAACTACATCTACTTCTACAATTAAACATTTGTGTTCTTAATCTGTTATCTAGTTATAGCCCCAGTTTTCTCCTTCATTCCTACTTCCTTCCTCCACCCAGCACCCTCACCCAGACGTATCACCGAAAATATAAAACGGCTCTTTTTTTCGAAACACTCGTCTGGGCTAAATATAAGTAAACAGAGTTCTTACGATACGCCATCCGTCTTTGACACGACCTCCCGTAATTCGGGGCAGCATGGGCGGTCACCAGCCCTGTTTATCTTGTCTTTTTGTAGACAGCCTGTACTTTGTAGAACCCCCTTGCCTGGGAAAAGTCATCAACAACCCACTCAACCTCGTTACAATCCCACTCTCACGCCTTCTTTAAAAACGGTCGGAGTTTCCGCTTTGTTCTGACTTTTTCTTCTATTGTTGTTGGACCTCTCCTCAACTGTCTAACTATTTTGCGACCGTCGTTTCGGAGATTTGAAGACTGTTCATACACGTCAGCCAGCCACCACACAACTGCTACTGTTCCACACATATCTCAGCTTGAAAACACGACCCAGTGCCTTATATTCCCCGTGTATAGCAAGTCCCCCCATTGAGCGTTTTGGCGGTACACTCGTTCATCATGAGCACGAATAGCAAGGCCCAACAGCAACAGACAGGGTCCAACGCGGTCTCCGGTAATCAGCATGCTCTCCCTCCTTCGACGATGGTGGGCGTTGTGGAAGAGCAGAAGAACGACTTGAACATGGTACATATTCTCCCCTTGGGACCGACCACGAGCCGAGATGCAACAACGGCAAACGTGACTTCCGCCTCTAACACAGATTTCAACTTGGATGCAAGACAGAAGGAGGATGACCAGACAGCCACTGAAACAAGCACCCTTCTGTCGAAGAATCTACCCACGTTATCAGAAGAACCGTCAACAAGTTCGCTCAAAGCAGACCTGCTGCAAAAGAAGCCGTCTACAGAACCCATCAACCCAAACTTAATTGGGTCCAACACGCTCTCGAGCATAAATGACATGAAATTGAAGAAGACCACAAATCCCAGCATGTCCAGCTTGAGGGCAATGTCACTACAAGGGAACTACCCCACGGTTTCATCTGCCAGCACGACGCTCACAAAAGGTTCGACGAGAGCAGAGTACTTTGCTGCCAAGTTGCATGACGCCATCAAAAGCGACCGCAAGATCCAAAACGAAGCCGTCGAAACATTTGTTTATGATACAACAACAAAGACTCCACCGGTCGACCAGACCATCGATAACATCGATACAGTTATCAAAACATCGACCAAAGAAGAGAAGTACAAAACGGCAAGCTCTGTCCTCCCTGAAACAGTAGCTCAAAACTTGCAAGACCAAAACCGCTATAAGGAAAAACTTCAGAATGTTTTTAACCCTGATGATTCTCCTGTTTCCTACAAAACTCTGGATGACAATTTTGACTCCAAATCTCGTTCTTCGGGAGATTCGAGGAAAAATTCTAGAAAAAGATCTTTTAAAAGTTTAATGACACAAGTAGACCCAGCTAATTTGCAACCACTGTCCAAGGTAGATAATACCGACAATAAATCAGTTAACCAGTTGAGACAGATAACTTCTCGTCTTTTCGATTCCAAAGCAGTTCAGCCTCGCCGATACTCAGGCATCGACTCTGAATATAATAACGATGACTCATATGATGGGGACATAGATTACTACGAACCGAGCATATCAAACCCTACTTTGAACCAAGGAAATACCAACAGCATCACCTATAGTTATAATAACAAAAATAATAGCCATCGCAACAGTAATGGGAATAATCCATTCGATTATATAATAAACGAATCTGATTATGAAGATGAGCTATCTAGCTATTTTTCTCCAAACTATAACCCATCATCACAAAAAGGTAAAGCCAGCAATTCAAATTACCTCAACAAGCAACAAATTCATGGAAATTTGCTAACAGTACCCGACTATGGGAGTATGCATGGGGATAACAAGAGACTCTTGAGGAAAAGGAACGACATCTACAATTCTCCGCATGACTTTACATCTGTCCGTGCCCAAAGATTAAAGCAAATAAGAAGTTTTTGCTACACAGTGTCTGCTATATTCATGTTGTTATTTTTAGGTTTTATTAGTGGATTTGTTCTAGCAACCAACAAGGAACTTCAAAACCTGAAGGTAACAGAGATACGAAATACTATAATAAGCCAAGAAGAACTAGTGTTTGACATGGTTTTTTCTGCCTTCAATCCAGGCTTGATGCCTATATCAATTGATACAGTCCAACTCGATATTTTTGCCAAGACAAACTATCTCTCCACTGAATCTGTTAGTAAATCTTATGAAACTGTGTTGTTAGGTGCAGTTGAAGCGCTAGACGTTCCTCTCTATTTCCAAGGTGGATTCCTAAATAGACAGAAAGATGTAAGTAAGACAGAAATCAAGTTGATCAACCCTTGTTCTTATGATAAAGGAAATGGTGATGACGATCACCACAATGATGGTGAGGATAATGACGATGATAGTGATGACGCTATTAACGAAAAGAACCGAGCTTTAGAACTAGAGAACTATGAAAGCTATGAAAGCTATGCAGGTATTGCAATCTCTGAAAGTTCCTTGAGGCCAATCTCTCATATTCCAGACCCAAGGTGGGTGAATATATCACGCAATCCTTTCGATTTGATAGTACGGGGTGCTATGATGTACAAACTCCCATTTTCATCCCAAAATCACACCGTTTCAATCAGTTATACCACCTACATAGATCCAGGGTATGATTACTATTCTCTTGAGCTAAACTAATGATAAGTAATGAATCCGCTTATAAACAATGTATAATATTAACCGCCAAATAAATGTGAACTAAATCCTAGAAATTCAGGAACTTGCCATTTTAGTGAAGTCCTCTGAACAGTATCAGTCACAAGAAGGAGTGTCTGTAATTTTTTTAAAAAAGTCAATAAGATAAAATGGTTATAAAAACACAGGATAAATATGAAACAAAATTTGACACAGAATAAACGTTAACGGCATGAAACTTATCTTTCTTCCTCTACAGAGGGGAAAAAAAAGAAAGGACAGTTTAAAAATAAATTCATGAATGGCCGGAATAACTACCAGCCACTAAACTTTTCAATGTTGGGACTTCAGACCAATCATCTATTTGCTTACTGATCCCATCCCCAAATGGATCCTCAACCATACTAACACCACTGGCTTTGATTTCCATATCAGTGTTCAAGAAATCAATTCGTCCTGCACCATCTTCGTTGGAGATGTTAAATCTCATTTGAACACCAGTATCACTCTCAGAAGCCCTTGAATTGGTTATAAATCTGGCAACTAAACGTTCTTCCTTTTTGGAAAAGTTGAAAACAATTGGGTGAGGTAAGATCCAAGTAACACGTCCCTTTTCTTTGTTTAAGGAACCAGGTGGTTTAGTTGCAGCTGATAGTACCACGGCATTCTGGATAGAAACAGAAACCATTATATTTGATAAAGATAAAGATTCATGCGCCAAGTAAGATTCGAGTTCACTTGTTGGCTTGATTGAAATAATAACGGTTGACTGTTTATCTTCATGCTTCCAAATTGGGGTGATAACAATTGGAGGTGTTGGGTTATTCAACATATACTTCAGTCCCCCGACAGTTCTCATCGATATTTGAGTAGGGTCTGAAATACTGAAAGATCCAGGTGATGTTGCAGACTGTTGTAAGAACATCGGATTCACCATAAAGTTTGGAAGGAGTCCATTTGACTTAGATGAGATTTGTAGGCCTATTTCGTTCGGAAGTTTCTTATTTGTTTCATCTACGATGAAGGAAAATGCCACTTCACCAATGGCATTTGAGCGGGCCAGTTTCCCATCTTTGAAAGTTGCGTTGAACAATTCAACAATGGAAGAGTTGAGACCTGGAGTGGTTAATGAGGGGTGCATAATTTGTCCGCCCATCAAGCTACCTCCACCAGTGGTGTTCTTGGCGAGAAGGTTGGAAGTATTATCCGGTTGGTGAGTACCTGTGGCAGCTGGTTGCAATATTTGATCATTTGAGACACTTCTACGTTGACTTGGTGGAACAGGAACAGAACCGTGAGGTTGTCTTGCAGCAGGAGGTGCGTTAAGCATAGACATGTCGGTGCTCAAATGCTTTCTAGACGAAGGAGGTGGTGGTGGAGGAGGGGACGCGACGAGAGGAGAACTTTCTGGGATGTTTTCCATTTCACGAGAGACAGGTGGAATTGAGGTCATTGCACTTGTGCTTGTTATTGGTGGAGTTGCTACAGACTCACTTGTACCGGTTGAGGCGCTGGCCAGGCCTCCTACTTGTGGGACATTAGAGCTTGACAAAGAATCGGATCTCTTTGTAGGACGCATTGGCTCGAATAGAGAAGCCTCAGTGGGTCTTTCTTGAACGACTGGACGTTGTTGTTGTTGTTGCTGCTGTGGAGGTGGAGGTGGTGGCTGGAAAGATTGACGTGACTTTTGAGCAAGTGGATATTGAGGTAATGGCTTGGTCTCTGCACTACTGTTGATGTTGGTGTTGCTGAGATTGTTGTTGGAGTAATTTGTGGATTGTCTGTACGGGTGTTGAGATTGTTTCACAGGTGTAGCTTCACGACTAGGGGTTTCTTCACTCTTGTAAGCCTGGTCTTCTTGTTGACGGTATTGTCTGACGGATGCTTGGGACGGAGTAGCGTTGGAAGCCACTGACTGGTTTCTTTGACGTTGTGTCCGGGCACGCGTGCTTCCCGTTGTAGTTTCGGTGTTGATGGAAGCATTGTCAGGTTCGTGGATTGCTGAAGGTGGGACATACATTGAGTCTCTGCCTCCTTTTTTGTGACTCTTAAAAATTGAGCCGAATTTAGAACGCATAGAATTTTTCTCTTTCTTGTTGTTAGCGGCTGCTGCGGTGTTAGACGATAACATGGAGGTGTTTGAAGTGTGGCGTTTGCTTATGTTGGACGATGATGCCTGGTCGGAATCTGGATTCAAATTGCTGGAAGGAGCGGAGCTCTCGCTTTCGTGTTCACCACCGTTCTTTTTGATGTGGAAACGACGTGGGGACAATAAACCAGAGTGGCGCTTGCTGCTGAAGGTGGAAGAAGGCTCGGTGGCGGCTGCTGGAGATGTGGTGAAGCCATCTGTGCTGGTTCTTGACTTATCGGCTTTTGCGACTTTGATGTTCTCGATCGGTAACTTTGTGGCAATGACATCTTGAGAGAACCTCTTGATCTCATCATCTACACTGAAGTTCAAAGCATGCTCCAGTCCATTCTCATTATCTTTCTTGAATTTTCCAACGACATCGCCGACGTCTGTCTGGTACTTAAGGAAGATGTCCTTCAACAAGAGCAGTCTCTGGTAATCGTAGTTTTCAAAAATCTCAAAAAAATAAGGTGCTCTTCTGGCCCATTCGTCCTCGTAGATCTCGGGACTGGTGCCCTCGGGGTTCTGTAAGTTGCTTGCGAGCTTGCTCAACTCGTCCATTTCTGCCAAGTTCGAGTCGTTGTTTCTCGTGAAGAGCCTCAAGGGCGCAATCATGTCTCTGCCCATCTTGCGGGTGCTCTGGTCAAACAGGTTAATCTCGTCGTCCAAGATATTGAGCACGTCCGACCACAATGGGTTACAGAGCCCCAATGCGTCCAACTTGCTGTTTTGTAAAGCTGGCGACGAGTCCGTGAACAGCGTCTGGCCCCGCTTGTGAATCTTCTTCAACTCCTCCACGTAGTGCAAGCGCAAGCGCCCGTACGCGGTGAACCACTCCGCCAATTCCTTATTGATCAATTTGGCCTGCTGGCGCCGAATCATCAAGGCCTCCATGGCCTCTAGCGGTTGCTTTTCAAACAATATCGAGGACGAATAGACCACACGCTGTTCGTCCGCGGTTCCGTTCACGCCATAGGCTGGCTCTGACGACGACATCTCTTATGATAGTACTTGCTGTTCCGTACTGCTATGGTTGCTGTCCCTACTCTGCTTGTTCTTAAACCAGCCAGCAACAGCAACAGCAACAGCACAGCAGACACAGCACCTTCAAGTCCTTCCACTAGCATGCGAGCCTCGTAATCTCCCGCAGCCGGGAACACAACGGCGCACCACATTTCTCCTGCAATTTCCTGTTACGTAAGCAAAGAAACCGGGAGTTACCCAATTGGGTAATCCAAAGATGCCCAAACGGCCGGGTTAATGGTGGTGGGCTTTAACTTGATACACAGTTATAATTACACGTGGGGTCGAGTGGAGGCTGGGGCAAACCAAATTGGTCAGCTAAAGAGCTCCTGGCTGAGAAATGGGAGAAGTACAAAGCAGGCGGTGACGAGGGCGGCGGTATTCTGCCAGAGGGCGACGGGGAAGCCGAGGAGGCCCTTGGCTCGGATGTTGATCCAACAGGAGTAGAAGGCGACAGCAAAGAAGTGGTAAAACAACACGGAAGCCCTTGGTATGACACCGCTGAGCAAGCCGATGGGCCCACTGATGCACTCGCCGCCGCGGAGGAAGTAGTGGAAGCAGCCTTGCTGGAGAAGGGTGAGCGCCGGGCTGTCTGCGGCAAAGAGGGTGTAGAGGGCGATGGAGAGGGTGTTGATGACGGCGTCAAGGCCCTTTCTGGCCTTGTGGAAACGGACCATGCGCTGGAGGACGGCCTCGTGGTCCTTGAGCTGTTCGTTGGAGAGCTCCGAGAGGAGCTCGCAGAGGAGGGCACAGTCGTTCAAGCCGACGGTCATGCCCCCGCCGGTCAACGGGTGGCGCATGTTCAAGGAGTCGCCGAGACAGACAAAGCCGGGCACATCGTTGAGACGGGCGGTGAGGTACTGGTTTGGCATGGCCTTGTAGATGCTGGTGCCGTCGACGGAGCTCTCGTAGGCGTGCTGGAAGCTCGGTTTGACGGACTCGGGCAAATGTGGGAGCACACTGGCTGCAAGGTACTCGAGCACGTCGGCCTTCTTTGGGAGCTTGGCCGAGCGGTACGCACAGAGGATTCTGCTGTGGTGGGGGCTGATCTGGTAGATGAGGACGGGGGCGTGCTGGCCCAGGATCACGTGGCCGTGGTTCTTCTTGGGCAAGTCTGCGTCGACGAGGTCCATGCCGACGAAGTACGACCCGACGGAGGGGACAAAGTCAGCTGCGAGCTCCTTGCGGAACTTCGAGTAGATCCCGTCGCAGCAGAACACCAGGGACGCCCGGAAGACACCCTTGTCTGCGACCTCGACGCCGACGACCCGCCCGTCTTCCTGCACCATTCCCGTCACGTTGCCGTCAAGCTTCGTGACGTTCTCCTCGGCAAGACACAGCTCCCGCAAGCGGGTCAAGAACTCACCGTGGTGGAGAGCCACCCCTCGCAGGTTCGGGCTCTCGTCCCACTGCCGCATGTCGAGCGTCGAGTCGGACTCCATCTTGTCCTCGTCGCCCTGCTCCACGGCGCCCGCCACGGGTGCCGTAGCCAGTGTCCGCAACACCGTCTTCTCCGGGTACGGGATCGTCACCCCGTTGCCGAAGTACGAGATGTAGTAGCCCTCCACGGGGATCGCCTCGATATTGTTCACGGCCTTTGCCATGCCTAGACGCTTCAACGCAAGCAACCCGGCAGGCTGCATCAACTCGCCAACAATCCGGTTCGGCTTCGTCCACTCCCGCTCGATGATGAGCACCTTACGGCCCTGGCCTGCCAGACACTTGGCTAGACAGGGGCCTACCACCCCTGCTCCGACCACAATCGCGTCGTAATGGACACTGCTCGACATTCTGTTTCTGTTTCTAGTGCTGTTCGTGCTACCAGCTATGCTATCACGGCTCTTTATCTCTCCGTCTCCGTCTACTGCCCAGGACCACGCCCAAACGGCCCCTGGTCCTCTTAAATGCAACCCTTCTCCTGCTAGTCTGGCGTTTCCATGCTTCGATCCATCGTATCGCTCGTTTAGGCGCTCGGGCCACTTTTTTTTCACCGCCGTTACTACATTGTGCAGACTCATATGGAGGTCTCTCTGGCACGTCCAGCTTGTCACACCGTCTGCGTGCCAATCCACGGGTCTGCTCCATCAGCCTGACAACAATGCTGTGCAACCACAAGACAAGCTTCGCTTGGTGGTCATGGTGGTGCTGCCTGGTCCTGCTGTGCGTGGCAGGACGGGCGCTCGCCAACACAGAGACGCTTGTGCTCGACCTGCGGACGGACCATCTGCCCGCTGACGCGGCATGGCACGCCGACGTCGACAGGGCCGTCCTCCGGACGGCCCTCACCCCGGCTATGGTCGCCGCCGGCACCAACACCTTCTTCGTTGACCTCTCCGCCGTCCCCTCCGGCGGCGAGACGCTGCTGCTCTTCGACGTGACCGGGCTCCCGAGAAAGAGCTTTCTGGTCCGGGCTTGCTGGTCCGCCATGCACCCCGTCTCCGTGCACGTCTCCGCCGCCTCGGCCGGCGACTCTGACCTGCTGGCCGTCGTGCTGGCGCCGGACTACTACTCCGCAGCCGTCGACGGCCCGGCGACGCACGGTCTGCTGCAGCGCTTCGCCCTCCAGCTCACGCTCTCGGAGAACAGCCTCCTCTTTGGCAGCGTCAGCCCCGACATGCTCCGCCTGGCCTCTTACGTTGCCACCGTTGCCTTCGGTGCCGTCCTCTTCTCCGCCATATTCGTCTAGTCTCTCTAGCCTACCTGTGTAGCACTGTCTATCTGTCAACCTGCTTGCGTAAGCAGCCCCGGCCGCGCACCCGCCCGAGAAGAGATCAACGGAAACGGAGAGGGCTGCGACGGCCAGCCTTGTTTTGCTCTGCTGAGGACAGCCTTGGTGAAGTCTGCGGGGTCGGGGGTCGGGGTTGGGGTGAAGCGGGTTGGCAAGAGAGCAGCAGAAGAACCCAGCGAGACACAGCAATGGACACGGAACGTCAGGAGGACGCACGGACCCATGCGGCAGCTGTCGGCGGAAGCAGCAGCAGCCACGGGCCGGACAACGGTGGTGGAAAAGAAAACATGGCTGTGGCAAGGCCCGATAACGGCAGCAATCACGGAGATGGTCTGGAGCAGGAGATCGAGGACGACTACAAGGATAGCAGCAGCCGAGGCAGCAGCAGCAGCGGCACGTCGGTGTCGTCCGCGGTGATCGATCCGGAGGTGCTGACACAGGCGGACGGGCTGGAGAACGGACAGGAGCTGGTGGCCGGTCGGAAGGAGGAGGACAAGGAGGGGGGGTCCGAAGAAGACACGGCGTCCGGAGACGGAGACGGAGACGGCAGCGGCGGCAGCGGCGGCAGCAGCAGCAGCAACAAAGACACAGACACCCCGACACACATCGACCTTGGCGTTGGGAACGGCAATGGCGAGGCCGCCGAAGCGGCCGTGAAGCTGGCGGAGCACGGCGCCCACTCGGAGCTGCCCCAGCTACAGCAGATCCGGCAGATGCAGCAGATGCAGCAGATGCAGCAGCTCCAACAGCTGCAGCTGCAGCAGGCACAGGTACAGGTACAGGTACAGGCGCAGGCGCAGGCGCAGGCACAAGCACAAGCACAAGCACAAGCACAAGCACAGGCGCAAGCACAGGCGCAGGCACAAGTCCGTGCTCAGAACCAGACGCAGCAAAACATGCTTTTCTACACTCAGCTTTTTGCCCAGCAGAACTACCAAAACCAGGTTCAGCCACAAGGCGGAATCCAGGGCCAAATCCAGAACCCAAACCCAAATTCAAGTCCACACTCGAACCAGAATCTGAACCAAAACCTAAAGGAAAACCCTCTCTTTACCTTGGCAAACTCTGTTCCATACAGGCCTCTCAACGAGAACCCGGAGACATCAGAAAACCACGACAACAGCGAGAAGCACGCACAGGACCCGAAATTCGACTTCAACGACACAGGAGCAAACTACTTCTTCCAGAAGCAGCAGACAGAGGATCAGACCAAAGGGCCCCTGCAAGCGCCGCAGGAGACGCAGAAAACCCCGTCGGGTGAACACATGCCTCAAGACCCGGCCCAGAAACAAAATTCAGCACTCCCTCCTTCGACTGACTGGTTGGCCCCGATGGGTCTACCACTGAACATGGCCTCCAACATATCCGCAGCTATTGCTGGACAGCCTCAGCCATCGGCGGAACACCAACTAAATGACCAGCTGAGGGACCAGAACGGTATGAGTGTTCCAAACGCTGGCGGGATACCGCAGATGTTGCAGTACAACACAATCAACAACGCCTTCCAGCTTGGGCTCTTGAATGGTAGCGTCAACGCCAACGGCATGAACGGGTTTTTCCCGAGCAATATCGATATGAATGGCTCACACCAGGCGCAAGTCCCCGGCCAGCAGAGCGACATCATGCTGGACGGCTCGCACAATGGACTGATGCGCAGAAATACAACCTCCGACGGAATGGCAGCCCCGAAGGTCTTCATGTGCCACCATCCGGGCTGCAACAAAACTTTTTCGAGAAAGTTGAATTACGTCTCCCATTACCAGTCCAAGCACGAGCACAAAAAGCCGTTTGAATGTGAAACTTGCCACAAATCTTTTGCTAGACATAGTGACCGCCGCAGACACGAGAAGAGCCAGCACACTACAAAGAAGGGCTTTGTATGTGGAGGAGTCTTGGAAAACGGAGTCAAGTGGGGCTGCGGCAAACGTTTCAAACGGAAGGACGGCTTGACCGCCCACTGGAAGAGTTTGAAAGCAAAAAGAAAGTGTTTTGAAAATCTTAAGGAGGAAAGCGTTCGCCAGATGGAGAGGAGTCTTCTCGACTGATCAAAGTTTATTATAGTTCTACGTAGATAATTTTTCCATAATGATGTTACCAACTTATCTTAGTATCTGCTCAGCAAGAGAAGTCTCCCCCATACTGAGAGGTTCTTTTCCCGAAAGGTGCGTAATTTGGGTGCATGAAAAAAACCGTGTCTCTTCAGAATGAAACTGACGTGGCATAGATCTTGGCCAGAGTACCGGCCCTGGACTTCCATGGTCACATCGAGAGTTAACTTGCGCAGGTTGTTTGACTGCTCACTTATAAATCACTGGGATAGAGGTACATATAAGCGAAAAAGATGTTGCGTACCATAATACTCTGCTTGCTGAGCTGTACCGCGGTGCTAGGCTCCAAGTACCAGCCATACCCAATTTCTGATCTAGACCCAACAACATATAAGCCTTATACAAAGGGTCAATTGGTGCCTTTACAATGCATCCGTAGACAAATAGATAATGGCGAACATGTTTTCGATAGTGAGGGGAACATTGTTTTTGCTCCATTCATGAACTGTCTAGAGACGAACTCCCCATTGTCATTGAAATACATGGAGGACTCCAATGTGAAGTGTACAGTCAAGTTTGAAGACGAGATCTTCCACCTGTTTCAGCTATACTTACACAAAGACGCTCCTTTCACTTGCAGATACGAGTTGCGTCCTAATTCCGGGATCTATTTGCCAATTGATTTGAGTTTCAGAGGAAACGTCCTCGAATCACATTTTGATATCGACCCTAATCTCAATGTTGTTATGCTCTCCAACAATGAGAACGAAATTGTTGCAGGCAGTGCATTCTCCTCATCCACAAATACAACCAAGGTGATAATTGGTCAAAATGTCGAACTCAGCTTCAACATTAAATGGACCAACGCACATAAGGAGATAATAGGTGACGATAACGTCGGAGTTTACTGGATCGCATCTCGTAATCCTTGGCTCGTGTGGATCTATGCTGCTGCAGGTTGTTGCGTTGGTATCATCTTAACATTGGTGGTGTCCTACAAGAGGATTGGGAAGAAAGTTCAGCTCGAGTCATGGAGTAAGGTTGAATGATCAGTACGCGATCTCGATATATCTATAACTACTTAACAACTATCTAACTGTTACTAAACATATACTTACACTTCTCAAAGTTTCTTTGTTAGTAATTCCAACAACGATCTGATTTCACCCTTGGAGTGATACAAAAATCGTTCTTCGATGTACTTGATATAAGCTTCCTTGACTTTTTCCTTGCTTTCATTAGAAAGCTTAGATTTGGCCACCCATGCTTGATAGAATTTCACATTTTGCTGAAGGCCGCTGACGAATGCTTCGTCGTCCAAGGTAACATACCGTAGAGGTAATGTCAACTGTAAGACTAAACAGACCGGATCTTCAGGATACCTCTGGATCAAATCTTGGATGATGTAGTCACACATATGAGTTCGATCCAAAATATCGAATTTATCAACCAGGGAGAGTACTTTATAAGCAAGACCTTTTGTTCTTTCTCTTTTCTCAGGTTCGGCTAATCTCTTTGTCATTGTTTGAATGAATACATCATAGATGGCCATGATCAAGTCACCCCGAAGCACTGGGTTGTCCTCAACGCTTCCTAATGTTGATACGTTCATTTCTGGTAAATTGTTGAGGTCTGTATTGATTTCATCGTCATCAACATTTAAGGCAACTATGTTTTCATTTTCATTGGCTCCATTTTCTCCTCCTGATACTTCCTTCTGTGCTTCATTTCCCTGTAAGTCCTCCAACTGTGAACGCTCACTAACCAATTGTAACAACTTCCTTCTCGTCAATAACTTACTCAAATAATTCAACTCAAATTTGAGAAACTCCAACCACACTCTTTCTTCTTCTGTGTTAAACCTGAGACAACGCTTGAACAAAGCTCTAGCACCGTTGACGTTTTTATTGTACTCAAACTCCCATTTGGCTCCACTTAACCATACATCAACATTTCTTGGCTGTAATGATAGAAGTTTGGAGTAAACGTCGTACACAACCTTCACACTTTCTTGTTTTCTTGCATACTTCAAATAAGCTGCCCACAATTCCATACTGCTTGGGAACTTATTAGTACCACGCTGGAACACGAATAAGATCCTTTGAGGTATTGACCAGTTACTCACACTCGGAGCTCCATCTATGTGGTCCTTAATTCTTGCAAGACGCTTCGCTCTTAATCTGTCAACATTCTTTTCAAATTTGGCATATGCTAAGAAATCTGCAGGCTTAGACCCACGTCCTGCTATACGATGCTCAAAATCCGTTCTACGACGAACTATCATGTTGATTTCTTTCCTTTTGAAAAGACCCTTCTTCTCCAAGTCCTCAAGCTCAGGAATCGATTTTTCTAATGCGTATCTAGCTTTGTCAGACATTGTGTTGATCTAGCAATTGTTCTGATGTGGAGATTTAGTTGATGAATATTCAGAGGATGCTTAAAGTCAAGTTTGATAACAATTTCCAACTTCAAAATGTATGGTGCATGTGGAAAAAAAAATTTCAGTTGAGTAAAAAATAAAAAAATGAAAAATAAAAAAATGTAGAAACGGCCTCAGCGCTGAGACAATCGATGAATTCATTCTCTAATTCAAGTTATGGGGGGTTTACATATACATATACACAATATATAAACAGAGATATAAAATACAGTTTTAATATACAATTGATGTCGTAAGAAGGATAGATATCAAGCCAAAAATAAAGGAACCAGTCAAGTCTAGCTGACCTGGCACCATTTTTGTTTGACAAAATAGTGGTATATGCGGGAAGTCTTGGAAGGCTCGAGCTTGATGATTGAGCCAACCTTTTCTTGGTTCAGTACACCGCCAGAGTTGAGGAGTTCCTTGAACAAAAGCTCTTTGATGCAAAGGTAAGGTTTAGGATAGATTCTCAATTCTTGACATAATAGCTTTTCTCCATCAGAAAGTAGATTGTAGTCTGGAGCGTCAGATATGTCTAACGGATCTGCAGAGATGTTTCTTCTCTTCAACTTGCCATCCGTTGGCGTAGACATTCTAGAATGGGATCTGCCTGAGTTGAGGGTATGTCGTTCTTTGGATGAGATGTTTGGAGAAGATAGGGTTAATTTAGATACCCTTGACATCTTTTCCTTTTCGTAAAATTCACCATCTTCAAGTAGAGTAATGCCGTTTCGCCTCCAGTTCTGTAATTGCATGATCCTATTTCTAATTTTGAACTCGTTCATGATGTCGTCTGAGAATTCCTTGAAATCTGACGAGCTCATGATTCTTGCGAAAGGCTTAATCCTCGTATACAACTCCCGTTCTTCCTTTGAGCGTTTCTTGTCAATGGCGTTGTTGCTCTTGTAGTCCAGCAAGTCATCCTTCAACATCAACCTCTTACGTTCTGCTCTTAAAGACAACTTTTCGTTGTAAATTTGGAGAATCAACAATTTCAACTCCACGTCTTCTTCTGCCTCGTCGGTGTCAAAGACCATATCTTGGACAACTTTCTCTGCCTCGTCTTCTGCTTCCTCCTCAAATTCCAATCTCCCGGGCATGTACTTCTGGATGTGAGAGCACAAGGGCTGGGAAGTAAGGATCTTCTTCGGTGGAGGAAGCGGCATCTTTTTGCGGCCATCAAACCTCTGTCTTCTTCTCTTCAAGAACTCCGTGGTCGAAACCTCGGGGAAAGTCTGGTTTAGGTCTGGTAGAGGATAGTACGGCGAGTTCAGATAATACTTCTCGTAATGTTCACCCACCTCTTCCTTGGACCTGCCCTCGATGTAATCGGCAACATCCTGCCAATTGCCCACCCCTAGGGTCTGACACCCCTCTATGAGCAACAACTCCTCGTCTGCACCCCAGTCCTTGTCGAAAATGGGGTACTGGTGCTGCTCGATCACTCTGTAGTCGTGCCATGGCTGGTGTTTTCCGGAAACCTTACCTGCAGCAAAGCACGGCACACACAAGTCGTAGTCCTGACACTCTGCGCAACTTATGCGGATTCTCCTAGTACAATCCGACGAGCAAACATCGCAATGGAACTTCCCCATGTTCCAAACTGTCGGACGAAAGCACGGTTATATATTTTCTAATCGAACGGAAAAACCTGGGACAACTCCGAGATACTGAAAAAAAGTGGAACCAATCGACGCGTCGCTTTTATTCTCCGGTATTTCTCAATGCTCACTGCCCTACCGGTGGTCTCCAAGTACTGTGCTGCTGTGCCCGATGTCAGATAGCTGGCTTTGAACTGAGGCTGTTGCCTGGACGTCCTCTTAGAAACAGCGTTTCCTTTGAGCCCAATCGGAAGCATACATGCGACAAAGCCGAACCTGCGCAGCAGAAACGCCTTCTATTGTATGAAGGCCCGTGCGCAAGCCAGCGACAGAAGCGACGACGAGGAAATTGGTTAGACCCCGAACATAACGCCCTCGGAAGCGCCAGTTATCGGGGCTGGTGCCGGTTATTCGCGTGTGGAGAGCGGAAAAAAGGAGTAAAAGCAAAACACGTGACACATACAAAAATAAAAAATCTGCACACGTGCGTAGGATGAGGGCTTGAATTGACTAACCCTCACACAAAACACAGTCCCGGCCGGAATTTTTTTATTCTCGCTCTGGCGGGTTGGAGAGTGGCCACCGCTTGGGGGGCCGGTAGGGGGACTCAGGGAGGTTCACGCAGGAGCGAGTCTCTGGCAATGCACCGATATTTTCAATATTACAATTTGATCAGAAAGAGCAGACACACGTCGGTCAGAAGAGAGTACAGATATACTACAGAAATATCTCCAAAGACATCAGTAAACTTCAAAAATGGTATGTTTAGCTACCACAGAAAAGAGAACACGGAAACGGCAGCGATGCTACGAAGAAAGAAGTCGTCAACTTGGACCCCGGGATGAGAAATGAAAAATCAGCAGGAAAACAGCTCCACCTAGACAACAGAACTGGAATGAAGGACACTGGAACACACAAATCATAGAACGAGAGAAAGTGCAGCGAGCTGCTGTCGATACACACCGAACACCACCCACGAAAGGCAGAACGGCAGTCGGACAATTTGAGAATGCAAGAGCACCAAGTAGTAGCTTACATCTGAGGCAGCAGCTTAGCCCAACCCTGGAAAATCGCCCACACACTTCTTCTTATTGCACACGCCTCCCCAATAAAGCAAACGCAACCAGTTACTAACACTTTTTTTCCCATAATGGAACGAAACTTTTATTTTACAGGGTAGAGTTAGAACAAAGACCGTCAAGAGAGCCTCCAAGGTTTTAATCGAAAAATACTATCCAAAGTTAACTTTGGATTTCGAAACCAACAAGAGATTGACTTCTGAAATTGCAGAAATCCAATCCAAGAGACTCAGAAACAAGATTGCTGGTTACACCACCCACTTAATGAAGAGAATTCAAAAGGGTCCAGTCAGAGGTATCTCTTTCAAATTACAAGAAGAAGAAAGAGAAAGAAAGGATCAATATGTTCCATCTGTTTCTGCTTTAGACTTAGAAAAGACCAAGGGTGCTTTATATGTTGACGAAGACACTGATGCTATGATCAAGTCTTTAGGTTTCAAGGTTCCAACTAACATCACCAATGTCTACGCTGGTGGTGCTCAAAGAAGATTCAGAAAGTAAGGAAGCTGTGTATCGTAACAAACCTCTTCTCTCTGTTTAAATAAGTATTAATAAAATTTTACTCATCAATTAAAAGGTCCGATAAGCGTAGTATAGTAGTTGTTCACAATTCTGGTATCACAAATCTAAACAAATAAACTCTATATAAACACATGATTCTAATCAGCAAAGCCTGTTTTCCTGATCCTCTCAATCAGTCAATCTCATCTACAATCTTGCTGCAGTATTCTTTTAAGATCTCTGATCTTTTATTGACCTCCGTTCCGTATTTTTCGAGATTCAAAGCAAATGTGTCGAGGTTATCCTTCAAGAATTTTACTCTTTTGTCAAATTTCAGTCTAGCCAGGATCACCCGTTTCATCAAAGCGTCATATTCTTTGATAAAGCTGGTGCTTTGTTCGCTCCATTGATCGAAATTCATATGAACAAACTCAAAAAACTGCTTCTCGTTGTTATCTAGTTCTTCCTCTCTGCTCTTTTTCCCCATAATTTCGTAGTAGATTTCATCTTCTCCTTCCATATACTCATAAATTGGTTTATCGTCAACGATATACTTTGTAGGAGTTCTAGGTCTTTTGGTGGTATCCGGAACTGGCTCATCAGATCCATCTGTAGCATTGGTAGAGTTGAAGCTGTTCTCCTTATCATCTCTGCTATCGCTAATCTTTCTTCCAGAGTTATTAAAGATATTCAACTTCTGTTTCTTTGTAGACTCTACTTCATCTTCAAAAATTTTTCTTTTTTGCTTTATCTTCCTCTCCACACAAGGTGAAGAAATGAAGCTCAGATTATCACCACTATCACCTTGATCACTTGATTCTCTAAATTGAAGTCTTGAGATGTTATAGTTTCCCTTTTCTTTCATCAAATCTGCTACCATGTTATCGTTCTGATGTAAATGTTTCAAGCCTTGATCTAGCCCATTCTTGAATTCGTCAACTTCTGTATTACCCTTTGTTAGAAACGTCAAATTGGTTCCAGCAGTGTCAACTCTGCTATTGAAAGGACTGGAAAATTTGCTACTATCATCATTATGCATTGCATCAGTGAGCTCAGGAACATCGACCATGAATTCAAGAATCTTTTTATTACTTGCTACGTTTTTATGCAACTTTGGTTGTTTAGAGCTAGACCCTTTTTCGGAGTTAGAGCTCCCAACATTGCTACCCGAACTACTGCTGTGCTTGTGCTTGCTGTTCCTACCAGAACCTATTTGCTCCTGTTTGACAACAATTGGCGTTTTACCAATCGGAATTTTACTTTGCATTCTGTTAATGGAAGTAGAAGTTGCTGGCCTTGAACTACTTTTACATTCTCTACTAACTTTCAGCGGAGATGTCAGGCTCTTTTTCGTGGCGGAGCCGTTGATCCCCGGCTCCTGTTTGACCTTTATTTGGTCCATATTTAGCGGAGAGTTAATACTTGAATGGATAGAACCGATAACGCAATATTTTAAATGATCCTTCTTGAAAGTGGGTCCCTTCGGCGGAAAAGAATTTAAGAAAAGTGCACAATACTTTGCCCCCCAAACTTTTTTCAAGTAAAAAGATGAGCCGCTTTGAAAAAGCTATCTCTTTTTTTTTTCCTCCTATCCTGAAGATCCAAGTTTTTTTTCAATTACAATATTTGTCATTTTTATTTTGTAGCTAAACAGATACATAAGGTCATTCAAGATCAAAGCCTAGATAGTCATTTAAGATATCCGTTTGATTTTAACCATGACTTGACATCTTTTCCGTCTCTAGAAACCCAATTAGATTTACTCTTGATGGTTTCCAAAGATTGTGCTAAACCTTGATCAAAACCCTTGGTGTTCTTCGATTTGAAGAAGGCTTCCACTTCATGATATTTATCCATGCTGGTGAAACCAGACGTACAAATTTGGACGACTGAACCCAACATTGACAAACCTGGAGGTAACAACTTGTAAAGTTGATCCCATTCGGTTTTCAACCAGTTAAATAAGGCATCAATACCCACCTTGTGTGCTCTCATACCTTGCATTGGAATATATATATCTTGAGTTCTGACGGTTCCATCTAACAAGTGGGCCAAGACCTTGGAAAGAATTGCAGGGTTTTCAAACCTACCTAAAGATCTCAAAGCGGCGATCTTTTCATCAATCGATTGTGGTGAAGTGTAAATGCTCAAAAGTGAATGATATTCCTCTTCGCCGCCCTTAGAGGCAACAATGTTGAAGATTGTTGCTCTTATATTTGGGTTAATTGCTTCCTTTTCACCAGAGACGTATGCTTTGAAAGATTCCTTAGCGAACTTGATGGCCTTCTCATCACCAGAACCAATTGCAGCAGAAAAGAGTAAAGCCTTTAATCTTTGTTCTAAGACAGGTTCATCATCTTTGAAAGTCCACCCAGCTTCATGTGATTTTTCAGAAACCAAACTACTGGTGAAAGCCTTCAATGCATCAGTAGTTTCTTTGTCTTCAAAGATCCATGCTGCCTTCAATGCGGAGACTCTTGTGATGATTTCGTCCCACACGAAAAAGGAGGATTCTGATTTCCATCCTGATACCAATGACAATAAGTTGGAAGTCTTTGAGAATCCGGACACAGATAAGGCACCCGCATCAGCAACCAAACCGATCCTGTCTTCAACAGTAAGCTTTGAAGCGTCTTTTCCTAATGATTCCCATCTGCTATCCTCGTAACAGACTCTGTAAACACCATTCGAGTTCCCGTTGACTTTAAAGAATTCAGATGACTTTACTGGTAAAGCAGTACTTCTTTCATTCAAAACCAATGACTCATCTAAGCCCTTATCTGTTCTCAAACCAAGGAAAATAGGATAAATGGTTTGGTCATCTTCAGGCTTGACATCACCTGTGGTCAAGTATCTATGTTGGTTGACACTGACTTTATCGGTAGATTCTTCCACTGTAACCAATGGATAACCGACTTTTTTTGTCCAGACTTCCATAGTTGAAGCAACGTCCTTTCCTGACACTTCGGAAAGGGAGTCCCATAGATCTTCTGTTTTCGCATTTCCGTAGGAGTGCTTCTTCAAATAATTGGATACACCCTTAATAAACAGGTCTTCACCTAACCAGGTTGCCAACATTCTTAAAACAGAAGATCCCTTCTCGTAGGAAATGGCGTCAAAGATCTGGTTGATTTCGTCTGCTCTTTTCACAGGAACTTCAATAGGATGAGAAGATCTCAAACCGTCCAAGGTAAGAGCCGATTGTAAGGAGTCACCAACAAAATTCTCCCAGATCTTCCAGCTTTTTTCGAAATGATCACAGCATTTCCAGGACATGTAAGTGGCGAAACTTTCGTTCAACCATAGGGAGTCCCAGAAATCCATTGTACAGATGTTACCGAACCATTGATGTGCCAATTCGTGAGCAACGACTTCGGAGACTCTTAATTTCGTGTCAAGGGTAGATTTGGATTCGTCAAACAACAAATCCACCATACGGTAAGTGATTAACCCCCAGTTCTCCATTGCACCGGCAGAGAAGTCGTGGATACCGACCATGTCCATCTTTGGAAGAGGGTATTTGATGTCAAAGACCTTTTCGTAGTACTCCAAGGCCTTGGCAGCCAATTCACAAGAGTATCTACCCTTTTCTTCGTAGCCTGGGGTGGTGTAAACTCTAACAGGGATGTCTCTGAACTTGTAGTCCGACTCGACGTATTTCAAGTCACCGACAATGAAGGCAACCAAATAGGTGGACATCAAAGGCGTGGTGTTGAAGGTGACGGTTTTCTTTGTTTCCGAGACGTCCTTTTCAAATCTGACGTCCATGTTGGACAAATAGGTCAAATTTTTATCACCGGTCAAGGCGATGGTGAATTTGGCCTTCAAGTTTGGCTCATCGAAGGAGGGGAACGCCCTTCTACAATCGGTTGGCTCCATTTGGGTGGTGGCTAGGTACTTGGTTTCGCCGTTCTCCTCGTATGTGGATCTGTAGAAACCGGCCATCTTATCGTTCAACTCGCCGATAAACTTGATGTATAGCTTGAGGGAGGAATCGGCCTCGAATTGCTCGGCAAACTTGAACGTCGTTGTTTGGTCGTCGTCGTTGTAAGTGGTGTCTGTTGGCTTGAGAGTCTTGCCCGAGGCAGTGACGACATGGTAGTCAAGGAGCTCGAGGTCAAGGGTGTGCAAAGAGATGAAGTCGGACGCCTCTTTCACGTCCAAGTCGATTGTCACCTCACCGTTGAACTTGAAGGTGTCAAAGAGGGGCTCGAGGGAGAGGTAGTAGTGCTGGGGCTTGACGTTGGTTGGGAGGACCTGTCTGCCCGGGACGGCGGAGGAGGAATTGCACATGTTTGCTATGTGTTTTTCGAGAGAGTGTTGGTGGCGGCAACCGAAGGAGTGGTGCTGTCTATTTGGAACAACGAGGGGGGCAGGGCGCCCGTTATATGCTGCAGAGGCCGGTCTGGCATGTCCGTGTGTGAGGAGGGCAAGGGCTAATCTCTGAGGGAGTCCGTTTGGTGGCGAGGACGCTGCGGAATGGAGTTGTCGCGTCTGACCGGTGCGAGGCCGAGGACAAAGCCCCCAGGCTGCCGCATTGTGTGGGAGGACTCTGGTGCCGTTGCGGAGCAAGCCGACGACGGGTGGGCGTGTGGAAGCTGTGACGGTTGCGGACGTGACAGCGGCGGCTGTCCTGACGAACGGTTTCACGAACATGCTTTCCCTGGCGGATGCGGGAGGCCAGGGAGCAGTGAACAGTGAGCGGTGGCGGATGGTGAAGAAGCGTGCAGAAGGGGTGTATTTTTCAGATCCGCAGGCGACGAGCAGTCTGGCGGGCGAAGCGGCTCGCATAGATGGCGCAGGGCGGCTCGGGAGGGTGTTTGGTTAATGGGTTCTATCGCTATGTACAATTACACGGGAGCAGGGGCTAGCCGATTCTCTCGATGAGGTGGACGCCGGAGTCTGTTTCGACGACGTTGCTCATGTCGCCGACCTGGAGGGCGAAGCTGGCCTTTTCGAAGGAGGGCTGCATCTCGCCCTTGCCGAAGAAGCCGAGGTCGCCGCCCTTGACGTGGGAGCTGCAGTCGGAGTTGTCGACGGCGAGCTGGTCCAAGGTGGCGTCGCCCCGCTCGATCTCGTCCTTGTAGCTCTTCAACTTCTCGACGGCGGACTCCTTGGTGCGGGTGATGGTGTCCTCCTTCCAGGAGGAGGGCTTTCTCGAGTCCCTGTGCTTGATGAGCAAGTGTCTGACGCGGACCTTGGCTGGCCGGTGCAGCGCCCGGCCGAGGTACTGCTCGAGCTTCGCCGTGTCTGTACCGGGGGGCGCGTCCCACTGCGACTGCTCGGTCTCCTTGTTGAAGAAGTACTCCTGGTCGTGCGTCCGGGAGAGCCTTATGGTCCACTCGTCGGGGAGGCCTGTGTGCGGGTTTGTCTGCGGCGGGTTAGTATCCGAGGCGGGCGGGGCGGGGAGGGCGTGCTGTGCTCTACGTACCATCTTCTGTGTGCTGGCTGCGATGCGCTGTGCTGCTGGAGCCTGCTGTGTCGACGTGCCAGCACGTAGGCGTGGTATAATACGTGCTGGCACCGCAAGATAGCCCTGCGGCCCTGCGGAGGCGTTGCCTTGCGCTCGCCCCCGTGCTGCTGGCCGGGGCGAGAAAGCGTTCGCGCGCAGAAGGCGGCTCGTGGCGACATGAAAACGCTGGCTCCCGCTGCAACAGCTCCTGCCCCCGCCCCCGCTTCGCCACCGCCGCCGTCGCCACCACCATCACCGCCATCGCCACCACCAGCATGGGCGTCCGCGACGCCGAGAACAAGTACCAGGAGAAGCAGCGCCGCCGCCGCGGCTTGCAGAAGACCCGCTTCTACTGCCAGGTGTGCGCCCGCCAATGTCTCGACGAGAACGGCTTCAGCTGCCACGTCAAGTCGGACGTGCACATGCGCAACCTCCGCAAACAGCTCGCCGGCAACGAGCCCGGCGGCGGCGGCGCCACCGCCGCCGCCGCCCTCATCGCCCGCTACTCGGACCAGTTTGCCGCCGCCTTCCTCGCCCTGCTCCGGCGCACCCACGGCGACAAGCCCGTCGCCCTCAACCGCTTCTACCAGGAGTACATCCGCGACCGCGACCACGTCCACCTCAACTCCACCCGCTGGCGCAGCGTCACCGCCGCCGCCCGCCACCTCCATGCCGCGGGCCGCTGCCGGCTCATCGCCCTCGACCCCGCAGCCGACCACACCGACCCGCCCGCGGGCCCGCCCGCCGCCGACAAGTTTCTCATCGCCAGCGTCCCCGCGAAGCGGCCCCCGGCGGCGCCGGCCCACGACGACACCCCCGTGGACGTGCCCCTCGCCTTCTTTGGCGACGACGACGACGACCAAGACGCCCCCCGCGCCGACAACGACGCCCGCACGAGCCGCCTCGACGCCCTGGTCAGCGCCGCCCAGCAGCGAGCTGCTGCAGCGCCCGTGCCCTGGCTCGCCGCCCCCCTGCCGCCGCTGCCGCCGCCGCCGCCGCCGCCCCGCTCGCAGGCAGAAAAAAGCTCGCGTTCTCCCTCAACAAACGGAAACGAAGCTCAAACCCCCCCCGGCCCCCTGGCTAGCTCCCCCTGTGTATCCCCCCGCCAACCGTCTGCCCCCCGAACAAGGCGCCGCGAGCGTGTCTGCCGCGCGCCGTATTGACATTTGCCCGCTTTCGGCCCGTCAGAGCGCCGTCGCGGCGCGTCGCGCCCGTTTTGTGTCTGGTGGGCGCCCGTTGCGGAGACGTGATGGGGCCCTAGGCGAGTGCAGTGTTTACATATATGTGGGCAGACACGGTGGCAGCGTGTCGCAATTAGACTGTTTTCGTATGTGTAATTGGGATCCGGTGCTGCGAGGGCCAGGAGGTAAACAGCGCAGACGTCGAGGCCGGGGAGACAGGTAAACACAGGCAGACACATAAAACAGGAGGTGTCTCCGGTGTGGTGAGCAGAGGTCGTCTGCACGTCTGCGGTGGGGGTGTGTGGGTGTGGTGTTGGAGTGTCGTTCTGCAACCGTGCCTCCGATGTCGACCGCCGCCAGCGTCACCGAAACGCCTCTCAAACACACCGCACAGGGCGCCGTGTCCCTCCCTCCGCTCTCGTCTATCCTGCTGTCGCCAGCAGAGTCCTCGCTGCGCAACTCGCTGATCCACGAGTCCACGCCGCAGAGACACAAGGTCCCGCTGCTGCCGGCCAGAGCCAAGCCCAACATCTTCAACACGGGCGGCGCCAAGCCCCCACACAGCAGCAGGGCGTTCTCGCTGCCGTCGATCGAGTCCCTGACCGCCAGCCCTACGCTCAAGAAGTCCCTCTCGTGCTCCGCCTCGCTGCCCCTGCCCACCCCGTACCACGACTCCTTCTACAACAAGTCGTTTGTGCCGGCCACGCCGCTCACACACAAGCTGCCGCTCGCACCCATCCTCAACCAGTCCACCCCGCTGCATCTCTCCCGCAGCCGGACAAACACAAGCATCTTCCCCGTCCTCTCCAAACAGAGAAACGCCAATGTCTCGCTCACCTCCGACAACAACGAGTCCAGCTTCTGCGCCTCCACCCCGTTCAAGTCGACGCTCAACACCTCCTCCCTCTCCTCCGGCAGTGAGAACATCTTCTCCTCGAAAAACATCATCAACAGCAGCACGCTCAAGTCGGACCTTTCCATCAAGCTCCAAGACAAGACCCCCGGCTCTGTTTCCAAGAAGAGAAAGGCCTCCCTCGACGAAAGCAAGAGCTTCGCCTTCATCTCCCACTCCCAGGAAACTTTCCTTTCCAACGAGCCGAATATCGACAACGCCAGACTCGCACGGAGAAAGAGAAGAAGAACCTCACCAACGGAGTTGGCCATCCTGAAAGAGGAATTCAAGAAGGGCACCACTCCCAACAAGCAGAGAAGAATCCTCATTGCGAAAAGAGTCGACATGACAGAGAAGGCTGTCCAGATCTGGTTCCAGAACAAAAGGCAAGCCATGCGGAAGATTCAGAATCAAAATAGCAAAGAGTTTGTTGTCGAGATCAACAGCAAGAAAAGCCCAGATACCTCCGACGATGAAGACATGAATGAAGACGAAGATGCCGAAAACGACAATGACAATGATAATGACAACAATAACGATAACGATAACGGCAACGACAACGACAACGATGAGCATGAAAACGAAGCGCTTCTGAGTGTATCCAACAAGTTGAAAACCTACACAGAAGCAGAATTGAAGATCGCCAGCGAAAGTGGCATTTACAGTGATGATTCCAGTGTCGACTCAAAGCAGTTGAACTTGCTTGAAGAAAACAAGGAGAATATCGACCCAGACGTCAAATCTCCAAGCAAGGTTGGCTCCGTAATGTCGCTTCCACCCAGGGGGATCTTCTCTTCTCCTCTTTCTTCTACAAAGTCTGGTAAAAAGATGGTACTCACAGACATAACCAACCAACAAGCCGGCCAGACTTTCAAGTTCAAATCCACAAATTTCGGATTGATCTCCCACAATGCAATTACCTCAAGAAGACAAAAGCCTACAATGAAGTTAAAACTTAAGTCGGGATTTGCCAACTCCAGCAAGCCCAACGAATTTAAACATCAAGGCTTGGTGATCTTAAAGGATGCCACCAATCATTCTAATACCAAATCCGAAATCAAATTAAAAGTTCACGCTGCACCACAACTGAAGTCGGAGAACTAACTCATTTCATGCATTATTCGTTATTTTTTGTTTTTCGTACCTTTACATTTACATTTACATTTTTCAGCATTTTATACTACACTGCAGGATATTCATATTTTTGTTTGGTATATTGACAGTACACAGGGCCCAGATTTTTATAAAAAAACTATTTAACATTTTAATTGTATACTAGGAAACACTTTACTCATTTATCTAACCACTTCCGCTCAGAATCGCATGGAGGAGTTCCCATACATTTGCAATGAGGAATGCTCAAGGAAAGTAGAAAAAGACAAATCATTTGTTAGTTTATTATATTTGTATTTTAATAATTATAACTATAATACTATATTATAAAGGGGATGGGAGGGGCGAGTTTTCAGAAAACAAACCTTGACTAGAGCAGCACTATTAGATGGATTTACCCTTTCTACCAGTGGTCTTGGTGTGTTGACCTCTAACTCTTAAGTGCCAAGAGTGTCTTAAACCTCTGTGAGCTCTCATCTTCTTTAATCTTTCCAAGTCATCTCTCAACTTGGATTCCAAGTTGTTGGCTAAGACGTGGTGGTCCTTACCGTCGACAACATCCTTTTGTCTGTTCAAGAACCATGCTGGGATCTTATATTGGGTTGGGTTTTGCATGATGGTGACAATTCTTTCCAATTCTTCTTGGGTCAACTCACCAGCTCTCTTAGAAAGATCAACATCAGCCTTCTTACAGACCAAGTTGGCGTATCTTCTACCGACACCTCTAATGGTGGTCAAGGCGTACATAACCTTGATTCTACCATCGACGTTGGTGTTTAACAAACTGTAATAAAAAATGACAATAAGGGAGGTGGAATGTTAGTATATTTGCATTTGTTGTCGTTGTAGGGGTGAACATAATACAAGCAGGAGCATAGGTGATGGCGTGGGGATGTGTATGATAAGTGATTGTAGTGATTGTCGACTCTCTGGCTTCTGGAGAGTATCTCCGTCTGGAAAATCCGTCACTTATTTCATCGATACATGAAATTTCATTCTTTCATAATTTCTCAATAAACGACTCTATTTCACTGCACTTGACAACACCCTTCTTCTCTATGGCCCAGACGTGTGTCTGTTTCTCTATTTCATTCGCCCATATTCATTCGTTGGTTTCAAACTGAAAATCTTCAAGGGGAGGATGTACATACCGCAAGATGTGTTGGAATGAACCTGATTCGTGGACAACTAAACCCATTTTGTTGTTTATTGATGTTTGTTAATAGAATCCTATCAAAAAGCCAGACTTAATCCGAACCTCAAACTGTCTGTGTATCGTGTATCTTCAACAGGTTTGAAAAAACTTCGACACTATGCCCTATTCACTCCCTACAATCGTCGCACCAGGCGTGGAGTGAGAGAGAGCGGGACTACGGTAGGTATGCTGCTGTTTTTCCTCCTCCGTTCCTTTGGTAATTCGCGAGCAAGGCCTGAGTTTCCCAAAACGGCAGTTGTTGGGACTGAAAATAGTGAGGAAAAAGGCCGCGATAGTGCGGTGCGCGGGTGTGGTTGTGTAAGCGGCCAAAGGCAACAACATTAAAACCCTTGATCCAAGCACGTGCGTAGATATTGAGGGTTCATATTTCTTAGGCTCAATACATCTTTGTGATCTACGAGATGATCGATGTCGAAAACAATGGATTTATTCGTATAATGGTTTATCTACATGAGTTGGAAAGTGTATACAAGCTCTCGTGGAAGGAGGACTGGCTAATTCTCGGAGCACCCCAGCAATCAGGCGTCAAAGTCCACGAATTTCGTGTACTTGGCAGCAAAGTAATCGAAGGCGGCCTTCTCGACGTAGATTTTATGAGCCTTCAAGAGGTCTCTCACTTCAACCTCCTCCTTCTGCAACACCCGGAGCTTGTTGCTTGGGTATCTGAGGACGGCCTCTCTCAAGTTCGAGACCTTGAAGTAGTCGTCGGCAATGAAAAGCACGTTGAGCTTGTCGAGCTCGTGCGATTTCACGAACTTGGAGATGGCGACCGACTCTGTTGTCGGGATCTCCAAGTCGTAGGAGTCGCCAGCCTTGACCGTGTCCTTGGTGGAGAGCTTTTCCTCGTATTTGCCGACAAAGGCCTCGTCCTGGCCGATGACAAAGAGCTTGCCTTTTCTGTATGCGTCACTGAGGGCGACTCTGTATGCGAGGTGGTAGGTTTTGCTGGGCAAGTCGGAGGACATGTCGTTTGGGGCGGTTCTGGCCATCGCGTAGGCACCTCTGTCTCTGATCGGGGAGTTGGCGTCACCCACTCTGGCTCTACCGGTACCTTTCTGCTTGAACAACTTCTTTCTGGAGAACTTGTGTTCGGATCTGCCGGGCGGGTTGGACGCCCCGACTCTTCTGTTGTCGAGCTCCATCACGACCGCCAACCAGAGGATGTCTCTTCTGAGCGGCGCGTTGATCAGCCTGTTGTGCACGGGGAAGATGGAGTGTGGTTCCAGCGAGGGGAAGGATCTGAGCGTGGCAATGCTGAACTCCGACGGCTTGGCTGCGTTCGGCAACACCTCCGTGCTGGCCGTGCTGCTGCTGGCACCTGCCGTGGCCGTCGCCGTGGTGGCTGTGGCCGTCGCAGTGGCCGTGGCAAGATTCCTGCTGAGCAGCAGAGCGGAAGACTTGCCTATGCTGGAGCGTACTATCCCTAACATCCTTGGTCGTCGTGCTGGATCCTGTGCTCTACCCAGAACCAAACACAGCTCTCCGCCTCTTGTGCTAGGTGTGGCCATTCTCTACAACATCTTTTTTTTCCAATTCATGTCCACGCTCTGACGAAACTGCCTTTTTCCTCTCGCGGGAAGGTGGGGTGGAAACGGAATTTGCCCATCGACGCGTCGATGCCTGCTCCCGGGCCCCGCCGCCCGGGACTACCCCGTCTTGCCTCTACGTGTCTCTACACTGCTACACTGCCACACTGGCCCTCCGGATAAGCCGGTGAGGGGGGACTCGCTACGGCCCCTGCTTGGCAGCGACGTGGGCCACCATGCAGGACAGACTGCAATATAGGGTCCCTGCCGGCCCAACACGGGTAGACCCGTACACGTGCCCCCGGCAGGCACTACGCGGCCGTCCCAGAAAGGAAAACGAGGAAGCAAAATGTTCCTTGACCCCGCTGGGCATTGATAAGACCACAATAGGCGCCAGCACGGGCAGTCGGGGCGTGCTGTGGCCAGCCAGAACAACAATAATGGCTCGGATGCTAGCGTCGATGAGCAGCAGCAGCAGCAGCAGTAGCGGGAAGAGGGCGGGGACGCCCCATCTGCGCCAAATGCTCCACAGGCGGGGGCACCCGAGGGGACTAATTGCAGCTGGCAGGGCCTTTATCGGCGACTCGAGGGCGCCAGGGCGTTTCCAGGGCACCCGGTTATCGCAGTAGGAGTGTGTAGGAGTGTGTAGGCAGCGGCGTAGCAGGGGTGAGCAGGCGCCGGCCTGGCAGTAGCGGGTGTTGGTATTTATAGGCTCTCTTCTCTCCACGCGCAACGCAGCGGTGGCGACAAGGAGCAGAGGACGGGCTGGGCCGAGTCCGTTTTCATCCACGGGTGCCCGATCTGTTTGTCGGTTTGTCTGTCCGCACGCCTCGCAGCCCCCTATCTGCCACCGTACCGTGTCCAGCTACACATACCCATCCCGTGCACTCCCTTCCGCCGCCTCCGCCACAAGCACAGGAAGCGAGATCTGTGTGAAGAGCCCAGCCAAGCCAAGCCAGAAAGCGAGGAAACAGGAGCAGCGACAGAGAGAAGCAGCAGAGAGCCGAAAGAACGAACAAACGATCGAACAGACGATCGAACGACATAGGAAGGCCAGCGAAGCAGGGAACACAGAGCCCCCACCGGTCGTAGACTACCATCTACTCACCCCATATCCCCCACAGGCGTCTGACAGTTTCATGAGTCGGGCTGACGTTCTTTTTACCTGCCTTTGATGTCCAAAAACTTAATTTCCAGCACCCCAAGTCCCGGAACCTGCAAAAATGTTGCACAATAACAACGGCACTGCCAATAGCACAGGCACCGGCGCTGTCTCCGGCACCGGCAACCCTCTCCAACGCCACGAGAGCCGAAAGTCCCAGTCCAGGCGAAGCTCGTACACGCAGCAGGCCAGAGCCAGCAAAAGACGAAAATCGTCCATCCAAATGTCAGAGCCCTCGGACAACCAGAAATTTCTCCCCGCTGAGTACATCCACTGCGACAAGATGGAGTTGATCACCATTATCTCGAGAATGTTGTCCTCCATCGTGTCCATCAACGATTCGAGAACGTCTTTGGACGTCCATTACCTCAACAGTGCAAGCCTCACAAGATTCCACTCCCGGTCGCCTCCCCACATATCCATTTACAGCTACCTCGTCCGACTTTCTCACTACTCGTCCCTCGAAAACTGCGTCTTGATAGCGACGGTCTACTATATAGACCTCTTGACCATCAAATACCCGTCCTTTGCGCTCAACTCTTTGACCGTCCATCGTTTCCTGTTGACCGCCACCACTATCGCCTCAAAGGCGCTCTGCGACTTCTTCTGCTCCAATAATCATTACGCCAAAGTGGGCGGTGTCAACATCATAGAGTTGAACCTCTTGGAGGTTGAGTTTCTCAAGTGGGTCAACTACAGAGTCATTCCTCGAGACTTCAACTACGACTCCGTGTGCGAAAGGAAGAACTCGGCGGGCGCCGTCGAAGTAAACCAAGTTAACTCCCTCAAATTTGGCATTTCCACTGCTGAAGAAATCTTGAGTCTATACTACGAAAAAATGATAGGCTTGGTCGGCGGTGGCAACTTGGATGCCAACGGAGCCGACAAAAGCATAATACAAGTAGGTCACAACGACGATCAGATTTATCGCCTCGAGGTACCGGACGATCTGGCGTCCCTCATGTCTTCTTCCTCCTCCTCTTCTTCTTCACTGTCGAGCAACGAGACTGAAGATGATGAAGGTAGTTCAGCATATAAAGGCGGAGAGCCTCTCAACACCCATCCCGAGGCAGGGAAAGCCTCACATAAAAGCGAGAAAGCTCCTGCCACCACCAAACCCGTCGTTGGGAGCAATGGCTCTAGGAAGAACAGTCTCAACATCCTGATCTCTCCATCAGCCGCTAGCACTCCTACTACTACGAATTCCGCTGCTATGGGGGCTAACAACCGTCTCTCTCGTCCAACTTTAAACACCACCGTCCCAAACGACCTTCAGGTGAACTCCCCGGTTGACACTTTACAGCTCAATTCTAGGATTCCAAGCACAGCTAATATCGTAACTGCACAAATGAAGAGCAATACTTCGCCGACTTTCTTGCAATCTCCGGGGATCTCAACGTACTCCCCCGTCTAGCTCAAGCTCAGGGCCGTCTGGACCTGTGTGCCTGGTAGACTGCACATAGTACTAGCCAACTTTTATACATGTCTTCGTCGTTATCTTTACTCACTTTATTGTTAATACTAAACCACATTGGTTCCATCTGACCCCACATAGTCTGGACCCCTTTTACCCCTTTTGTGTCGCTGTAGGCTATTTTCTCCTTCTCGGTTTTTATCTGCGGAGTAGCGTAGCGCCCTGTCTATCTGGGAAAGATCCTGTCCGGGGAAACTGGCCGCCCCCGAAACGGTGTTGGATAAATACCTGTGAAGGAATCTCATCTGAAGGCTCTTCTTACTCAACCATGCTCTGATTGCCACTGCTGACAATGAAAAGATTGAGAAATACAGGCTATTATCGATGACTTACACTACGCCAGATCAACTCATTGCCGAACTGACCACTAACGGATACAAACAGGTCTCGGAGTTGCTCAACACTAGCAACAAGAACTTGTTCATCGGGCCAAACAACCTCTTGGACGAAGACAAGATTGAGTCCGCCAGGATCTTCACAAAACCAATATACACAAAAGATCAGTTAGATTTGGTCTACCCACGTGATGAGCTCAATCCAAATACATGGGAGCATTTAACATGCGTTCAGATACTAGACCAACATACTGTTCTCCGTACTACAGAAAACACAAGATCTTCTTCTCCGATCTCTAACCACATGATTGGGGTGTTCAAACTCGGAAGGAACTTGACATCGCATATGCACATAGTTCACGGCGGAGCCATTGCTGCAATCATCGACGAGTATTTTGTAAAAGTGGTCTTTCCCCTCACTCCTGACTCCTTTGCGGTAACTGCGAACCTCAACATCAATTACATGCGTCCTGTCAAGTTCCAGGAGCACGAACGCACGATTGACGTCATTTTAGACTGCTTCGTGGTTGAAGCAACGAAGGGCCGTAAATTCACTGTAAAAGGAGCTTTGGAGGATTTGCAAGGGAGGAAATTTTGTGTAGGAGAGCTTCTTGTCGTTGTTCCAAAGGAGCAGCTTTGATTGCTTAGTAAAGGTGGGATCCCTGTCGGTTTTACACACACTATGCTGCACTACTTCTCCGAGAAGCCGATAGATATTTGTCTCCTTACTTTTCCTCAGATTTTTTTTTATTTTATTTTATTTTAATTTAATTATCTTTTTTAGATGCCTTCAAATTTGTAAAAGGAGTTCCTCGTAATTGTGAAACCTGGGGAGGTGACTTGAGTAACTATTGTTTCTTTCTATAGTTTCACCTCTCAAGAACAAATGAACAGGTTTAGAACAAGCCTCTACATCTGATTTTCTATAGCATGTTCCAAGGCCTACTTCGGCATACCAATTGTGCGATCTACAACAGGAGTTACCAGCCCTTAAGTCGAAAGTTTATATCAGCAGTAAGACTTCCCAGATACAATGCAAGCAGATTCAACAGCGTGAATCTAAAACGAAGCATAAGCTTTATGCGATATACTCACACCCAAAGGGGCACACTTTTCAGTGTATCTACAATCAGACCTTCATTACCAAGGCTAACAAGCCAGTTGGTAACATGTTCTCGGAAACACTTCTCGTTCAAACCAGGAAAAAGAATTGCACTATGGATGGAAAGTCTGGAGAGGTTGTGGTTGAAAATAAAGTGGGTTTTGATTCGTTCGAAAAGACCTTTTAACCTTGAAGACATCAGTGCATTTATATCGTGGTTACTGACGGGGAATATCGTGTTGTTTCTAATTGGAACAACTACATTTTTCTCATTGGTTTTGATGACAGTAAATAAGTTGACCGACAGGGATGTTGTTGCCGAATGGTTGGGAAAGTTGATAACCAAAAACACAAACCTAACGGTCTCTTTTGAAAATGCCATTGTGCCCGACTGGAACTACGGAACCATTCAGTTGAAGAATTGTGTTGTAAGTAGACGACCAAAAGTAGTCAAAGTTATTGAACGAGTCGAGAAAAGTATTGACGGGAAAATTTTGAGCTCCACCTTTGAAGAGGCTCTTGACGACGGAAACTACACGCAGTTTGATTTAACTATAGGCGAGATCAATGTCTCATTGAGCTTCTGGAGGTGGATTAGCGGGAAGGGGTTTATCGATACTGCATCATTCAAATGTATACGAGGGATAGTTGACCGGACCCATGTTGTGTGGAAAAAAAATGACGATCCTAGAAACTACAAGAATTTCTATAAACCTGGGGATTGGGAGATTGAAAACTTCAAGATTGAGGATGTTTTACTCACTATATATCACCCAAATGGGTTCAGACCATGCCAACTCTCCATTTACAACGCTGATTTGGACATTTTCAGGAAAAACTGGTTAATGTTGGACGTGATGACATGCAATCACTTGAGCGGATGCTATGACGGATCGTTGTTCACGGTGAACAAGATTTCCAACTTCGACACGTTCAAGGAGGAGAGTAAGATCGATACGTTGGTGAACAAAAAATTGGGCCGGAAGCAGTTTTCGGAAATACCGTTCAGCAGCAACAGTTTCCAAAAAATTACTAGGTTCAGAATCGATAACTTGAAAATCGAGCACTTGAACAAGGGGATGTCTGGTCCATTCGGATGGATCAATAACGGTACGGTTGATATAATTGCAGATATCATGGTCTTGGAGGAGAACATTTCCCTAAACGATATTTTGTTAGCAGAAGGTTTGAACCACTTCAGCAACCAGTTCTTGTACAACAAAAACCAAATGGAGAAGAAGACGAAAACCATTGATAGAGCCAGCGAAGACTTTGCAGAGAGCAGTCAAGTTCCTAAACACACTAATGAGAGTAGCGTCGTGAGCGGGGTAGGGAAGGAGCACCTGGGCATGAACAAGAACACGAACGAGGAGAAAATGATCAACTTGAACAACCTGTTCATTTGCGATTTCTACCTCCGACTGAAAAACCCAAAGGCGCAGGTCCCGCTCTTCACCAACGACCTTTCCTACATCAACAACGCTGCCATCCGCCCCATTGTCGGGTACATCAACAACAATAAGACGTTCATTCCTATCCGAGGACGTATCTACAAGGACCTCACGGACTTCGACGGCTCGTGGACGTTCTACGACTCTCTTTTCATGGACGACCTCTCCGAGGGCGTGTACAAGAGCTTCTACGAGTACGTTGCCGACGAGAAGCTCAGAAACGAGAGGTTGCGCAAAGTCGGCTTCTGGTCTTTGCAGTTCATGCTCCAGTTCATTCTCTGGAGCGTGACCACACTAAACGGATGACAGCGAACACCAACCCTGTCTGCCGCCCTGTTTATATTCTCCGTATCTGTGTAGTAAGATCTTGTAAATTACGCATGTACTTACAGCCTCCGCCGCAGTTTCAGCCTGCGTTGATCATTATACGGTGCTCTAACAGGCTTTACGCTTGCTTGAGACGGAAGGGGAGGGAACCCGTCGCAACCTATTGTCTGTAGCCGACGTCCACTAGTGTTCTCGGCCCACACGCAAGCTTCTGTCCTAAATCCACTGCCCGCCGCCCCCTTCCAACGCCCCTAGCGTCCGCCGTGCATATGCGTTCCTGCTAAAGGGTTCTACAACAGCATGAATGTGGGCAGAGCGGGCTACCCCTCCCGACGCAGGTTCGCAAACAGTACCGCTGGGCTGCTTGTGTTGTCCAGACCGGCCCCGGTCAGAGCAGAAACCGAAGACAATAGGACGGAAAACCGACTGCGCCCGGCCTTCCTGCCGCGGCGGAAACCATCGAACCACTACAACCGGTCAGCCTGCTAGGGGGATCCTAAAACTGATCCTGAACGGCAGATCAAACGGTTTTCGAGGAAACAGCACGGCGTCCGAAGTGTGCAGCAGCAGTAGCAGTAGCAGTGGTTGCATCAGCAACGGGTCAAACAGCTGGGACAAATGCTGCAGCGGGACAACCCGGGCAGAAGCACCGAAACGGAAAGGTAAGAGCAGCGTTTGACTCCGGTCTTATGCCGTACCTGTGCAAGGACCGGGCCATCGGCAGCAGTGCAACTCTGAATATGTTGCGGCGGCTGTTCCTACAGAAACTGCTCCGTGTCCTCAGGATCTTCTGTCCTGCCATTCTGGATCTCTCTGTGCGTGCCGCAGCAGCATCGGCGTCGGCGAGATCCAGCAGATTGTGTATCTCGTATATTATGCATCACATCGTTACCCTATTGGCACGCACAGGCACGCAAGGGGGGTCTGTGGCTTGGGAACTGCCTGCCTGCCTGCCCTCGTAAGATACCTGAAGGCGTAAAAAAAAGGGGGGTACCTGGAAAGTGGCTGTTACGCCTAGCTTTTTTCAAAGACCAGACCACTCTCGTCAAGCCTGTGTGACGCCTGTTCTTCTGCACTACCGGGATACTGCTGTGTGGAAAAAATTTTGCTCCTATCTACAACAACGGGATTACCAAAGATCGTCTAACGTTTTTCACGACACCTCCCGGCAGAAAGATATATATACAAATATTCGGCCTCATCCATGTCTGGATGCGGGGGAAGCAGCGGTAACCAAGCAGATTCCCATGACATGGGCAACACTGTCAACAATGCCGCCAATGATAGTAGTGAGAACAACCGTACCAGTGCTGCCGGCCTCAACAGGATGAACAGCAACACTCCGTTGTACGCTCCAAATCACACCCCCTCCTTCGTCTACGATATGGTGCCGACGCCGCAGGCACCGCAGGCACCGTTGTACCACGTCTACTCGATGGATGCTGGAAACGGGCCGTACCCGGCTGTTAACATGCGTCCCATGGCCCAGCCGATGCACGCGAACCCTGTTCCCAACCCTACCATTATTAATATTCCTTATCAGCACGATCTGGACAAGGCCCCGCAGCCAATATCGAGTATTTCCTCCACAAGTTCACTGAATGTGGCCCAGCCGCAAAACTATCTGAATGGTAACATTATGTCCTCATACCCGCAACCCCATAAAATACCTTCGATGAATCAGCAGATGCCTCAGAACCCACAGCACAGTAATATACTTCAGCATCAAAACGTGTCAGTCGAGAGCAATATCTCGCCTCATCCTCTGGGACAACAGATCACTTTCGGTAATTATCCGCAAGAAGCTGAGTATTATGTGACAGATATCAGGCAATTTCAGCAGCAGCAACAGCAGCAGCAACAGAGTCAACTCCCCCAACGACACCAGGGTCAACAAACAAATGTTATGCAGCAGTCCTACCCGGTACAGATAGACCCCTTGGCGCAAGTACCACAAATAGATTATTACCGTAGCCCCAGTGTCAACATCAACATAGTCCAAAAGAACTCTGTGGGAAAACCTTTTTCCATGATTGATGCAGGCACTAATCGTGGCGTCAAACTGGATTACTCAAAAGTAGACCGCTTGGCTTATGAGATATCACAAAACATGGTTGTTCCTCCTTTTAGCACCTTGAAGCCGAGCAAGTCTTCGATGAAAACACAAAAACCAAAAAGGTCAAAACGGAGATCCAAATTCACTCAGGAGCAGGATCTGATGATCATAAACATGAAAAAGGAAAATAAAACGTGGGTCAAGATAGCAGAATGCGCTAAAGTCGATAGTTACCTTGCAGCCCGTAACAGGTACCAGGTTCTTATTGGACAGCAGGGAGGCGGCACCGGTGAATGTGGTCCCGAAGACGTTCTCGTACTGAAAAATATTGTTGACGACGGGGAAGTTGAGAAGATGAAATATCTTAGTAAAGAATTCCGCAAGTGCACAGGTAAACAGTGTTCCTACAAGCAGGTCAGAGAGTTGATAAGGTACCTGTTCTGGAAAAACACTGGAAAGTTTGACGTCGGCGCCAGCTATCTACAGGAGTTGGAAAGGCTCCAAAAGCAGCGGCACGAAGAACTCGGCGGAGAAGGACGAGAAGAAGATGGCCTGCGTAGCAGTAGCGACGAAAGCAGCCTCGGAAAGGAGGTGAGTTTCAATAACAGCGAAAGAAATATCATCGAGACGAACACGAGTCCGGAGAGAAAGAGCCCCGAAAATTAGGGAAAAGCGGACAGCAATTTAAAGATAACGGCATAAGTAAAAATTGGATTGAGGTTCGCCATGATGACCACCTCAATAATATAGGTGTATAGTATACGACAAAAGCGCCACTGGAAAAGATCCTTTGCTCCAGCAATTAGAATGGACATGATATAGACTTGTAGAGCTGTAAACTGTAATTGGGTGCCGGCGGAATCAACAAATTCCTCCCAGACCGTCTTCCCCAGGTTTTTTGTCCAAACGGCTTTTCCAATGGGTGGTCCCAATGCGGTAAAAGAAAAATATTGGAGCCCCAGATAATTTGCCTGGGGCATCTGCTGACGAACGTGAGCTATGCTTGGCTCTGTGTGAAACACCAGGCAACAGGTGCCAGGTCCGAGACAGGTAACAAATGGGGAAGAGCTCCCAAACAAATTAGTTGTTTGGAGGCTGAATCGGGTAGGTCAACTGATAGACGACGTGTTCAGCCTAATCTCCTTTCCCGCCAGCGTTTTCCCTTATCCTTGTCCATTCATTTCCTCCGACTGCTTCGTCGTGACCCCGAGTACAAGAGAACGTGGAAGGTAAGAGGCAAAGCCGCCAAGAAATCAAATCGCAATGTCTAGATTTGCATATGTCACCTTATTGTTGAACGCAGACTATCTACCCGGTGCGCTTGCCCTAGCAGAGTCCATTGCCCAAACAGGCTCCAAGATTCCCTTCATACTACTATTATCAAAACTCAATGTATCAGTCCAAGTATACGATGCTCTACAGCAAAGTGGGTATTTTGAGCGTATAATCAATGTGGATGAGTATTTGCTAGAAACCAGAAACGCCTTCGAGTTGGGCAATCTTTTGAAAAGGTCGGATTTGTCCTTCACCTTGACGAAGCTCAACGTTTGGAGGCTAACTGATTATGATAGAGTGTTGTACTTAGACTCGGATATGCTAGTGACAGAAGACATCGAGCACTTGTTCTCCACTTGGGATAAGTTGGGTGTCAACGATATTATTGCATCTTCTGACTCGGGGTGGCCCGATATCTTCAACTCTGGTTTGTTTGTGATCAGACCAAATACAGAGGTATTCAACAAATTGTTGGATTTCTATCGCCATAATGACTCGTTTGATGGTGCCGACCAGGGTATCCTCAACGAGTACTTCAACCTGCAAGGTCATGTGACTATGGGAAATTGGTTACGTCTACCGTTCACTTATAATTGTACTTTGAACTCCAATTACGAATATTTGCCGGCGATGATAAGATTCAAAGATTCAATAAAGGTTTTCCATTTCATAGGATTGAACAAGCCTTGGAGAAATCACAATTTATGTTACGATACCAGATACGCCAAGATTTTCAATGGCAAGAATGACAATTTGTTCCAATTGTGGTGGAATATTTTTAACAATGTCAGTGTTTGCAGTTACACTCCTCTTGATATATTGCAGCTCTCGGGGAATTTACAGCCACGTAGATATGAGCAAATTCCATTGCCACCAGTTGAGGCAGCGAGTGAGGGTGAAGATAAGATCATCCACAAACACGACGAAATTGTCAATCCGTTCCTCTCTCCAGTTAAAAAATTAACAGATGAGCCTAAAGAGCAGCCTAAAGAGATGAAGTTCCCCACATTCTATTATAAAAAGCCTGTTGCAGATAAAATAGTCGATGAAAGTGTGAAAGGTGAGGCGTGGAGGATGGAAGAGGGGAAGATTGACTGGCCTCAAGTTTCTTCAACCAATGACAACATTATTGTTGATGTGTTGAATCCCGTGGATGAGTATATAAGAAAAAATCCGATTTTCCCATGGGAAACACGTGGAGGTTCTGGCACAATCTCGAGGACTTTCGACAATGCGTTAAAGTACGAGCCGCCGGCATATTCCATCTCCATAATGAACGATTCCGAAGACGATTCTTACAATGATGACGACGACAACGGCGACAACAACAACCATGATGATACTGACAGACGAGGCAGCGAAGAGGACAGGCAGAGCAACCATCTGGTTGGTTTTCAGGATGGTGCTCGCTTTCAGAGATACCTGCAAAGAGTTGAGTCTCTTGGTTCTAGTCCCCGCAAAGTCAATGCTGCAGAAGAAATTGCAGACTTGACAAATGAAATACAGAAAGGGATGGAATTGGAAGACAATTTTGATAAGGTTTTAGGTGAGGCTGAAGGAGAGCTATTGGTAGACGACAGGAAGGATGACCTTTCTGATGTTAATGCATTGAATCTGTCAACGGAGGACGCCAAGATTGAGGGACAACTTGAAAACTCCGATAAGGAAATGGTGGGACGCTAACAATTACTTTTTTAACTTTATGCAAACTTCGCTTTATAACCGGTTTTCAAGATAGCTTCAACTACGCTCGAAATTGCGAGATTATGGTGTTTGGGTGCAATTACTCACTCTGATCTATATATCGAACTAGAAAAGAAGAAAAAAAAGTAACTAAAAGTGCCACCGACTAACCTAACCTGATATTTGTAATCACTAGCAAACAATTTGAGAAAAAGCAAGTAGTCATAGAGGGGGAAAAAACAATCTACGTATAAAGAATCTATGAAAAGTCAAACTCCATCTGATCAGTGATTCTGTTGAACTTGCGGCATCTGTGAATTTCTGGCAGAGGCGTTTTCTCTCAAGAATGTCAATTGTCTGGTTCTGAAAGATTCGTAGTGGACCAGACTCGTGGTTTCGATCAAGTCGAACAAATGGGTTCTGGTCAAGAAATCTCTCAAGTAGACAAACTCGCATTGGGTAACGTCCTCGACGTTGATCATGCCCCACTTGGTTCTTCTGCCTCTAATGGTTTCACCATTCGGGGTGGTGATTATGTTTTCAGAACCAATAACTGCAAAGGGTAGCAGGGATCTGATGTCGTTGTTGAACTGGACCTCTTCCTCGGTCAGCTCGTCCTCGTAGTCGTTTTCGTACGGATACATTTTCAAGTTGTAGAACTTGAACTGTTCCTGTAGGAGTCTCTTGAATCTAGTCCTTTCATCCAATGTGAGGGTGTCGGCCTTGGCGATGATTGGGACCACGTTGGCGACCTCGGTCAATCTCTTCAACACCTGGATGTCCAACGCCTTCAAGCCATAGCCGTTAGGCTGGATGAAGTACAAGACACAATGGACTCTGGAGTCTTTTATGAACATCTCCCTCGATGCGTTCAATTCTCTTCTCAAGTACTGGTTTTGCTGGTCTTTGATGTACTTCAAAACGGCCTCCCACGACTTATCATTGTTCAGCTGGTCGCCAAACCCGGGGGTGTCAATGATGTTCAAGTTCAATCTCACGTTGTTCTCCAATAGCGAGTGCGTGGTCACCTTGATCTCGGTCGTCTTGTCGATGGGTTCGTTGATTGTGTCTCTACCGTTAGAGTCAACCATGTGCGAGCTGAAAAGGGTGTTGATCAACGTCGATTTCCCCAACCCAGAGTACCCGACCATCATGATGTTGAACGTGAATCCTCTCTTCACAAGCCTGTTCTCTATCTGCGTTGTGATGGTGTCAAAACCGACATAGTTGTTGGGGTGGGAGACAGGTGCCTCGTTCACCGTTCCAACTACTCCTGCTGGTGCAGCTTCTCCGTGTGTTTGTGACATCTTTGCTGCTGGTAAATGTGTCGTCTAATATGTGCAGTCCGGAAAGTGTATGCAAAGCAAGATCAGAAAAAACTCAGCTTTTCTTCTGTCCTCGTGGCCTCGTGTCACCCTGTCTCTCTCTCTGTCCTGTACCTCACGGGATCAAAAACAAGGGTCAAACGTAAACAGGCACGCATAGACCCCAGCCGGGGCCACGCGTCGGGCACCGGGGGCGCGGCCCGGGTCCGCGGCTGATGTGCCGGTGCAGAGCTGAGAGCGCCGAGTCGAATGGAAAAGGAAGGAGATGAAAGAAAGCACCATGAGGGAGGAGCAGCAGTAGAGTATCCAAGGGGGTCGGGAAACGACGAAGAGCAGCAGAAACCAAGCAGCAAAGAAAGAGAAGATGACATTTGTGCTGAAGGTCGCCGGCGTGTTTGGCTTGGGAGAATCGCTTCTCCCTAAGCTCGGGATTCCGTCTATAAGAATCGGCGTCTCTGTGCCCAACATTCTCCAGCCATCACTGGCGGAGCAGGAGCACCAGCACCACGGCACGAGTCTTGAAGAACGTCTGTGTGAACACAGCGAGAACGTGCGTGCATCCGAACACGGAGTGGAGATCGACGCAGGCATCCTCAAGGCTGCGCCAAAGAAGAAGGTGTCGCACATGAAGAGAAGACAGAGACTTTACGGGCCGGGCGAGAAGCACATCAAGCTCAAGGACAACTTGAACAGATGTCCTGCGTGCGGACACTACAAGAGATCGCATTTCCTATGCATGAACTGCGTGGGCCAGATAAGAAAGTACTGGAAGGAAAGAGACGCCCCAGCGCCAAGAGCACAGGAGGAGTTTGTGAACCCGCTGGATGAACAGGTGCTCTATCCGGGAAAGACCGAGAGGGAGCACGAGAAGAAGTTGAAGTCGAAGGACTGGCTTCTCAAGAGGCCTAAGACTCTCCCAGTCGAGTGATCGACAGAAGGAGGCCCCGTCCAGAGCCGCCCTCCACCGTGTATGTTCCTGTCCCTATCGCATTACTCCCTCTTTTATATACAGCCACCAAACATGTAAATACCATCCCTATATACTGCAGGAACGTTCTGCATCTTTGAGAATGAAGCTCCGTAGCCGTCACTCGATTTCCAGCTAAAATTTTCCAGGCTGTGCACTATCTGTCTCGATGGAGATAGATATCGAGGTTAAAAAATTTCAATCGGCCCACACCAATAGGTGGATGTTTTCCCTGTCTTGATGGCAGTTCAGTCTTCTTTCTCTCATCACCCAGAAGAAGGAGAATTGAAAAAGTCGACACGATTGATAGTGCTAAGGAGCCATGCCCACAAAGCTACACGATGCTGCAGCCCCTTCTCCGTTCTTTGGCGAGCCGTGCTTGAAGAAAAATAAAAGAATGTCAGAGTCGATTCTGGCACCTTCAAGACGCATCACCACTCTGCACCAGCACGTTCCTAAACACCCGCTCGGAGTCAAGCCATTGGGAAACCAGATTTTTGCAAGTTCTGGAGATTTGACGAAGATTAGAGATTCGGCTGGGAAGCTTTTTAATGCCCTCCCAGATGATATAGTTTTGTCGGTCTTCTCGCTTTTAAGCAAGGACGACTTGGCAAATGCATCTCGGGTCTCGAAGTTTTGGTACGCATATGCTACTTTCGACGAACTTTGGAGGAAGATGTACACCTCAGTGAGCTCAGAGACACGTCAGGAGTTGGGTATAGAGTTTCTTCAATGGAAAAGTACGTGGCGGTCCTCGATACTGAACTCAAAAGAAAAAAAACCATTGGTGGATTGTGGCGGGTTGGTCTACTCTGACACTCTTTTCACGCCATATTCAAACTCATGCATAGATTATAAGGAAATTTTTCGAGATCTTATTAGAGAACAAGAAAACCTGAGGGATATAGATGGTTATTGGGATGCCAACATGTTAGATAGTCCAAATAAGTTCCCTTATCGTGGAAGAATTGCACGTATAGAAGAAAGCACCTTCACATATGAAAACTTCGTCAACAACCACTGGACTGATCACCCTTTCATACTAGGCTCAAAACAAAATGATAGTAACAAGAGATGGCCGGAATGGACGACAAAATACCTACTAGAGCGATTTCCTGATGTCAAATTCAGACAGGAGTCGGTCCTCTGGGAGTTAGCCCTATATGAGTCTTATGCCCTGCAGAATCAAGATGAATCCCCACTTTACTTGTTTGATTGTCGGTCTGATGCCATGAAGGCGCTGTTGCCCACCGGATACTACGAGGATCCGCCTATTTTCGCAAAATACGACTTATTCAAAGTGTTTGAAGAATGTCGTCCTGACCATTCGTGGTTGATAGCTGGTCCAGCTAGGTCTGGATCCACGTTTCATAAAGATCCAAACTCAACAGATGCATGGAATGTTGTTCTAGAGGGTTCGAAGTTATGGATAATGTTGCCACCGGAAATGAAACCTCCAGGAGTTTTTGTTTCTGATGACGAAAGTGAGGTGATGTCTCCTGAAGGATTGGCCGAATGGGTGAAAAGTGGGTTTTGGAACGATAGTATACAGTTGAGTGATGAAGCAAATTTAGATACCAGTGACAAGTACGGGTCCGGAGGATTTCGAACGTGCGTGGTTGGAATCACCTTCAAGAATGAATGCATGTACGTTCCATCAGGGTGGTGGCACTCAGTCATAAATCTCGAGGATTCGGTGGCGTTCACAGCTAACTTTGTTCCACCGTGTAAGATTGGACAGGTACTGGATTTTATGAAAAATAAGCCTGCCCAGGTAAGTGGATTCAGGCATGATTTGTTTCAAAAGAAACTAAGAAGTTTCATGGAAGCACAGGAGATTGATGATAGTGAAAACAAGACGACTTTGGAAAAATACCTTTCTATGGAAGAACTGAGAAACATAGATGAGGATGTTGGAGAACTGAAAGGTACCGGTTGCATGCCTGTCTACGAAGCGTTTGTCGAGCTTTTGCTTGCCAAGGGCATGGACGATATTGTTGCCAAAGGGTTGAGGGATTTGAAGACAGCGGACAGCAAGCAGGAAAGGTCCCGGGTGTGGAAGAGCTTGACCAAGGATGCCAAGTCTGACGAGAAGGGGGGGTTTAGCTTTGGTTTTGACTTTGACGATGAGTAGCGGGGATGATACGGTAGAATGCGGAAGTACATTTAGTTTATAGAGCATGTATTTATACAGGTAAAATTTTTCCCCTCTATTGTTTCAAATTTCTGAATCACGGGAAACTAAGAAAGAGCTTACAGTTTCGTAAACACCCAAGAAGATTGCACCGCCGGCGCTTATCCACATGGTTCTCGGGCCTATGCCACTGAAAAACACAGAGTAGCCTTCCTCCCTGACAAGGTTTTTCGCCAAAGTCACCACGCTGATTCTCTCCTTGCTCAACATCAGCCGGGTCTTCAAGACGTCCAACGGAGTGGTCATTGCAGCAGCAAACCCACCGGCAATGGAGCCGCAAAGAGCACCTTTCAGTGGCGAGACCTTCTCGACCTTCTCGTACGACGCCCAAAGCTGCTTCATGTGCTCGTATAGCGGGAATTGAATGATAGTGAAGGGGATCTCACGCATGATGGTCGTCGACCATCCACGGTAGAGGCCTTTCCACACACCTTCGCCCGATTTGTTGGAAAGAATGTATTTGAAGGACTCGAGCGACGTCTTGAACTGCAACGATTGTGTCCGCTGCTTGATGACTTCGGCCGGCACACGCACCATGCATGCTGCCACCTCACCCATCGACGCAGCGAGCATGTGGGACAGATGCGTCGTCGTTGATACCGATAACGAGGGGAACAGTGTCGGCAACGTTGACTTGAACTGTCTCTTGAACGTGTCGTACGTCATGAAGAACAAGGATGCGGACGGCGCAGAAGCCACGACAGCGCTTCCTAGCCCTTTGTACAGCCCCCGGAACCCTCCGTTGTGGAAAAACCCACCTTTTGCCTGCAGCCGTGTTTTCAGCGTGTCGATGGGGAAGAACGCCAAGTCGGTGGCCGTACCTGCAGCCCCGCCACTGATCAAGGAGACGACGAAGGCATTGGTAGTGTCCATGATGTAGTGAGTGGTCGCTGGGTGGGTGAATGGGGTCGCTGGGGGTGGTCGCTGCGGATGACCACTTCAGGGAAAACTGCCATCCGGTATGCCTATCCTGTGATGGCCGGAATCATATTCATGTCGAAAACGGTTTCCTCTATCCGTCATGACTCCCTCCGGTGCACACCGCGACTCCTTCTGCTGTCGTGTCACGACTGCTATTTCTGTTGCACACCGGTATCGCCGGTACCGCCGGCGGCCTTCGTTTCTATCTCCGGGACGGGGAACTGCCCGGATGCGGAAAAGTGTGGCCGAAGCCGGGCCGTCTGTGACTAAAAAATACTGGGAAAAACGGGAGGGCGAACAATCCGGGAGGCAGAGAGGGAGAGCCTGGGGAGTGTGGGAGGATCGGTGAGTCGTGCTGGAGCTGGAGCTCGGGTTCGACCTGGAGCAGGGGTAGCTGCAATTGGGGAAGAGGGTCTGGGAAAGGATGTATAGGAATTTGAAGAGTAGATTAACTGCAGCACAGTGGCAGAGTTGTTTGCATCAGCCCCCAATCGCTCCTCACTGAAAATAAGATTGCAAAAGAGCAGGTCAGCAACGATACCGATTACAAATTGAAAAGTTTCGTTTCTTTTTCCCTAATCACCGACTTTATATTGACAAGACTGTTTGTAGGCAAATCCGACAAAAGCTTCAACAGACACCAGATCTTTTTATTCAGTTATCACACTAAGGTGGCATAGCATACAACATATTCCCCAGATTCATATATTAAGCACATATTCACAATGCAGGCATTAGCTCAGTTCAGACAACGACTGAACGTTGTAAGGTTTTTGAAGCAGAGCCCACGTTATCTTTCCACAGCAGTGAACGACGTGGTAGCTCCTCCAGCCGGTTCCGCTGTCTCGTTGAAAAACTCAAAGAGGGACAGCACCCAGTACGGGTCCCGTCCTATCTACTTGGACATGCAGGCCACCACGCCTGTAGACCCAAGAGTGCTCGACAAGATGTTGGAGTTCTACACCGGGTTCTATGGTAACCCGCACTCGGCAACGCATGCGTACGGTTGGGAGACCGAGACCGAGGTCGAGAAGGCCAGGTCGTACGTCGCCGAGGTGATTGGCGCAGACCCAAAGGAAATCATCTTCACGTCGGGTGCCACCGAATCAAATAATGCGGCCTTGAAGGGTGTCGCCAGATTTTACTCGAAAACCAAAAAGCACATCATCACGACCCAGACAGAACACAAGTGTGTGCTTGATACTTGCAGGCATTTGCAGGACGAAGGTTTCGACATCACGTATTTGAAAGTCGGCCAAGACGGGTTGATCGACTTGGAGGAACTCGAAAAGTCGATCCGCAAAGACACTGCTATTGTCTCCATCATGGGCGTCAACAACGAGATCGGTGTCATTCAGCCATTGGAAGATATCGGGCGTATTTGCCGCAAACACAAGGTGTTTTTCCACTCCGACTGTGCACAAGCTTTTGGTAAGATTCCAATTGACGTCAATAAGATGAACATCGACTTGATGTCCATATCATCCCACAAGGTGTATGGTCCAATGGGTATCGGTGCACTTTTTGTCCGTAGAAGACCAAGAGTCAGATTGGATCCTATCATCAATGGTGGTGGACAAGAGCGTGGTCTTAGATCGGGTACTTTAGCTCCACCTTTGGTCGCCGGTTTCGGTGAAGCTTCTCGTTTGATGGTCAAAGAGTTTGAAAACGATCATGCACACATCACCAAATTGTCCAACAAGTTGATCAAGAACTTGCTGGCCCTTGAGCACACCCAATTGAACGGCTCGCCAATTCACAGATATTGCGGATGCGTGAATGTGTCATTTGCTTATGTTGAAGGTGAATCATTATTGATGGCATTAAAGGATATTGCATTGAGTAGTGGGTCGGCTTGTACGTCTGCATCTTTGGAACCCTCTTATGTTTTGCATGCCTTAGGTGCCGATGACGCATTGGCTCATTCCAGTATAAGATTCGGTATCGGTAGGTTCACCACTGAAGACGAGATTGATTACGTCTCGCAAGCAATGAAGGAAAGAGTTGGATTCTTAAGAGAAATGAGTCCGTTGTGGGAGATGGTCAAGGACGGTATAGACTTGAACAGCATTGAGTGGGCTGGTCATTAGTTTTGGAAGTTGCCGTACGGGGCAAAGAGAATCACGATAATGATTATTATGACGACGATGATGATGATGATTAAAGGATGAAATGATGAAAGAGAAGCATTCGAGAATATATATTGTGTATGAACGTCTGTATTTTTTCCTTGTTACAGATGGGTGTATCTCTGGTTGTTTATTTTTTATTTGATTGTTAAAACGAAACTACGATGTTTATCTATATTGTGGTTACTGAAATAGTGGTCAAAAGTATATTGAGTTAGCTGGGTGTAAATAAAAAAAATTAAAGATCGAAAGTGGATGAAGGATAAAAGACAAAACTTCAATAGATAAGAAACGACAAGTAGAACTGTAAATGGTATTTTCAATAAATAAACATTTAAATAAAATTTGAACGATAATAAATGGTCGGGCTCGCCATGAAAGGGTGCTTTCGAAAGAGTCGCCGTTAACGAATTGAATATGATGAAAAAGAATAAAATGAGAAAGAAAAGGAAAAAAAGTACAATATTGAAAGAAAGAGAACGCAAATGAGAAAAAAAAAGTAAAACAGAAAAACAAGTAAAGGAATGTAAAGATGCATGAAGAAATTATGAGAAGGAATGTAATGCAGCTTCATAATACTCATATGTGAGAACAAAAATGCAAATGATATGAGTTAAGATGTTAAAGAATGGCCAACAGCCAAACAATGCAAAGAATGACATGTAGTTAGGTATCAACAGTATTAGTAGTATTAAAATTATGGTAAGAATGGTTATTGTCGTTCAGTTATTATTATCAAATGAAACTCTTTCATTTTTTAACGTTATTCATCCTTTTGAGGATTTTTCATAGTAGTCAACATGATTTTCAGTGTTGTCGTTGTTATCATTCAATTTTGTTCAATCTGGATTGATGACTCTCAATCCTCTTTTATTCGAGTTATCACTTTCACTGCCTGCACTGCCTGCAGCGGCATCTGGTAAACTACTCTGACTAAACCGACGATTCCCATATCCTATGCTGAGTTCGTCGGCATTGTACATGTAAGCCGGAGTTCTACCAAAGCCACCAAGACCGGCAATGGCGGCATTTTTATCGCCGTTGTGTATCGACATACTGTCGTCATCTCTCACCGATTTCTCGTCATCGTTATATTTGTCATTCCGGACTCGTCCTGGTAAGCAAAATAAGCTGACGCCGCAGAACCATAGGAGTAGAAGACCCAATAGTGCAGTACCGCAAACAACGCCAACCACTATACCTGCAATTGCACCATGGCTAACGCCTCCTGAGGTACTTTTATTTTCGCTACTGAGATTTGAGTTCGTTGCCGATGGTGCAATGGTGGCTGTCATGACGGCAGTTGCGGTTTTGGTCTGCACAGAAACGGCTGTTACGCTGTGGACTATAGTGACTAGCATTTCACTCGAATTTTCGATTGAGGTGGAAACGTAGACGGAAGACATCGTTGATTCAGTAGTCATCAATGAGACTGGTTCGGTAGTTGAAGAGGATGATGAGGAGGAGGTTGTTAGGGGTGCTGTTGATGATGTCGATGACGGAGTTATGGAGAACGACGACGACGACGACGACGACGACGACGAAGTGGATGTGGATGTGGGAGTTGTTGAAGTCGATGACGTGGAAGAAGATGACGATGACGATGAGCTAGATGATGATGAGCTTGAGCTTGAGCTTGAACTTGGGCTTGAGCTCGAGGATGAGGACGAGGAGGTTGTGGATGACGATGTTGAAGTTGAAGATGATGATGACGATGATGTTGAAGATGATGATTCAGAGCTTGGAGTCATTGTATTATCGACGTAGACCAAGTAGTAGTTTTGTCCACCACAATTCTCTTGTGGATAACCGGAACATGGTGTCGAGCAGTGGCTGGAGTCTACCTCTTGGCTTTGATCAAGGCTTTCACCGCAGTAGCACTCATTACCGTTGGTGACAGCAATGACATAGTTGCCGGTGCATTGGCCCTCGCAGTACCCCGAGGACTGCCATTCGTACGAACCTTTTTCTGTTAGGCCCGAGATTGCAGAGCCTTGGAAACATCCTATTTTTTCGTAGCATGAGGATCTATTTATAGAACTCAGCAGGACAAGGAGAAACGGAAGCAGCATGAGCATGGTGTAGCTGGCGGAAAGAAGGATCTGTAATACGAGGGGTCTGTTGTAGTTGTGATGCTTGGAGGTCTAACCTATGTGTTGTTTGAAGGCCGGATGGAAAAGCAAAAGTGGGTGATTATGTAACGAACGAAGAATGTGTTCAAAGGGGGGATGGAAAGTGTGCAGGGAAAGGGAGCAGGTGGAAGGATTGTTAACAGCAGGACAAACGGATGTCTCTGGAAGAGCGATCGGGGAATTGACCGACAGATGTGACTCCGGCGACGAGCAGGTGTTACCCTCTTGCGGGAATGTGATGAGTAACGTTCGGATGTAGACCTTGGCTGTCTGGCGGGACTGCGCAGGGTTGAGATTTGTAGCACAGGCGCCGTAGGCGGACGAAGAGGGATGCCGGCAAGGAACAGAAACAAACAAGCAGCAAGTTAACGAGCCAAACGGACGGGTGGACGAGGTGGTGAGCTTGGAAAGTGCTTCTTGTTCACCTTAGTCCAATGAGAGTGAGAAAGAGGTCTGTTCTGCCTTCCGGAGAGAGAAACGCTTGCAAAGACGTTGAGGAGCGATCTGTGTGTCCAGGCAGGCTCGTTCAGCAGGTGCTGACGTGTGTCGGAGACAGCAGCGGCGGTGTTGGCCAGCAATGTCGACGTCTGGCCTCTGGAGCAGGCCGGCTGTCGATGGCTCCCAGGGGAGCACCGCTGTTGTTGCACCGTCCAGGCCGGCTCTGCGGTGCACTGCACCTGCTGAGGCTAGGCGAGGGAGAACGAAAAAAAATGCCAGGCCCAGCGAGAAAAAACAAAAAAGAGAAAAAGCGGGAAAATAGAACACACTGCCGGCACAGCCTGCCCCCGTCCAGGGGACAATAGCTCTGCCGGGGCCCTCGGGACGGCGGGCTGCTGTTGTTGACGCTGTGCTGGCTGTGCTACGCTATGCTACGCTGCTGCTTGACTCGTTTGCCGTCGGCGGGCGGGTCTGCCTACGTGTCTACGTCCTGGTGCTGTGTGCTGCGCATGCCCAGACTCACGGTCCGCCTCAGGGCCGCAACGCCGACGGGCACTTGGCTCTGTCAGAATAGACGACTCCCAAACCGGACTCTTAATTGCCTCGTGTGTGCTGTTCGCTTCGCCACCTGCAACCATCAGCAGCACCGCAAAACAACAACAACAACAACAACAACAACAACAACAACAACAACAAAACAAAACATCCCCATGCGGCGGGACTAAAACCGGGGCAGAAATGTTCGCTGCACCGCCCGGACCTCCTCCTTCTACGTCTTTCCACAGGAATGGAGTGTCCCGAAGGCGCGCCACGCCGGCGCGACGGCCCCGCGCCCCGCATGTCAACAGAACGGCGCAGGCGGTGCAACTGCGCCACCGCGATGCGGCGCGGTTTCCGGGACACCCGGGGCTCGGGCGGCTCGTGCGAAAGTGGGGCCCAACGTAAACAGAGCAGACGGCGGCGCGAACGGCGGCCGGTAACGAGCCCAGACTAGTCGGAAACGGGCGGTCTAGGGCTTTGGCGTTTTGGCGCTCTGGCGCTCTGGCGCTCTGGCGCTCTGGCATTTGAGACGTACGCTCGGTTCCCTATACACTGTTTTTCTGTACGGTTCTATACACGAGGAGCAGCGACGCGACGGCTCGGGGGCTCGGCGCAATCAGGCAAGAAGCTTCTTCACCTCACGGGCAATGGCGTCGCCGACCTCGGAGGTGCCGGCGTGGCCGCCGAGGTCGCCGGTCATGATGCCGGCGTCGAGAACGTTCTTCACAGCCTGCTCAAGCGCCTTCCCCTCGGGAACGAGGTCCAAGCTCAACTTCAGCATCATGGCGGCAGAGAGAACAGTGGCAACCGGGTTGGCCTTGTTGGCAGGCAAGTCGGGGGCAGAGCCGTGGCAGGGCTCGTAGAGACCAAAGGCCTTGTTGGTGTCCGGAAGCGAGGCCAAGGACGCAGAAGGGAGGAGGCCGAGCGAGCCCGGAATGACGCTCGCCTCGTCGGACAAGATGTCGCCAAACATGTTGGACGTGATGACCACGCCGTTCAAGGTGGTGGGCGACTTGACGAGGATCATCGCGGCGCTGTCCACCAACTGGTTCTGCACGGTGAGCTGCGGGAACTCCTCGCGGATGGTCTTCTCGACCGTCTTTCTCCACAAGCGGGAGCTGGCCAAGACGTTTGCCTTGTCCACCGACCAGATCGGAAGCGGAGGGTCGCTCTGCAGCGCCAAGAACGCCGCCATCCGCGTGATCCGCTGCACCTCCGGCACCGAGTACGCCTCCGTGTCCCACGCCTTCCCGCTGCCGTCGTCCTCCTCGCGCTCGCCAAAGTAGATCCCGCCAACAAGCTCCCTCACAATCAAGATGTCCGTGCCCTTGACAATCTCGCTTCTCAACGGCGACAACCCGAGGAGCTTGTCGCTCGCAAAGTGGCACGGTCTCAAGTTCGCATACAAGTTCAGCGCCTTCCGGATCTGCAACAACCCCTGCTCCGGTCTCACGCTCCCGGTGCCCCACTTAGGACCCCCGACAGCACCGAGAAGAACTGCATCCGCCTTCTTGGCCGCAGCCAACGCCTCCTCCGGTAGTGGCACGCCTGTCGCGTCAATCGCCGCCCCGCCAATCAAGTGCTTCTCGAACTTGAACTCCACCTCCGGTCTCACCTCGCTGATGGCCTTCAAGACCTTCACCGCCTCCGCAACAACCTCCGTACCGATGTGGTCCCCTGGTAGTAACACAATATTCTTTGTAGTGGACATATCTCTTGTTCTCTTCTGATCCTTTGTTCTCTGATGGAAATACTGCCCGTAATATCGAAGTTCTCTCAAACCCACCACAAAAGAAGTCACACTGCACCACACAAGAGAAACGCCTCAACCCCACAAAAGCCCAACTCATCTTCATCTCCATCCCTCTCGTTTTTTTTGACCCGCCGCAGCGTCAAAATCAACTCGAGTCGCCGGTACCGGAGAGTGTTGTGGAAAAGCAACCCGAAAATCTATCGCCGCCAATTCCGGAGGCGATCGGCGCGTTTTGCGGATTGTCAGACCCATCAGGGCTTCCGCCAAAGGCTTCCTGTTTCAACAGTGCTGCTACTTGCTACCGCTTTGATTAAAAATTCTGATAAAGATACACACTTACTTACATGCCTCTATAGATTCTGCAAAACTCAAACCTGTTCTTGGATAAACTTGTCAATGTCTACCTCGTTCAATGGCGCATTACGCTTCGAGGACGCCTGATAGCTTTTCGACTCCTCCTTCTTCTCCAATCTCTGGAGCTTGCTCAATGGACCCCATCCGGTGACAGGCTCCTTCAACGTGAACGGCTCTAAAAACTTCACACACTCCAAAAATGCGTCGCCAAGTTTATAGATCTCGAAAATGATATCTTCGGTACAAATAACCCCGGAATCACCAAGCTTCTCCTCGATTAAGTTGTTATCATTCAGCGCAATGATCCGGTAGTCGTGTCCTTCTACTGGCTTGGACTCGTTGAAGCCATTCTCGGTCTCCTTTTTCTCAACAGTCTTATCAGACTCCTCAGTGATGTCAACCTTCACTGTGGCACGCTTTTGGATAAGGTTTCTCACGGTGGCAAGACTAGGCGTACCAACAACAACATACGGATTGATCAAGTGTAATAATGGCTCAACTTTCTTGTTCAATCGCACAAAGGTACCCTGGTTCACCTTCTGCAAACGTAAAATCGTCAAAACCTTACGTGCTCTAGGTGGAATATCTCCCATGTGTGGATTGGAAATACGAACAACAAACAAAAGACGTTCTTCTTCATCCTTGTTCTTTGATTTCTCGGTCTGTTCGTCCTTGTAGTATGCTTTATCCCATTTAGTAACACGCTTGATTCTTTCCTTCTCCCTATCGGTAGCAAGTCTGCGGGCAACAATTGTTTCTGCACGAACAAATTTGTTGTTCGACTTCTTGGCGCTCTGTTGTTTCTGGCGTTCTTCAGCACGACGCTTAGCCTGTTGCTGCTTTTCTATACGTAAACGATCAGCATTCTTACGCTTCTTGAGTAAAATCTCAGGGTTGGAATCTAGCTTCTTCTCAGTAGTCGACATGGTGTGATCTGCCTTTGATATCTAGTTGACTGTTGTCGGAACCGATGCAGATAACTAGATAGATATGATTCTGTGTCAGAAGGAAAGGAGTATACTTCAATCTGAAAACCGTGAGACACAATCAAGATAAGTTGTGAAAACTTTCCAATAAAAAAATTTCTGAAATTTTGTAAAAAAAAATAATTCAAAAAAAAAGATTTGAAGAATTTGAAAGGTGTGAGAAAAAAATTTATAGATGGATGCTGGCTAATCGTCGCGCCGATTCCATCTCTGCTCAAACTTATCTGCTACTCTATTTTTGAATTATCAAAATCACTAAATCTTAGTAAACTCGTTCAACAGTACCTCTTTTATCTCTGTGCTCATTCTCAGTCGCTAAAACCTCAGAAATACACTTATCCCATTTCGTGGTAAATGCTCCCCGTCCAAATTTCTCTCTCGAAACGTAAATTGCGTTTTCACGCATCTTGTTCTTGTAAACGTCTGTCAAACCGCTTGCACTCAATAGCATGTCTGTTAAAGTAGGATATGTTTCAACATTTGCCTTGTTGTAGTCCGGATCAGTCTCATCCTTGAAAAAAAGTCCCGACCTTTCATCATCTTCCACCTTGAGATGTTTTTTTGATTCACCCTTTCCTAAAGCATGGCCATCAACCCTAGGAATGACAATATCCTCTAATGGGCCAGCGCTGGCGTGTACTAGAGGAATTGCACCATTGAGCATATATTCAACAACAGCAATCCCAAAATGTTCCTTCCACATACAATTTATCCCGAAATCAGAATTTTGAAGCCATTTCTCAACATTTGAAGTTGGTGCGTTCAATTCAAAAATGATTAATTCTGATGGAATTTCAAGTTCGCCAATCAAATCTTTTAATGATTTCACATATTCTTCATCTTTCCCTTGGCGTAAAGCACCAATAAACACCAATTTATGTGGCTCGCTGATTCCCTTTTCTTCATATTGTTGCAAGTATTCTTTATAGTGTTGAATTAGTAACTTGTGACGTTTTTCAGGTCTGAATTGGGCCAAGTAAACTATATTTTTCTCTCTCTTCTTTAACAAGAGTTCGGGGATAGAAACTTTGTCAAAATCGTAATCATCAAAACTAACACATGGAGGATATAGGATGTTTTCCTCGATCTCAGCATCATCTCCAGCCCAGCCTAACGCCGACATGACATTTTCAGCGGTCCAGGTAGAGTTGTACAGGGCAATATTAACCCAGATTATGTTAAGAGAGTAAAGCTGTAGTAGGACCCACCAATAACCATATTTTAATATCCCATAAATACCACCTATGTTTTTTGCGGCCTTCAACATATCTCTGCTCACCGTTGGATAATGAATATAAGAGATGATCGGAATATGCAAAAAGCCATAGACAAGCATATAAGTGAATGGGATACCGATTGTGTCAATGAAGACATCCGGAGTAACCTGTTGAAATCCAGACATTACTAAAAAGACACTTCCAATAGCCTGACCAATCATGCTCAAAACTGGGTATGAACTTCCGTTAATGAGCCAGCTGTATTTATCAGACAAATGGATAAATACAATTCTATCTCTCAAGTACTCTCTATCACTGCGGAGAAAGTCGATTCCAAAAGTTTCTTTGACGCCAAGTAGAATTGAGTAAATAGAAGTGTCTGTTGATGGAGTGAATGTATAAATAACAGCAACATTGTTATAGTCATTTTCTAGGGTAGAAATCACTGCTTCCCAAAGTACCTTCTCACCACCGCCAAGTGCATAACTGAAAAGGTGGAAAAATCCAAACAGTTTTCTCCGATTGGAATCATATACATCAATTGGTTTTATGTTCATGAGAAAATGATCTTTGTTTTCAGGTGCTCGATCAAGATTGGTGACACGAAGACGATAGTACTTCAAATCAGTATTATCCGTTGGTTGCTTTGTCTCGTTGTTTGTGGAATTGAGAGGTAGCGTTGAGTACAATTGTGGTTTTTTAGCACCCATTATCAACCTTCTACGATAAGAAGCTTTCTTTACACCGACCTTATTGGACGCCAACAAACCAGAGGATCTCTCAGTTGCTTCTTTAACCACATCACGAAAGTTTGTTGGAGGTAAAAGGAAAAAACGCTGGGCAAATGATCGTCCCGTTTGGTACAACATGTAACAAAAAATGGCAAATATAGAAAAAACCGTAAATAGTTTGCCCATAAGATAACTTGTTAAAGAATTTGAACTTGCATCCACCACCTGAGCAGGCGATTGATTGCTGAAGATTGCTTTCATCTTGTGCAGTGATGTTCAACGTTCAACACGACTTGCAATTCAGAACAATTGTGATTAGGTGAAATCGATGTAAGGGCCAAACGTTATCTCGAAGCTGCGTGTCCGAATTTTATACCGCCTTGAATTTAGCTGTGCAGAAGAGCGATTCCCGGTTTTTTTTCTCCTCACAAGTTAATCTCATCTTCGCAGATGGCCGAAATTGCTGATAAGTCAAGACAGTATTTGATCTATAAATGAGAAAACTTTTACTATTCATGTTAGAGAAAACGGCCTAGAAAAGCAGTTGTAACACCAATCTGCAAGTATATGGTTATAGAAGTATAAAAGTATGTTGGAAAAAAAATTGCTGTTTAGTTGAAATGCTCCCCGTTAACGAGTTTCGTCGACACTTAACTCACCTACCTTCTCACTCATTTCTTCAACGTCAGTTTTGAGTGGCTTCATGATATCAATCTTACCTGATCTCATGCTCGCAGTCCGTTGCCGAGTGTTTGCTTCGCTTGTACCGCTACCGCTCGCTTCTGAGTTCAAGCTGAGGGTGTGAATGGTTGGTGGTTGGTGTTGCTGTTGCTGGTACTGTTGTTGAACAGAAGACGTGAGACTGAAAGCACGTTGTTGCAATTCCCTTTGCTCTTCAAGGAGTTGACGTTGTTTTTGCTCAAGTAAAGCCTGTTGCTGTAAAAGTAATGCTTGCTGTTCAGCTAACGAGCCAGCTTGTTGTGTGGCCTGAGTCGGTGTTTGCTGCTGGCTTGGAAGGCCCAGCTTCTGTTGAATTAAGTTGAATTTCGATTGGTCATTCAAGTCTGGAGTAGTTGGCTGGATGGTGCTGTGTGTGAGAGAATTCAGCTGAGATATTTGGCCAAGAACATGATTCGATGTACTTTTCTTCTCTGGGGTGCCATCGATCTCGGACTTAATTGGAACAACGACAACTTCACTGTTATCCAACAGTCCAGCACTGAGAGATGATACACCTGTTGGTTCACGAGTGAGGCCTATGCTATGAGGGATAGGGGAGGCTCTGGTTGGCGTTCCGGTTCCGTTTGGACTATGGATATGCTTTGCATGAGAATAATCATTATCTGTAGTTGGATTTGTGATTGTCGAAGGAATTGGGCTGCCGTTAATGGTGGTAGTGTTGGTATCTGTTTCGGTATTGGTAGTTTGGGCAGTTGCGGAACTGACGCCACGCTTCCTGCCAGTCATGATACTAGTTGCTGTGGAATTCTCACCAGAGAGTGGTCCACCACCATTGCGACGGCCACGTTTCCTTTCAAGCGCAACTGAGGCACGAGAAACTGGACCCGACATTTGAGTCAAACGTTTAATGTCGTTGTACCATGCCATCATGAGATCATAACTTTCGACTCTGAAGACCCAATTGTGTCCCTTGTGAAGGAGGCCTGCAGTTTGGCCATGCTTGATAACGAATTTATGGTAGGAGTTTGGATTCTTCTCGTCTTTACGACTGTGTTCAGAAACGGTCAATTCATTTAACGATAAGGAGCGTTCAGGAATTGGGTCTTTCCTACGGTCCGAGGACTTGAATTCGTGCAAAAAGGAAGATGTTAGAACGTACCATGCACGTTGGTAGGATTTCAAGAACTTTGATTTCCGCTCGAGCCATCCGGATCTGATCTCGTAGATCAATGCTTCATGCTGGTATTTGTAGCGAATGTCCGAGACTCTACGCATTGGTAGGTCCAATTCGATGAAGTTTGAATGGTCTCTGTCGATGAAAGAGTCCCATTCCAATGTAGGTTCCTTGGTTAAAAGAGTTGAGTCCAATTTGGAGATCAAGCCGTCAAAGACGTTCTGGGCTTGTTGACCGAGTAGTTTGGCGTAAACCGTCAGGGCAGTCTGGAGCTCTATGTAGACCACTTTTTCCAATTCCTTGGCCGAGGTTTGGATGTTGACAAATGCTTCGTGAAGGTAGTTTTCCTCTGTCAGCTGGCGCCTGATGGAGCGGTCCAAGGCGAACTTGATGAGGTAGGGGTCGTTCTTCGGGTCCAATTGGGATGGGCTGGACTTGCAAAAGTCGATGGAGCGGACGTATGTGGAGAGCAACCTCGAAGTCTCACTCTGGTACCTGTCGACCTGGTTTTTGAAGTCGCTCTGCAAGGACTTGATTTCCTTGATTTTCACCAACAAGTCCCGCTTCAAGTCCTCTAACCGCGGGATGATGGTTGCGCTGAGCTCCTTCACGGTGGACTGGGCCAAAAGCGCCGCATTTGAGTGGTACTGGTAGAGGATGGTGGGCAAGTCCTGGATGGAGCCGGAGCCCAAGGGGAGGAAGAACTTCTTGGCCAACTCGAACTCGCTTGTTTTCGGGCCGTTCCCCGTGCCGCTGCTGGCGGTGTTGCTGGCGAAGTCCTGCTGGCTGTCCCTGGAGGAGTGGAAGAGGGTGCTGGAGAGGTTGGAGGTCTGCGACTGGGACGTTTCGTTGGAGACGCGGAGCGGCTGGTAGAACTCGCCGTCCAAGCCCTGCGTCAAGAAGGGGAAGCTGATGGCGTGGTGCAAGCGGATCTGCTGGCGGGTGATCTCCTCGTGCACGGACACGGTTTCCTTCAAGTAGTGCGACAAGGCCGAGATGATGATGCGCCACGAGTTGAAGCGGGCCGCCAAGATCTCGGTGGGGTTGGCGTTGGTGGGCACCGTGATGGACAGCGGGTCGCTGTACACCTGCGGGGAGGGCGCCTGCGGCGCCTGCGGCAACGACCCGTTGGCCTTGCTGCGCCCGCTGGTGGCCACCGACCCGGAGAACGACGCCGAGTTGTTTGCCATGGCCACCGCTGCCACGCTGCTTCTGTTCGTGGACACCGACGAGTCGAGCGACTTCGACTGCTGCACCTGTTTATTTCGCTGGTTCTCCAACTGCTTGAGCTGGAGCTGGTTCTGCAGCAACTGTTCCTGGGACACCAAGCTCATCGGGACGGCGCACGCGGGTGGTGGAGAGGGTGTGCTGCTGCCAGACCTGTCTGAACACGGGAAAAGCCCCTACGGTGCACGCCACGGGTCTCCGCTGCCTGTTCTCAAGGGCGCCAGACGTGGTGCCAGAGGCTCTGTTCGTTGCTGCGTGCGGTGGTGCTCTGGTCCTCGAAAAGGTGGGGCCAGCAGCACAAACGGGTGACGTTTGCCGCTGGTGCGCCGGTCCGCGCCCTGCGCGCCGACGCGTCGGCGGGCCGCTGCGCGTCTCTTTCCTCTTCCGGCCGCTGCCCCGCCTCGCGGAAACCTGCCCCGTTTCGGGGGGGTGCTTCCTATCGCAGGACCGAGGCGGCCACTCCGGCCGGGGTACATAAGGCGGGGGGGCGCCCGATGGGCCCGCATGGGCGCAGGCATGCAACCAAGCAACCAAGCAACGTCAACCAAGCAACCAAACAAACCCAGCCATGGCCAAGAAACAGGTACTCGTGGTCGGCGCAGGCGTCGTCGGCCTCACCACAGCGCTCGAGCTGCACGACCGGCTCGGCGACAGCGTCGACGTCTCGCTCGTGGCCAAGGACCTCCCCGGCGACAGCGCCGTGTTCTACACGTCGCCCAAGGCCGGCGCCCACTGGGTGTCCACCAACGCAAAGGAGCACAAGGACTGGGCGCTCGCCACCTACCGCAAGCTGCGCCAGCTCGCCGCGGTTCCGCAGGCGTTCGTGCAGGCGTACCCGCTCTACTACGGCGACATTGTCCCTGCGGGCCACACCCCGCCCCGCTTCGACGAGCCCTGGTACAAGGACGCCGTGGACGGCTACCGCTACCTGGGCACAGACCCGCGCTTCCCGGACGTGCAGAACCTCTTTGTCTTCACGTCCTACACCATCTCCACCACGCTCTACCTCGTCTACCTGCTCTCGGAGCTGCGCCGCAGGGGCGTCGCCGTCCGCCGCCAGACCTTGAGCTCGCTGGAAGAGGCCCTCCGCACGCCGCTCCCCTCCGCCGCCGGCAGCGCCGGCGCCACCGCCGACCTCGTCGTCAACTGCACCGGCCTGCAGTACAACTTCCTCGCCGACGGCGGCGACCCGCAGCTGATCCCCGTCCGCGGCCACGTGCTCCTTGTCGAAAACAACCTCCCCTACCAGGTCACCTTCGAGCAGCCGTACCTCCCGGCTGACGCCAAGCCCGGCGAGTTCCTCATGCTCTTCCCGCGGCCCGAGGGCGGCGCCATCCTCGGCGGCATCTACGACCGCAACTTCCTCGAGTACGACACCGCCGTCGACCCGGCCTACGTCGCCCGCCTCGTCGCCAAGGCCCAGCGCCACCTCCCGGACCTCGTTGCCTCCACCGCGGGCGCCGTCAAGATCGCCCGCCACGTCGTGGGCTTCCGCCCCGAGCGCCAAGGCGGCGCCCGCATCGGTCAGGACCCGGCCGAGCCCCGCATCGTCCACAACTACGGCAACGGCAACTCCGGCTTCATCGAGAGCTGGGGCTGTGCCGCCAACACCGTCCGCATCATTGCCGACGCCCTTGGCGCCGCCGCCAAGCTCTAGCTGCCTCTCTGTGTATCTCCCTCTCCGAACCTGCTGTCTGTTTATCTCTCCTCCGAACCGCGCTGAGCCCCCTCGGCCCGTTGCCCCGCGGCTTTAGGGGTCACGTGAGCGCCTGAGCACGTGCACGTGAGCGCCTTGCACAGCCTTGGCCAATATGTTTCTCCTCGGACAGGCAGGCAGGCAGGCTCCAGAAGACACCTTTTTCCTACTGGCCTGGCCTGACAGCAGACACAGGAACGTCTTGCACGGGGTCTGCGGGGTCTTGTGGGTCCCCAGTGCACCCGCAGACCAATGCAGAACGTTGCCTGCAAGACGCTGGCCCTCGGGGCGCTGCTGCTAGTGGCAGCCCTCTACACGCTGCACGCCGTGGTGCCCGGCAACCAGGAATACGAGGCATACGGGGGATGGTGGCGGCGGTCGCCGCCCGGCACACAGGCCAGAGGCTCGGTGCGGGCGATTGCAGACACAGACGACACGGCAAGACTGCTCCGGAGCATGCACCTGACGCCGAACCACTCGGTGGAGATCCTCGCCACGGACGCAAACGGGTTCACGAGCGCCCGGGTCGTGCACGGACGGTTCTTGCACATCACAGACATGCATCCGGACGAGCTGAACGTCATCGGGGCGGCGATCCGCAAGCAGTGCCACAAGAAGATGAAAAACGTGGTGTCGAACATGGACGTGTCGCACAAGTACGGCGACCCGATGAGCGGCTGCGACTCGCCGCTGGACCTCTACTCCTCCACGTTGGAGTGGCTGCGCACCAACGTGAAGGACCACATCGACTTTGTCATCTGGACGGGCGACAACATCCGCCACGACAACGACAGAGCCCACCCGCGGACGGAGGCAGAGATCTTCGACATGAACGAGCGGGTGGTGGCCGACTTCATCGACACCTTCATGGACGACGGCGAGGAGGAGGAGACCGTCTTCGACCGCAGGGTGAAGATCGTGCCCAGCTTGGGCAACAACGACGTCTACCCGCACAACTTGTTTGCCCCCGGCCCGACGTTGCAGACGAGAGAGCTCTACAAGATCTGGCGAGACTTCATCCCCACCGAGCAGATGCACACCTTCGACCGCGGAGCGTACTTCCTCAGAGAGGTCATCCCGGGCAAGCTGGTTGTGCTCAGCATCAACACCCTCTACTGGTTCCAGTCCAACCCCTTGAACGACAACTGCGACTCCCGCAAGCAGCCCGGCTACAAGTTGTTCCTCTGGCTGGGCGCCACTCTCAAAGAATGCCGCCGCAGAGGACTCAAGGTCTGGTTGAGCGGCCACGTCCCGCCCATCCCAAAGAACATCCACCACAGCTGCTACGCCAAGATCAGCGTCTGGATGCACGAGTACAGAGACTTGATCATTGGCGGCGTCTGGGGCCACATGAACATCGACCACTGGGTGCCCATGGACTCCGTCAAGGCCTGGAAGAGCATCAAAAAGCGTCTTCTTGCTGCCGGGGCGTGGGACGAGAGCAACCACTTCCCCTTCATCGACTACGACCAAATGGAAGAGCTGGTGGGGGCTATGGATGACGAAAGCGACACCGACGACGATTTTGAAACAGTTGAAGATCTATATAGGTCGCTCGGATATGACATCGACGACGAGTCGAGTGATCCTCTACACACTTTTTCAGACAGATACATGGGTGCACCCAATGGCAAAGTCACCTATTTGGAAAACTTGAGGGATTCCATGTACGCGAAGTTGAAGGGTAAGAAAAAGGGAGGCGACTTTTCAGAAAGATACTCCATTGCTCACATCTCCTCGAGCGTAATACCCACTTACAACCCCGGCCTGCGCATATGGGAGTACAACATCACCGAGTTCAACTCTTTGGACAACAGCGAGTCTGAAGCTCAAGGTAGCCAGACTTTGGCAGGAAAGCTCTCATCTTATCTCAATACCTCAGCTAAAAACACTACATTCCATTATGGAGATTGGAGTTACTTCTTCCAGCAGTTAGAGAATCTACTCGACGATGAAGAACAAATTGAGAAGCTCATCACCGAGCTCGAAAGCAGTCCGGACAAAATGAACAGCTCGGAGTACCTACAAATGAAGGCGCCATCAAAGGACAAAACCATCCCAAATATCATGCCTGCAAGTCTACCATTAGGTCCAGCTTATATCCCGCAGGCACTCTCACCCGAAAGATACGTACAATACTACGTGGATTTGAATGAAGTCAACTACCAGAAAAAGGACATTGATAGCTGGAAATTCAACTACAAACTACACTACTCTACAGATGATAAATTTGAATCTCGAGGACTGTTGGTCAAAGACTGGGTCAACTTTGGACGGAAACTTGCGAAAACTGCTCCGGTGAAGGGCAAGGAAACAGAGAAACTTGGTGATTCGGAGACTCAGCTGAAAGGTGAAAAACTGTGGAAAAACTATGTCGATAGAGCATTCATAAGCTCTGGGTATCAAGAACTACCAGATGCCGTTGGAAAATGATTAAATGGACCTCAATTGCCTTTAAAATTAAATGTTCAGTTACTGTATATTTGTCTAATTTAGGAAAAATGTATATTCAATCACCATGTCAAGCGAGAACCGCATGAATAATGCGAAAGTGAATTGCCCTTCTTGGAAATTTTCCCTTTCTGGAGTCCTTTGACCTGCAAGTCCGATACCTGCTTTATCGGCTGTCGGTCAAAAGTTGAAGGCATGTTTGATAAAGTTTCCCCTTCTGTCATCACTATACAACTCAATTGTGTGTATAGTTAGCTGTCATTGCTACCTTGTGCCCCTCGCTGTTGCTATCAGGGATTAGCAAAGCATTTCTGCAATCCCAATAAATTTAAGGCATATTGAAAACAATAACTCGTCTGAAAATGCCTTATTTAGAGCTAGGAAGGAAAAGTGAAACTTTCTCTGAAAGTGCTCCTTTGGGCCAGTCTTTAGTTTTCGAACATAAATTTCCTGGCTTAGCTGAAGCTCCTTCTCCAATTAATGATCAAAAGGATGATGGAGCAATTGTACTTTCAGTAGATCATTTTTCGGGTCCACCAAAGACATTGGCCGATACTGATCCCTCTGTACTCAAGAGTTCTAGCAATGAAGATGTAGTTATGGTTGTTCCGACTGCTCTAAACCCAAACAAAGAAGTCACCATTGGAATAATTTTCCTGGTAGTTTCCCTCGTATTTCTGTTAATTTTTGCATTTTTTGTTTACGTTGGCTATGTGCAATACAAGGCCTTACTAAGTACAAAGGGCAATGACTTAATGGATCTAGAGGGCTCTGCGGAAACAATAGTCGTTGAAAAGCCAAGAATGAATGGTAAAATTGACTACAAAAACTTAAATTTCTCGACAAATTCAAAAGAACACCAGTTTAGGGAAAGTGGGGGTAGTAAAGCTTCAGAGCCAAAACCGTCCTTGATGTCCAAGTCCGTGATTGTCGGTAAACTACCAGAGCCACAAGGGAGCCATCTCAAGCAAACATATTTTAAGCCACCTAAACTTACCTCCAGGCTCAACAAGATTGGTGAGTATTCAGAAGATTCACTCCTAAATGATTTAAGAGAAAAGCACGAAATTGATACTTCAATGGGTCATGATACTCCTTATTCTTTTGGTACTCCAAAGCAAAGAAAGGCTTTTAAGCCTCCATTTGGTAACGGAAACAAGTCTGAAAATAGTATGGAGAAAAGAATAGAAAGAAAGTCTGAAAGAAGGCCTGACAGAGCACCTAAAATGGCTTTAGAAAAGAAGGCAGAGAAGAAAATACTCAGCTCGCATGTATCTCAAATGTTGAACAAGTACAGAAAAGAATCACAAGGGCTAGGTGCATTTATTAATGATGTGGAAAAAGCTGATCCAGGGTCAACGTTCCATAGAGAACGGATTGAAAAGCACAAACCAAACCCTCAGAAAAAAATCACTTACAGTATCAAAGAACTTGTCAAATTAGAACCAGTGGACGTTTATCAGATGTTTGAGTATAGCTATGACGATGGGGATTTATTAGTCACTGATTTAATCTTTCCGTCAATTCCTGTCCTGAAGAATAATTTGTCAATGAATGAAATTGAGAAAATTTTAACTGAAATCAGAATTGGCTTGCTGAGTAGAAAAACAGATTCAGTTACCAAGGTTATTGAATTGTTTATATTCATTACCTTTTCATTCGGTATAAAGACATATGCAAATCCAAAGGTCTTCACTTTACCTTACGGAATCTTAGTTGATACAATGATTCAATTTGATTTAGTCTCTCAGATACCAGAACAATTATCTCTTGTTATGCAAAGTGGCTTTGTTGAGACTATCATTCTGTATTGTATTAATTGCTGGAAGTTTGATAAAATAAATGATGGCAGGATCCAGCAGTTTTTTGAGGTATGGAATACAAAGCCATATATTCCAACTAAATTGAAGTTATATAAATTCATAGTCACATTGTTACTACAAGGATATCGAAGCAGCTTATTGAAAGAGGTTTTGATTTTTTTCTCAATCCCCCCTTCTCCTCATTTGCTTCAGAATATCATCACGGAAGCATTGAAAAATGAGACACCGCCAGACATACATGATTTACTTCAGTACTTAAGAAGACAACTTCAAGAAGAGCATTACAACTGCTGCTCTAATACCGAGAAGTGGAGACATTGGGAGTTCACAACTGCTGGAATGAAAAATTCACCCTCTGTTAACGAGCAGTTTGAATCTTCAATGTACAAAATTCCGGGCAACAAATATGAATCATTGACAAATGTTAATTTTTCTAATGAGGAGAATATAAAAAGACAACCGCAAAAGACTAGAAATGCATTATCAGATAACAAATGTATCGAGGCTTTGAACAATGCTAATTCATTCCAGGTATCCAAAGAGAATAAACTCTTCATTGGAGAAAACATTTCGAAGCTTAGCTTACAACCTGAGTCCATTAAGATGTATTCAAGTTCCGGTGAATTGCCTGGCTCTTTAATTGCAAGTCCTATTCATTCAAGTCCTAAAAACCTCTGAACTGAGATACCCGGAAAAGTTTCATTAAATATAAATGTATAATTAGATTGTTTTAAAAAACGTAATGGAAAGCTTAGAAAATTAGAGGTACAAGAATCATGGAGCCAGTAATTCAAAGCAAAGGCACTGACTAATTAGTACTAACTTTCATTTCTGAAATAGTCATAATTGATCAATGCCTGCATGTAACCCCATTCTGTAAGTTTGTTCTTCAACCATTTTAATTGAACCGGTTTCGTTAGATAATCATTGCATCCAGCAGCAAGAGCATTTTGTTGATCTGAAGCACCTGTAGAAGCGGTTAAGGCAACTATTATAATAGGAGAACGAAACAATGATAAATCTAATACATCATCTGATTCTTTATAATCATTGGCTTCATCGATATTATGCCCAGAAAAATTTCCTATGTGATTTAAACGCTCCAAACGACGGATTTCTTTAGTCACTTCTATACCACTCATGACAGGTAATTGGATATCCATGAAGCAAAGATGAAATCCTCCTTTTTTCCACATTTCAAGCGCCTCTTTACCAGTAGATGCAATCTGAAATTGGACCTTACATGACTTCAAATGACGCGCCATAATTTTTTGATTCACAAGGTTATCTTCAACCACAAGAACATTTATGTGACTAAGAATCTTAGAGATACCATGCTTTTTTTCAATTGCTTTAGGTTTTTTCTCTATCACTGGTAACTTAGTTTCAGGCTTCTTCAGTGTCGAACTAGAGTCCGGTATAGGATCTAGATGTATCTTTGGAGTAATAGTGGACGCAGAGTTAGGAGCTGAGCCAAGAGTTGTGTCGCTCAGGGTTAGCTTTTGAGCTTCATTCGTTTCATTTACTTCATCTGATGTACTCGATGTGTTCAACGTGAGATTTAGCTTCTTCTGTAACTCGCTTGAATTAGTCCGAGAATGATAATTTTTTCCTATCTGAATTGGTGGGTCTGATCTATCTATCTTGAGATTCTGGGGGGAAGGCGGAGGTGGAATCATTTCTGGATGTGATGCCGGAGGAAGAGACTTATTGTCTCCTCTTACATCTCTGGGGAATAAAATAACAGCAGAAGATTGGGGTGTTTGGCCTATGCCGTAATCTAGAGAGTTGGGCAGTCTTAGTCTTGGTGGGGGAACTCTTTCATCCCCTAGTATTGCGGTTTTATTTAATGAGGCGCTTGTCGATCCAGCTTGATTCATTTCCAGCGATGAGATGTTTGAATCATACTTATCTATAGTTTGTAAATTTCGAGCTAAATACTGCTGGTTTGTATTTCTTTGATCAAATTTGAAAGAATCCTCAGATGGAGATTTGCTAGTATCGACCAGAAAAGCATCCGACATGTTCATTCCATTAGGAAAATACTTATCAACAATAGACCAGACCAACACATCAGGCTCTAGTATCAACACTCTTGGTGATGTACGCGTATGTGGAGTATCAATTGAGTCAGAAGAAGTTGCAGCGTATTTCTGATTCGGAAATGAATCAGGGGAAATAGGAGTGTTTGCTCGTAAAAGATCATTGGATGATGCAGGTTGCATCAGTCTAGAGTATCCGCTACTGGCAGTCATGGGCGAATGCGAACCATCGTGGAGCAAGGGCTTTTTTGAAAGGGAAAACTGGTTAACACTGGTACTTGGTGACGAGTTCATAAATCCCCGCGTGTCAGGTGTTATGATCAACTTTATCACTAAGTCTGATGGATCAAATCGACGACCTAAAGTGGTCGGAAATTTCGACGATATCACGTACTTCAAATCGTCCACTATATCGTGAGGCCCCACTGTGATGGTGGTTGCTGAATGACTATTTTTCCTGACCCAAATACGCTTTTCTACAGGTGTTTTGGATTGTGCAGATCGTAAACTTTGAGAAATGTTCCGTTTCCCCTGAGGGAGAATATTATAAGTTTGCTGCTGCAGAATGGAGTCTATTTCAGCCGCTTCTTTATCATTATGGAGATGAGAATATTGATTGTGTTTCAGTTGGGAATCTTGTGATGATACCTCCATAGAATTCTTCTTTGATTGAACCCCGGAAGGGGTGGCGCTGTGGACTGTATCAAGTCCCCCATAGTAAATATTGTTGTTTCCTTGAGAATCTGAGTATGCAACAGGAGAAGCTCCTCTCAAACTATGTTGATCACTCCGTGCGCCTGGAGAGCTCGTTGGCAAGTGTGATATTTGTGCACTAGCCGACTTGGACATGGGTATTGGTGCAACTATCGATCCTAGATGCTGCTGATTAACGTATGGCATGACTTTGGGCGATACACCGTCATGGTTCTTCTTTCTATGTAACGAAAACATCGTCTAGGTCTGAAATCAAAACGACACTAAACAATATAGAAGTTTTTGTTCCGCTGGTTGCATACACAATAACTGCAATGGTTAGGAAATTCCTTAGCACTCCTGATAAAGAAACTAGATAAAACAGGTAGTTAATGCAGCTTTTTAGACGTGTTGGAGAACACTCCCTTCTCATGCGAGGGTCCAAAAAAACTATGCCTCAAAGGCCGAAGAGAGCCTGTCAACTATCTTTGGATTGACCTATAAGATAATGTAACAGGATACAACTTATAAAGGCTTAGACTACAGAGTGAGGTCGATGTCAACTTTAAACCATTTTGTGCCATATATCACAGCTAGCAGAAAGGTACAAGACCCTATCACTGTGAATTTACAGCAAATTCTGAAAAAGATTCGAAAACAGTTAAATGTTTATGACGATTCTAATCGCAACGATGTTATACCTGTAAACACTCCTGAAAATACATTAGTTCCCCTGATTGTGTACTCAAATAAAATGGCAATAAAACAAAAAATTCCGAAGTGTACTCCTATACGAAAATTTAGTTTCAATAACCAAGATTTCCCCTTCTCTGCAACTGAGCTGAAATTTGCACCATCAGAATTTCCCGAATCAAGATATCCTATTGTTAAAAAGGATGATCCCATTTGCACAAATTTTACGCAATTAAAAGGTCCAAACAGTGACCTATACACTTTGGCAGTCTTGAGGGGTATTACAAAACAAAAGAGCTTACACAAATGTAAATGGTTTACATTCAATTATTGGCATTCAAGCACTTATTTGGGCCGGATATTAAAGTCAAGACCCGGGATTATGATAGTTTGTCATAACTTTAATATGTTCAACTCTAATGTTGAAATTAAGGGGAACATACCCTCTTCCATGCAGAACTCATCATACCCTTTTAAGTTTTCAGTTTACAGAACGAGAATGAGAAAACTTTTAAGAAAACATTTTATGGAACTCTATCTACGAGATGAACAATTTGCCAAAACTTTCGACGGTTTTTACAAGTTTTCCTGTGTACTTTTTCCACTTACGGACGGAGAATTGGAAGATTTTGCTCAGCATATAGCTTTGTGTCTTGAGAAAGTGTCAAAAATTGATTTGAAAGGTGTGAAGGATGCTGCTTTGAAGGATAATAACAAATTGCCATGGCATGAAGTTAGCAAAATATTATCAAGGAACAAAACAAGCACAGCAGGAATAGTGCCACCTTTTATAAAAGGGAAGAAACATTGAGACGCCAAAATTCGTGTTTTTCTGTATAGTAGATAATCAATGATTAATGTAGCAAAATGAACAGTTTATATATTACACCACTCGGGCCACTTAGTCTGATACTGCCATCCAGATTCTGCATCCAGCTGATACTTGTATGCATGAAGGTACATTATCAAATCGTCCTTCTCAGTTTGAGTGTATAGCTTTCCTTCGCAAAAATGGCACGATTCACCAGACTCGGCTTCAGATCTCTTTTCTGCAGCTTGCTTCTCAATCCTTTGAAAGTATTCATCAGAAATGTTACTGGTATCACCACCAATATTTTCTAGGCACAGCAATCTATTAAATCCATATAGCGGGTCATTTACTATGGGATGACGCATATTTCGTAAGTGGATTCGTATTTGATGGGTTCTCCCTGTTTTAGGCCAGCACATGACAATACTTTCATCCAACTCTTTGTTGTACTTTAAAGATCGAAACACAGTCATAGCAGTTTTCTTCATTACCCCGTCATTTTTACCCTTCTTGGTATCGAAAACGACAATGTCATCACAACATTTTATGTCCTCTCCTTGGTCAATTTGACCCATATTCACCACACCAGGGAACTTTCCTTTGACACGGGCTAAATATGTCTTTTCAACGGTCCTATCTTGAATCTTTGTCTGAATCTTTCGTGCTGCTTCGGCAGATTTGGCAAACATGCATATTCCACTGGTTAACTTGTCTAAGCGATGACATGGTCTCAGCTGAATATCTTTTGATTCCTCCTTCCTTCCGGGCCAACCTTCTATTTGCAAAATCTGGACAAAAGAGTTGTAATAGTAGTTTTGGACAGGATGAATAGGTATTCCGCTGGGCTTACTCACCACTAGCACTTCATCATCTTCATGTATGACCTCAAGTTCTTGGGCCCTAGTCGCACAAACAGACCTTTCATGTATGTGCTCCAATCTTTCAATAATATCATTATCTGCCATCTTATATTTCAGAATTTCTGGATAGCGTATCACTATTCGATCATCTGTCCGTAAATTATCCTTGCATCTTTCTTTTCTTTCTTTTTTTGTTAATTTTTGTCTATGAAGGACACTAATCTCATTTTTTTCCATACGACTTCGGTATTGCGATATACTGAAGGATCTGAATTCAGTTGAGAGAACGTCTAGCACAGATCTATTCAGCCATCTGCTTTTCACAGTAGTCTTTATATGTTGGAAATAGGGCTGGACATGACGAATTCCACTTTCTATCCGGTAGCTTGGAATTTCCGAGGGAGCCTTTAAAGTACCTTCCATCAGCTTCCGTAATGGGTAAAAGAGCGTGGCCACCTTTTCAATGTCCTTTTTCATATATTGTGAGATGCTAATGGTTGTTCGAGCCGAAAATATCAAATCTTGGGTTGGATTATGACGAGATAGAGTAAATTTTGTGCTCGAGAAAAAATAGCTCGAATCCTATCCGTGAAGAACTCGTTGTTCAACACACTTTTTACACAAACTGCAGCAAATAACAGAAGGTTGGAACTAACTACTAATAGTGAAAAAAGATTAAACTAAATTCGGAGTACTATAGAATGTTTAAGTGAGTTTGAACCTTTTCTAACTTCCACATCAATTTATTTTGTCTTTATGTACTTGCTTTTCTTTGTATATTCCCATAATATACGCCATTCTAGTGACAACGAGATCGATCGCCATATTTACAGAATCTCTTGCAAGAACCATTTTAGAACCGTCAACTTCATGCCAATTAATTGCAATTTCCTCAATTGGAATGTGTTGTCTATTTGCAAGGATGAGAAGCTCAACATCAAAAATCCAGCCCTCTGTGTGCATGTTTGGAAAAATCATCTCCGCTGCTGCTTTATTAAACAGTTTAAATCCACATTGTGTATCTTTTATATCCCTTATGCCAAATATGAAAACGAGAGTGTGAAGTCCATACATCAAAAGATTTCTTATGAAAGCCCTTTTCACCACTGCATCTGTGTTCACCATATGAGCTCTAGAGCCAATAGCAACCGCTGGAATTTCAAGTGGTTTGTTATGGTCTAATTTTTGAATTGCTCTCAAGAGCTTGCTTACATCAGAAAACTTAGAGGCCCCATCTGCATCTGCAAATATAATGTATGAACCCCTAGCACATTGCATTCCGTGAGTAACTGCTCCACCTTTACCTCTATTTTTCTCAAATTTTATCACACGAAGTGTATGAGGTGGTAAATTGAATTCTTTGGCCAAGTTTATTGCATAATTAGAAGTATCATCTTTTGATCCGTCGTCGACTATAAGTATTTCAAAAGATTTTTGCAACTTGTTATTTTCATGCTGAGCTTCCATGTACGAAATTGCCTCCTGAAGCATAATTTTCAATCTTGAAGTTTCATTGAAGCATGGCACAACTACAGAAAGTATTATATCATCCTTTGGCGCTGAATTAAATCTCGGTAATTTGTAAGCCTTATGGTCATCATCATTGGTGGTGTAACTCAATTCCGATGTAAATGGGGCACGAGGTTTGTGGGAAAAGGACCAGATCAAACCGTAAATCTATGGGTAAAATAGAAGTTAGTAATCCTATCAAATCAAACATGGCTTTTAAAATCAAGTCGTTAGACTATCAGTACATACTAGCACGATCGCTGCCGCAATAGCACAGAAAATGTGTTTGAGCATAGCAGGTTAAGTGTGTATAGCACGCCAGTATTTTGTACTGGAGTATTCCGAAGTGATCGCTAACATGGAATTGACAAATGAGATTTAACGGCCAACGTGTCAACATGCACGTCTATGTTGGTCAAATGCGATAACACGCCAAATGGGAGGAAAAACATATCTCTCAGCTCGCTCGTCGAGGAAGGTGGAAAAACGTGCGCATTTGACAGGAGAAAACAGCTTCATAGAAAAAGTCTATTAAACTAATATACAAAGAGTATTGTAATACAGATCTACAAAGATACATGACGCCAGTATTTATTGACGTTGGTGACTCAAATGACGGGTAATTATTTTGCTGTTGTCTAGAAAGGCTTGCACCAAATCCATATAGTACAAAGGATCATCCATCACATTACGCATGCTCCGAAGCAACGCAGGAGTGTTTATTTCTAATTCAAGCTCGTATTTCGGTATACGATTGTTTTTCTCTCTGACTTTCGTCAAATCTATTCTCGTAGAAGTGGCCTGGTGGATGTAACTGACTCTTTCCTTTTCTCTTTCCATGGTAACACGCTTTTTGAAAATCTCGAAAGCAGCGTCATTGAGGTCCTTCGGAAGTTCCACCGACAAGCTCATACGCACATCGAAAAGAGTATTTGGAAAGTGTAAATACAAGTCAGAGATACGTTGTTTGGAAATACTATTGGTTTTTCTTTTAGTCTTGATGTCTAGACTAACTCTTCCTGAAATTGGCTTGTCGCCACGACGGGAATCACTGGCAATCAAGTCAACAACATGAGAGTTTTCAATAATGAACTTATTACTAGGGTCGCCCTTACCTTGTTGTTGCTGTTCAGCGGCTTCTTGAATCAACTTACTGATGAAAGATTTGGTATCATTGTAGTTCTCCAGCGTGATTCCGGGCTTGAAAAAACACTCTTGGTTCACGTAATCTGTTGCAACCACACACTCGGTGTTCACAGGTAATTGGATACGTCTATCCTTCACCTTATCCCAAATATTCCCCACTTTGGACTCTATTTCGATGTAATCTTCAACATTAGGTATATCAAGGTAATCTTGTTTAACACCTTCTACGTTTGCCCATATCCATTCAGTGACTAGCTTATTGAAGTCATTTCTTGGAATGGATCCTGTGATGGAAGGAACAGAGAGTTTAGAGATATTATTAAGGGAAACATCACCTTTGAAACTTTGGTAACCATTGGATCCAGCAGATGCCGGCTGGTTGAATGATGGTATATAGTCTTGAGCCCATGTGGGTTTATTTTTATACCTTTTTGGTTTGCCATCTGCAACCGCCTCGACGTCTTCTTTCTTTTTAAGATCTTCGAGTTTCTGTATCTGTTCATGAAGTGATTTTTCAGGTGTTTCTTTCTGGCTTTTGCTGTCCATTTCTTCAACAGCCTTTCTGTCTTCTTTGCCAATAATATCATTAGTACTGGGAGGACCGCTGACAACCTCATTCTCTTGTTTAGGGAGTCTCGTATCTGGTAAGGGAGGTTTGTGCGCCACCGTCTCATTAACGCTGACGTTAGTCAATGCACTGATGCTATTTCTACTTTTTATGCGAGCAGAGTCGTCTCCGGATTCGTGTTTCGAATCATCCTTGAAATTTTCCTGCTCTTCCGCCTCAGTTGTGTTCGTAGTCTGGAAAGAAGGCTCTTCTCTCATGCTTTCTTGCTCGCCTTTTTCTATCAGATCCACATTGATACCAGTTGCATCGGATGGCAAAAACGGAGCTGGTTTTTGTTCTATCGTTGGCACCTCATGTTCGGATGTAGATCCTGTAGGTTTCGGTATTGGTGGTCCGGAGTTTGAAGCATCTTTATTGGCGCCCTGTGATGCATTGGGAAGGGCAATTTCTTCCTTGGTATCTGCCTTTACATTATTCTCTTTGTCATTATCCATGTCGTTGGCCCTGTTCTTTTCATTGTCGTTATCGTTCATTAAGCTGTGAATCGAAAGTCGGGGCTGAGAAGCCCTTTTGCTCAATTGGGCCTGCGGTCCGTTAGGCCCAGAACTCTCATCGTCGCTCGTTCTAGATATCAAGTTTCTCAAGTCCATCTTGCACTTGTAAAAAGATCACTTGCGTTTGCTGTAAACCGCTGCAGGTGTGGGATATTTCTTGCGTTCGATCTTCGTCTAATAACCTCTCTTCAGCATCTCCTCTCTATCACCTTTCATTCTCACCAGCTCTCGCTCTCACACTCACTCTATCAAGATTACTTACTAAGGCGCGTAGGCGTGTATGGCGGGTACACGAAACAGACGTGGCAGCAACAGAAACTGTGTCGTGGGGAAACATGTTTAAAATGTGTCCGATTAGTAAATGTAAGTAGTTTATCTAGTAGTTTAGTCAGTGGATAGTTTCTCCTTATACCTATACAGCATGTTGTGCGCATGTGGAGCAATGCGGCAGTTGCACGCATTGACTATGTCAGCAAAGTTCACGATCATGTACTCGGTAGCGGAGTTTTCGTAGTCATCGTTAGCAAAAAGGGTTCTCTTCGTGTTCCCGTTTGGTGACACAAAAAAATAGGGGGCGGAGCTTGCTTTTCTCGAATATGAACAATATGACGAAAGTGGCTTAAGTGAATGCAAGCTGTGGAAATCGTCAGTACTATCCTCAGGGAACGGTTTTTTTCTGACTCTCCTTGAGGAGCATGACGAACATCGAGAAGATACAGGAGAGGTTCTTTCATGCGCCGTCTCTTCCTGGTCAGTTTCCTCCTTGCACTCGTCAACTTTGAAAAGGCCATGACTTGGCTCATCATTCTGCTTGGTAGCCGGTTCATGATTATCTTCTCCGTGGCCAACTAATGAGTGGTACAGTTGAGGAAAAGACTCCACGGTCGGTATATCATCCCAACTGCTATGTTTGATCTCCTTCTGCTCGGTATACTCCTCGTGGCTTCCCTGTGGGACTTTGAATTGTAGATGTTTCGATTTTGTATGATTGCTGAAATTACACTCATAAATGCTCTCATCAACACACATCTCAAGCTTTTGGAAGAATTTGTTGTGAAACAGTTTGGGTAGAGTCATACGCGTTGCCGGGTTTGGATCGCATAATCTCCAAAAAAGATAGATGAAGTTAGGATCGTTTCCGTGAGGATTGCTGAAGTTTCCATTTTTGGGGATAGAGTCACTCTTGTCTTGCGAGAACAACGAATTCGCCTCTATGAACTTAAGATATTCCTTCTTGTAGAGCTGAAACCCGAGATCCGAGTCACGTGCGGAAACAAAAGGACTTTTCCCCAAGACCACTACAAACAAAAGAACTCCAAGAGACCAGTAATCAAACCGAAATGGACAATACGGCTGGCGGGACTCCTTGTCAAGCAACCCGTATTTCGCAACTTCTGGAGGCTGGTAAGGTGGGGTGCCCAAGCGGGTAGCTTTACATGCCACTTTACTGGTGAAATTGCCATACTCTTCGTGTCCTATCTCGGAGCACCCATAATCGGTTATTTTCATCAAACCGTTTCTTGCCACCATGATATTATCTGCTTTGATGTCGAGATGTGTGATATCTTGCTCGTGGATGTATTTGAGGCCAAAGCAAACCTGCTTGAAGATGCACATTTTCTCGGCAAAAGCCACTTTCTTCCAATCCGGGTTTCTTACTAGCTTGTACAAGTCATATTCGTAGTAATCTAATACCATTCCCCACGCTCGTTGGAGGGTAACAGGCAATTGTAATAGTTCATAGCAGGGTATACTATGTAAATGTGCAATGCTTCGAGTTATGGTATATTCCGTTGCGACCCTGCTGTAGTATTTCTCCTGTGATTCTCCCGTGTATATCGAAAACTTCTTCAACGCGTAAAAGCGGGACTGCTGAAGATCAGCTTTCGTGTATATCTTTCTGATAGTCGCCGAGCCTCCAAAGATTACACTTTTCTCAGATAGCTCGTATTTGTCTTCCAAAAATTGAACTTCTTCTTGGAAAGCAATTGGTAAATAGTCATTGGGCAATGAAGTCGGATTGGTCAACATCAGATCGCATTCGTTTTTCTCGTTGCCGTTTCCAAAGGCAGAACCAATACTCTGTAAGTTGTGATGACTATATATCCCATACGGATTGTACTCCAATTTTGGGCTGCTCAGACTGGAGATTGTTTTGCTTCGCCGGCGAGAACTGTGCTGGTGTGTGTGTGTGTTATGGGAATCGTGCTCTACGGTGGGGGACACATCAAACTCCACGGAACGCCGACGGACGGCTTTCTCAGATTGCTCGGCACCATTTTTGTCTTTGGTGAACAATTTTGTCGGGTTCACCCGTGATGCAATCTTCTTGAGATGCTGCGCTGTTGATATCTGCGGCTTCTTTGCATCGGTCATAAATCGGACTCTCTCTGTCTTTCTGTTAATCACACTGTCAAAAGATCTGTCAAGAAAGCAAAAGGGTTAACAAACATGGGTACCGGAAGAAAATAAAAGTAGATCCGAGAAAGAAACGAGAGGCACAAAAATTGCTGTTCGAAGCTTCTTCGCCAAAGTTCTTTTCTAACGTGGGAGACCGATACCAGAGTATTTGCTGCCCACTTTAGCTGTTCGGAACCTGTATGAAATCATCCCCTCCGCCACCATTCTTGTTTCCCTCACTTATCGTGGAGGAGGTCCGCTGCCTTTGCCGTGCATAGCGGTTGCACAGCGGCAAACTAAAACGTCATTTGCTTTTGTATAGCGACCCGCACCGGCAGCGACGTATTGGGAGAGCACGGGGTGGGATGGGCTGACAACGGCTGCATACAATAACAGTGGTGATTGGCTGTGTCTGTAGAGACGCTGCCCGATCGTCAGCTGCAACCAGGTACCTGTGAAGCAAAAATACACTGGGATGGTGATTGCCACGCTCAAAGGCTACCGAGAGAAACTGCCAGGCTAAATAGGATATATATGATACGTGGTTATCGAGCAATCATCAAACGACGAACATTTTGTTATCCTTATTGCAGATGATGTTGTTTGACGGAGTAGTCGTTTGTACAAATTATGTGTTTCTTATTTAGATAGGCTAAAGTGGAAGTTACTATCGGATGAAGCACTTTTGTTTCCGTCTTTTGTTTCCATTGAACGGTAAAAAATGCCTTGATGTTTAGTTCTATCTGTCATGGTTAATATCCCATGGTTCATGGTTTCTATTTCTTGTGTTCCTTATTCTTCTTCCATCAATTACTTTTTCCGGTTTTGGATTACTTTAGTGCCCGGTTTCTGATCGTAAGGACCTGATCATGATGTCGCAATTTGAAAGATTTATCTTATTCTTCTGATCTCTTATCTCTGTATTGCTTATGGTTAAATCCTTATGAATAATTGCATTCTATCTGATTACTCAAGGATCTGATGGAATAAAAGCTACTGAATGTTGAGATAAGATGCCAAAGCCAATCATGATCGAGGGATAAGAGATAAGAGTCTTATCATGATAAGGCATCTTAAGTAATCTAAAACTGGAAAGTTAGCCGCCATGATAAATGAATAATGGCAAGTTTAACCGAAGGTGTAAGTGTATAAATACAAGAGGTTTGTCCCTTGTATTTATGTTTGAGAATATTAGTTTGTAGGCTAGTTATATTAGTTAAATATAAATAAGCAACGAACATAAGAAAAAGTGTACATATACAATGGATATTCATAATAGAATAGCTAGATTACAACACTGAAGACCCCACCTGAGTACTCATCTATTTATTTAATGAATTTGTAAAATTCCATCTTTTCAGTCATATCATGCTTTTTGCGATTCAGTCATGGTATCTGG